ACACTAGCCTAATTGCTCCCTACTAATTACGTTAGACTCTACACCAGACCCTTCCGTTACTTCAGACCCCACCCCACCCCCAGATTCTGACTCTCCTCCACCAGAACCTCATCACAACCCACCCCCATCATCCCCATCCTCCTCATCCCTATCCTCCCTATCCTCCCTCTCCTCGCTCCCCCAAACTCCAACCCCAACTCCAACACCCACCCCCTCCCCTCCTCCCCCGCAACCCTTCGACATGTCCCTCCTCACCTGGAACCACCGCGAAGAATACATCAACTGTCCCATCTCCGCGCTCTGCGGCCCCCGTCTCCGTCTGCACGAAGAATTCCGCATGGTGCAACACCTGCGCAGGACACACGATGTGGTTCCCATGCACGAGAAGACGTTTACGTGTGAGGGCTTGCCGAGGAACAACCGCAAGTGCACAACCATGTCGTATACGGCGTGGATGATGGATCGGCATCAGGTGATGAGGGGGCATGAGGGGGGTGAGGGGGGAGACGGGGTGTGGGCAGCGAGGGTTGAGAGGGGGGAGCAGTGGATGAGGAATGTGGGGTGGGGGAGAGGTGGTGGGAGGTGAAGTTCGAGGGGTGTTAGGTGATTATGCGAGTTTAAGGTGGATTTGCATAGTTTCTCTGTTATAGATAATATATTCTTACTCGTGATTGAGAAGTAGAGTCGTCTACTTACATCTCGAGGACGTGAGAAGGAATGGTGACGAAGTAATGGGATACCCTATTAACCATATCATATCCTAGATTTCTCACCAGAAAATTACTATCTAAGAATCTCAATCACCATTTCCTGCCCCGTCCATGGGATAAATCCGCTAACTAAAAAGTATAAATGAACGTCAAGTGTGTTCCAGGGTTCAGGATCTCTCATAAGAAACCCAAAATGATTTAGAAATTAATTTCGTTTACTAGAAACTTCTCACTTAAACTAAAATCTATTCTCCACTACATTGAATAGGATCCGTGAGGGACCAAGATAAGAGATTTTCACCTAGAAGATTGACCATCATTTATGTTTTTCGGACGATTGAAAGTAGAGCAAAATAGTTTCGACTATAGTTAGGCCCAAAAGTGATCTAATTCATCGACAAGTAAATAAAAAAATGGTGGCGTCCAAAAACCGCCCCCACATTTTTCACCCCCTGAATTCCATACGCGAAAATCATATCCTCACCGCGTCTTCATCCTCGCCAACATCCTCGCCTTATGTTAAATCCCATTAAATAATATTGCCATATCTAGGGTTTAAACGAAATAATGTCTATCCTCCCCAAGTTAAACCTTTTCCTAAACGATATTTGTACGTCCCCATCCCACTATACCTATATCTACCCCTATCCCAACACCCGAACTACGCAATTCTGACCCACCTAGCCGGCCTCGAAAAAGCCCTCCGTCTAATCCAATCCCTGGCACAAGTCTACGCGACATTTTCACAAACACCAGGACCGTGGTTACAAGCTCGTGTGACGCTGGGTTTAGGTATTTCCATTCACTCACGTGACACAATAAATTCCTAACAACATGGGTTGTAGTCAGACGGTTTTTCCGACCACAGAAAGTCCTTCCAGCATTTGAGCTCTCGATACGGGATCTGAGGAGATCGGCACGGAAAGAGGAGTGGCTGGTTGATTGGGTGGGCTCGTTGAGATGGGCGTGTATAGGGTGTTATTTGGGGCTGGAGAGTTTGACTTTGGTATATATCCCTCCGTCCCTGCTTTCCTATACGGAAACTTGATATATAGAAACTAACGCAGATAGTTTGACGCCATGGGTATCTCCCACCATACCTGGGCCCCCTGGCTCTTCGTCGAAGCGTATAAATTCTGGGGCTATTCTCTTTTCCTGAGTATCGTGCTTTTACTCCTCGAACTCCCATCTTTGTACACCACGCCCGCCGTGGAGATTCGCCCTGCAAGAGCGGGGTACATGGGGCTTCGAAAGATGGAGATCGAAGCGAAGAAAGCGAAACTCGGGGATTTACGATTAGAGAGGTTGAAGTGCGAACAAGTGTCAAGACGAAGGAGAGTGTGGAAGGAATTGGTGACGGATGGATGTGATATCTTTATACCGGCGTTTATTACGGGGTGGTATGTTTGTTCGGTAAGGGCAGTGGGGGTGTTAAGTGTGGTTAGTAGTGTGTTGGCTGGGTTGGATATTTGGGAACGTGTGCAAGCGGAAAATAATTGAATTTTCTTGCTAAGAATCCTCGGTTTTAGCCCACCAGAAATTGCATTCCTCGGTAATCCATTCACTCCCTCTCATTTGCGCAGCAATACCCGTATCGTTCCCACCAGCTCGTTCGTTATTGCCCAGGCCGAACGTCATGATTTCTCTCTTCTCGATATCGTAAGCTTTCCAAGTTGGTCGTTTTCTCCAGCGTGTTGATTTGCCGTTAGGGTTTCCAGTTGTGATGAAATTCGTGATGAAGGAATGGTAGATGCCGCTGACTTCTTTCTGGCTCTCGCTGATCGTAATTACGGAGTCTTGGAAGGACTCGTATTCGATGTTGTCGACGTGGCCTGCACCACCTTTGACAGTCTTGTTCAACGCCCAGTGATACGCCCATATGGGTTGTTCTTGAGCGCTGGATGCAAGATGTGCTGTCTGACGTGCGGGACAAGCGTATGCGTAATGAGCATATGCGGCTTCGACGCGCTTGAATTGTGGTCCTACTTTGATGGCAGTCAGGTTTCGGGTGTCGAGGTAGAGCGACGAGTTACCAGTGGATGGGTCCGGATACAATTGATTGATGGCGTCCAGATATCTCGCAGAAAATTGTGGCAGGAGGGTATAGAAGAAGTCGGTGAATTGTTCGGGTGTCGACATTGTGGCGGGAACGAAACCGGCTCCCTCATTGGTGCAATGACCTGTAACGATTGGCATGCGGTTCCACCTGCCGGACTTCCACTGATCGATGGGTTTTTGCTGAATGATATCTCCGTCGATGACTGGCTGAAATGGCCATCGTAAGCTTGGATCGTACCCGTCAAATACCGCGTTCGATGCGTTTACTATCAAGGCCTCGGGCTTGGAACGAAGACACGAGGTTGTTGAGTTTCGAGGTTCTTCTGCGCACCCTACGAGGACTAGAAATTTTGAAAATTGTTCTTCCGTGATTGACGTGTTGTAATATTGAGTTGATCGAGCGGTTGAACCCCCAGATTCGATAATCACCTTATGAAATGGAGGTGCGACCCCTTCCACAAAATTGTTCAGATGATGACCGACCTAAACTGGTTAGAGAATTATCCTGAAAACGATAGCATAGAGAACAAACAGAGTGAGCACCCGCTGATGCACCAAATAGTGTAACATCATTTTTGTTTCCACCAAAAGCCTCAATGTTATCTTGTACCCATTGCAAAAGGAACATTTGGTCGTGAAGACCAAGATTCAGTATGCCTTCATCAAACCCTAAAGTCGAAGACGGGAAGCCGAGTGCGCCAACTCTGAGGTTGTCAGTGGGGAGAAGGAGATTCCACTATAGAATAGTTACCTATAATTAAAACTGACTCCAATAAATGGCTTTTCAGACCATGCTACCATCGAAGAAGTATTGTGCGACTTGGCTAAGAAGTGGTTAAAATACAAAAAGTGGGAAGGAAAATCAAAAATAACCTACAGCTACCCCGATTGAACGCACCCCCAGGAATATAAACTGCTACTGGGACTTTCTTGTGAGATCTTGGGCGCTTCTGGCGGAAAATGTTGACGGTCAAACAATCTTCACTCCCACTCAATATCCCGGAATTGTTGCCAGGACATCTGAAGCATTCAGCAATCAGCAAGCGTTTTTTCGACTGTAACGAAGAATGTGAACTTACATTAACCCATATTCCTGTGCCAATATAGTGGTATTAGAAGATGGTAGAGGTGCGGCCCTTCGAAACCGCAAATCACCTACTGGTGGCCGAGCATATGGCAATCCCATAAAAGCCTCCACTGGGACAGGATAATTGCCATGCTGTATCTTACCAACCACCAACCCTTGGTCTATTCTCACTCGAGGTTGCTGAATTGAAGTTACGGAACTCTGGTGATGTGGATTAGCACTCCGAGCCAAGGCCGGAATAGCACTCGCGATCAGAAACCAAACGTAATATGAAGGCATCACGAGCATGATTTCTCAAAAACAGAACGAAAGGTTTTGACATTACGTCGGCCCCTGGAAACCACGACCTTTTTATGTAGAACTTCGGATAAAGATTCTACTCCTCCCACCACTTATGAAGACTGCACTTGCACCATCAATCCACCACCGATCGCCATCTTGGCAAGACAAAGTTTTCGGGCTTGTGTCCGAGGATGGAAGAACGGTCAAGCGCATCCCCCAGATGACTACATTCGAGATATATATGGTAGAATGACCAAGATGGTGTATAGTGCATTGGAATGTATCGAAGAGTGATCAAGTGGAGGAAAGTTGGTTGGTCCAGGCACAAACCGATGGAACGACAGGCTTCATATGCGTGTTGTGTGCGTCGTAATGTCAATGTCTTCAACACAAGAATCCAGACTCTCTCTCTTCTTAAGATAATCAGTCGATTGAATCATTTTCGCTTTCTCCCTGTCTGTGGTAGAGGTCACCGAGTACACCAACTGGTGGATTATTGTTGTCCTTGACAGCAGCGATGTAGGTATATTTGACTGCCGTAGCGGGGCCATGGATGCTGTTGCTGTCCAACAGATTTAACAGGGCTATCGCCAGCGCCAAGGAGGATTCCCGACGTTCTACCGTTCGCTCATCTCGGCTATTGGACTCGTTTTCTAACCTCACCTCATTCAACAATCACTCTTTATTCAAAGTTATCGTTTTCTAACGTTAAGATTAACCGTTCAAAGAAGGCTGGGGATACTCACAAGTGTTATTTTTTTTGCAAAAACATATTGAGTTCTTTAAAATGCTAGGCAAACGTTCAGAAAGAGTGGATATCCCAAAGAACTTCCGTTTGCTGTCAACTCTTTCTATTTCAACAACTCCTTGGTTCTTTCATGCATTTGAGTTTCAGACTTTCGCAGAGAGATATGTATATATATATATATATGTACATATTAGTTTTTCCCCTTCTGAGTTGCAATTCTTCTCATCAAGGCTAACGATGGACAGGATCACTGCAGCATCGGTTTTGATTTCATTAATTCAGCGCGGATTGAACTCATGTTTACGCTGTACGAAAAGACATTCATGATTCTCGACATTTCTAAAGCGTAGGATCGAATATCCGATTTGGCTTGTCCTGTCAATTTGGAGTTTCCATTTCTAGACTACCGGGTAACGCAGTTGCCTCAAACCTCTCTCGGTTTGAATTCGACATCGCTCACCTTCTTTACCCTTTTAGTGTTCCCAGAATGCAACATCCTAGCCGTTGGTAGCGGTATTTCCAATCTTGTTAGTGTTCGCCGCTATTGTTCCATCGGCAAAAGGGGGAGTCGATGATGCTGCATCCGAATCGTTGTTTCAAATAAATGGCCTCATAGATGGCACATTTTCCGTCAAAGAACTCCCCATACTTGAGATAACCCACTTATTTGTTTTTTGGTGTCTTACAAAGCCCGTTTGAATTGTGATAGATATAGAAAGAGGCACGCTTTTGTCACGAAGACACCGATAAATGAGCGGTATATCTCTGGATTCAGGACAACAGGTTTTGGCCGTGTGTTTGAAAACAGAAATCGACCTGTACCGAGTCTTCATCTACTTCGACAGCATCCAAGTGGACATAGGTTTAGCGGCGAAGCCAAAGGAACAAATAATAATTTGCCTCCCTTTGAGCAATGCATACTGCTCAGACCTGCCAAAGCCAGTGGCTTCTGTAGGGACTTCCCTCAGTATAGCATCTTCTTAAAGTCCTCATTTGATGGGGTTCTGATCAAGCTGGATTATGTTCTTTCTTCATGTCCGCTTGACAGTCTCATGACTGACAGAATAGGGAAATTTGATTTTATGTTCTAGAATAAATGCTTGAAATACAGTACTGTAATTGTTCTGCTGTGTGTCATATTGTTTTGTTGCAGACCATCTCATTATTGGTTCTTATGATTTGTCTCTCAATTTGCTTGATATTTCGATCTGCCTTTCAATCGTGTTAGATTGATGCGTCCTCGTGCTCATGATCATTCACTACACGATGTCATTGCTCAAGTGAATTTTGCCAGAATCCCGAAGTCCATTCTCCGGGTTTAGATCGTCAGTTCTATGTGTCCCAGCCACTTTTTTGTGACCTTTGTCTTTCACTTTCCTCCACGCATCCGCAAGTCGATGATTTGCAGTTCCAACGCTAAATTACCATCTGCTTCGAAAGTTACGCTGCTGAGTTTCTGCCTGCATACATTTCGCCATGTCTTTTTTGGCCAAGAAGGAAGCCAAATGGAAGAAGTTGCAACAGCGATTCCGCAACACAGATGAAAATCCAGAAAATATTTACACAGACGTCAGAGAAGGACGCAGACTAGACAGACTGGGCTGGCTCGAACCCCAAGGTTCTTCGTCCCAATCTACCGCACGAGAGGAAGAAGCCGCCCATCCGTCTGCTACTGAGAGCGCTTTACTTCCAGAGCCGCCTCTCAATACTCAAGGAACTTCCGACTCATCTGCCGGACAGGCTTTACAGACAATGGCAGACGATAGAGGAGATACCCAGAATGCAATGAATGGCGAAGGGACTAGCGGCGTAAGTCTGTGGCCAGTCACCATCTTAAGCACCACTAACATTCTGTCTGTTAAGCAGCTCCAAAAGACGAAGCGAGATCGTGATATCCAAAATTCAGATGTCAGTGATAGGGCACAAGAGTCTTCAGTCGACAAAAACAAGAGAATGTGTCGAAGACCACAATCTCCAGTTCATAATGGGTTTGCTCTCTTGACACAACGTGTAACCCACGATAGCCCTCTTTTCGAAACTCTAGCCCATGCACCAACCGAAGTCTCTACAAACGTTGCTGAAGTTAATCACAATGATATAGTTGCTCCTAATCCTGGAAGTAATACTACGGACGTCAACGGTTCAGACGATGATAGCATGTCGCTAGATGGTGATTCAGACGACCAGGAGGATTCCGCACGTTCCAATAGTTCTGCTCAACACGAGAGCGACGATGATGATATCTACAACTCTGTAACTGACTCTGATGATGGGTTTCAAGCACGGAGGCCAATAAACCCGCCGAGGCAAAGTCTCCTGGACCAGACCATTGCTAAGTTACAAGCCGAAAGAGCCGCCAACTTGCAGAAGTTGCACCCAACCACGAGTCCTACCCCCAGCTTACCAACTCGCGGTTATTTCAGCCCTTCTAATGGGTTATACAGCCGTGCAACGACGAGTTCGGCCTACACAACTGTCATTGGCAATTCGACCCCTTCCAGAACCGAATCTCAACTGTTTGGAAGTGGCCAAAAGATTCACCCCCGGCTATTGAGGGTTAGAGCCGAGGCTGCCACACCTTTTACCTTGTTCGACAATAGGATAGTTGCTCGAACAATGAGTGATACCCAGACACCAGGAGGTTCTACTCCTGGGTGTGATATCGAAATGAGAAGTATCACGTCTACTCCATTCTCTATCAGTCCTAATCATGACTCCGGCTTCCGCTCATCTCCGTTGAGGAACAGCCAGTTCAACCCCCCTTCAATGTTCACTAGAGATGGAGCGAATTCTGGAAGTCAAGGTGAATCTAACATGCCGTTGCAACATGACGACGCGTCCAATGCGAAGACCGCACAATGGAAATCAGCGCATGTTGACCAGAGAGGAGCCATAGTCTCGGAAGACAATAGTGCCGGTGCAGTTGCAAGTGAATTTACACAATGCAGCGCAAGTGAAAACTCAGATTCCCACCAAACTTTCCAACCTCGTCCACAAAATTCTCGACAACCACAACAAACACCGCAACCTCCGCAAATTTCATCCACCACAACAACTTTTGCAAACCGCGGCGATCAGAGTGTTAACTCAGAGAGTACATCAAAGGTATGTCGATCTCGATCTGGATCACAGCGAAAATATTAACGCGTTGATCGCGTCCCAGGTTAAATTCGCAAACATGGCCCACACTTCCGGGATCACAACTGGTCCAGAATATGAAAGTCAAATGCAAGAACTTTATGAAGATCGAGATGCACAAGCAGCGGAAGAACTTCGTGAAGATCAAGAAGCACAAGAAGCAGAAGCAGCGGAAGATTCAGACACTCTATCTGACGTTCCAGAGGAGTTCCATACTGATCCTTCGGACTCTACCGCCATGCCTTTTAGTGTTGCTCGTCCTGGTGCGGAGCCCGAAGAACACACCGCAGAGGACGACTCAGAGGACGCAGAAGCCGCCTCAGATGACGATTCAGGCGACGATCAAGTCGTCGCAGGTCACGACTCAGGTGATGACGAACCACTGTTTGCACCTGGTGCATCAACTCGAGCTGCAGAGGCTGCACTTGAATGCCAGGCAATGCTTGGACCCACAAAACAGAACTCTGCTGCTGATGAAGGTCAGTCTGATCAAGTTCAAGAGCTTGATGCAGATCCAAATGGTAGCACAAGACCGCCTACTCCAGTTTTCGATTTCGAGACTTTGCCTGCTCACCTGCAGTACACAAACCTAAATACCGTTAGTCAGCCATCACAGCCATCGCAGCCCGCACAACTTGCCCCAGCGGTAGTAGGGCCTGCAGTTGCGTCTCGCCAAGCACAGCGACACTCGGACATAGAGGGTTTGAACGACATGTATGAGGAGATGGAGGAGATGCGAGAGGCCCAATCACAAGCCGGCCACAATGTGGTGAGTGCTTCAAGTGTCTCGGCAGACGCTCAGATGGCCAATGCTGTGGCTGCACCGGTCAGCGTTCCTGCTCAACCGCTTCGTGAGGTGCAAGCATCAACTCAAGATACTTCATCGAGGGCTATCGAAAGCGTTGACAACACTCGTCTACCCGTTGCTGCTGCCAGTGATCCAAAAGGAAAAGCACCGGCGAAGGGGAAAGAATCCTTCAATGAGAAAACCCCCTCACCTGGCCTGTTCTCTCATGGCATTTCAAAGGTTTCAGATGTCCTCAACCCAAGCTTCGGAACAGGTGTTCTCACAGGTCGTGCTGAATTCGCACCAGCCGTGGATTTCCCTGTGGCGGTCCTTCCAGCCGTCAAGTTCGGTGGAGATGAGCCTCGCGAGGGACGTGTCGAACCTTCTCATGAGCTCTCGGACGCTGAAGGGTCCGAATCCAAGCCCGTTTTCTCACGTATGATGAAAAAGCCGACAGGTCGCTTACCAGCGAGACTACCAGAGATGGGCACACCTCAGTTTCCTGTTCAGCAAAACGTTCAAGTGCCTGTGCAAGCGCCAGAACCTTCGCAAGCATTGGGATCTGTGCAAGAGCAGATGAACACTGCTGCTGATAATGCGGTGTCAAACGTGATGGGACAAATGTCCAACCTCGAACTCCAGGCTCCTCAGTCGTTTCCGCCCAATCCATTTGGAGGCATCCAGTCTCATATGGGATTCGGCGCAACATGGAATCTGTTACACTCAATTGGGAATGAGCCCAGAGCCAGGTACCCGAATAGGCCGCATGGGAACACTTTTGGCTATCCGCATCCAGGTGGGAACAATTTTGGGTATCCCCATCCAGATGAGAACAGCTTTGGGTTTGGTTCAGATGAAATGGATGTTGACGAGTGGCAAACCATTCCCCCGCATAACCCTGCTTGGATGTCTAATCCAAAGGTTGGCGAGAGTTCCTCTCAGGTAAATACTACAATCTCTTCTTCTTATACGGCTGCCAACAATATCCAGGGCTTTCAATCTAATCTTCAAAATGTCGGTTCGTTTCCCTCGCAATTCGAAGAAGTTTTCGGGAACGACCCAAATCAGTTCAACCTAGATTGCTTGGACTCCAGCCCACCTCAGCAGAACATTGATCCGGTCTATCAGAACATCGACCCAGCACTCTTGTCTACCCCCGCTGGGCCTACCTTTGACCAGACCACTGCTCCATATTCTGCTGCGATGTATGAGCCAATGGTCATGGATACTCCTGAGGTTTCTATCCCGAATACTCCTTCTCCTGTCTCGAAGTTTACCGGCGAGGATACTACCGGTCGGGATTCTACTCCGGTGTATGACCCAATTATTGTGGACGCTCCTGAGGTAGCTGTCACAAATCCTCCTGCTCCTGTCGCCGGCACTACCGGTGAGGAGACCGCTCCAGAGTCTGTTTCTACAGCGTGTGAGCCAATTGTCGAGGACATTCCTGCGGCAATTATCCCAACCCCTCCTACTCGAGCCATTACGTCCTCCAGTGAAGAGACCGACATCCCTCTTCCAGCACCTTCCGTCACTGGGTCTACCAGTGAGGAGGTTACCTCCCCTGTTTCCGAGTCTCCAGCCACTGGGTCTACCAGTGGGGAGACCAACACTCCAGCTCCTGTTTCTCCCGTTTCCCCAATTTCTACTGCTACTTGCCAAGAGACCACAGAGGTAGCAATTCCAGTCTCACCTTCCCAGGTGCTTGACAACGACGAAGTTTCAGTGCCTCCAGTTTCTCTAGTTACAGTTATTTCAGTCCCTGACACCGTCACTGAGGACAAATCGAAGGAAACTGACGAGGTCACCGTTGTTGCACCAGTGTCCGTTGCTGCAATCTCTACAACTGTCGATGTGGAGACTCGGGATGTCGCAGCTCCAATCAATCCGACCCCAGCCAATGCCACCACCAGTCAGGAAACTGCGGCTGCAGAAGCGCCAGTTCCTATTGCTTCTCTGTCTGGAAAGGTAAGTGAGAAGGCGGATGAACCAACCAGCTCTCCCCCAGTGGTCAGAATCTCAAGAGGAGATGGCCCAGATGATGGATACTCGGCTTGCAAGACTTGCAATTATCTTGGTAGCTCTAGTCAGCAAACTACTACCGAGACGGAAGCAAGTGGTTCTTCAGCGGAGGAGGATGCACTAGATGCTGCTCTAAAATGTTCCGAATGTGCTCGACCACTGTCTGATGGGATGGCACAGCTGGTGAAGAGATTGGCGAAGGAAATCGCGAAGAGAGAGCAGGAGAAGCGCGACAAACGCAACGCAAAGGTGAGGACCACCATGCGAAAAGCTCGAGATTTCAAAGCGCGTGCTGGGAGCACCAAGGACAACGAATTCGATCTCTCAGATGAAGAGGACGAACCAAATGTCCGCCGTACGCGGATTGCTGAACGACTGTTCCTAAAGGATGATTCTGAGCCTCCAAAATTTTCCGTTATTACTCCAACTGTTGTTGATCCAATTGTCGTTGCTGACATCGCTCCAACTGTTGCTCCAGCTACTACTCCAGCTACTACTCCAGCTGACGCTAATCCAGCTGCCGATGTTGCAACTGTTGTAGCTCCAACAGACGTGGCCAATATCGCATCAATCGCAGCTCTAGCTACCGTTACTCTAACTACCGTTTCTCTAGCTGCCATTACTTTGGCTGCCGTTGCTCTAGCTGCCGTTCCTCCAGCTGATGTTCAAGCCACAGTCCCAACTCCAGTGTTCCCTCAGAGATTGAGAAAACGCGCAGCATCCTGTCCAGCCATCTTGTCGCAAGAGGCTGTTGATCAAGGAGTTGTTACTGCTCCGGACAACGTCGATGCTCAGGACAACGTCGATGTTGCAGCTGCAGTCGAGCCGTTACCTTTGGTCGCAGTCAATAATACTCCAGCTGCAGTCAAGAAGTTTTCCTTGGCTGAAATTAACAAGATCCTAGCTGCAGTCGAGAACTCTCCCTTGGATACGTCGCCTTTGGTTGTAGAATTATTGGTTATTGCACCATTTGCAGTCAAATTTTCACATTTCCTCGCAAGATCAAAGGCGGCATTCTCACGAGCGTTCAAGATCTTCATCTTCTTCCTTTTGTCCATTTCCATTATGTCGGGCTTACAGTATTTGCAAGTGGTCGACTGCTCGGCTCCAACCACAGCCACATCTCCCATTGCGAAGGCAGCAATGCAGGCTTCCTGTAGTTTGCCGTATGGAGCATCCACTGCAAAAGACATGGTGAGCGATCTTGAGCAGAACATCAGATCCAGCGTTGTCGGATTTGCTCATGATACCGGAATCGGAATCTTTCAATTTCTCAATGATTCTATTGATGGTACGGTTTCCTCGCAGCAGACAGACGACCCGAATACACCGCCATCCGCAACGTCATTTATCCCGTTTGATCCTATGACTTGCAGAAATGTCATTCCGCTTGTTCCCGCATCTAATTACCGGCATTACTATGTCAAACCAGTGTGCTTCCCGCACGAACGATGGTCGACCCAAACTTGGTATCCGCCGGCGACTCCCGGCGAGAATTTGGTCAAAGCAGTTTGGGCCTCGTTTTTCACTGGTTCGACAGTCTACTTCATACAGCAGCTCTATCGTCATGTATTTAACTAAGTACGTGCTTGAAACCTTGTTTGAAGAGGTCGCTCACTAACTTTTAGATTCTCAGGCTTTCAACGGTACACATGTACAACATTTCATTGGTGTTCAATCACCCTCACTTTTCATTTTCGGTAGTCCGAATTCTACAAAGATTGGCATTCGTAGCCCGACAGACATGTAGAAAGATAGACAGAAGACAATTACACACACACACACATACAAACATACACACATACAATTACACAAGCACAGAGGCAAAGAGCAGCTTGCCTTGGCAAGCCAGACTCGATACCACTCTCTCCAGGACGAGGAGGCGCAGCGTGGAGGACCTCTCTCCATTGAGGCTGGAGTTTTATCTCTAGTCCTCACATGATGGATTTTCAGACACAGATCCATCGGTATTTTCGACCAGGCATGTTGCGTTGCCTGGCGCAGAATACCATACAACCAGGTGGTTGACTACAACACAGAATTCTGCTAACCTCCAGTCACGTCGGTGCTGGAGCGGAGGGCATTCCTGGCATACGGAAGTATGCTGGCGACCCTGTCCGTACAGGATTCATCAACCACCAGAGCTCTAGTGACCGTAAGGGACGCGTCGGAGTCAGTACGGGATGAGACTAAGACCTGGCACACCAACACGTGCTGGCGACACTGGTCCACCTAGAGCTCGAGCTCGATCGGCAAACCTTGCTCCTGATGGCAGGAGAAGGGGAGGTCCTGTCTGAGACAGGACCCAATCGATGGAGTTATCATCACGCGCGGTGCCCGGAGTTGCGAATGCGTGCGTGATGACAGAGTAAGGAAGGGATATAAAAGGCATTACTCATCGTTAGGGTGCCGGGTTCGAACTCGTTTCCGCGGCGTCGGACGAGATTTGTACGAGTATTGCACTAGTAGTCGGATGTAAGTTCTCCCTTTGTTGCTCAACATTGTTTGGATGATAGCTAATATTTTTCTCCAGTGTTCCAACTACTAATGTCTGTCATATCGGAAGACAGTGGGATCTTTCCTGGTGCTATGACAAGCTATCACCGGACGTTACGCCCCTTTCTTTCTCGAAGCCGAGCTTCGATTTCAGCTTCAATTCTTCCGTCTATCGCTGACCTCGAGATATTTTCTGGTGCTATGACAAGCAATCACCAGACTTGACGCTCCTTCGTTCCTCGGAGTCGAGCATCCATTCCAGCGTTAGGTCGTCCTTCCGCTGATATCGCGCTCCGCCAACCTGGCGTTCGAGCTCCTCTACCTCTCAAACTCGAGTGCAAATCTCAGCTTCTTCGCTCCTTCATCGTCGAAGTCGAGCTCAATCCTCAAGCTGACCTATTGTCAAGCTGTCTCTTCGCTGCTCTTGTACTGTGTGTACCAGACTGCCTTCCTTCGTCAAAACCAAGGAAGTCGACAATTCCGACCCCTAGATGAGCGTGTCTAGGTGTTCGCTGTTCTTGTACTGTGTGTACCAGACTTCCTTCCTTGTCAAAACTAAGGAAGTCGACAATTTCAACATCTAGATGAGCGTGTCTAGATGTTCGCTGTGTGTGTGTGTGTGTGTGTCTGGATGTGTGTCTCTGGCAGTGTGTGTCTGGAGATACACATCCACACGCGTCTTGTGTCTGTCTCTCTGTGTGCTAGCTGCTCTATCGTCCTGGATAGAGGCAGTTTTCAATTCGGGTTGTGTTTTTGGAATTTCGTGGGCTAAGGCCAAGTTTTGGAAGGTGCTGGTATGCGAGGGTGTTGGATGTTGTATCACGATGGCGCTTGGATTTTGGTGATTTGTGTAGGCTGCTGGAGTTGGGGATTCTTCAAGGCGTTGGATGTTATATCACGGTCGGCGTGGAGTTTGGATTATTTGTGCAGGCTGTTTCAGTTGGGGAGTTTGGTGTTTGTTTGTGATACCCAGGGATCTTTTTGTATAATGTACGACATTCTTGTCTTTTTTTTTTTTGCTCTGAGGAGCTTCGCCCATTGAGGCTGATCATTTGTTGCCCGTTCGTTGGCCTTACGCACTTGTGCGGTTTCGTAGTTAATTAGTAATAGATCTCTTTCAGAATTCTGATGACTTCCTTGTTGCACATGAAGCCGCGAAATCAATAGACGGCACTTCATTGCTACAGAATTCTGTAACGAGATGTAGGGAAAATGGAAAGACAGGAAGCAAAGAATAACGTCAATTACTAAAGACTCAGTTACAACATAAAAAAGTCGATAGATCCCGCTGACACGGTAGTGTTCCCTGAAGTATTCGGTTGCTACGAATTTGTATCAAGTACAAGGCTGGCCTACTAAAATCTCCCCGTCACAAAACATGACGCAGTCATACCTGCTTATTTAAACCAAGACGGGTGATAGTGCCCTCAGTAACCTTCTTCTCATCCCAGATATAAGTAACACTCTCCTCCTTCGTAAGCGCATTAGCCCACTTCCAGAAATTCGGCGCGTCCTTCTCCAGCGCAGGCAAAAAGCTAGGAGGAAGCAAAATATCAACCTTCCCAAAACTCAACAGCCGAATCACGAACGAAGCAGTTTGCACCTTCAAATCCAGTTAGCACACCTCTCAAAATCTCACATGACAAAAACAAACCTCAGCCAAAGTCAACCTCTCACTCCCCCCAAAAAACGGCCCCGCATCCTTCAGCAGCGGCTCAATCTCCTTAACAATAGCATCCCCCAGCGTCTTCGCAGCTTTCTCCTTCTCCTCCCCCCTCGCCGCCTTCAACGCCGGATAGCTCAGACTATTAATCTTACTAAAATACGTATCCACGAAAAAGTTAATCCTAGCTCTCTGCAGCGCACCTCCAGGCTCGGAACTCGTTTTCTCCAAGTGAGAAGGATGCGCGTCGACGAGAAATTGCGAGACGATGGCTGATTCGGTGAGCACTTCGTCGTTGTAGACGAGAGCGGGCACGAGACCGCGCGGGTTGATGGCCAGGTATTCGGCTGTGCGGGGGACTTTGAGGTCGATTATTTCGGTTTGGAAGGCTAGTTTTAGTTCGCGGAGGGCGATTTGGGAGCGGTGCGCCCAGGGACAGGCGTAGCTGGTGTAGAGGGTGATTTTGGGTGCCATGGTTGTTGGGTGGTGGGGGGGTGTTGGATGCGGGGTTGATGTAGGGGTTGTTGGATCGCTAGGGAAAGCTTGTGTGTTTATGAGTTTGTGTTGGTTTGAAAGAATTCAAAATTCAGGAAATGAATGTTCGGCCTCTGAGATCGGATTTATATGTTTGCAAAAAAAGGAAGTGTTTTATTGCAATCTACGACGTAGATGATGTGATGGCGGGGAAACCGCACATATTACAAAGCCGTCGTCGGACTTCGGACTTCCTGGTGCAATTGGGTGTCTCGTTAAAGTATCTCCCTTTTAAGACCCTTTCATGTAAGGAATGCTTATGGATAATTTTGATTCGTTGAAACATAATCCTAGGATTCTTCAGTTACATACTCGAGGAGGACGAACCCGTTGGTCAGTCATTCATTCTGTTGAATAGCTGATGGACGTTGTAAGCTGGGGTCATCGGGCCGGTCCATGCCGGACACAAGCGAGTCTAGTCCCTCAATTTGCCCCACTATTTTTAACGTCGGTTCAAATACCTAGGTATCTTCTTCCAAATATTTTAATAATGAAGAAGCTTAAGTGAAGAAATAGGGTAAGGGCTACGTAAGAACTAAAGTATTACTGTCATAGAACTCCATGCAAAATTCGCTTCTTCCAAAAGCCTACGTGGCTCGGAATAGTTTCTCCTTTTCGGGAAGCTGGCTTACCGACCTGGTTATCTCAAAGCTGACCGGAGGTTGAAATGTGGGAGAAGGAGGTGGGAGCCGGATGTGCTGTTCGTTGAGTTTACACCGACCGTTATCTCAGGAGAAGGACGTAATACATCAAACTCTACTCTTTGTCTTACCTCGCGATTGGCTTCATCTTCTCGGCAAGTTACATCGTCTCGAAGTTCTTCTGCACGCTTAGCACATACATAAGATTACCTCCACCTCCAACGTCACAAGATTCGGCGCATATCAGAAACGCAAAATGAGGTGGAAACAGAGCAAGTGCAATTCATTGACGCATTCTAAGGCTAGCTAGTTGAATCCAAGGTAATGCTTCCCAACTTCCACCAAGATAACCATCTACCCATGAATGCGACTCGTCCTTCCAGAAATGGAATCCAATGCATCAACGCAACCTCCAAAGAATGAACGCATTGAGATCATTCTCCGCGCCAAATCAAGGAGTATCAGGCGCAGCACAAGAAAACGATCTAACAATCACATTATACCGATCCGTATCAAACTTCTGTCCACACGAGAACGGTCGGAGAGGCGATCCCGGTCCCCACAAGCCCTGGTCTCTCGTACAGCCGTTGATGATATCTTCTGCGTAGGTGGCAAGGTAGGCACAGGCTGGTTGGATGTCATAGGTGTTCTAGGATAAACATTCAGTAAGTGGAGATTACTTATAGGAGATGTGCAGAAGCTTACGTCGTTGCAGAGGATGATAGACGAGTCACCGTAGCAATTGAGTCTAGTGCAGCTTCTAGCGCGGACTTTACAGTGGTAGCCGGCGTTGTCGTCGGTTCCTAAGTTTGTGAGCCTTTCTTCTGGAGAAGGAATTGGGAGAGAACTTACTTAAGTTATTAATCACTCTGCGGACATCACTGGTTAAGGTGTATTGCCATGGCCAAGAAGTCTTGTCGCAACAGATGAGTCCGGACTATCGAGGTCAGCGAATACTCCTCATCATCAAGTGAGATAGATACTTACCTTGTTCGAAGTATCACGTTTAGTGACAACTAAGGCAGAAGGATGTTTCTCGGTGATGTTCGTGAAAGCTTCGGGATATTGCTTCTCTAGTTGAGCGATGACACTCTGTTCACTGTTAGCTGAGGGGAAGAGTTTGCAGATATCGATTAAACCTACGTCGTAGGTACCCTGGAGATCGAAGTCATGGCCATCAACCGTACCGGTAACCTCGAGTGGGACAAGCGGATACGGGAGATCGGGTTCCTGAGGTGCAGCCATTGCAACAGAGACCATGGTGGCAAAGCCCAGGGAAATGAAGGAAGAGAGCTTCATGATATATTTGTAACGTATTTATTGAAACTTGATGTGTTTTGCAAAGGAAGATTGATGGTGTTGTGATGGGAGAACCCAAATGGTTGTATCTCTCAGGAACTTGGGGGAGGAAAACCATCTTTATATACACAAACCTATTTATCCACGGACCTCAAAGACGGCAGAAGGATCCACAATTGAGCAAGTTCTGATGTCGCTGTTGACGTGATATACGTCTTGTTGAGGCTGTTGTTATCTGTCGGAAAGCCAATGATGAAATATTCACTCTGACTTTGTCTCAACAGTTTTGAAGTGGAGTTGAACTCCTCTTCGCAATGGTGATGTTCAGAGAACATACTCTTAGCTCACCAAGTACGGGAAGAAATCATCCCTCAACGATAAGTTATGTGGCAGCAGGAAGTTTCGGGATTGTGTGGTTCCGAGATGACAGAATCAGCTTCAGGAGGAAATTGAGCTAATAATGACCTGATAGTACAAAAGACGCAGCTCACCAAAGACTCCATGAATCTCACCATGTTTCAAAAACAAATTTGAATCTCTACCAGCAAGAATATGTGAGAGTCTCATGACTGTCCCCCAAAGCCAAGATTCCTGGCTGCTTGAAACTGAAGGTTCAACCGTCCGCTCTCCGCTTTATCTCTTCGGCGTGTATAGTCAAGAACTTAAATCCATCTCCCGGTCTTCCTGCAACATCAGCTTTGTACAAGACCCGCCTTCGCTCACAAGCATCCAGACACTTGTGGATAATGAAGGATAATAATCAAATTCCTAACGCAAATGACTGGTTATGTGAATATCCCTCCACTAGGAACTGACCCGTTTCAAGCTTGACAAGTAGAAAAAGCCAGTCTGAAAGATGGTATGTCACTACATACTATCGTACTTGCGCAAATAGGATAAAATATCAGAAACCAAGAGATATCAAGAACTAGAGAACTACGCAGTCAAAGATCTCATTTCAACAAAGAAATACGGTTCTATACGACTAGAGTTGAAAAAAGAGGGATTCAGGCCTAAAAATATCCAACAAGTCAGCAGTAATTGGTGATATCCTTGTTGCTTCATGTCAAGATCCACAATCGAATTCCAGAACCCAAAAGCCCACATGTTAGTCTCCAAACCATGACATTTTGAACGTAACACCACAAGCTCGAAACCCCCAAATTCCGATACCATTGGTGCTACGTCCCACAAACAACTTCTATCACGGCCCCATATCTCAACCAATCATCGGCCACAGATATCCCGTCGTACCAATCACATGACCATCACGCCAGGCTTCAGCTCGACATCAATCCTCCTCGAAAAGTAAACAGCACATCAACAACGAGAAAATCAAGAGAAGCTACCTTTCAACGCGGGCGTGTGAAGGAGATTTTATTGCATCTTGACTTATAGATAGGTACACCTCACATGTCTGCCTCATTTTGAGCGCATCGATTGACGCAGGACTATTTACAGAATTTCTAAGCTCATTGGACCCTCCATACCGTTTTTGTCGATAAGCGGGTACGCCATAAAGACGAACTTCTACGAAGAAATCAGCCTTTCCGAGAGAGCCATGCCAGCTTATAAATACCAGCCCCTTTCCAACCCCAAGGCCATTCGTCTCTTGCAGCGCAGACCTAACGAGTTCTTGGCCTCTCGCCCCCTGCAATATTTCTTTGACACCGAGAAGCTTGAAGACGACTACGGTCCGATGATTCCCTACAGTGCTTTGTCCTATACCTGGGGAACCCAGGTGGAGAAGAAAACTGTCACAGTAGAATATTTTTCCTTCGAGATAACGCCAAGCCTAGACAATGCACTAGAAGCCTTCTTTTACACAAATCCGGAAGCTCGGATATGGGTAGATGCAATATGTATCAACCAAAATGACCTCAACGAGCGCGATCAACAGGTCCGCAGAATGAAAACCATATATCAGCGAGCCGAAAAGGTTTTCGTATATTTGGGTGACACTCCACACACCTTAGTCGGTAGCACCGCCGGATTGAATCCACTCAACGTTACGAATGCTTGGAAGCTGGCTAAGTATCTTTCTGCAATTTCAACAGTAATTCAACTGGATTGGGGAGTGAACGTGGTGCTGCAAAACGCATTCCTTGATCTGTCTCGGGATCCCATACTAGCAGATCCTACGTTGTGGAAACTGTTGAGACGTTTGTTTCAAGACAGCTGGTTTGAGCGGCTATGTATGTACCTTCTTTCCTCTAACCCAAATTCATCTTGCGATAACTACTACGCCTGGTATTACTCATATAACCATGATTTGAAGGTAACTTTTCCCAGGGGTCATACAAGAGCTAGCAGCGTCTCAAGAAACCGTAGTCATGTGGGGAGGCATCTTTATTCCATGGGAGACTCTGAAAGAAGCGGCATCTTTTATACTACGACCAGGAAAGGCTTCTCCGCCAAAGGCTATAACAGACTACCTTCCAAACATCGGGGCTCATCGTCTCAAACAAGTATCACTAAGCAATATCGACCCCAAAAACATACTAACTGTGTTATATAGAACACAGGAGGCTAAATGTACTGATTATCGCGATAAACTTTTTGCAATCCTTGGTGTTGTAGAAGATATTCAAGATGTCGAGATAGATTACGCTAAGCCAGTAAATGACGTCTACCGCCAATGGGCTATCAAACGGATAACGAGATTACATTCTTTAGATGTTTTAGAAGCTTGTGCAAATTCGGCCAAACATAACGATTTGCCATCTTGGGTACCAGATTTACGACGGCTTTGGGGTCAAGATAAGCAACTCTGGGCCCAGAATGTCTTTCACGAGCGACCGCTGTGGTACATCAGCCTTGTAATTCAAGCCAACTCATTGCTGGATTGGAGACACAATGGCGAGTGGGTTCTTGACATGAAAGGCCTGAGCGTTTGCGGCAACCGACTCGGTATAATTTCAAATTTGAGTGAAATCGCAGATGTAATACACAATTTGACTGACACTTCCAACGTTGCGGGACGGCTGTTGGAAATAATATTGGGTTGGGAGCAGTGGCTTTTGCTTGGCGAGAGAAACGCAAATATCATTGACAAATACTATAAATTTGTGTGTGTGATCTTGCGATCAGTCAATGATTCACAGCTCTTTTACCGCTACTACAGTGTATTGCTAGGGCTAATATCGACCAGAAATCTCCCCCGACCTCACCATGTGCCCAAGACTATGGGGTGGTTGGATCTCGAGGGTGTAGACATTAAAAAGGAATTTGAGCGGCTAATGTTCCCTCGGCTTCATGGATGTCAAATCTTTGAAATTTTCAAAGATACTGAACTCGGAATAGTAGCCGGAAATTGCGAAACCCAGCCACACGACCAAGTATGGTTGCTGCAGGGTGTTCAAAACCCCATCATATTACGGCCCAAGAATGACCACTTCCAAGTCATTACAACGTGCTTTCTCTCGGTGGATTGGGATACATGGGCTCGGAGACAACCGAAATCCGGGCCCTCGTTTCAGGAAATCATACTTGTGTAAAGAAGAGCTCAATATTGAGAGAGAGTGGAACTTCTTATCCGGGCCTTGCTATCGAAAGCCATCAACGGAAAAAGGAGACAAGAGTCGGATAACAAATGACATAACACCACCCAATCAACATAATATACTAAACATACATGACAACATAAGATCATAGATTACGACTTGGGAACCCCGTGAGAAACGATCGCCCACCAAGAGAACATAGCAAGTTATCAAAGAAGACAGGATCGGGGTGAGGGCAAAATCATCGTATTCGCAAGAGAAGTTAGATCGTTCCAAGCCAGCAAGACTTAGAGGTCAAGACTAGCGCCCCAAGAAAGAAGGAAGGCTTTCGAGTCAGCAAGCGACGATCCAACTCCAGGAATATGAAGCTCCAAACCAAAAGCAAATGGCTCTCGCACGAAGCAAGAGCACAAGGCCACCAAATTACGGACGGCAGGACCACGAGAACCCAGAAGACGAGATGCAAAAACGCGAGAAAAAAGTTCTGCGAGCGGCAAAAAGCGAAGAGTAAATTACGACAAGTAGCAAGTCCACGAGCAACAGAAACCACGACCAGAAAAAGGACAAGAAGCAAAAATATCAGGAGCAAATTCATCAGTAGCAAAACAATGAACGACAAGATCGACAAACAGCAAGAACATGGGCAACAAATTGCAACGGACTGCAAAACAATTTAGCATCCACATTGCCAGCCATGAATAGCAACACCACAAACAGCAAAACCACGATCATCAAGCCCACGAACACAACACGCAAAATCAAATCTGCATGGACCCTCAAAACTTGGTTTCCATGATGGATAAATGTTCCGGCAGTGCGGAAGAACAAGAATGGGATGAAATTACGCAAAATTCGAAAAGAGAGGGATAGCAGAATGAATGAGGACGGAAAAGAGAGGAAGAAAAAAGGTACGCTAGGGTAGTGCGATGTGGAAACTAGTACCGTTGGCGTTGTGGTGAGATGGATCGTACTTTCCTCTGATTTCCAGTGAAGATATGATTGGCTCAAATGATTGAGATGTGTGAGTGAGGCAGTAAGCAGTTGCTGAAGAACGGATTCTGGCACTTAGAAGCTGCAGGGTTTTATGGATTTTATCGTAGTATGGTTGAAACAATCCGCAATTAATTGATCTGTCTAAAGATCCGCCGTGCTGCATACCTACCAAATGATAGAGCCAAATCACAGATCACCAATCTTCATGACTTTTCAGACTTTCAGACATTTGAGAACTAAAAACTTTTGGAAATCCCATTTTACCCGTCCTCTCAGATTAAGAAAGGACTCTTCTTCCTGTCGCTACGTACAATCTCCATACAAGGATGTCAAATCGTGCAGACATGCAGTGCAACCTCAAAAGTCACATGTCTGAATCCTACTTGGTCAGGACGACTCCGCAAACAACAACAGGTGCATAAAGTCCACGACGACCTCTAAAAGCGACTTCAAATGACAACCCTTCATATCAAGGTCCCATAACACTTCATAGTGAATTGGTAAGACGGAATGTCTCGGTGTTTCCAGTGGCTAATTGGTTGACAGGGAAGAGGACATTGCGTCAACCTTGAGACCATTTTTGGAGTCGATGTTTCGACAATACAACCAATTTCACACGTTAGATAACCAAGATAGTTGGAAGACCCGTAACAATGTCGGCCTACACATATCACCCACTTCGTCACGAAGGGTCTATTCGCTTACTATCCTGTTATGGGGACACCGGCCACCAGTATCAGCTTTGCGAAATGCACGAAATCTCCACAAGAAGCTATCACGCTCTCTCATATACCTGGGGTCCACAAACTGTGAAAGTCCCAATCAGTATAAATGGTTTCGGCTTCCAGGTTACACCGAATCTACTGGATGCATTAATGAGCTTTTTTTCAAAGAACCCGCAAGACTTGCTGTGGGTGGATGCTATCTGTATTGATCAGAGTAATTTGGAGGAGCGAGATCAGCAGGTTCGTAGAATGATGGATATCTATGGAGAAGCTGAGATGGTTATTGTCCACCTAGGGTACAGTCGAACTTTGCGAACGGACACCTTATCCAGGTATTCTGACCAATCTCATGAACATTATATCCAGGCTACGGTTAAGCTCATACACTACTTGTTCCATTTATCCAAGCGGACAGGAGAAAAGACCGAGTCAAATATTGCTCCTAAATATAGGAGTAGTGGCCTCTTAAATAACGTCATGCATCCATCTTGGGACTTATTGCGCAGGTTGTACCATGATAGCTGGTTTGAGCGACTGTGTAAGTTCCGCCAAATTTGAGGCTAATAATTTTCGAAGTTTCGAGTCGTTTTCACTATTCGAACCTTCTCTGTCATAATATCAAGGTTAATGTAAGTAGGGGTTATACAAGAACTGCACGTCGCGAAACAAACCCATGTGATGTGGTTAAGTGAGCGAATTCCGTGGGAGTTCCTTGATGGAGCAGCAAAATATATTCTCCGACCAGGGCATAATCCACCGCTGAACAGATCTGTGCGGGAGTATCTGCCACGAATTGGCGCTCGTCGTCTATTTCAGGTTGCGTTAAAGGGCATGGATCCTGAAAACATCTTGAGTGTACTTCACAGCACCCAGGGGACCAAATGTAGTGACCCTCGGGACAGACTCTATGCAATTTTAGGCACAATTGATGATGTCGAGGACGCGGAAGTTGATTATGCGATGTCAGTGCAAGATATATATAAACGTTGGGCAGTAAGAAGAATCACAAGAAAGAAGTCTTTAGATATATTAGGAGCTTGCGCGGACTCCGGGCGGTGGAACGACTTACCTTCTGTAAGAAAATTTCGCTTAGTCTCTTCTCAACCGTTCAACCTCAGTGATCGATAGGGTCTCACTCTTGGACATGATTCTTGATATCGGAGCCAACGCGAAAAATAAATACTGACGTTGTCTAGTAGGTTCCAGATCTTCGGCGCCCTTGGGGACAAGACAAACAGCTCTGGGAGCAAAATTTCAGGGGAGATCATTCGCGCTGGACGGAAAGTGAGTTTGGGAAATTGATGGAGCAGCAGAGGGTCAACCCAGGTCCACATCTAAGAATCGTTGGTGGAACGAGTCTGCTTGTATTTGGCGTCAATGTCGGTCGGGTAACGCACTTAAGTTCGCCTGCGGATATGGTGTTGGATTTAACAGATACGGCCAATGCTGAAAAGAGCCTGTTCTTTTGGATCACCGACTGGGCTCACTGGATATCTCGCAAAACAACCAACCTATTGTGTCTTAACGAAGCGCATCTTAATCTCGTGAGTGTGATATTGCGCACGGGTGAAGACTTCGGGCTTCGAAATTACTATTACAAACAATTAGCCAGGCTCAAAAAGTGTTTCAGGAACCCTCCCATCCCCCGCATATATCCTGGGAAGGCTAATATTTGCCCTGAAACTAGAGCCTCGGAAGAAGCCGAATATTTCGACAATGATCCTATCGCCCACGAGAACCTAGAGGTCCTGCAAGAGTTCGAGCGAATATTTTCCCCTCGTGTCTGTGGATGTCAGATATTCATCATGTCCAATGGCCCTGAGCTAGGCATCTCTGCGAGTAATTGCAAAGTCCGTGTCGACGATGAGGTGTGGCTGTTGCACGGAATGGATAACCCTGTTGTGTTGCGTCAAAACGATAAGGGATCCCGGCTTATAACGCCCTGTTATGTGTCTGTGGACTGGGACATATGGGGAGAAAAGTACAGACCTGCATTGAAACAGATCGTAATTATATAGACGGTTTGTAATCGAGGAGCAAAATCGTTTTATTAGTTTGTGAGTACCATCAACTTTCGAGATGGCTTCTGAACAGCGCTGAAGCTGGGTAGATAGGTGAGAGTCTCCGCTTCCCTGCTATCGATGGCAAGAAATATGAGGACACAAAAGGTGTGACGGCCGAGAAAAGGGTTTTGCTAAGAATATTCAAGAAACTGACATACTGGAGACACCTTTGCAACATTAGCAAATCGTTTCAAAAACAACATACCATGACGACAGAAGGAGTGGTACCTCACCAAGGAGAATTATTAGTAGCTTGCTTGATCTATCGAGAAAGCAGAATACCCAGGTCGACGAAATTTTACTATCGGCAAAAGCTCGCACATTCAACAACATGGGAAATTCTTCCCTTAGCTGCAGGACGAAACATAGAGTCCCTGGAAAAAGAAGTTGACGCAAACGTGGCAGATAGCGTTGATGCTGTGCTGTGATGTACACCAGTGGGGGATGAAGTTGTTGTTGTTTTGTTGACAAGACAGGAAGAACAGGTGAAGAAATTAGGTACTGGCAGAGGGGAGGAGGAAAGACAAACGACGCTAGTCCAGAGGAGTCACGCGCGACACGATACGACCTCAGGACGCATCGTACCTTTATGAGAATGTTGCTGAACAAAGCAAAGACGGCCTATGGAAGACCTGAGTGCAATCGTGTCTAGGAGGTTCGCAGAATGATTGCGAAGGAGATCTTCGTTCTTGTATGCATGTACCTATAGGTATGGGAGGTAACGATGAGCTAGGTTCTGAGTCTAACCTAGTAATTGGAAAGAGCCGTCTTTAATTCTACAATTTATCTTGACATAATATACAGCCTAACAGTACATCTGATTTACACATACCTAATCATCCAACAACCCCACCACCAACTCAGTAATCTGTCTCGTCCCATGCCCATTAATAGCACTAATCGGCAACGCCTCCACCTTCCCCTCCCAGACCTTCTCCCTCCCACTCGGATGCTCAACGTGCCCCCCAGAAACCTCCTCCACATACTCCCTCAACGCCTTGAAATTCTCCTGCGTGCCGGGCAGATCCGCTTTCGTAGCGACCACAAACCACGGTTTCGCAGCGATACTCGGGATTTCAGGCGTGAGCGGCGCGTTGTAGTTAGGGCCGGATTGAATAACGATGGTTTCGTTTTGATTTCTCAATGCTTCGTCGACGGAGCGAAAGGGGCTCCATTCGACCATCGGATCGGATTTCTCCTGCTCTTCCTGGATCTTCATGCGTTCGTACTCGCCGACTTCTTTCCAGAGGGCGCGGAGAGCGGTGACGGCGTCGCCGGCGTTGAGATCGACTACGAAAGCGAGGACGCGGGCGCGCTCGACGTGTCGGAGGAAGCTGATGCCGAGACCTCTGTCGAGATGGGCGTCTTTGACCAGACCGGGGATATCGGCGATGGTGTAGTTGATTCTGGGTTCGCCGTCGGCGTATTTGGAATGGGATGCTGGACGGCCGCGGTAGTCGTCTAGGACGACGGTGCCGATGTTTGGTTGGAGGGTTGTGAAGGCCCAGTTTCCTACGCGTGCTCTGCTTTTGCTCATGGCGCGGAGGAGTGTGCTTTTTCCTGCGTTTGGTAGTCCGACGAGGCCTACGTCTGCTAGTAACTTGAGCTCTAATTCCAGCGTAATACTCATGCCACTTTCGCCTTTTGTAGCAAACTTAGGTCTTGGTACTTCTTTGGTAACAAAGTGAGGGTTTCCTAGCCCTCCAACAGCTCCAGCTGCCAACAGGAGAGGCTTCTCCATGGGAACACTCAGATCTAGCGATACCGGCGCGGCTACCTGAACACTTGCAATTGCTGGTCTTCTCGCACGTGGCAAGCGAGGGAATTCCGCAGTAGCAATATCTTGGGGAGTGATGGCAGGATAAAGTAACCACCGACTTCGATCCCACTTCCATGGCCCTGCTGGATTTGCTCCTTCCTCTGACCCCTCTTCTCCTTCCCTTGGAGGCGCTCTTCCAGCTTCCAATTTCTGCCTTTGCTCCGCTTCGAAAACGGGATCGACGCGTTCGATTTCTCGAACGACTGTTCCCACTGGAACTTGTATGATTATGTCGTCCCCACGCACTCCGCCTCTTGTTCTACCTTGCCCATTCTTGCCTCTTCCTGCCCTTAATATGTTACGTCGCGACAGCTTGTGCAGACTCGTCTCCCCTCGTACTGCTTGTATCCAGATATTTCCACCACTACCGCCATCGCCTCCGTTCGCAGGACCTGCTGGAATATATTTCTCTTTCAAAAATGATATACAGCCATGACCACCAGAACCAGCAAAGAGTTGTACTGTGGCCTTGTCACTGAAGATTGTTCGAGAATAATCAGACGGAGGAGGATTGAGATGAGAGATATCTGCATCGCTCTCCTCTAGGGTGTCGGTATTTGAAGTGGCGCCTTCATTGAGCCGTTTGGAGGTATTGAAGAAAGTCCTTGATCCTCTAGCTGAAGTACCAAAGAATACCGGGTACAAGAATGGTGTCAAGGTACCTTGCAGCGTTGGACATCGTGGAGGCATGGTTGACAGAAGCTCCAGCTATTTTTGCGAGGTCCAGATTCCAGACATATTTTGATACTGCCGGCGGAGATGGCAGATCTCGGTCACCGTAGCCGGCGTCGATCATTGTTTGCGCCTGTCTCAATTCCCTTCGAGACATCCATCATTTGCAACATCCAACGTCTCCCACCAGTCATTTAGTTTCTGTTCCTGACTTTCTCACAGGATTCATAATACTCACTGGTACCGGCTCTCGTATCCAACGCTGAGCAGCACAAGATATGCAGATTACGCCTGCTCTTCTCCAATTTACCGCCAGAGAAGCGGTGTAGACGCGGGTTCATTGTCCTGTTCCAGTCTGGTCCTGTTGTCTGGTACTGGTACAGTATTACATTGCTATGACATGCAGCTTCCTGGCAGAGATGCAGTTCAGAGGGGACTGGAGAGGTATTGCGCCGGTCACACACGTTTTCCATCATCTTTGTCACGTCGATTACACACACGATTGGATCGGGATGCCAACAGTCCATTTTCTCCAGCATCGGCTGCTTCCACGTTCGGACAGGGCGTGTGGTAAATAATCGCCGCTTCCATACTCGATAGTCCTCATTGGCGGTGTACGACATATCCAGATTATTTCTCCGTGTGTTGCTCTCGCTTTTCCCCAACCGGAGGGCGATGAGCGGTCCACCAGCCAAAAGGATGGGCTTCGCTTGCATTCTTCTGCATGTCCGTCTGCTGCCGTTGCTGGCTCTAATCGACGCATGAGCTGCAAAGACCTCGAACCATTTGAGCCACGACACAACAACAGACATCTTACTGCTAAATCCTGCCACCAACGATGGGTTGCCGACTACTGCTCGCTCGATCTTGTCAGTGCCGCCTCCACTCTCGTACTTGACAGCTTCTGGCCCATTCGTCCTAGTCGCAACCCCTCCCAGACCCAAAATGAGACCCAACGCTTGCTTGCTGCACAAGCGCAGACTTGTCACCAACATCTTGTTCTCCAAATAACCTCATATTTCCACACTGAATACTCTTCTCCAACGTTTAGCACACGGCTGGAGCTGGTTCTCTGATACTGCCATCCTCCTTTTGCTTCCTCGCTTCGCTCCCTCGCATGCACGACACTGCTCACACCTCCAGAACGGTTGTGCCAGATCCCATGTAGCGTGATCTCCCATTTCTTGCACAGGTGGGTGTTGTGCTAACACATTTCATCTTCCCCCTTTCCCGTCTTCGATATCTGGTACATTTGCTTCATCACACTACCGGATCATGGGTTCTCTACTACTACTGGAGAGCCTACAAGAACCACTTCCTCTCCGAACCTCTCTTCTCTCCATTTGATACCCCTCGCTCATTCCCTATACTAGCACTGCCCTTTGCGTCCACTCCTTTAAAGAGATTTCCATCTCCGATGTCATTCTTACGCCCCGAAATAGTATTGATCAAAAACAGCAGTTCACACAAATTACGAAAAGACATGGATCCCGACTGTGCTATTTGCAGCAAGCCTGCTATCGCACAATGCGAATGCGAAGCCCAAGGACTTGACATAGCCGTTCGCCAAGCAGAACAGAGGATGATGAGCTCAATCTTTAATGAAATAAGGTATATTCAATTGCCCATCTACCCCGCAATCCGCAATCCGCAATCCGCAATCCGCAATCCGCAATCCGACGTGCCGTTCCGCATCTAACGACGAAATACAGGACTTGGGTTCGAGGACATGCGCAAGATTATATTCTTTCCTACTTCACCATGCTCACGAGCCGTCGAAAAGAATCGCATGCCCAATTGATCCATCGAATCAACGAACGTGCTGCATACTACTATAATGCCAGACCACACCCATCCGAGATTCTCGCGGCAGACGCGGATCTCAAGCGTGGAATTGACGAAGATTGGAAAGCTAGTGTACAACGATATCCAGAAGTCCTAGAATACTTTTACGGCCTGGTTGACCTCAATCTACCAAGTGACGACGACCCAGGAGTCAGAGATCCCCCATTGAGCGCGCTGGGTGGAGGGGCTAGTGGAAGAGAGAGGAAGGTCAGAGTACGGGAACCACCTGTATCACATCGCAGAGAACGGACACCACGGCGAAGGAGTTCAGAACGGAAACGAGAAAAAGATAGAAGAGACAGAGACAGACCAGTTGTTCCCCCGCCTCCACCGATTCGGGTTCCAAGTCGAGGAGCGGGATATTCTGGAGGGGGATACTCCTACGGACCAATTTACTGAGTGAGATGAGTGTTTTGTGAACGACAAGGATAAATTTGCAAATATGGGATGACTTGATGACTTTATGACATGATGAGGAGGATGATGATCCGGAAATGCCTTTGCGGCGGTATTTGGCACGAGAGAATGAGAGAAAGAGCAGCGAGAAGAAAGACAGAATTTACGTTACCGAATGGAGATTTTGCATAAGATGCATAGCAAAAGGCGCTTGGGATTCGATCCTTTAATGTATACGTTTCTCTAAAGAGTTGTAGTCTGGGTTTAACAATAGTTTGGCAAACCCAGATCATTTAAAATATTACCACTAGGGTAGTTGAATTGGATTACACCACTCTAATCTACTTTGCTTTACGTCAATCACGGGTCAGATGTGCTACAATCTGTTCGAGATATTTTCGAAGGCATGATTATTAATATGTAGGGCCACGGTCATCATCACCTACAAAAGGCAATCGAGACTTCTCAATTTCAATCCTCCACTAGCAGTGAACAACAAAAATTCACCGTATTCTAAAAGCAACAAGCCGATTTTCATCAATACAATAACAGTACATTTTATACTAAAGCCAATATCCATACCATTAATCGGGAAATTTAGACTCTATTTCAATGTTTTTGCTGGTCTCATCTCCTTTACCATCATATATTCCATTTTACCAGATATGACATGTGCTACACCCGCTGAAATAAAAACGTAGAAGAATACACAGCAGAACCACTCATGCTCTCCGGGTACTGAGATACAAATACGCATTGATCGCTCCAGATATTGCGGTTTAAGCGTTCTAGTCGCGGACGCTCGAGGATCAGGGTTTGAGCTCCAAGGTGCTGGTGATGAGGAAGGAAGCATTGGAAAGCAGAAAATAGTAGTATAAGCAATGAAAAACGTGTAATGCATATCCTCACAAGACTTACATGACAATCAAAAGGCTTACATGACAATTAAAAAAATGGGAAATACGCGAATGTTTCGTGGTTAAAACGACGTTAGGAGTCTACTTTATATCCATGAGCTACGCTGCGACGGTCAAAACGTACTTGTATGTTTAGGATATGTAGGGTTGTTGATGGATGGGGCTGGAAGTTGTGTTTAAAGGGGAAGGGATTTTTATAAAGGAATGTAAAGAATTCTGGGGGTGGTGGTACGAGATAGAACCCACGAAAGCAAAAGTGTGGTTATCAACCGGTATTCAAATACAGCTCTGGTCGCAAAAGATAAATAGCGGCATGGGTAGGTAGGAATGGTTGTTCCTGTTTATACAGCCCATGTTAATTACGACAAGAATGAAACAAGACGTCACGCGAACACGACACAGCAAAATCAAGTATCAAAAATAGAATTTTATTCGCTTCCCCTCCCTATGCATGCATCCCTTTCCTAACGAACACACATGACCAAGGAGGTACCAATAAAAGGTTAGGTAAGTAAGATATGTAAAGAATAATCGTCTCCATTTTGTGCAATGAAAGCCCCGTCATCACCGTTAGCATCACCTGCACTACAGCTCTATAAGCTCTCGAGCGGTCTGGTTCTACGCCTTATCCTCAATGGAAGCGCCCTTCAGATCCGCAACGACGTCTGCGACGGCGCCCTTAACAAGTTCGATTTCGTTGGTGATGGAGCCTCCTTCCTCGATACCGGCTGTGGCTTTGGTTTCGCCGTGGCCGTTGGTGGTGGTTGGTTTTTCGGATGGGGTGGAGGTGCCATCTTCTTCGGCTTCGAGACGCTTGACTTCTTTTTCGGCCTTTTCGACGTTCTTGAGTTGAGTTAGCATAAATATTGTGGAAATTGATATGATTAGGATTGAAGGAATACGTACTTTCTTGGTCTGGGCATCTTGATCGGATTTCCAGTGCTCCAACTTGGCCTTGACTTTCTCAGTTACCGATGGGATATCGGAAGCAGTCATGGGAGGATCAATTCCCATAGCCGCACAATCCTCCATAACAGCAGGTGGGCAGCTAAACTTTCCGGTGGTTGGTGTGGAAGGTGTAGATGGTGATTCTGGGGCAGCTTTCTTGTTCTTCTTTCCCTTGGATTTCTTACCACCAGTACCAGCGAAGTAGTCTTCTTCCTCCTTTTTGACGACCTTGGTTCCCTTCATTCCGGAATCATCAACTTTTCGTGACGCAGCTGCTTCCATTCCTGATGCAGCTTTAAGGGCGGCTTTTTCTTGCTTGAATGACGGGTCGAGGAAGGCCAGAAGACTGTTTGCACGTCTGATCTCGTCCAGGTAAGCTGGTTCCCTAGCTTCAGCAAGAATCGCATTGGCACGCTCCATTCTCTTTCCCTTCTGGTAAGCTTCGTTCTCAGCCTTCTTCCTTTCTCTCGCTTTCTGGCGCTGTTCAAATTCGTACTTTTGCGCTGCGCGGCCGGCTTGGTAGTGTTCATCCTTGAGCTTCTTGATCTCAGCATAAGTCTCTTGCTGCTCCTTGTGATATTTCGACCTTTCATCACGGAGAGCGCTCAGATTACTGTGAGCCTCATCTTGTGCAGCTTTGAGCTCGTCGAATTTCTTTTGTAATTTGCTGTATTCTTCGCTAAGGGCCTTAGCTTCAGGGTCATCAAGAGAGTCGCGGAGCTTCTTGATCTCGGCTCTCTTATTATCAATGCTCTTTTGGATGTCGTCGAATCCGGTGAACTGTTTTCGTTGCTTTCGCAGACTCGATATTTCAGCCAATGCCTTTTTCTCATCGACCAGCTTCATCATGCCGCCATTGACTTCCTTATCCAAGCGCTCAATTGCGCGGTCAATGTCTTCAGTTCCCTTGTAATTCAACTTGCTTTTGGCGGCTTTCAAGTTGTTCTGGTCGGTACGCACGCTATCCTCCAGTTTCTTGATTTTTTCCAACACTGGTCCACGGCCAGCTTTTCCTTCACCCTGCTTGGCCTGGATTTCTTTGAGCTTCTTCAGGGTCTCGGCACGCTCTTTACCGGAAGGTGAGTCCTTTGGGGATGTTGCAAGCTCGCATTTTGCTTTGGCTGCTGTCTTTGGGGTGAATTAGCAAATGTTCAGAGAGGAGAATCGCATGGCAGAGCCACAATTCATAAATGGAAGCCAGATCATGCAACTTACATATCTGTCCATAGCAGCTTTATGCTCCTTCTCTAGCTTTGCGAGAGCCGCCTTGTAGGCTTCTGCATCAGGAGCAGTAGGCTTGCCGGATTTCTCCTTTTTCTCGGTATTGCCAGCGTCGAACATGGCCGCTCCAGAAGGTGTTGCGACGTCAGCCATTGTTGCGATTGCTCGTTTGTCGCAAGAAACACAGAATGAGATGTAGAAGAAGCAAACGAGGAAATGAACTAGTCAATGGCGAGGGGATGCACTTGGACCCTTGGAAGTCAGGCGGGTGGTGCAATGGTCAAATATGCGAGAGTCTAGAAGTCAGTTCGGTCCCAAGCAAGAACACCTGGACTGAAGATGTACAATTCCAAAAAGTTTGGTGGCCCCTGGTCGAGTACGGTCGCCGATCTTCTAAAGTTCGAGCCATTAGCGCAGTTGGCGCACAGACGTTAGGAACTTTTTGCGCGTCGTCAAGAACATCGAACAACCTTTGTTCGCCAACCGAAAACGATCGCACTCATTCCAACCTCGCCCTCCGTTGATACAATCTCTGTCGACAGGATTCAGTTTGGTCGCGATCCCTAAATCCAGCAAAATGTCCAGCGAGCAGGACCAGATAAACAAGCAGAGGGAAGCTGGTGATAGAGATAACGCACGACTCTGGCGCGCATGGCGGACCATTCATGAGATGGTTCAAGACCGAGGGTATATTCTAGCTGAAGAGGAGGTGAAGATCAGTCTGAGCGATTTCGTTAAAGCTCACAGAGATGGATCTGGCATGGTTAGGTAGGTTTGTCGCAAATCCGAGCTCCCAAGGGCTGAGGGACTGCGTTTACTGACGAAGAATGCGTCCACAGCAAAGCTAGTATGAAGTTCTCTGCTCATCCAAGTGATGCCATGATGCAACGATACTCAAACCCTGCAACCGAATCGAATCCAAATCCACCTCCACCTGATGTCGGGACGATCTGGGTCGAGTTTCTAGAGGGCGATAACGTCGGAATCAAACACATGCGCACATTCGCACAGTATCTATCCGCTCACAATTTCCACACCGGCATTCTAATCACAAGCGTCAATATTACTCCTTCTGCGCTTAAAATTATCCCTGCGGTGGCATCCGAAACGAGAATTGAGACGTTCAACGAGCAGGATCTACTAGTCAACATCACCCATCACGAATTGGTCCCAAAACATGTTCTTCTGAGTAAAGAGGAGAAGTCCGCGCTCCTGGCCAGATACCGTTTGAAGGATACCCAACTTCCTCGAATTCAAATGACTGATCCGGTTGCACGATACTTGGGATTGAGAAGAGGTCAGGTCGTTAAGATTATTCGCAAATCCGAAACCGCGGGACGTTATGCGAGTTACCGGCTTTGCGTTTAAGCTATTGATCAATTTGGCTACATGTGCAAGTAAAAAAGGAGTTTTGGGGGCGTTTGGGTCACAAAAGCATGTGAAGAAGGCGTTACGGAAGAGGATAAATCCTTTGCAAGTGCTTGTACGCATAGCACAGAGTCCATCTAGGTGGAAGAATCTGAATCGATATAATCCTAACACGAGTTATCTGATCTTTTGTCCTACCCGCAGAGCCTCATTCGTATCCCGGCAGAGTTTGTTCATCCTTGGAGTCTTGGCAATTGCTTTTCTGGTTCATTTGTAAAGCGCCGTGGTCAAACAGCCGATTACGAACCTCAATTCTAGGCTAGTATTCTAGCTGTAGGCAATTCGTCCAATGCTCCTGAATAATCCACATTTAATTTTACGAGATAAGCTTCTGCCATCTGCTTTGTTGTTTTAGTCTGAATTTTTTGTATTGCGCCGACATGCCTCGGCATGTTGACAATTTCGATGGGGCTAAGCTTTGCCCGAGGCGTGCCCTTACTCAGATCAAGTGGCAGAACGGGATCTTTGCGCCGCTAAGTCGGAACGCCTGGATGATAATTTTTAGCTTCAACAATATTGCATCATGACGCACCTCCGGAGCAATGTCCTATATACCTCTGTGGATGTCCTTTTTGTTTCCTTTTCGTGTTTGATTTTCGAATTTGTTTACTTAATTGTTTCTTACTAGGGGTAGTACCCCGTTAATACCCGCTGTCATAGCTATTCATTTCTTAGTTCTTTTTCATTAGATACATTCAGCATCATGTTTGATCTATACCCTCATCCGTCGCGACCTGTGACCAGGACAAAATCAAATCAACCGTTTTTATTAGGCAAAGGAAGAGGTCTCCCTCCTGCGCTCGCAGCGAGAAAAGAAGAATATCTAGTCGAGCTCACAGGAGATGAAGATCCAGCGAACGCAAAGTCATGGGCCCTCCGCCGGAAACTTATCAACGCGGCTGTTCTTGGTTTTGATACACTGGTAGCTTCATGGGGATCTTCAGTATATTCCGCTGCTGTCCAGCCTGTTGCTATGGAATTTGGAGTTGGAGAAGTGGTGTCATTGTTGGGGTTGACACTTTATATCTGCGGATTCGCGACTGGACCACTAGCTTTTGCGCCACTTTCCGAGTTATATGGAAGAAAGATACCAATCACATTCGCCGCTTTCGTATTTACCTGTTTCATGTTCGCCGCGGCAACAGCGAAGGATTTCCAGACGTTGATGTTATGCCGTTTCTTCGCTGGTGTGTTCGCTTCATGCCCCTTGGCAGTCGTTGGGGGCGCCTTTGCAGATATGTTTGGCAACGAAACTAGAGGTATCGCAATTGCAGCTTTCTCTGGTTTAGTCTTCATCGGTCCATTCATCTCGCCTATCGTCGCCGCGTTCATTACGGACAGTTATTTGGGTTGGAGGTGGACCGAATATATCACCGGTATCATGGGAGCACTCGCTTGCATCCTCGACCTATTCTTCCTCGAAGAAACATATCTCAAGACGATTTTGAGGAAACGCGCAGGCCATATTAGAACAGAGACGCAGAATTTCGCTATTCATCATGTCTCGGAGGAGGAGGCAATCGATTTCAAGGATCTCCTACACCGACACCTACTCGTTCCGCTTAAGCTACTCTTCAGAGAGCCGATTATCTTCTTGATTACTATATATACTGCTTTTATTTACGGTATATTGTATCTCTTTCTAGAGGCCTACCCCATTGGTGAGTTTTGAAAAAAAGGTCAAATATTCTATATTTCTGTGCTAACCGAGATGACTAGTCTTCGCGGAATATCGCGGCATCAAACCCACACTCGCGACACTACCTTACATCGGACTCATTCTCGGTGTTCTAATCGGCGTGGGAATCGTCATTGCATTCGAGCCTCGTTACAACAGAAAGTTGAAGGAAAACCACGGCATTCCGGTTCCAGAACAGAGACTTCTTCCAATGATGGTTGGAGCCGTTTTGTTCCCAATCGGTCTTTTCTGGTTTGCTTGGACAGGAAACTACCCCGAAATTCACTGGATTGTGCCTACGCTGTCTGGTCTCTTGACTGGTGCCGGAATCATGCTCATCTTCTTGCAAGCTCTCAATTACCTCATTGATGCTTATCTTATGGTGGCTGCGTCTGCAATTGCTGCTAACACATTCTTGCGGTCTTTCTTTGGTGCTGGATTTCGTAAGTGTTTCTATCATCTTTATACAAACATTCCTTACTGACCATCATCCAGCACTTTTCGCAACACAAATGTTCCACCGCCTAGGCGTCGACTGGGCCGGTTCACTCCTCGGCTTCCTAGCCGTAGCTTTCTTACCAATACCATTCCTATTCTACAAGTACGGTGAGAAATTAAGAAAGAAGAGTTCTTACGCTCCAACGGATTTCGGCAAACAGCAAGCACCTGTCGATGAAGAGAGCACGGACGCGAATAATGATGCGGAGTTTGATGATGATGATCATACGAGAAGAAATACTGAGGTTGAGGGAGAGCATGAGAAGATTGAGCCTGCTTCCACATAAGCGTGGGTTGAGAGGTGATGTCTAAATGATTCGTGTCAGAGCGTGGGTGCTGAGCGATGTTTGAATAGGGGTTAGTTTTGATGCATTTTATTTTTGCATAGCAATGGAGTTTATGGAAGCTTATAGAAGTAGACTTTTTAATATTGTATATAATAATGATAAATCATCTCGTTATCATCATATATGGATGCGAGTTGACATAACATGTGTAAGTATTCGTTTTAATCGCTTTCAATATCATGACGGGGACTTTGAGGTTTCTTGATCGTGCTGACAGAGTTTCATTGATAACTTAAAGTCGAGAATATGCCATTACATCTAGCGTTAAATACAACACCCGATATCAGGTCATTATCCACCGAGTCGACAATGTGTTTGGGCGGTTAAGATCAAAATCTAAGCCATCCTCGGGAATAAGCTGACTGCTATTACAAGTTGCTAGGCTGCTAGACGCGGCAATAATTGATCAACCCCACCCCACGCTAGTAACCCCGCATTCTCATCCTCTACGACGACGACCCAATATAACCATATCTATTTTGAAAAGAAAAAGAATTTAATGATATGAGTTGACTATGTCTTAAACGTGTTCGCCAGCTTCTTAGTCCTCTTACTACAAACTCAAAATCTCCTGTAATCATTAACTCGCTTAACCTTCATCATGCCGTTCAAAAGCACCCAACCAGACATTAACCGTAAATCCTCACTCATCCTCATCTCATATCTCAAACTAACTCCCTCCAGTCCCCAAAACCACAACAATATGGACCTGGCTCTTCAACTCCCCCTCCTCCCCCCTCAACACCACCAATCCCACCAACCTAGCAGGCTACACCAACGTCCACACCACCGAACGAATCTCCTACCAGGACGTCAAAACTCACACAACACACCTTTCCACCGCCCTCGTCAAAAACTTCGACCTCCGTAAAGGCGACACCGTAGCTCTCTTCTCCCCAAACACAATATGGTATCCGGTCGCTATGCTCGCCGTGACCCGCGTTGCGGGCATCATAAGCGGTGCTTCCCCGGCTTATAATGTTGAGGAAATGACTTACGCTTTGAAAACTGCAAAGGCGAAGTTCTTGATGACTGTGCCTGGGAGTTTGGATGTTGCGTTGGCGGCGGCGGAACGGGCGGGGATTAAGAGGGATAGGGTGTTTTTGCTTGAGGGTGAGAAGGATGGGTTTGTAAATATGAGGGGGCTGCTGGAAATGGGACGGAGGTATGGAGAGGAGGGGCAAGTGGAGGCGTATGAGTTGTGTGAGGGGGAGCGGAATAAGGATTTATGTGCGTTCCTGAGTTTCAGCAGTGGGACTACTGGGTTACCTAAAGCTGTGAGCTTATTCCACCTCATCCATAAAGTTAACATCATAAAGAAACTAACGAGATATGCAGGTAATGATATCCCACCAAAATGTAATAGCACAATGTCTTCAAATCCAACAAATCACGCCCTCAACCCACAAAAAAGTCCTCGCCGTCCTCCCCTCCTTCCACATCACCGGCCTCGTCCACGCCCTCCACCTCCCCATCCTCCTCAACGCAGAAGTCTACATGCTCTCCTCTTTCACCATGAAATCCATGCTCGACACCGTAGTTCAGTATCAGATCGGCGAACTCCTGCTCGTACCGCCGATTTTGATACGTATGGTTCGCGATCCGATCGTGCAGGGATATGATTTGCGTTGTGTGAAAAGGTTTAGCTCGGGTGCTGCGCCGTTGAGTGAAGAGATTTTGGGATTGTTGGAGAAGAGGTTTCCGTGGACGGGGTTTAAACAGGGATATGGGATGACGGAATCGTGTTCGTGTATTACGGCGCATGAGCCGGAGAGGTATGCGTATAAATATGCGCATAAGGTTGGAAGTATTTGCGCGAGCACCGAAGTGAAAATTGTGGATGAGGATGGAAAGGAGTTGGGGGTTGGAGAGCCCGGGGAGTTATTAGCGAGAGGTCCGCAGGTTGTGATGGGGTATTTGGGGAATGAAGAGGCGACGAGACGGACGTTTGATAGCGAGGGGTTTTTGCATACGGGTGACCAGGCAGTGGTTGATGGGGAGGGTATGGTTACGATTACGGATCGGATTAAGGAGATGATTAAGGTTAAGGGGATTGGAGTTGCGCCGGCGGAATTGGAGGATCTGTTGCTGGGTCATGAGGATGTGGAGGATGTTGCGGTGTTGGGGGTTGAGGATGAGTATGCGGGGGAGAAACCAAAAGCGTTCGTTGTTAAGAAGAAGGGGAAGGGGGATGATGGGGTGGTTGGGAGGGATATTTTGAGGTATGTGAGGGAGAAGAAGGTTAGGCATAAGTGGTTGGTGGAGGTGGAGTTTTGTGAGGAGATTCCGAAGAGTGCTAGTGGGAAGATTTTGAGGCGGTTGTTGAGGGATAAGGCGAGGAACGGAGAGAGAAGTGGATTGGTTGTTAGAGATGACGAGAGTGTTAGGGCAAAACTGTAAACTACCAAAAATGCAGACGAGCTGTAGACTATTGGTTGCTGTATAACATGACGAGAACATTTTAAAGAATGTGCTTATCCCACTAACATTCTACCCAGATGGATAGCAGGAAAACTAAACCTATGGGGAGAAGCTCTTCCAGAATAGGTTTCCGCGAACAAGAGAAGTATAGTCTATTTCTCCAAAAGTTGAGTCTCAATACACCATCACATATCGAATTTAAATAAGACTTGTACAAGGAAATAAACGAGCTTTCTGGACAGAAGTAAGTAATGTCTTTAAAACCACGGGCGATTCTAGTCTCAGCAATACATAAGAGTAAACTTCGTACGCCCAAGAGCTGTAATCTTTCAAGTTACATGTTTCCCCTATTAACCTGAACAAATTGTATCTACAGAGCCCAAAACCAATTACATCCTTTCCATACCCACGTAATTACTTCCCTAACCTCCCATCCACACCCTAGACACAACAACATAAAAGCACCCAAGCTTCTACCTGTGCCATCTAAGTAATCGTACCGCAGGGTAGGTAACGTATCCAGTGTTCTCCACGCAAGAAACTACTCTCAGGAAAAGTAATGACTTACTGCCGTCTATCGGAAATTGAAATTTAAGTTTATATATATTTAACTCCTAAGGGAAAAACGCCGGAAGTCTTGCCGAAATATTAAATTCGGTAGTGAAACATAAATCGGTGATAACCACCCACTTCTCATTTCCTTATCTCCTCCTCCAGAGCCTCCTCACCCACCACAAATACCGTATCTACAATCCTTCACACATCGCCACCCGTTCTTTGTAATCAACACACCAGATACAGCATAGGCCACTTTTTTGGTCTTCGCATCATTGTCGTTCTCGCACTTTCCTTTTTACCGGGACTTTAGCTGCCTGCCTAGTGCCTTTTAACCTTGATCTTATCAATATTTGCAGAAATCGAATTCAGGGTTTCGCGCAGATTTTTGGACAAGGAACGGCTGAAGCCGCCGAACTCTGGAAAAGTTCTAAATTGCGAGTATTATCGTCCACAATTCTTGGCCGTGATAATTTGGGCAATAGAGTTGGATTGAGAATAGATCTGTGGTGACGCTCCAGGTTCCGGTGATAGGAAACAGATGAAAACTTCACAGGGGATGGTAGAGGATACTTTATTCAGAGATGGCTATACCGTAGTGAAGTGCGCACAGAGGGAGATGAAGCGACTTTTGATTTATACATTTTCTAAATTGCCAAACACAAAACGCCAATACAGCCAGATAAGTAGCAACCATTTTCCAAAAACAACATCAAAGTCATCACGCCGGTGCACCCAACTGTCCCTCAATCTCATGACCCGAGGTATCCTCACCCTTATCAATCCTCTCAGCCTTGACATCAAGTTCATTCCCCGTCTTCGGCGCGGCTACAATGGTATCATACGGCCCTGGCTTCACGACGGCCTCTGCAGCTTGCTCACTAGCATCGTCACCTACAGGAGCAGCAGCAGCGATAGATGGATTGACATCGACATGGACCTCGCCGTCCTCGATCTTGAAGCCTGGTGCTGGCTGTTTACCTTGCTTCGAGGTGTTGGAGTTGTTGACGAGTGGCGTGGTGTCGTTGAAGATTCGCAAAAGCATAGCGGAGCGATCTTCTTTGGCCAACATCAGATTGAGAGAGTGTAAGCTTCGCCAGAGTGGCAGAACCATGCGCTCAGAGAAGCCATCTGGATCGTCACTTGGTTCAATGCGGAGAACGCAGCAACCCATACCAATATTGTTGACATGTTCGCCGATTTCACCCAAATTCTTCCAGCCCCCATCTGCGACTTTGGGGAACATCTCAATCAGAAGCTTTTTGAGAGTTGACTTTTTGTAAAGACGAACGACACGCTCTTCTCCGACATATCCCTCCAAAATAGGCATTCCTTCGGATTGGATGCGCCACTTGCACACGCCATCACCTTGAACATCTTGCTTCATAAACATACGGACACCTCCGTGAATAAACTTAATACCTTTTCCTTCATTCTCTGTGAGGATGTCGCGAATGAGAGCTGAGGTATAGTAGATCGTTTTCGCCGGCTCACCAGACGCATTACGGACCATGAAACGGTCGCGGGGAAATCTGGGCGAAAGATGGTAAAATTCCTCGATAGATTTAACTTCAGGATGTTCTCCAGAGATGTACTTGAACGGTTCCTCAAACTGTTGAGCATGGTCCTTGTTTCTCCGAGCTTGAGGAGCTACTATACCATCGCGCATATCGCCAGGTCTGATGGTAGCATCCAAGTTCGCGCCGGGCGGTGGTGGATAATGCACTTGTCTATCTTCGAGACCAGGTTCTGCTGCTTCATCTCCTTCTTGTCTAGACTTGAGCTTTTTGGTAGACATAACTCCATCAATTTCCACTTCGTCATCAGCGGATCGTTTGTTGGAATTAACTGTCGCGCTTGTTTCTGGATTCTCCTGATTTTGTCTAGCCACAGGGGCAACCTCGTCTGGAGCAGTGAAAACCCCATCCAGCGCATCTGCAGCCTCAATCTTGGGCGCTACACTTTCACCTTCTTTGGGAGGAGGCATTGACTCAATCTCATCCACGATTGCACTAATTGGAGGTTTCGGCTCCCCCTTCTTCTGCTCTGATTCTGGCTTCGCCTTGAACTCTGTTCTTTTCTCTAGAATAGTGATGAAGAAGCCTCCAGTATCCTGGGAGTGTGCATAAACACGCATACATCTATCAAACGGAATAGCGAATTCCGGTGAGCTGACCATAGGCGTGAACATTCCTGGTGACAGCTTCTCGGTTGCTGCAGTGGCACCGTTCTTAGCATTATACTCTTCCACCTCTTCAAATGACGACCAGACCTTGCCAGCCTTATCCATAACCTTCCAGTGTTTCAAGCCTGTGTACCGTTTCAAAAGTGGTAGCTGATCTGAAGTAGGGACCACGTGGACCTTTTCAAGCCCTCCACATCTTTCAATCGCGGAAGCTACAACCGCCTCGTTTTCGACAGGATTCATACTGCATGTCGAGTAGACAACGCGACCGCCAGCCTTCAACATCTGTAGGGATCTGACCAAAATTCGCACCTGTGTCTGGTGGAGACCAATGGCATTTCCAGGAGTCCAGTCTTTCCATAAATTGACATTCTTCCGCATGGTGCCGTCACCTGAACAAGGAACATCAGCTAAGATCCTGTCGAACTTCAGATATCGGTTGAATGCCGGGTTTTCGGGGGTTGCTGGAAGTTTGATCGATGGATACATAGTGGCATCGTGGTTCGTAACGATGAGATTGGGGGAAGATAGTCGCTTCAGTTGATGGATCAACATATGGCTTCGCTTGTAATCGGAGTCATTGGCTATCAATAGTCCAGTGGCTCTGCCGTTATCCGTAGGGTCAAGTTCAAAAGCCTCATCATCTTCTGCTGAGCTTGTCGGGCCAGGACTTGTCTTCCTTCCATCGGTCTCAGCATAGTCGCGAAGAGATTTATGAACACGAGCTTCTTCGCCTCTGTGCACCATCTCGAGTAATTGTGCGGCTTTACTTCCAGGAGCAGCGCACATATCCAACACTGTCATACCAGGTTTGAGATCCATTACCAATGGTGGTATCATACTGACGACCTCCTGTCTGCTGATATTTCCAACACTTGTCTCCGAAACCAAGAACTTTTGAAAAGCAGCAAATGGCGCAAACTTTCGAACAACATTTTTCGGGGTCGTCATCCACCAAGCGAGTTCGTCGGGGTACCATTCAACTGGAACAGGAGGGTCGACCTTTTGGCCATCCCAGTGGCTGATTTTCGAGATTTCCGGAACGTAACGCTCTTTCAATTTCTTCTGAACCGTAAGCGCATGACTATTATTCCGTCAGTTTTTGTTCGTAAGACCTGGATGATGCGATATACGAGCCATACTCTCTCTGATCTCAATTTCACAATGGCGACCACTCCCTCGGCGATGTTTGGACAATGATGGGCAATTGGACTTCCAGTAACGAATGAAGCCATTCGATAATCATTGTCTCTGAACAGCAGAGTGAATGGACGCCAGTATTTCTGAGCATCCGAGACAATATAAGACTTGACAACCGATCATTCTAGGGGAAAGACTTTGCGATAGGGAATCGGTGCGGTGAAGCATACCCTTTGGATCCAGTAAATCGAAAGCTGTTTGGCAATTCTCTTTTATAAGCCGCCCAGAACTCTTCCCGTTCTTTCTCTGGTATTCCGAGGACTTCGTCATAGTAGCCTTGGAGCTTTGGGTTGTTTTTCTCGACCTTGTCGAAACTGACTCGATTGTCTTCACCACCACGACGATCTCCCCCGCGGTTACCTCCCCGGCCACGACCTCTACCACCCTGGAATTGTTAGATACCAGCATGCATATTGAAACTTTCTGATACTTACTCGTTTACCTCCGCGTGCCATATTTGAGTTTAAAGGGTTGTGGTTGTGACAATTTCGACTTTGCGACAATGTCGTCAGTTATCTTGGATTTGCTAACAGAAAAATCTCCAGGACGAAGCTGAAGTGGGGCAGGTTCGGCCAAGGATAATCCTTTTTCCTGTTGTGCTACGAAGAGGTCCGTGCTTGTCTCCGGATGCCCAGCGACGCATCGACGGCATCCAAGCAAGCTCCAAAGGTTTATTCATGGCACACGCCGGGTTTACTTCCAATTGCCAATTAAGATTTGGAATTTTAATTTTGTTACGAGATTTTCTACGCATTCCAGCATTGCTTACGGGAGTTGGAGAAAATAGGAAAACCGTTGACAGAATTCTTGTTGATCAAGCAGCAATGATTGCTCCCTGGCTCACAATTTTCATTCCATCAGTATTCCATGAAGTTTACCAGACTTCTCTGAACATGTACGCATCCCATATGATTACCAAGAGTTCAACGGCGGAAAACCACGAGGCTAGATGGATATAAACAAACCAGAGATAATTTGGTAATAGAGCCGATGAAGCATTTGTAGCTCGACGAAGAGCTTCATTAGAAGTGTTTCCAGGTCTTTGAATCCATGACACTTAACCACACGGCTATTTACCATTTGTAATCTACACCACTCTCATGCTCCATCAAGTCAAACTGAGGCTTCGCACTAAACCATCCAGCCATTTCGGAACCCACCGTCTCGTATGTATACTGAGCATCCTTTTCATCAATCTTGACCGTTTCTCCACCTCGTCCTCCAGCTGCAGCATCGGCGAGTAATTGGGCATGGCAACACTTCTCTAGACTCATGAACCAGAAGACAGCACTTTCAATTGTCTTTCCACAAGTCAAAAGTCCGTGGTTCTGGAGGAGAGCAGCTTTTCTCGGCCCCAATGCTTTTGCAATTGCAATACCTTCATCTGCTGCAAGTACAATGCCTCGGAAGGAGGAGTATAGAGCGATATCGTTGTGAAAAGCGCAGGAGTCTTGGGTGATGGTGTCGATTGTTCGTCCTAGCGTGCAGAAAGCACGGCCGTAAATCGAGTGCGAGTGTGCCACGCAGTTTACGTCTGGTCGAGCTTCGTGTACGGCGTGATGGATCATATATGCTTGATTTGAGTTAGCGTCAATATTCCCAACACTGATTCCTCGATGGCAGAATGGTGAAGTTCATTGCTGCAACCTCCGAACAAATTTGTCTGTGAGGTCGAATGTGAATTCTCGCTCCTCTAGGGCTTGCCCGACCTACCAGCAGTATTCAACCGTCGACAAGCTCCTCCATCAACAACTTTGCCCTCCGCGTTGACTCGAATAAGATCAGAAGCTTTAAGAAGTGGCCAAGCTAGGCCAAAAGGGTTCACCCAGAAGCTGGTCGGTTCAACTGGATCCTGTTATTGACATCAGCAGATATTCTTGATCTTGGGTCCCAGCTACAATTGTATCCCACCCGCGTCCTCTTACACAGCCTCTCGAATACGGTATCTAAAAAGGAGATCATCAACCTACCCTCAGAGTAATATGCCCCGCAACACCCTCGTCAAAGCCAAACTTTGCAAAGATTCTAAAAGCCAACGCTAATCTTCCCTTCTGGTATTCTCTCTCCTTGTAAGGATCCTCATACATCGGGCCATCCATCGATGGGATCGATGCTTTGTTCGCAGCAGCTTGCTCTTCGGTAAGACCTGGTTCTAGAGGCTGTTTCGCTGGCTTATCGTTTTTGCTGGTTTCTACCCCTGCTCCGCTGTCTACTACATCGTACGTGGCGGATGGTGGTGCCATTCTTTTTTAGCTATGGATTGCTTGTCGTCCGAACAAGTTGGAGACTTTGTGTATGTAGTGGGAAATGACAGGAAGGGAGGTATAGAAGAGGTGATGGCTGGAATTGATTCAGTGTAAAGTAAGAAGTTGAGGGGAAGTGCGTTCCAGCTGAGGCGTACATAAACGTTACTTGCCAGCGCTAGGATGGGGGTGGATGGTCTATCACATCACTAACAAGTGCCGAAGGCAGCGGGAATCCTTCAACACCCACCACGTACTGAAGAATACCAACCTTTTGTTAGACTTAACGTATTGACTAAGTGCTTGCAATTGTGTGGCCAGATTGGTTGGGTCGGGGTATGTCCCCAATGATTGTTTGGCAAAAAGTGTGGGGTGTCGAAGGATTACAGGTACGGTTCGAGGGTTAATGCGGGGAAAAGCCTCGGCTCGGCCTTTGTGCTCCGATCCGACGCCGCTCGGGATCTCAGGCTGGCCCGATCACGGAAAATTCCCAGTCTTTCCCGTTCTCCAAGGGTCAAACGAGTACGAGCAAGCGCCCGACCAGCCAACCATGTGCGAATCTGTGGTGCCACAAAGGCGACAGGATTTCACCAGCAACGATCAATTGTATTATGATTATCTCACTCAGTTCCATATTCTACGACAAAGTGTATCATTCACTCAGCATATTCTACTCCCGGTATTATCAACTGTTGTCGCGAACCCAAGCAGGACATGTTTTCTCTACCTGCAGTTCAGGAGTTCTCCACATTGACGCTTCTGTCTGCCGGAGCATCTGTCCTCCTTGGCTTATTATACTTAACTCTATTTCCTGGAAAATATCAATTTCCTCCAGGGGCCCCAAAACTTGTTTCAGGACAATATCCTATAATTGGTGCTTCTGGATTTTTCACAGCTCGCTGGGACTTTTTCCGAAATGCCATTGCCCAAAGTCCAACGGGGAATTTCTCATTCTTCCTCGGAAAGTATCCTGTGGTAGGTTTGAGTGGAGAAATTGGCAGACGGGTATTCTTCGACAGCCGAGAGTTGGGATTCGCAGAAGGGTATATGTTTATATCCTTTTCTGAGCTCGGTTTATAGAACTAACCCTGATGAAGGTACGCGGTGCTATTTGGGCAGTCACCAAACAGCTTGCACGATAATCAGGATTTTGAAAAGAGCAAAGAGCTCACTGGTCCAGGTGGCTTCAGCAGTAGGACTTATACACGGATGCTCAAAGCGGAGAATTTTGTTAAAAGTATGAAATCCGAGAGTGTGTCGGAACAATCAGCACGTTATTCTAACCATCATCAGGCTTGCCTCAACTCAGAAAGGATGTTCAAGGAAGCATGAATAGGTTAGCCAACGATCCTTCGGGAATCACAGATCCATTTGAAAGCATATATCGCATCGTTTATCAGCTTACGATACGGACCGTGGGATGTGATGACATTGCTGAGAACCCAGAGTTACTGGAAAAGACTCTACAACTTTTCGAGACTGTCGAAGCCAGTGCTACTGCAACAACGATTTTATTTCCAAAGTTTCCATCAATAGGTATCATCAAAAGAACTATCGCGGGAGGGCGGCTTTATATGATTATCATGAAGATTGTTAATGAAAGGAGAAAAACAGGGAAAAGACGTGATGATCCTCTTCAGATGTTGATTGATGATGATGTCGAGGTAGAACAGATTGTGACTGTAAGTAACAGCAATCCTGTTTGTGTCTTCGTAATGACGAGTGTCAACTTACACTCGTTATCTAGCATATTATTGGTTCTCTTTTTGCGGGCTTATTGAACAGTGGCATTAACTCTGCATGGGCGCTTGCTTACTTAGCCACCAACCCTGAATGGATGGGCCGAGTTCGAGACGAAATTAATTTTGTCGCACAAAAGTACACCTCCAATCCTGATGCTCCTCTTGTTGAGCAACTTTCAGAGATTCCAAGTGATGCCTGGGAATCGGAGTTTCCCATGATGCATCTTTGTCTCAGAGACAGCATCAGACTTCAGCTTCTAGGTACTGCATTTCGCAGAAACATCAGTGGTCGAGATGTTCCCGTTGGGGACCACGAGGTCATTCCTCCAGGAGCTTTTGTATGTTTTCATGTCGGAGACATTCATTTAAATCCGGACATCTACCCAGAACCCACAAAATGGGACCCTTCAAGATATTTGCCAGATCGTGCAGAGGATAAAAAGGTGCATTATGGTTGGATGGGTTGGGGGTTGGGACGACACCCATGTCGTAAGTCTCCTTGTTCCCTCCATCAACGTGTCCACCAATTTTACTAATTACCTTGGAACAGTTGGAATGAGGGTAAGTGTATTTCATTGAAATCTGGGAGCAAGTTACTGACTTGAATAGTTTGCCAAATTGGAACAGAATATGATCACGGCCTACTTCATCGCTACCTTCGACTACGAATTGACTGATAAAGATGGACAAAAAGTTCATGACACTCCGCCAGTAAACTTTAATAGTCACACTGCGGAAAAGCCACATCAGAGAGTGTATTTGAAATATAAGAAGCGGTAGGACCACTCTGCATGTTTTTACTCAGGGGTCTTTCCTTTTAAGCTGGATGACAAAAATTTTCGACTTATACAATTACACCAGATTGGATACTCTATACTTGAACATCGCCTGTTTGAAATTTGACATTTGGCTACAAATGGATTTTTAACAACAACCAGATTATTTTGTTGAACACTAACTTTAGGTGTTTTCTTCAGGGACGTATCAATTTCCTTTCTCGCTTACGCACATTTATTCTAGACTGATATGTAATGTATCTCTACTTACCTACACCCTTGCCATTCATACCACTTTAAGTGTCTCATTTACTCTCATAAGAAGAAATAACTACAATCTTTCCGATATTAATCATCTCATAGTTACTTCTCAGGGCACTTGATCATCTTATTTCTCCATATCTAGATCAAACCGAACATCCAAACTGGTCTCGTGACCCAAAAAAACAGATTCACCGAACCACCCTAGCTTGACAGCAAAGATAAGTATTCACCAAAAATACTGAATTTCACCTGAAATAGCAGTTCAAATGACTCATTGCCGGAACAATACTAGCCACCTCACTTCCGATCCGGCACTAGTTCGATCTTCTGCCTTATTGCAAATTCTCGACCTCGCTCTTTCACAACTCCAGACACCGACTCTTTGAGCATCGCTGCAAACGCAAACGCAAACTTTCTACGAGATTTATTGTTCTAAGCTACTCTTTCTGAGACCACTTCAATCCTACCTACTTCTTTGACGGGTGATTACCAGATAATCGTTCCAAAGCCATGGCCTCCCCTTTGGCTTTTAGCGAGGCAGTTATTTCTGCACCCACTGTCCTACCATGTTCCGGGCCCAGTGATAACAACTTCCCCAAAATCAACGGCATTACTGAAATATCTCTTGGAGATTTTGCTGGCGGCGGATATTGCTGCTACCTCGATGGGAATAGACCGCTAGATTGGCTGGAGGCTCAGAAACATGTGCAGATAAATCACCCTGAACGATTTATGATGATGCAGCAAAAGCGCACAGAGGAAAATAGGACCCCTCCTATCTGTAAGAAATCCCTTTTGGAAATTGCAATGTGCCGCTGATATATAAATAGCTGTGACACGAGAAATCGTCATTGATCCAGTTACCGGCAAACATGAGTTTCGTTATCATTCGGCACTGCTTCAAAGTCCTGTCTTCTATGAGTTCGGTTTCTATAGAAGTATAGCCCATCATCAACTGTGGCCGGGCAAAACTTTGCGACCTAAAAAGAGAAACAGCTCTTCCTTTGTCCTCGAACAGAAAAACGATAGGACAGCTGAAGTTGAGCGTTCCAGTGGTATGAGCCCATTAGATCACGTCAAAGGTACTGTAATCCATCTACGATCTATTGTATCAATAATTTGGCTAAAATTAATCGTGAAAGATTTGAAATATGAGACTCCGAGCGGGGATCTATACGAGGTGCCGGGTATTCTCATCTCGGGTGTCATCGAATATACTCTACCAGTTAGTGGTCACATCGTTTATTGTAATGATAAAGGATTTCTTGGTGGTAAAGAAGCACATCTCCACATAGCATCTGCTCATCCTGAAAAGTGGGCGAGATGCCGGAAGAAGTGCAAAAAAGCGTTTGAGCGAAGACACATTACTAGTGCATGCGAAGGTAAGACTCAATTGGGATGCTATTACACTTACGTTAACTGAAACTAAAAGTCGAAGTCCCGCAACGCTCCAGTGACACAATGGGTACTACTTATTTTAAAGTCAGTGACGGCAAACGATGCAGCAACTCAGAATTTTACGTCTGGGTTGCGCACTGCCAAAGAATAGGAGCTGATTACTGGGAGGAACTTGAGAAACCAGAAAAAGTCGACGAAGTTCCAAAGGACACAGATTCTAGTTCATTGAAAACTGTTGAAAAAGATTCGTCCGCACAACTTCTTCTTTTGGCGCAAGAGGAGAATTTTAGACTTAGACAGGAAAAGGAGAGTGTGGAGGAAAAGCAGAAAAGTCTGTGGGAGGTAGTGAACACCTTAAACTCTGTGGTATCCAATCGGGGCCGCGGAATCGAAACGATGAAGTCAGAAAAAGAAGCTTTGGCTTCTCAGGTCGCTTCGCTTCAAGAAACCGTGAGGTCGTTGACCTTGGCCAACTTAGATCACAATCTCACAGAGTTCGCTGAGTCTCGTCACGCAAGTCGGCCTAGGCTGGAAAGTGACGAACCTGAACTCATCGATCTCAAAACACAACCTCAGGGTTCAGAAGCGCAGATTGAACTTTTCAGAAAGCAAAATTTGCGCATTCAACAGATGGAAGAGCGCACAATGATCGAGGAACAAATTCAAAGAGACAATCGTCGCTTTTTGCTAGCAAAAGTCGAAGTTCTCGAAGCACAGACCAGAGCACTCCGAGAAAAAGATGAGATGACCACTATGCGGCTTGAGACTCAGCAAACTGTCATAGATGTCTTGATTGCTCTCGAGCCGCGCGATGAGCTGTTTTGGTGAGAGGAAAAGAATGATACACAGATACAGCGTTGCAGAAATCACATCAAGGGCCAAGAAATCCAGCGCCTCAAGAGGACAGTGATTGACCAAAGACGCCAACTGCGCGCTCAAGGCCGTGATGAAGCTGAGTCCGATCGACAAACCCCGGAAGCTGTGGTGGAGAATACAGAGGAGCTTCCTGTTTATGGCCCTTTGACTTTATACGAGACCGGCGAAGCATTACTAGCTGAAGTCGAGCAGGACCGAGAGCGGGAAGCTGAGTCCAACATAGCGGCCGAAGCTTCGTTAGCGAGTACGCCCCCGGATGAAGCTTCTGTTGCTGATATGCAAGCAATTACTGATGTTCTGTTCGGAAGTCCATCTCACACTGTTACCGTATGCAATGATCAGTGTTGCGAGTATTGAGGGACCTGCTGCTTTACTGAGCTACGGCTCTACGGTTGCGAGACTTGAACGTCCTCCTGCTGCAGCCGGTCATCAACACACAAGGGAACAAACAGCTGCTGTGAGGTTGTTGGGGTTTCTTGCGAACATCCTGATCGCATTGGTGGTGAGATGGCTAGTGAGAATGAGGAAGCTTTGTTTTGAGAACTGTGTAATTTTGAATCGTGGCTGTTGATGTTGGATGGAATATTGTGGTGGAGGGATTTCAATTATCATAGGTAGTAGTTTATTTGAGAGTTTAAGGATGCAAGTACGACAATTGCGCTACGTAGTAGACAGCTCCTGTTTGCTGAATAAGATCTCCTTTTAATTCTTGTAGAACCCGAATCTGTGGATACCAAGTTCTGGATAGTGTTCACCGAGCATAGATAGACGTAAGGAGAGATTTTCAGATATTATACCATCCGCCAATTCAGGACTTTCTGAACGGCGAAGTTTCGCCGCTCGAGCAATTCCATCGCCGACCTAATAGTACTCAAGGTGTGGGCATCAATAAACCCTACCCAGGTTTTACTTTGCCAGCCCTTCGCCTTGGTTCTGCCCGTTCCTTATATACGTAAGGAGAAGATGAGTATTGAGGCACAAGATTTCTGTTCAGCTAAGTAATAATATCTTTCCGCAAACTGATAATTGCAATTCCTCGGGTCTGGATACCGTTTGTGGGAGGTGGAGCAGGGTAGAAAGAGATGTTTAGATACTCTACATAGATTGATTTTAAGTTCTCCAGACAGCGCAGGGTAGCCCATTGCGGGGAAAAGTAGGTGATGTATTTTTATTTAGGGGAAGTGCTTGATAGAATTAAGATACTCGTATTCGTCCCGTTCTAAGTTCTGATTACTGTTCACGAAGTCAAGATCTATGTTTAGAGAGACCTTTAGGTAATTTGCGGTAATTAAGCTTACAAATTTCCTGATAGAAGTGTCTCACATAGTGAGAAATGGGGTATAAGACATTTTGTATACCGTTTTGAGAGGATGGGGAAGTGTCGTGAGAGAGCTTCAGATGCTTAGTATCGCGGATATTATACAATAACCCTTTAAGCTTTTCTCTAATTAAAACTAGTACATAAAGTGATAGGCTAAGCTCTCTAAAAGCTGCTTTGGAACAGAGAAAAGGGAGTTGCCTAACAGAAAAATCCGTGTTTAATTAATTCTAGATCTTTTTTTTTAATAACACAATTTTGCAAGAGAATTTTAGTCGCTACGGAACACCATAAGGAGAGTTCTTTTGACCGTAGGATGTAATTATGATGAGTAATGCTAATTCTCTCTATTGAGACAAACAAGACAACTTGATAGAACCCAACTCCCTAATACACTATCATGAATGATACAGCAATACGGCGAGAGATTCTCAGATACTAGACTATAGCCAAAGTTGATAAGTCTTCCAGGAGCACACGAGAATTTGACACAGTGCGCCACGGACTTTAGATTTTCAGCTAAGTAAATATACTTGACAGAAGCCAATAACTATAATTCCTTGAAGAGAAATGCTCTTTGCAAATGAAACCACGACATAGTACGAGATTTTGAGATACTATGTAACAACTCAATACTTGTTTCTCCTAACAGCACAGTATAATGAAAAAGGGAGTAAAACGGATGTGGTCTGCTTAGCTAAACGAGAATTCTTGAGAGGAGATCGGTATTCGTATTTCCTTAACTTCTTAGGCTTCTGCTATATAACACTACAATACCGTGAGAGATTTTAGATGCTACGCCCTAACCAAACCCAACATTTCCCCTGTGAGCACAAGGAAACCAATCGCAAAAAGAATAAGCGATATCTGGTAAGCTGAATAAAGAATCTTTAACAGCAACTTGCTATTTGAAATTCCTCAATCCCAAAGATTCCTCACTGCACACCGAAAGACAACCGATAGGTCTTGAGATGCTACACCCTAACCCATTAAACAGTTCCCCCCATAGCACAAGGAATCGAAGTGAAGAGTGAAATTAGGTGAGGATTCTTTGGTTGAATGAGGGTTACTTGGCGGAAATAGGATTTTTGTTTTGAGAAATGATTGAAGGAAATTTGATTAAGAAGAGGAGTGGGTTTGTTTGGTTGAGAGAGTGTTTCTTGTGGATGAAGGCGATTAGAGGAAGTGTGTTGATTGTATAGATGGAGGAAGAAACAATAGTGGTAGTTGGTAGAAGTCCTGTGGTTTTGCAAATCAAAAATGAACATAATATTTGCCGAGAATCATGACCATCGTGGTCAACTATCCACAAGTCATTTCCATTGATATCGACTAACGATACTCCTTAATTTCAAGTAACTACCAAGATAATCTGGAAGTCCGCCTTGGAGCGTGACGAAAAGCAAGCGTTTCTTCGTTTTGCTTGCTAGGATGTCGAACTCCGGCAGATAATTCCGGTATATCAAGAGTAGAATCGTAGGTTTGGGAGATCCGAGACAATATGAGGTTACGGCTAACAATACTTTTGGCATGAACTACTATGATAAAAACGAGTTTGACCGATCAGATTAGTATTGTTTGATTTCAAGTTGCGAGCTTCTACTATTATGCAACAAGTTTGATTGAGCGATGTAAATAGAACTCCCCAGACTCAAGGTGATTTTACTCCGTCCCCTATTCTCGAATGACGAACAAATGAAACACCTCCTGACTGAATTCCAATTCGACAATACCTTAATGACTTGAGTTCACCACAATATCAATCATCCAAATTCAACTCATCCTATTCACCACCACTCTAGCGCGTTTCTTCACAATCCACTCACGCGCACAATACCATCGCCCACAATAGCAAGTTCACCACAATACCAACGCGCTTTCTATACATCTCCCCAAATTTCTCCTCGAGCTTCCAGACCTTTCTTCCCAGACACACATCACACCAAAGCTTCGTTCCCAATCATCCAAACGATCCAATATCAAAATGGCATCAACAACCAACTCACGCCGCGAACCCAACGCAACAGTAGCCGCAACGCGCAAAGCGGAAATAGGCGTCCAAATCGACGACCTCTTGAGCGAAGAGCGTGAGAAAATGGAAACGAGAAAACGTACCTCCCTCTTAACCTCCTCCCCCTTCCCCCTTTCTAACCCTCGCTAGGCGAATTCTCATTCAAGCGCCTCGAGGGCCAACTCGAGCACATGTACACCATCTACGACAAAGTGTGCGACGAGCTGCAAGAGGAACGCTGCGCGACCTCGCAATTGAAGTATGAGATGATGTTGGAAAACATCAACTACGCGAATGAGATGGCGGAGTTGAAGAAATTGAGGGATTTGAAGGTGGATTATGAGATTCTATTGCAGAACCATGAGAGCAGAGAGAAGAAGGTGTTTGCGCTCCAGGAAGAGCTGGGGAAGGAGAGAGAGGAGAGGGTTCAGGAGGAACGACTTACGTCGCGGCTTATTACGCGGAAGGTGGACGAGAAGTGGGATGTTGAGGGGGAGTTGTTTGAAGCGCGGGAGGCGCTGGGGGTTGCGAATGGGAGGATTGAGGAAACGAATGGGGAGGTGGAGGATTTGATGATGGTGGTTCGGAAGCCGGGCTTGAAGGAGATGTTGGCAGGGTTGAGAAAGGAGGTCGTTGCACTTGAGGATGGGGAGGTGGTTGTGGAGAAGGAGGTGGTGAAAAAGGAGGACGCCCCGGAGGCAGTCAACATCTATAAGTGGATTTTGATGATGATCCTGCTTGGGTATATCACCTGGAACTTCTTCACTACACCAAGAGCTATCGTCGCCATGCTCGTCTCGGTCTACTCCGCTTTGTCGAATCTTTTAGCGGCGCCGGCGACTCTACAAGAGCAGATGATGTTGCAACTCGAACAAGGCATCGTACTTACCTTTCTGGCATCGGTGGTATACAGTTACAAAGCTTCTCAGCCGACCGAGAAGGAGAAGGGAGACTCGGGGGGTGATGACCAGATTCCCAACATGGTTGAGAACGATAACGACACAACTTGGAACGCGATCCTCAATAGCAGAGGATGATTCGAGTTCGGATGATATCTGGCGGGTCGTGTCATCTCAATAACGATTTCGACAGTTGGTTGTTTCGAAGGATTCGATTCCAGCAGTCTCTGTTTAGGTTGCATTTGCTCTCGATATCTTTTTGTATTCTCGTGGAGTCACAGTCTCTCCGATCCTGCTGCTGACTGATCCGCGACATCTAGCCTCATTATCCCTCTTACTGAAGTTTTTGCTTTGGCCATTGGAGGTAGAGGAAAGGAAGCGCGTGGAGAAGTCAAGCTGTGGGTGAAGCATGGAGACTTGTGTTCCTCCACAAAAGGTTTATGAGATGAAACTAGCATTGTGCAGAAAACGGCGTTATGTTTAGCCGCAGATTAAAATTTTGTAGACTTCTAGACTGATAGATGAAATGGAGCTTGTTTGTTGATACCCCTTCTGATTGTTTCGCTCCTGCAGCGATATTGTTCGATTCTTAATTAAGCGCCAGAACACGTCTCAAGCCGCGCGCTGCACCTACACAAGAGGAAATCGATTCTTCGATTCTTCGATTCTTTTAATAGCGGTGTTTTCGAAAAACTTACTAAATCGTTTGAGAACTTGCTGTGGAAGTCTCAGCTGTTGTATCATTATTCAGGAAGTATTAGTAGAGTTGGATGGCCCGACCCCAAAAGCTCATCAGTATCGCAAATCTCCACTTTGGCAAAACACGTCGGCATTTGTGTTCGATCCCGAGCATCAAAGCAATTTTGATGTTGCAACAACATCTTGGCAATACACGAGAAGTGAAGGCCGATGCTGGTGTTTTGTAATGGCCAAGACGCAGAAGAGCTTTTGCGTATGCTCGAAGAGCAGAAGAAGCGTATGTCAGACGGGTAAAAGATTTAGTAATAATCCGACCGTCTTGTAACTTTGCTTTCGCTGAGAACGGCACGGTATCTTCATTGCCAATTTTCGAATTTTGAGAACGAATAAGATTTCATGTGCGTTCTTTCCGAGCAATGGAAGCTACGGCTGTTCATGTTGTAGAACATTTGAGTGGATCATCTGAATCTGCGTACATGTCAGTATCTTCAAGTTTTAATCAAGGAAAGCTAATCAAGAACGACATTTCCTCTTCTTGGACAACTAGATGTCAATTCCAGGGCCGCTGTAAAGCACGTTATCTCATCCGCTGCCAGCCCCACCGACGACGGAAATTTAGCATTAATACCACCAATAGGAAACCTGAAATTGACCAAAAAATGGGGTCGCCTGAAGCAGCACCATTTTTTGATAAAGATCGCCAAGACGGTGAAGATATTATAACAACGAGCGATGTTTTACAATGATTCTTTGCCGCTTGTTTGCTTGTTTCTCCTGGCTCATTTATCGCTCCAACCGGACTGTTATACGAATGGGTTGGATTAGTGGGTTTAGATGTTAACAGGTACCCAGCGGAAGAAGTAGTGTCATGATATTGCTGCAGTCACCGTGAAGTGGAAGTTTCTACAAACGTGTGTAAGCAGAATGTCAAAAGGAAATGCCCAGAGAGGCCAATGGAGAAGTCAATGGGCCAGACTTAGGCCCGAAGGCAACGAATTGCAAGTCGAAGGTGCGTAACGCAAGCCGTCTCATGGAATCACAGCTCATCCAATAGACAATCAAAAGTCCAATCAGCAGGTCGGAATACCAGGTACAAGGACCGAAACTGCCACATCGAATTTCCAGTTCGTCAATATCTCGGAGCCAAGTGAAATAGTTGATCCCAAAACCAAGGCATTTGTTCGCAAACATGTGTGGAGGCACCGTAAGAAAGGCGGTAGAGCCGTAACGATAAGACCACTATTGTCGAAAATAGACAAGGGGAATTCGAGTAAGTCCCAAATGACTCCACCGCTGCTGGCGCAGAGTCAAGCTTTACAGCGAAGATTGCTTCCTGCAAGTCCACGGACATTGGTAAGGAATGATTTGGTAGACGCAACAGTGTGAGTATTCTTGCATTAGCTGCCCAGCATAACCATGAACTGATGGGAGGTCTCTCACAGATATCCGGTACCCATGACCGACGAGCTGCGTCAACTTGTATATTTGAGTAAGTTCGACTGCCATTCCGTAAGATGCTCATTTCGTTGACGCACTTTTGATGACAGTGCACAAACAAACGGAAGAAAACGTAACAGCTTTCCGAGATGTGTGGTTTTCTCTGGTCTTATGCGATGAAGGTGCTTTCTTTCAACTCATGAGTACCGTGAGGTTCCACTACGGAAGATTATATGGAAGATCAGATGAGGCGGGCCAGGAAATGGCAGCGGCATATAACATCAAGGCTATCCAGTCAGTCAATTCCAGACTAGTCAATGTTGCTCAGAGTACCACTGAGGAATTGATCGGAGCAGTAATCTGCTTTCTAACGTATAATGTAATGATACTGCCCGTTGTCGAATTGGAAAATCTGACGTAAGCAGCACATAACCCAAAATGTGCCAGTCTACGCAATGCACAAGGCTGGCATAGCGCGAATAATCAGTCTTCGAGGAGGGATCAGCACACTGGAAGCGAATTATAACGTGCGGTTGATGTTGCTTTGGTAAGTAGTTCTGTAGTTTCCCCATTAGTGGCGATTGACAGAAGCAGGGACGACGTGTGCGGCAAATTTGCATTCAACATACCACCATCTTTCGGGCTTCCAATCTCTCTTCTGCCGCCACCACTACACGATCTAGACACCATATCCTACAAGAACCATTCATCGTGCTGGGATGTCTTCGCGCCAGATTTTGATGCTATCGATGTGTTCAGCGACCTTCGCGCGCTGAGCTCCGTAATCGAAAAGACACAGCCAGAAATCTGGCTGGATCCTAACTTCCTCGGCCTGTATGTGAATCCTCTAGCTTTGCGTATACTATCCATTGGCGAAAAGGCAGATCCGACGAGTTTGTTGAGAGCTTGTAAGTTAGCAGCAACACTCCATATTGCAAAAATCCGACAGAGATGTATGGTATATCACATTACAGGTCCACATTTCGAGGAGGAATTGCATCAAATGCTCGAAGATGGGCTCGTAGACTGGGAAAACCGCGTCGAAGTTGAGCTCTGGGTGCTCATGACTTTCGCAGTCATCACAAATGCGCAACGGCGACGAGGTGTTCTGGGTCGAATTATAGAGATAGTTGAGTTGTTGAGGATTCAAAGCTTTCTCTGTCTGATTGAAAATGTTTCGAAGTTCGTTTGGCTGGACAGTGTCGTAGAGACAGAGAATTTGATACTCGAGATAGACCTTCGAAGAATTCAAGAAAGAGAAGGAAGGTGGAAAAGAGTGAGCGAGCGGCAACCAGAATGAAATGGCTCGGAAGCGATACGAACCAGAAAATAGACGAATCAAAGCACCTGGAAACACATCAGCTTTTGACTGTCTAGGGTAATCGAATACCCCAAAACGATCAATTTTCCCGTTAACATGCTTCAAATCAATCCCGTGATAAATGCGTGAGGCGCATGCATTGGATTATGATTTTCCACATGAGGTTAGACTGGGAAGTGAGTGCAGCTCGAGGCTGGTTTTCCACTTATTGACATGCAATTCTGGATCGAAGAAAAAGCTATGCTTCGTCGTTGCTTTCAGATGTTCGCAGGACCGACGTGATGAAGGTTGTCCAAGTATAATCAAACACCAGCATCACGTGATGACGCGATTGACTTCCACTCACGTCGTGAAGAGAGCCACCATTGTCCTGAAGACTTGTTAAATGAAATTGAACTAACAACAAATAATCGCAAGTAGATAATATAAGACGTGATCACGAGATGTCTCTGTCATAAGATAAGTTGTTCGAGATCAAAGTCGGCCCCACCGCTGCCCTTGTCAAAACTTTGGCGCCAGAAGTCGCGTCACCAAATACGGACCGCGACTTACTGCACACTTCCGTTAAAGTACAGAGACCACCCCAGAACAACCAATCTGCAGAAACAACACAAGCCTCCCAATACTTCGAAGTTTCACTTTATGAAATCTGACTAACAAATTCACTTTCAATCTTCTTCTCAACTTTAACATTCTTATGTCAACTCACAACTAGAAACGCGTCTTGTCAACTGCAGTATACCACTGGCGCCGCAGCAGCATCACAATCTCTGGGCCACAATTCAACTGCCTCCTACTATGAGAAACGCGCAGACAAGTAGCCACGATGTACTTACCACGGCCCCTGATTTCGACGCTGTATCATAACCTTCAACAATCCTACCATGGCCTGTCTTCGCGCGTTCAAATACTCGTTGCTCTCGAACCCGACGCATTATGTGGGTGCCGCATACTCGCCCAATTGTTCAGACGGGACTTCATCCAATTCGATATACACCCAATTGCTGGTTATAGTGATCTGCAAAAAGCTGGCACGAAAATGGTACAGCCTATGATGGAGAATAATGGAGGCACTGGTGGAATTGTGGTATGTTTGGGCGTCGGTGGACTTGTTGACCTCGGGGCTTTACTGGGCGTCGAGGGGGAGGATAATGAGACCAGTTATGGGGGCGTGGAGGTGTGGGTAATTGACGCGCGAAGACCATGGAATCTAGGAAATGTGTTCGGCGGACAACCTCAGATAAGCCCCGTCGAAGAAGGATTGGAACCAACAAGCCAACCACGCGTCGAAAACGGAAAGATACAGAGAGGCTATAAGCGGGGTATGGGGGGAATCATTGTGTTCGACGACGGGGACATTGAAGACGACTTAGAAAAGGAACAGGATGCGTACATGGCTTTGCTAGACATGCCGGAAGTCGATGACAATGGGGACAGCGGTGGTAGCGACACTGAGAGCGAAGACGAAGAACAGGAACCACAGTCACGTCCAGGACAGAAAAGAAAGTCTTGGTCAGATCGAGACGACGAAGACGAAAGCGACGAGGATGCTGACCGACCCAGGCAGCGGAGGAAAAGCAATAGGGTACGTTGTAAATTTGTATCCATCGAAGAACACTAGCTTACGAAATTGTAGTCAAGTCCAATTCCTGATTCTCCAACCCGGCCCAAACAGAGAGGGCTCCTTTCTCTGAATGGACCTCCCGAATCGGTAGCGGCCGTTTCTCGATCGGTATCCCCCACACCAGCACAACCACCTAAAGGCCCATCTACTCGAACGTTACGTCGGCGGCTGCTCAAATTAAGGAGAAAGAATGAGTCTGTTTTGCAAGCGTATTACTCGCTTGGTGCGTCGTACTCGGAACCAATATCATGCATGATGTATTCTTTAGCATCGGAGCTCGGTAGAGAAGACAACGACCTTTTATGGATGGCGATTGTCGGTGTGACGTCTATGGAACTGTACGGTCGATCTTCAATAGGAGTTGCGGTTACATCTGGAAAGTCGACGACTGCGGCCTCGGGATGGCTAGGGACAAGAGGTTCGCGGATGAGGCAACTTTTACGAGACGAAGTTCGTCGTCTCAATCCTCCAGAAGTCTCGGACTCCAGCTTTTCCTCGAATCGAAACATGTTGCCTGAGAATAGCGGTATAATCCCTACCACAGCCAGGAGTCCTGATGATAGGAGCATACGCCTTTCCCCCGAGCCAAAATTTCTTCTTATTCGGCACTGGAGTTTATACGACAGCATGTTACATTCTCCTTACTTGTCTGCGAGACTGCATATCTGGTCAGATGGTGGACGAAAACGACTCCACAAATTACTTGCGAAGATGGGTGTGAGCCTTGTACAGTGTAAACAGAGCTACACGCATATGGATATGGAGCTTAAACGTGGATTACGAACGAAGTTGCTCAAATACTCTGAAATGTACGGCTTGGATGACTTGGTGCCTTCCGCGGATACAGATGGACGGGATCGAGGAGGGACTAAAGAGGGTTGGGGCTTTGTGAAAAGCTGGGGATGGCAAGCTACTTTGAGCGCCCAAGATGTTGGGGTGGTCGTAGGAGCGATCCTTGAAGTTGGAAAGCAGGCTGTCAACACTTTGCAGTCTGGAGGCTGGGACAGACCACCAGACGCCAGAGAGACTACTGATGAGGATGGCACGTTAGAAGGCGAAGAGTGGGTAGGGCGATTCTGGGACGCCTATGATGCCCTCGAGAAGTAAGTCATGATATCCATCGTTGATGCAACATTTCTAACAAGATTCTAGAGTTGAGGAGCTGAAGGCAGCGTTACCCACTGCGCAACATCTCCACAGAGCCATCCTGAGAACGGGAACTTCTCTCTTGGAGAAACGACAAATTCGCCATCTGAGAGCATTCAGGATGTGTGTTGTGAAAGATGGACCCGATGTCGCGCTATTTACACATCCCGCGGCACTTACGAAACTTGCACTATGGCTTGGCGAAGCTCTAGCAGAATTAGAGCGAGACAAGAAAGGCAAACTAGGCCACGGCGGGCGAGGTACACCTCTCGTGGTTGCTGGCCTAAATGAGACCAGGGGAGTATATGTCGTCGTGGGCACAGGAGGAGGAGGAGGTGGTGGTATGGGATTTGGCGATAAAACAGCCGCCAAAGAAAAGAAGGAAAAACGGGAAGCTAAGATTCAAGCCCGGGAATTAAAGAGGAAGAACAAGGAAAAGATCCGCGAAGAGAAAAGGGAAGCTCGGAGGCAGATGGCTGGAGACGACGAAGACGAAGAAGACGAAACGGAATCAGAAGGATCGGACTCATCATCCGACGAAGAAGAAGACGAAGAAGAGGACGAGGCATCGCAAGTCAAGGGCTTCGGTCGCAATAAATTCGGGAACGCGTTCCAGGAAGTCGTGGAGGAGACCAACGCCCGCGTACGGATTGACAGTTTCGAACACTGCGTTGTGGAAGTCAAGAAAGAGGATCTCTCCGGTTTTCTCGAGAGCTTGAGCATGAAAGCTGTGGTCGGATGATCGTCCTTCGGCATTTTGTAGATACGCGCATATGGTGTTTGGTTGATTTTTCGGGATGGAAAGCAGGCTTTTTCTTGGGTTTGCATTTTTCTTGTGCATTGCGTTTTGGAGTAGGAGGGGGTTGGCTGGATAGTATACCGTTATGTTGCATTATGGAATGAATCGTTACCTACCTACCTAGGTACTTTGTTATTTTGCTTTTCTCGGCGTCGTGATGAGTGTGTTGATTGCTAGTGTGTTCTTTCCGCCAGTAGTCCTGGCTGCTCCTTCCTTCCCTCAACATCTCCCACGTGCGCCGTCCCAAGGACGTAAAACAATTTCTTGCATTTCTCGAATATCTATTGGACTTCATACCGCACCGTACGAAAACGAGAAGATCTAATCTTATTTCTGCATTTCTAATTCGAGATCGGACTCGTCGCAATCATGAATCCCTACGTAACTCCTTGATTGGATGTATGCAGGTCGCTGCCTGCTGCAACTCGATGCGACCCTGCGCGAGGCTGCAGGTAGGATATACATCCTTCCTAGAATTCATCATTTCTATTTTCCAAATATATCAAGATCAATTAGCCTCAACACCTGAGTCATCTCTTATTAACAGGTTACTTAGGGCTTTGCTGGCAGCCAAGTTGAGCGTCGCGACGATGGCAGACACCATAGGCGCCCAGATTGAGCCTGCCGTGCGCTTCAGCTACAAACCGCTCGAGTCCCCAGACAGTATTCGTTTGCTGCTACTTGAGGCTCCGTCGGACGATCATGCTGAGATTATTACGGGGCATATACAACATACTACTCTTACGCAATGCGAGCGCGACTTGATCGAGCCTTATACGGCGCTTTCGTATGTGTGGGGCGATGCTTCAATTACAAAAGCCGTGCTAGTGGATGGAGCCCCCGTACAGGTCACAGTTAATCTGTTCAACGCTCTTCGAGATATCAGGGACCAAAAAAGGGTAATGAGATTGTGGGCGGACGCTCTTTGCATCAATCAGAGTGATAATGAGGAGAAAGCGTTGCAAGTGGGCTTGATGGGTCGAATCTATTCTGTAGCGGGAAGCACTATCATCTATCTGGGTAGTCCGATATCCAACGACAACATTGACGGCGTGAGCAAAGCAATCGGTCATGACTCCTTGGATAGATCTAAGTGTGATGATATCTTGAGATCGTCATGGTTCCGGAGAGCATGGGTATTTCAAGAAGCGGTTTTGTCTCGCGACCCGAGAATACAATTTGGCAAGTGGAGGTGCAAGTGGGATGATCTCGTTAATTTCGCGTCTCAACAACAAGGGATTGAAAATACTGCTCAAGCAGGGAACAGGGACATACCTCTAATAGCAGACTATGTCGAAGTCCAAGCTTATCAAGACATCACGTCAGCAAAAGCTATCTTGAACCAGATGCACAAAGCAAAAGCTGCGCTTCAAACCCGCCACCGGTTTGGTTACGATGCCACTAATTCTATACTAAGGCTAACCCACGCAAGGAGGGGTCTAGGTGCCACTGACCCTAGGGATTTAATCTTTGCCAACATTGGAGTAGCAAATGATGGTAAACAGATCCCCTTGAAGGTTGATTACACGAGTGACTGCGTCCAAGTTTACCAAGACTTTGCTCGTTATCAGATCATGTATGGAAACGGTTATGAGGTGTTTTCGTGTCTTAGTGGCCGACGCTGTGGTAAATTGGCTGAGAGTCTCCCGAGCTGGGTGGGTTCTTCAAACCTTATAGTCAGACATATGTAGTTTTAATTTTCGTTAAGTGACTTACAGCTCCTAAATAACTCGATATTTTCAAGTACGCAGGGCTAACACATGATTCTTTTAGGTCCCCGACTGGACGGACTCTGCTGGTGGCCAATGGGAAGATTTAACTAGACTATGTAACGCATGGCTTACTCTTGAGAGTCCTACGGGGAACAACCCATCAAGTAATGTGTTCGCCGAAGACGGAATCGAACTTAAAACTAGGTATTATGGACATCCTGACAGGTGTAGATGGCTCCACAATTATTCTCGGCCTGCATGTCGTGGAAAGGCACTAGACAAAGTTGTCCGCAAAAGCGAACCCTTTCATCCAATCCGGGACTGGATAGAAATCGAGCATTACCCCTCTATTGGCCTTCCCTCTTGTTCAGATAATATCGCATGTTATCAGAGGCTTAGAAAACTACATGGCGATATCTTACCAGAAATTATCATCTCACAAGATGGTCGACCGAGTCTTCCGGAAAGAGATCACAGTTATAACAAGGTGATGGCGTGGAGCCAGACCCTTGGCTTCATAAAATTGAACATCACAAAGGGGTTGTCTGAAGAGTATGTGCTTCTTCGCTTAGAGAGCGGTGGTCTCGCCTGGGTACTTGCTAGCGCACAACCTAACGAGGGGGATTTGATTATTGAAATCGAAACACTTGGAATCAAGAAAGGCTCTGTGGTTGATGATGAACTCGAATACTGTGGTGCACGAACAGGGTTCTACTTAATTCGAAAATGTCCAACCCTTCTTGAGGACAGCACATATCACGAATTACACGAAGAGCTTCGGGAGCAATTGGAGATGAAAAAAGAATATTGGGAGGGGAGAACTTTAATAGCCATTTGTGAGAAAGATTACTGTAGTTACAGCACTGATTTGTTGGTGCCTTGTCAGATCCTGATGACAGCTATTCCACACTTCCCAGATAAGCTTATAATATCTCGATCTTCATTGGAACAACAATATTTCCTCTTTCTATAGTATGAGGAACTATTTCAAATCTTATATAGACCACTCATGATTATGTTCTATAGTTCGTACAATATAGATAGGTTTAAGCCTTTCTAATACTAAGTTTAGTTAGTCTTGTAGTGTATAGGAACTACTAGCCGAGCTCCTGGCCATTCTACCTCCACAATGGGTGAATTATTCGACGAACCAATTTTTTATGGGCTCTGCTAAATCTAAATCGCTTTTTTGATAAATCTAAATCGTTACATGACAAATACTAATATAATTTCGAAACTCGAAGAGAATAATATTAGAATACTAGTATAAGTAATATTAATTACTTTAGATACTTAACTACGTTTTATTTAAGAGATAGCTCTATAAAAAGATAAGTAATACTAGTAAAAGTTACTTTTTAAAAGTATATATTAAGTAGTAAAGAGTCTCGACTCGCTTAAATAATTTATATTAATAATATAATAGAATTATTTCTAGGTATCTTTTAGAAGAAAATAAGTATAATAGTATCTTTCGTTATCTTATAAATAAATTCTATATTATAGTAGTAAATATCGAGCACCTTTAGGGAAATCATGTAACGATTTAGATTTATCAAAAAAGCGATTTAGATTTAGCGGAACCCTTTTTTATTTGGTATCGATATCGAGTATTACATCAGGTATAGTGTTTTCGTCCAAGTGAGGCATTTACATTCAATAATACCAGAATAGACACGAACCTTTAGCAGCAGAAGTTTGGACGCATACGTTGCGACTGCGCATCTGTCAATATACTGGAAATTTATGCTTTTCTCGAGATTAGTAGATCTTCTTGACAACTCAAACTCCCATGTATATAAAGGGCGCCCACACAACGGGCTGATCATCAAACCTCATCTCGACCCCCTCAACCCACCGCGCCGCTTCTCTCAGAGCACGAACCGCTTTATGCAATCCCTCAGCGGCTTTCCCATAATCAATAGTACCATCAACACCCAACATATTCTCCCACACGATCTTGGAAACCATTCCGCTCCTCTCATCATCAACTTGCCATAACGATCCAATTGACCGCGGAAACCCGGCCATTTGAAACGCACCGGTGAGATGGATTCCTTCGTCTAACAGATCTATCGTTCTGTTGCTAGAGGCATGACACGCTGATAGACACGCTAGTTGTGCGTTAGAGAGTTTGAGTACGTTTATGTCTGCGACTGTTAAAGGATTACTTTCCCAGTCCGTGAGGAGGAGAGAAGTGTTTGAGGGGTTGGAGTTGTCGATTATACCGTGGCAGCTGAAGTGGGCTATATTGCAATCCGTGAGAGCTTGGAGAACATCTGTTTTGTAGGCGGGGCTTTTGAAGGTTGTTTTCTGGCAGGTGGTCTCGGGGATGAGGGATAGGAGTTGGGTGACTTCTGGTTCGGCGAAGACGAGGTCTCGCTCGTTTGGTGTAGAGGACATTGCGATGAAGACAGCTTTTTGAGAGCCACTGTTTGTGGAGGTTTGAGATAGTTTCCTCGAGTGGCTGAGAGACTTCATGGTTGTTGAATATGATAATATCACTCTGTCAAGTGCATTTTCGTCCGTCTTACCCGAATGATCACCTGCAGCGTGGAGTGGAAAGATTGACATGAGACCAACTGGAACCCACCAGATTCGCGGCCAGTCCTCTTTCTTACTTGCAATGCCTAGCTCAGATAGAATGGGACCAACCGCATAATCCCAAAGCCATTTCAGCATGGTGTGCAGGAATCTGTTTGTCTTTTTGCGTCTGATAGGACTATCTTCGCGAAGTGTGTCAAGATAAGTCCGCGCCTGTTCGAGAACTGTTGTGTGATGAAGTTCTGGAAGACGGCAATTCCAAATTCTGTTTTTGGTGACGATGAGAGCGTCACTCCGTATAGATGAGACATTTACCGTGACGATTGGTCCAGTCTCGGCGAGGGACTTTAGGCTCTGTTCTGATAATCCGAGGATCAAGTCGTTTAATTGTTCGACTGTGTGGATTTCAAGGAGAATCTCATTCAAACGTTTGGAGGCTGTGATCCTTCGTTCCATTTTCTTTTCTAGGTTAATAGAAGTTTTTGGAGTTGCTAGAAGATCAGTGGGTGGTGAGTCGAGTAAGTCTCGAAGAGCGATGAACTCTGCCGCTAAATCCTTGTCATAATCCTCAAGACAGCTTGTGTCTATACGTGTCTCGAGCTGAAGAGAACTCATAACTCCTCTACTGGCTTCCATGATTTTGATCGCGTCGAAGGTATCCCTACCAGTCTCGAGAAGGATTGAAGCACCAATACTAGCAAATCCAGCAAAAGTGGCGATATTATCCTGTTGATCGGCGCGATTCAGTAGACGAGGACTGATCGTAGGAAGTAGGTTGGTTGTCAACTCCAGAAATTCAATAGCTTTTGTAGGATTCTTTGGCCACGATAATACCATTCCACGGTATCCTGCTGTCACTCTCAGCATAGGAGCTGCCGAATCTAGCTTGAGTGCCAATTCAAAGTTCGTCAAAGCATTGTTAAAATCATCGTCTGATTTGGAGTCACTATATTGGAACCGAAACTCGTAAGCTTTTCCAAGATTGTTCAAGCACATAGCCCTGGTGGAATGATTCTCAGGCATATCAGCTGCAGGTTTTGACAGATTCAGAATAGCTTCGTCAAGGTATCCTCGGTTGCTTGCTGCCGTGAGGTCCATCACAGCTTGGTGGAGATAGCAATTGCCTAGGGTAACGAGGCATAGTTGCTTATCTGATCCCACCGAGGTCTAATGCTTGTCTACAGCATTTAACTGCATTCTCAAAATCTGTGTCTACCGCTCCTGATTTGATGCGGAGCTGATAAGCGTGTCCCAAATTGGCCAACCTCCACACGTACTCCCACTGAGTTGCAGGTGTTATTTCTAGAGCCTCTTGATATATCAATATTGCATCATCTAACATCTTCTGCTCATTCAATCTCTCAAACAATCTAAGCAGAATATGTCCGTATCCTCACAAAGAAGCCGCGTACCCGGGAAGATTGGCATTCGAAATTTGAATCCCCTTCTCCGCTGCCGCCAATGCTGCTTCCAAGTCCTCCAGCGAACCTCGAAGTTCGTATCTAGCTTGTAATGTAGCACCGAGGTTGTGATATATATCTGCAAGCGAACTTTTGTCTTGTGTGTACTCCAAAGCTTCGTTGTGCAATTTTGCAGCGTCGTCGAGAAAGTCAGGTGAGCCATGGAGATCATATTTACGAAGAAAAGCGTTTCCTAGAGCTGTTTTTGACTGAGCTCTTACGTCCGCATTAGTCATGTTTAGCTTCACAGCTTTAGTACAAGCATCAATGCTGGAGTTGAGATCTGCCTCCATACCCGTATGCTCAAATCTCATACGGAAAGCGATGCCCATATTAAACAGAAGTCTCTCATAACTTGGATTCTGTGCGTTCATGGAAGTGTCTGCCGAAGTAAACTGATCGATAGCGTCATCCAAGTCGTCCAAGGTTCTATCCCGCTTGTATTTCGTTGCAAAGAGAATCCCCAGATTGACTCTGAAACTTGCCAAATTTGATAGACCATGTTCTTCCGCCAATATGACGGCGGCCAATCCGTGAGTGGTTGCTTGTTCCAGATAGCCTTCCGACTGTGTCGTTGTGTATAGAGTATGAAGAGCTATTGAGTAGCTGTCCAAAAACAAAGCTTTCATGGGATTATCGTCGTCCGTAGAATCCACAGCCTCTTCGCCATGAGTGCAGGCCTCTTCTAAATCTGATATGGCGTCGTTTATTTCGAAGAAGGTAGTGAGCGCACTGCATAAACTACTGCAAATCTTTGGTCGATTTGCCTTGGGTAAGCTCAACGCTATTCGATATGTCGCGATACATTTCCCAAGGTCGTCTATATTATCTTGTTGGTAGAAACGAGTTTGAAGAGCATTTGCATAATTTTGCAAAACCGCTGGCTTAATACTTTCGGGGGCGAGAAGCGCTGCTTCTTCGGTATACTTCACAAAATCGTCTAAATCGGACGCATCACCTGTCGCTTCGTACCTGTACTGGAAGATGATACCCAAGTTATTTAAGTATCTGGCCTTTTTCGAGTTATCTGTCTCGGTCTGTGCTGCCTCTAGGTAAAGTTCTCGAGCTGCTTCGAGATCTTCGGGTAAACGGAGATTTGAATATCGACTCTGGTGGAGTTTGGCAATTTCGAAGAGAGCCCATGGTCGGTCAGCATCGTCGGCGTTATATTTTAGGAGTCCTGTTCGTGCAGCGACGAGTGCGATATCCAAAGCCATATCTTTGCATGCTCAGAAGATCTGCGGCTTATGAGTATCGCTAGCTTACGAAGCAACATGCATTCAAGATAAGTAGGGGTATTGCGATCCTTTCATTCGGGAAGATTTATCGTCACCTCGAGAAATTCAAGTGTGGTTGAGTATTTGTAGCGGTAGGACAAAGATTCCTATAAAGCAGAATGTAAAGAAAAAGAAACCACTCGTACGACCCCAGTTCGTGGCTTGCACAAGGGTCTGATGTGAACCAGTGAAATGTTGCGATAGTGAGGCAGATAAAACAAGGCTCCCATCGTCTTATCATCTCTTTGATTTTTCACCAACAGACCAGCTCACAAGCAACAAAATGTCAAACATTCCGCTTTCAGTGTTTATGAACGGGTATTTGGACCCAGCCCAAGTCGTCCTAGGACGTCTGGTGCTGGACATGAAGAATCCTGGGCAGAACTTTTGCCCACATGGAGAACTCCAACTCAGGAAAGACGTCGACTTCTCCAAAGCACCTTTCTCAAATCTGAAGTCACTCGCAAACGCCGAATCTCCTTCTCATTTCAAAGGAGCTTTGTCGAAGATCCTCAACGTCTTCGCAGAACGGTCCAGAACCTCGGTCGACGATATCTCAACAAGTGCTGCGACTCGCTATCAGCTACTCAACGTCAACATCCAATTTGAATCGATCTTCAATAACGACGAGGGCAAAAAATGGCTAGAAAAAGTGATTCTGACTGGTAGCGAGGTATATATGGTTGTCGGATTACATACTCTCCAAGACGCCTCGATTGGTCTGGATTGTGCTGCTTCGAGCGAAGCCGGAGCGACGCTCCAAGCACCAATCGCAGATAGCCTTCTCCCCGGTGCTTCTGCGATCCCCGGAGCAGCCCTCGATGCTAAGTTTGAGGGTGGGGTTAACTCGAAAAGCTCGCTAGGAGCTTCATTCGTGGCTCCAGGGGAGAGAATTATCGCAGTCCAATATCAGAGGGTCAAATTCCAGATGTCTTCATCGAAAAGTCCTAAAGGTATCGCGGATGCTATATTGGATAAGAAGACGGTATGGAAGTCATTTGGTTCAGCTAGAGGTGGAGCTGACTTGGATACTTTTGAGGCTACGTTAGTGGAGAAAATGACGGAGGATGACATTGGGGAGGATGTTGAGGTTGAGGGCACTTGTGCTGACAATGGTCAGGTGTTTGCCATCTTGTTATGAAATAAAACTTTTTCATCGAGCACGAAAAAGATACACACGAGCTTCCATAAACTCAGAGAGATTTCTTGTCGGTGGGGATTTCTAACGATAGTGTGTAATCAAACAGTTTTGTCTACTTCGTGCGTGATTAAATATTGGGATATAGCCTGCGGCGAATTTTCGCAACGCGCTTAGTTTTCTTCAAATGCGCTAATGTACTAGTTGATGCTCAAATCAGTGGATCTTCCTTACCTTGGCTCCGCTCAGAAGTTATAAAACGGGCGGATCCACTGATTTCATGACCGAATACTAATGGCTCGTTCATTCGTCGTCGTTTCCGGTCCCTTTAAGTTATCAAGGGCCACCCAGTTTCGGTCTCTCCAGCTATTGGAACTACCAGTGAGGACACCACCACCCTGTTTTGTAGTATGTTCTAAAAGGATACACAGATCCAATGGCAGAGTGCAGATTTCAAAATTATTCCGAAAAGATTCACGAAAAATACCTATTTAATGCCTATTGGAAAGTTCTCACCACCGATTCTTAAGTTGCTGTCGATTTCCAAGTATCTCCACACAAATTAGAAATGACTGAAGTATAGCGTGAATATGGCAAAACCTGTCGACATTGAACGTCGAACAGCAAGAGAAGCACTACTTTGTAGGTACGTTCAATAAAGTGAGTTCGTGTCTCGGCAAAGGGACAGACCCTCCCCCGAATTGCGATCATTTTCTGTGAAGCCAAATACTTAGATAAAACCGGGGTTTTAAGTGGTGGTACGGGAAAACTGGCTTAATAACAGGTGTACTTCAAAGATCTTTCTTTGTTTTGATGATCACTGACTACGGGCTTTCTCCATGGAGCCAGGTATCTTTCATTCATAAAGTACTTAAATGCTCGAAGCCTCATTTTGTCTCTTTCCGGGAATTTAACAGCGTGGAATAATATCAATCGAACATCTACAATGTAAAAAATACAAAATTCTGTTCAATAGCTGAATAGAAATCCGAAATTGTGGTAAATACATTTGTTATTTTATTTATATGGAAACTTTACCCCTAAATATGCTTGGATGTACGTTTGAAGAAAGAGAGAAATAAATTGTTAGTGCGGTGTTTGTAGTGACCTTCTTCATTCATTATAACCCTGCGTTAAGCACTTTCACATTTGCACGAGAGTGCTGCTATAAGCTGTGGCAAAAAGCAAAAACTTAATTTTCAGAATTTATCATATTGAAATCAAATCCATATGTGTATCTAAAAATGCAGACAATTGGGCTACGTCGATTTGTGTATGCAATGGGAAGTCTGCCACCGAATCTTAGTTTGCTGCCGATTTCGTAGCAATCAAAAGTGATTCAATTTGAAAAACCAGAATAGATTTATTGTGATAGGATTTCATGGGGAAAAAGCTCAAGATACTCTGCATAACCTAGCTGTGGTGGAATAAAACTGGAGAAGGTAGTTACACAGAAAAACAACAATGAGATCTAGCAGAGCTATGTGCTCTCACGTATCTGGATACCTGCTTGATTGGCGCTTTTTATATTATGAAAGTAAGTGTAGTTCATGACAGAATTTCTTGTTTCGTTGCGCCAAATAGTAAAATCCAGCTACTTTCTTTCACCTGATATATGCTCAGATCTGGAGCGATACATAGCCATCAAGTGTTAGATATGTGTTTTCCCAATAAGGGCGTTACGTCCGAAGAATTCGACGACCTCCCGGCAGAAGACCCGAAACACAATTTCGTGCACAGTCCTTTTAAGAAAAGTACGAAATATATACAACTACTAGAATCCAAGCGGACTATAGAACTTCTTAATCGTGCCCATTGTCAAATCGATATTCAACAGTTAGGGTCAAAATCTAATTTTGGATCAATTTTCATCTATCATCTGTGTGTTGCGTGTTGAATGTAAAGAGTGCAAATTTCTTCAATCTATGCTCCTTATTTCAATTATTCCCGAAAGATCGAGCTTTTGTTGTCACCGTTTAAGAATCTGTTGTCGAAATCCAACTTCATTATATGTCGGAAAAAGATCGTCCGGTATTTAACTCTTTACATCGCAATTCTATCATGAAACCGAAGGTAGATTTTGGCATGACAATAGACGGATTGCATATGTGAACGAAAACCTCTATAACCTAGGTCTGTACTCGCAAATTTTGTTGCCACACCTGTCAATAATTTTCAAGAAGTATTCTTTTATCTTCTCCTTCCCACGAAGATGGCCGATGGAGAGTAATTCGCTTTACAGACTGGAAAAATAGATTGGTGTGGGATGGATCGCCTAAGCTTTCCTTTTTGAATTTCTGTTTAATCTAAGAATAGACTTGACAAAAATAGACATGGAGAATAAAATTACAATATTACAGTGCTAAAGAGTTAGTGAACCTACCACACCCGCTTACATCATCAGACTTCAACTTTCTTAATCCTTTCAGCATTCACCTTCTCAACCCTCTCAAAGATCCCCATCGTATGATCCCAAACAACACCACTAACACCGTTCTCCATATACTTCGCCAAAACCTGCTTCCTCACCGCCGGCGCACCAGTCCAATTCCCAAGATATCCACCACTCCCCACCACCCCATCCGTTCCCATCGCAACTTCCATCCCCTTCGGCCGCTTCATCCCAGCACTGAACCCCATTCCAGTCTTCAACGGCGGATAAATCCCACTCGTCGCAAGAAACAACTGTCTCGCCCCGGTCTCGTCATTGCCAACGAAAAAAGGTTTGAACAAAGGCGTTGCAATTTTTACTAGCGTGCGTGCCCAGAATGGCATTTCTCTGGATAAACCGGTGTTTACACTACTAGGGTATGAATGTACGAAACTTGTTCCTGTGTTTCGTTTTGCGAATTCGGTGGTCATGAGACTGTTCATGGTGATGGTGTGATCTGCACATTTACCGAGTGAGAAAGACTTTTTGAGTTCGAGATCTGAGAGGTTGATGGTTGATTCCCAGCCGGCGCTTAGGATTGAGAGGGAGCGTGAGAAGTGTGGTGCCGTGGTGCTGGCGGTTGTGAGAAGGGGAAGGAGGTTGTTTATAAAGCGCATGCGAGAGTAGTAGCTTAGCGACATTTTCTTGTCGATACCTTCGTGTGATTCTGGTACAGTTAGTAGCTTGCTCAAATATTGTGAGGGATTATTATACCATCTCTTCCGGACATGGCCATATTCCCTTGACTTTGCACAAGCAAATTTATTTTCGACTCCTTCTTCATGATTTCTTTGCATACACGGTCGACTTCTCCTAACTCCGATACATTGGCAGGCAGAAATTCCACTTTGCCATCTTTGTTCAGGATCTGACATTCTTGAATGATCCGCTCTGCTGCTGGTGCTGAACGACCAATCAGATAAACACGAGGTGAAATTGTGTTTTGGACGAAGGCTTTGAGTGTATATTCTCCGATTCCACTGGTACCACCAACTATTGAATGTAAGCAAGTAAGATATACAAGATCTTTATATAGAGCTCACCAAATAGAGCTACAAGACCAGGACCCAGCTCTCTTAGCTGAGCATTCGAAGCGTGGATGAGATCAAGTGACACCATACTGATTTTCAAATTTCGATTATTAAGCCCCTTTCAGCAAGAAAACTATTTGTATCCAAAGTTGAAGCGCAAGTTTTCCTGAAGAGTTTTTTAAGAAGTTCGAAAGTCGTTTCAAGTATTTATAAGGGCGCGCAAACTGGCGGCGTATCTCATCACCGACCCAGGTCAACGTGGAGAAACATGCCTAATGCAGGTGGCTCACCATCAATTTATGCGGATGGCTCACACAAGTGGGCCCAGTGGATCACATCAGCCACCTGTGCACGGTTGTAGTGTCGTACAGAAGCATTCCGAGAAAGATAAAACAGAAACAGACACCGGAATTCATTCGAGTTTTATAATCGAATGGACTGAGTTCAAGGTATTTTGTAAGTCAAATTAGTCAGAAAAGTTGTTGGATTCGGCTGTTGTTGGAAAAAGTTAGGGGGGAAGAAAATCGGCAGCGAGGATTCGCTTGTCGCTCGCTTCGGAACGGGGGTACACTTGATGCCTGGATTACGAAAAGTATTTAATGTCTATTGGGTATCACAATATTTCTAACCCCGTCTATACTCTGTTCAATCACTTGGCTTACAAGGCCTGCCTCAAAGATCATGTATCTTCGACCCCATAGTCCAAACCCTAAACATCTTTCCCTTCCACAAAAACAACGCCGTCCCAAACGCCGTAATGCCAACTCCAAGACCTGTCAACATCATAAGCGGAGGTACGAATCCAGATCGAGCTGCCCAATCATTAAAGAAGAAGATCATTCCGAAACCGAATGTGTTTTTGCAGACCGTGGCTGTGATCATTATTTGGCCGGGGATTTGCTTGTAACAATCTACTGCGTACTGAGAACTGTTAGCAGAGGTGGCAGAGGATGGGGAAAGGGAGAGATTACGGCAATAACTATGGCGGCGATGGAGACGACTTCGACGCCTACAAAGCCGTAGCCAACGACTACGATAATTGGCCAGCTCCAGAGACGGTCATATCCTACAGCCGTGACCTAGGTATATTTAGCAAGTACTCGTCATGTCAGAAGAAAACCACATACCACCATACCAACCAACAAAACAACAATATACGGAATCAAAACCCAAAGTCTCATCTCAGGCTCTCTAACCCCACCATTCCGTCTCGCCAAATAAATACTAACATAATCACTCAACGGCCCGGCCGTCAACAATCCGATCATCCCACCAACCACGAAAGCGAAATTGACGAATCCGACTTGTGCAGTTGTGAAAGAGTATGGTGGCGCAGCGAAGACTTGAGATTGTGTGAGGTTGAGTCCGAGAAAACAATTTGATGCGAAGCCGAATGACATGCCTGCCCACAAGGTGATTGGGTAGAAGAAGATTTTGAGTGGTGCTAGGATATCGCGGATGATTGTTTCTTTGAAACTGCCGTGGATGAAAGTCGGTTTGATGAATAAAGCGAATTGTCTTCTGGAGGGACGGCCTTTGATATGTTCTGTTTGTGTTCGGACCGGGTTGCCGTCGCGTGAACTTTTGCGATAGGAGAAAATGTCTTCCGTACCGGCATTCGAAGAAGCAAATAAGCTGGGTGATTCGACTTTCGGTTCTTCCAGATCTTGGCTTTGTTCTATACTCGAAGACGTGGGAGAAACGACCTTTGCCTTACGAAAATACATCGTCTCTGGCATCATAAACACGAGAGCTAATGTAGTTACCTATAACCCATTAGAAACCCATCCCTCAGACATTCTCTTGGAACTCTTACAGCTTGAAGAATAGTGCAAATCCAAAAGAACCACCGCCATGAAATAGCTGAACCAATACTGCCCGAAATAATCGGACCAAAGAAGATTCCGATCGAAAAAGACCAGCTACACTGCGTCAGCACTGTTTCTCTCAAACTCGACTAGTTCCGGCTTCTTTCTTACAAGTAAAGCCCAACCCAAGATCCTCTCTGATGCAAGAACATAACATCAGCGATCACCATCGGCATGATCGACTCCACCGCACCAGCTCCAAGACCTGAAATAACACGCGCCCCGATAAAGCTTTCGTAGCTAGTTACTAGAGCTTGCCAGACATTCGCCAGTGTACAAATCAATGAGCAGACAATGATTGTCGGCCGTCTACCAAAGATATTTGCGGCGGGTACGATGATGAAGTTGGCGTATCCAAGGGACATTGCGACGGCGCCAAACTGTATCCAGTCAATATTGTCTCAATTCATTTCCGCAGATGAACTTACCAGCATATTGACTTGCGAGATGCCTATGTCGAACTCTTCGGTGAAAATAGGAGTTAATGGCGCGATAGACAGCGGAGTGAGAACCGTTATGAATATGAACACTGCTTGGTTAATTATAACCACCGCTTTCCACGTAGTACTCCAATTCTAAGTATCTCAGTCAGTTTACAACAAACACATCATGAACTCAATATCTTACCAGTGGGTCATCTTCATTGTCGCTCGGTTCAGGAATCAAGCGTATTACGTCTTGATTCCCCTTATGACTGAGAAGCAACTCTGTCCCTGGGACCAGTTTCTGACTGGCATCTGATACATTGTTCGCCATATTGCGGTTAGCAAGTCGTGAAGTGAAGAGAGCGATCTGGAAGGGTCGATGAATCTTTATGAATTAATGTCAGCGGTACCGGCCACACTCGTAGCGCGACGCCGTGCAATGATGATCACTGGTTTTGTCCTGACATCTTCCTGCTGGGCGAATGAGAGAGTCAAGTATGAGGTTCCATGTATGCGAGAAGCATATCGGAGGTCCAAAGATCTTTTGGAACCGTAAATTATTAGTCTCGCGCCAACCGGACTATGCTTTTGTGGAGGAATATCTCCGTCTTTACCTTAATTTCTTTGGATAGCAGGCATCGAAAAATTGTCGTAGAAAAGTAGGGAGGACACTGGATTTTGTTGTATCCCCTAGCTCCCACTACAAAGCCAAAATCATTCTGAATGAAAAGTCTCGCCCCTTTTGCATGTATTTTCCCAATCGCGGTAAATACAAGTTGCAAATGTGATGAATGAGTACCTGGAAATACCACCAACGCCAAGTCTCACCTTCCGCAATGTACACACTAATTATTACCCTGGTAAACATATGCCGAAAGTATAAACTCCACGGGATGACTGTATTGGACAGAAAGCTACTCATGTCACAGAACTAATCGCGGGATCGGCAACCGCTTGCTGCAGATACCCGGTTTAGCAGCACTAGTTCAGAAAAGCAAGCGGATGTCCGAAAGAGGATGTCGCACTCGCGCTCATATATAGATGTGGCAGGCGGAAATTTTAGAGATGATAATGTTCGTCGCTCTGTACGAAAATTGACTCAATCTGTTGTGAAGTGTCACATAAAAGGAATCGAGGCACTGGCACTTGCCACTCGTATATCAATTTTAGAGACAAAAGGGTAAATTATAGTCAATAACGCAGATATTCCATTGCAAAATTGTGTATCACTAACAATGCGCCTATCCATCTCATAAACCGCCACAAATAACGCCAAGCATGACTATGCTACCTTACATTAGGTGGCCTACTTTACTTACTAACAGCATCGGAGACAAGCTTATAACACTCCTTTGGATCTTCGAATACATGCCAAATATTCTCCGGGACGCCCTTGAACGCTTTCTCGAATCTCTTCGGCTCGTTCTTGGACTCGATGCCAACCGCTGCGATGTCGGTGACCTTTCGAATCAGAATGAGGTGAACCCATCCTGGGTGTTTTCGAAAGCTAGAAGAGCATTAGCATATGCGATAAAAATACAGAGCTGAAGGTGTTTACATTTCCCCATAGGCCTCAGGATCGGATTGTGTTGAATCTCCGATAAGAATCATCTTCCTCTTCGGAAACCATTTGTGGACTTTTGACATGCGATCAACCTTATATTCTTGTGTTCCCAAAGTCAAATTCGAAAGTAAGCCGGACAAATTCATCCAGCTCGCATCTCGAAGGATCATGGTGCCTTGCGGGTAATATCGTTGGCGGAAGTCGCTTAAGAAAGAGTACAGGTTGTACGGCGAGGCAGACAGGTAGAACCATGGGGCAGTGTTGGTTACAAGCGTCTGAAGATAGGCATAAAGTTCGGGCATGCCCGTTATAGGAGTCGCATCGGAAACGAACGTCGAGCGGAGAATGCCAATGGGATCGCTGGTCTGAGTGAGTTTGATGGTGTCGTCCACATCTAGAGCTATTTAGCACAGTTTATATTGGCAAATTAGGGGTTTTCACTTACCAGAGATAATACCCCAGCCTTCTGGTTCCGCATACACAGTCTTTGATTCCAAAACACCATTCGCACCCTGGGGAACCTTTGCAACGACCTTTACAACATCCCCTCCCTGGCCATATGGCAGCATTCTCTTAATATCGCTACTGATACCATTTCTTCCACCAGGACCCAGTCTGAGAGTCTCCCTAGTACCAAAGTGAACAATAACCGTCCGGCCAGGTAATATATCCTGCACAAACGGCATCAACCTCTCTTGGATCCTAGCCTCTGCAGCATCGCCCTTTCCAATACCAAGCTTTTCAGCTACATCTGCGACCACGGTACTGATTTCCACACCGCTCTGTTTATCGAAAACCGCAGCCACGAACTCTGCCTCCCACTGTCCCGTCTGCGAATTCCTGTATGCGGTATTGTCTAGAAGCCATACTGTATCGTTCGACGTGATGCTTTTCGGGAGTGGATTGTATGGCCCGAGGTAGGAAAGTAGGTTGCTTGCGAGTGCGGGACGTTTCTCCGATATTGGCGCTTTGCGGATATTGGGTAGGGTGGACTCTGTGGCTTCAAAGTTACGATCATGGCGCGTTTTGTTCTCTAATTCCGTAGCTTGATACATGCCGGCGACTGCGCCTTTAGCTTGCGATAGGTATTTCGACATTCGTTGGTAGGTTGTTGTTAAGTGGTTGCTAGTGCTAGTCGCTCCTGCTTGTAGTAAATAGACTCGGTTGTGGGTATTCGCCTTGATGGATCAAGGAAAGGTTAAGAAAGTAAGAATATCCTTAGGAGAAAGCAAAAGGACCACAAGGCAATTAAATTCCAACAGAAACAGACGAAACAGAAGGGAAGAATAGCAAATGATATCATACTTCCAGGCGCCTGCCCCCAAGGTCTTGACCTGCATGAAGCTATCCCAGCTCTAAGCTCAGCCCTGTGTCAGCCCGTCAGCTGGGCGAAAGGGGTAGTAACATGTGTCCAATACGAGACATTTGCTGCAATATTGCCGGGGCAGATAAAGTACGAGGCAGACGATCGGGCGCCCAGCTTATTTGGATTGCAAGAGTCATATTGTGGTTGATGTTGGCTGTCTGCGCGATGAAGTGAAGCTGCGGTGAGGTTGGGGACAGCTGATGAAATGCGGGGAAATGAGCGAGTCGCTTGATCAGGGGGCGTTCCCCACAAGATCCTCTTTTCTCTTGGAGAAACAACAGCATTGTCGAAATTCTGAACATGAGACATGAGCTTTCCTTGGTGTTTTATAGATTTTTGTTATGTAATATCAGTCATTTGATTGCTCGACGAGATACTTCCAAAACTAATCATTCACCTTAAGGAACGTACCTGCAGTAATGTTCTGTGGATACTCGAACATAGTTCTACACTAAAACGCAATTGCAAACCAAAAGTTAACGTAAACACCTCAACGATGTCGGTCTCCATATTATTAGGTTGATAATTCCCTATCGCCTTGCGACTATCTAGACTCGTTAAAAAGGATCAAGTTCTTTATTTTCTAGTCTAAAGACGTAGTCGTTTTGATGCAGCATCTTAAAGTAGTCGAGGTCGGGGTCGGGATTTGAAACGCGATAATATAACATCGCAGCTAGAGATTATTGCATCTAACATATATCCCAATATTGCAATAGCGCCATAACCCTCGAGACACTTTGGAAGGTCGCTGCTTGGATTAGCGAAGGATTTCTATTGGCTTAATTTTGATGCTCTGTTGGTTGCTCCAACCTCCTACAACTTGGTATCAAACTCACCCACCAAAACATGCCTGCAATAGCCGACTCCTCTACAATGAATCTCCCAGTCGAGGTCCTCGTTCTAGTCCTCAAAGAAATTTCCGACGTAGGTAGTCTTTGGTCGTTCATCCGGACCTCATCCCACATCTACCGTATCTTCCAGGAGCAGCAAGCATCAATCCTGCCGCTGGTGATATCTCGTGAGGTTGGGCCACAGTTAATGGGAGAGGCTCTAGCGGCTCTTCGGTCATCGCGTCTGGTATCTTACGATGAGCCTCAAGGAAATAATAGCTGGATACCGCGGCGAGGTCCCTCTAAATCAGAGGCCTTTGCATGGATTATGGAATACGAGAATGTTATAAACAGAGAAGATGTACCTCCTCCATCTACAGAGGATACATTATCGTTATGGGACTTGCACAAAGATGTCAAGTTCCTGGCCGATCTTTACGTCGGAGAAGCCTTGGATATATTCGATCAGGCATACATAGGCCAGAAGCCACGAGACGCAAAAATTCGGTACACGCTCAACGACCTCTCGCATATCGAGCAACAACGTCTTTTCCGACCAATCTATCGTGTCGTAATATTCCGCAACTTATTTGGTCCCTACGCGGACCCAGCTTCCGATGAAGAGCAGTCAGAGTACTTTCTATGTCGCTTTCCTAGCTGGCAGGTCGAAGAGATCAGTTGTGTAAATGATTTCATACGAGACGAGATATTACGAAAATGGCACGAGTTGGAAGATTATGTATTCCAGCGTGTGTCCGCTGGCATGGGGTTGCAAGATGCTGCTGAGTTCGTGGATGGTTGGGAAAGAGAATTCTTTTCGCAAGATCGGAAGCAGGTGTACTTTCAAGGCCAACAAGCAGTATCCATAAAATGCCTCAGAAGGCTCTTTGAGGCAAAAGATAATGTTCTAGAGGCTTTGGTACGGCAATTTGAACCACCAGATGACTTGGGATGTTCGCTGCTTGAAGACGCCTTACTTGTCGATCCAGCACACTTCCCAGTCGAACTGGAAGGCGACGATTTTAGAGGCGATGCCTATATGGACTATCGGGCTGGAGACGCTCCTTGGTTCACCAAGGAAGATTTTTCGTCGTTCAATATATTCTGGCAATGGTCCAATCAGTGTGATCCGAGGATTGGGATATACTATGATAGCACGTCTGCCTATCCGGACAAGAGTCCGGATTTGGAGGGGTTTCGACGCGTGGGGTATGTGTTCTGGGACCAGGTGCGCAGCGAGAATATGCACAATAGTTGGCCTTGGTGAGTTTATGCTTTTCATTTTCCTTACATTATTACTTGCAAAAGCCGCAGCTAATACGGAATTTCAGCTCCCGAGGATCTGGGGTGAAGATCATGGAAGACTTCCCACGACCGCAGTTAGAGGATCAGGATGTGGGTATGATAGAAAAACTCAAATATTTGAAGGCCAGTGGCGACGAACAAGAGTTCAGCAACAGTGAAATTGTATCATAGATTTATGGTGTGTGGGTAACAATCAAAGCAAAGGACAACACGACGTGTTCTATCGACCGTCTATTTTATCTATTAGATGATTACAATATTATTTGTCATCAAAGCTATGTACAAAAGTCCCTTCAACCGCGCCAGTATTTAGAATCTTTACTTCTTACAAATCTCGGTCACTTTCCGCAAAGTACCCAATCTCTTCCCGACATTTGTCCCTAGTTTCAACACGTCTGGTGCTTGCATATCTCTCGCAATCCTCGCCGCTTTGGCCAAAGCGACCACATCAGCCAGCCCCAAGGGAGCAAGAATCAACCCAAAAATCGCGAGCGGTGCATTCGCGGGGTCATTGACGATGGTATATGAGTCGTACGCTACGTTTCCCAAGGTACCTAGCAATGCGACGATGCGTCCAATGGTTGCAAGACCCGCCACTGCACTCATCACTTCTCCAGCAACTGGTATGAAGAATAAGATCGCGCTGAGAAAGCCAAATAGGATCTCGCTTCTTTTAGCCTTCGCCTCTTCGTCCTTGATTTCTTTGCCGATTGCAGCCACTTTGCTCATATTTTCAACCGCGTCAGCGATCATAGCGACCGGTATTCCCAAGGCATCGACCGCATCCATTGGATCAGCTCCTTGGTAAGAATGTAAGCGTAACGTAAGAAGTAGGTCCTTGATCTGAGGACTGAGGTTCTGAGAATTGGCCAACGCTTTGTTTACGAGATCTTTGGGATTGGCAATGTCGGTTTTGTCATAGCCCTGAGGGGCTGGAACGTTCATAGCCCACTGGCCTACGCCAATACATTCTTCTGCTGGAAACCCATCGCAAGGGTAATTTTGAATATTTTTAAACGCAATACTATAAGGTGATAGTCAGTCGACCGGCCACTTGTACTACATGACCAATGCAGCGGCGTAAAAGCTCGGTGGGTCGTGACTTACTTGTCAGGTGTAATGCCAGTAGCATTCGTCAAATCCGTCCAGAAATTACCGATTTTGTCTTCTTGTAAGGTCCAATATACACTATCAGTATAAACGGGTCCTTGCGATCCTCGCAAAGAGTAGTCTGGAGGACAAGGTTCGGTAACATTGACGTATTTGCTGTTGGACTTTGGTTTTCCACCGCTATCTATTATGCCAACACTCTCTCGCACCCTAAGGCTTGCGGCATGCTCGTCAAATATTTTCATTCCAGAACCGATCGTGAGTGGCTCATCTCGTCTTTTGTGACAAGCCCCATCTATGCAGTACCTACACGCTGGAGCGTCAGGCTGAGGGTTTTTCTTCCGGCATTCTGAGCAGCATGTTTCAAATTCTAACACGACGCATGTGAAATACTTGTTGCCGTTACCAGTGTAAAAGTCGACGACGTTTTTGCTAGCACTCTGTTTGGTTGATTAGCCACTGCACAGAGAGTAATATTTGGGTGCTTACATCAACAACTGCACCTGCATAGACATCGAATTTCTCATCATATCCGTGTGACATAATGTCAGAATAATTAGCGAGAGCCTTCGAAAGCAAAGCGTCCATAGCTTGCACTGCGTAAAGCGCTTTACAGTTGGGTGGCATGGTATCTGCATCTTTTTCCAACTGTTCGAACGTTGTGTAGCTCTCTGAACATGTTGGAAGAGGCTCACCGCCAAACATCTGCTCGTCAATTTCATCTTCAGTCTCTTCCATTGGGCTAGCTGTATCTCTGTTAAAGGACTGGAGATCTACGGCCCAATCCACACTTCCACCAAAATTAAGCTTTTTAAATAAATCCTGTCTCCATTTTTTGCTGTTGTCCGACAAGTAGGCAACCCACTCAGTTTCTAGATCGGAAATGTGTTAGTAATGATTAAGCTTTCAATAATATACATAATTAAGGGCACAGTACCTTGATAAACAAGTATATCAGACTCTGAGCCGGCATCGTAATGAGTAGTGGCGTTGTCGCTCCATGCGATAATCCTATAGCAACACCGAAATTAGCCTGAATGTGTATTGTAAGAGCGAATTTCTCCACAGGTAGAGACGTACTGATCGATCTCAGCGTTTGCTAGGATACCTGGTGTTCCTGTACATTCGCCTTCCGCTGCCAGAGAGGTAGGGCCTTCGAAACTGCACGTAGGACCGCTACATAGAGATTCTGACATCTTGAAAGATCTACCATAACTGGAAACGCCTATGTTCACCTTATTTGATGGAACACCTGCTTTTGTAACTTCACACAATACAGAATTAGCCTAACTATCCCTCCGAAATAGGCTAGAATACTTACTCATAGCAAGAGCATACATGGTCTCGGTCATATTGACTAAAGAATCAATTAGCCTCCATCAACACTATGGAGTCCAATCCAATTACCATGGCTACGCAGACAATTTCCTTTAGGGCAACCAGATGATGACCAGGAATTACGATAATCCCACTGACCATGCAAATCGTATGTCATGTAGACAATGTAGTCGATTGTTTTCGCTATTTCCGCAATTGGGAAAGCCTTCAGATACCAATACGAGGCTGGCGCAGCTATTGAGATAATCGATGGTGCGGGAAGTAGAATCCTCAACTGCTTGAGGAAACCAAGATAGTTTGGAGCGTCAGAATCTTTGCCCGCAGGGATGCCGGGCAAATCGGGAGCCTTTTGAGATGTCAGTCAATTCCCGAAACAAGATATACAAGGAGCGTCTACACCTGGATACTCCCAGTCAAAGTCTACTCCATCTAGTTTGTTATCAGCAACAAATTGCGTAATTGCTTTGGCAAAATTTGCAGCGTTGGATGGCATCATAGCTTCCCTCAAAAGATCGTAGGTTTCTGGGGAAGTTGAGTATCCCCAGCCTCCGAAGGAAATAATTTTCTTGACGTTCTGTAGCGCCGTAAAATTCGTAAACTGCTTATTGGAATCGTTCACCGAAACAGTAAAATCCGAGTTGACCGTTCCAAATGCCCAATGGAGATGGGTGAAGATATTAGTGTCGATATCTTGCACTCGACGATGGAGACAAGGTCGATCCCAGTTCCAAGCTTCATAATAGCCAACAGACATTGATTTCTCGGGACCAGTAAGATTATTTGTGATGTTTGTTCCGCAATTTTGTATGCAGCTGTTTTTGCCTGGTGGCGAGGTTCCAGGGTTATTGGAAGGGCCTCTTTCTTCAGTACAAAACTCTGGATCTGTAGTATTGAGCGGATCAGCACACGTATGTTAAAGCATGAAGACTTAATGTTGGAAGATTTCGCGACTCAAGGCATGGAAGCTTTGAAAAGGACGATGCAATTAACATACCGATGCCACATTGACCCCACACATTACAACATGCATTTAATGGGCAGGGACTCAGGTCCGACAGATTTTGTGTCCCATTAGGAGCCACTGTCCCAGGTTTCGTTGGCCCGCAAAGAGCATTCGTAACAGGTGCTGGCATAGGTGGATTGCCATCGCTGACACAAATTGTCGTTCCAACCATGATGTTGTTGCAACCGCTCCAACCCCATGTCGTACCGTTGTTGAAGTCCTCGATCTGATTGTCGTTGAGACCATTAGCTTCAGCAATTTTGAAGCAGTTGTCGTCAGCCGCAATCGTGTAGGTCGCGCAAATCCCGTCGGCCTGCTTCTGCGGCTTTCTGTCCGGTATAGTACCGATCTCGCAACATACCAATTGACCAGCTTGGAGTTTAGAGCATAAGTTTGGATCAGAATTGAACTTCGTGAACTCTGAGGGCAATATGGAGCACTGGCAAATGAAAACTTGTCAGTTTGTTATTCCGATGAACTTATTAGGTAGTAGGCATTCAAATAGCGACCCACCTTAGATGCTAATGACTCGCAGTTATCTCCAGAGGCTACGGTCATAGTCTGGCAATCGGATCGGGAAGTTAGAACCTTCAGACGACGGCCACTAATTGAAGGCTGTGGGAAGGTATGGTGAACCTCCCAGACACTGACTTGCTCAATCTGCGGGGTTTCAACCGAATCTTCAACACATTTCCCTTCGCTCCAAGACTTTACTGTATTCTGTAGCAGAGTGAATGGCTGAGAAGAGGTGCTCGTGATGACACCAAATACTGTGTCTGGCATACTCAACGGCCCACATACTTGGGCCATCATGTCTGTCGCGCCTTCGGATTTGACTTGCTATAAAGACTTAGTCACTTTCAGTTCTCAATTTTTGGTCGATAACCCGAAAAGGGCAGTTTGAAAGGCTCTTGTCAATTTCAGAGTCAAACGCTCAACTGTGGGGTTTCGACTTACTTGTTGAAGAAGCTTCTGGATGATGGATGCTGTTGTAGCATGATTTTCGAACGCTGATCCAGTGTAGATACCCACAGTCGCTCCTTGATAGTAGCCAAAAAGGAGTCTCGTATCACATGCTGTCTTTTCCTCCAAGTATGTCTGAGCCACTTTTAGAATAATAATTAGCTGAGGCGTTAAATTACTTTTCGATTCGAGAACCGTGAGTCCCAGCTCTTTCTTAGTCTCCGAAGCAGAGCTACATAATGGCTTTGACTGGTTTGAATGATAATGGTCATTATTCGACGGGGTTTGGCCAGACGCATCAGGCGGTGTGTCGCTACTTGGAGAATTGACTTCGACTACGCATGCTCGTATCTTAATTGATGTTGAAGAATCGCCGAGAGAGTTATGGAGTGCAAAATCCATAAATATTGGCTGGCCACAATTTACAAGATGTTCGAGCGTGTTGTATACGCCCCATCTATCTGGTGGTCCAGAACATGCATTGGGACAAGGACCAGAAGACGACTCGCCCCTCACCGTAATCAACAGGGCGCATATTGCAAAGGCCAGGCCAGAGCGAACTATAAAACAGAGTAGCCACATAGAAAAAGTATCGCTTTTATTCGGGGTGATAATGAATGACAGTAGTCCGAGAGCCTTGAACAAAGATTATAAATGAATGAATTCCGACGTAGAAGAAGTTGTAATGAGAAAAGAATGACAAGTGTCCCCCAGACAAAAGAAGATAACATAAAAGATGCAAACATCAAGAACGGGACGCGAACAAGGCAAAGAAAATCGCCATCCGCGCTATGAAACACCTTTGGTCCCGAAGTGGCTCTCTCTTCCCAACATTCAGGGTGAGGGAAGGGCAGAGACTCGTAAAACCAAGCCACGAAGGCGTCAATGGAATTATTTGATCGTCGTAAGGATGATGAAGTTGGTAAAATTGCTCCAAGAGCAAATACCAAGCCTTGGAGAGAAGCTTGTAGCTTCCAAAAGCTTCGTTGGCGGTTACTTTGACGGTTGCTAGCTTGTGCCGCGCGCGTGTCCTGGGCCAAATCTGCAGGCGCTTTTCTTTCCTGGGAGCGGAATAACCCCAGCTGCGGATGGCTCTTATGCTTGTAAGTTGGTGGTATGAACCAATGCGACAACGATATCGGTGGTTATATGTTGGTTGGGTTTCAGCCCCACAGAAATCATTGGATATTTTGTAGGCTGAGTTGTTGCGGCCTGCCCACGCGATATTGCTTTCGCTCGTTTGTACTACCACGAATTGCTTTATCGTATCGGTTTGATTTCACTGCTGTGGATTGGCAAATTTTTATCTTCCTTCTGATAAATATAGAGAACCAACACTTCCTGCGGAGTTGGTTGTTTCATGACGTGGCCATGAGTCGAATGACCTTGGGTCAATGTTGCGAGGTAAATAATACTTACATTGCGACCGATTCTTTTTGGCATATTTCTCTCCAGTCCAAGCCAAATTCCATCGTCGCATTTTTCGCTCACTCGTTAGTTGTATTCCCTTATGTTCTTTTGACACTCGTTTTTTGTGTTTTTGTTTCCACCTTGTTACCTCATTCTATTTTCGTTTCCAAATATTCTGCCATGAAGACGTCAATCGTTATGACTGCCATATTTTTGATAGCATCTGTAGTGGGTACGGGGGATCGTGGAGCGTACGAAAGGTAAGATGTTTTAAGCGTAATCCATGTGTGCTGAAAACACCTTTGAAAGACTGTTTACTAACAGGTCTGCAGAATGCTTCTTTACAGCGCATACATTGCTGAAGAGTTCGACAAGCCAGCCACCTTTACCATTTTACCTGGTTGTGCCGGGAGTCGAATCGTGGAAACAATAGCTGTCCCCAGGTGCACTTTTTATGAAGTATGTCGTCTCAAGTTCTCGTTACTTCGAAACACCTTTCGCCGATGATTGGCAGCGAGTTCTATGCCAGCAGCCCACACATATCTCTTGTCCGAGAAGACTGACCATGTACTCTCGACAGATGTGCCGCCATATATGGCACGAGAGTAAGCATCAGCCTGTTATGCCAGCAGCCGGTGAACCTCCAACCGATCCGGCGAAAAGAAAGCAATGGTATATACAAACACTCGGTGATCACTTTGTCAACAAAAAAACCAATGAGGAGGTATTCAGAATCGGCCTTAGGCCGGAGCAGGACGGCCAGAGGTTTGCCACGAGTTGGGTAGGCAATCAGCCTGGGCTTGAAGGGAAAATGGTCAGAGAGAAGTGGGATCAGTGGATGAATACCGGCAAGATGGCCAGCGGCGCTACGAGCTTGCCTGAAGTATTCGAAAAGATTGGGAAGGTAGTATCAACAGCACGCTTGAACCTGTTTAACCAAAATCGAGAGCTCGCAGCACCCCAGACCGCACTCTTTGCGTTTGCAGAAGAAGTCGGCACCATCGTCGAGAATCTGAGAGTTGAAGACAATGAGAAGTGGAGGACTGGAGCTGTCATCGGTCCTGATTCTGGACGCGGAGCGATAGCTGATCGACTCAAAGCCACACCCGAGTTCATTGCTGGACTAACCGCAGACGAATTGAAGAACTTCGCGGTAGAAGTGAAGCTGAGCCCAGTGGCGTCTAAGCGTGGTACTAAGCCATGGCCAATCTTCGACCCCGTTGCCACTAAGGCAAAATGGGGGGAGAAGGTCAAGGATATCGAAGCCGTGATGACCAGAGTTAGCGATACCTATATGCGTGAGCCGGCGCCGTCGGAACACAACTTACAGATTGATGCGATAAGGAAGACCAATAGGCAGATTAAGAACTGGGACTCGGAGATAAAGGGTCTCTGTACTCTGTAGCTTGAGGTATCTGCTTGATCGTTCAAAGAGAAGAAGGATGACTGTTGTCCGAGCCAGTCGGCAGCTTGTGTTGCCCAAGCAAGGCGAAGATTTGTTGAGTTGGAGGTTGTAATAATCATTTATCAGTCAAATTTGCTGAGTTTGAAAAGTCGGCTCAATGATTTTACCTATGCGAACTTAGCAAAATTGAATCCTTGACATCGAGTACTTCACTATTAGTACCCGGATTTGGCTAGGTCGAAGTAAGTGACATAAATCTTATCTCTCAAAGTACAAATGCCTGAAAGAGAAAACGCGAAGAATGGTAGGTTTACAGGGCAGTATTTCGGAACACACACATAGTAGCAATAGACGTAGAACGGAACTAGAGCTAGCTAAATTGCTGCAATAAGTGTCATATAATAAGAAGATCTTAAGAAATGAGATCAGAAGTAGCCGGTGAAACTCCGTTGTATCATGTTGGCTGAGGCTTTCTCAGAATACCTACCGTAGGTAAAAGAGGTGGTCGGGATCACGTGTAAATTTGCCTCACACCTCATGTGGAGCTCAACGACGTGACGGCGTGACGACCCGAGCCAAACATCCCCACACCGTGAATCTTGGGAGGCTGAAGCAAGCAGCTGACAACTGACAACACTGACAACACCAATTTGAGGTGTCAACAACCTTCTTAGAATCTGCCATTGATCTCGTTCATTCACCGCGCAACGGCGAAGGCGACTGCTCTACGAACCCTGCTTTTTGCCTGGCATTATCTGCGTCATTTTCTTCCCACCGGTGTCTTTCAACTTCATTCATTCGTTTGCAGTTCCCACATTTGTTGCTGCTGAATCTCAGAAATCAACTCGAAAGCTATTGGGATGCCTTTTTCCTCGCCACGAAAGCCGCTCCGCAGAATAACTCTTATTTCTACAATCACTTGAACAAGCAAGCTTGCCGCACCATTCGCTGAAGTAGCACATTCATCCAGCTTCGCACGCTCACGTCGTTGCATTCAGTGCTACTACCAGTACTTGCTGAACGCAGAGAAGCTTCGCAGAGGACCATAACCTGCACATGAAGAACAAGAACTCACTTTCAAGACCCTGCTCTGACAACAGCACTCGACGTGCGTTTTTTCCAAACGAACTGCCGGTAACGTTCGAGCGTGTTCAGATCGACATACAAATATCTTCTATGAACCCCACAATCCACAATTGGGGCTGTCACAATTACGGACATATTGAAGTGCTGCTGGCATTAGGTGGACGCCATGGTGAAGGCAGATCTGAGTCGCGACTACTATGGCGACCTAGAACTTCAGCCAGGTGCAGATGCACAAGAAATTAAAAAACAGTTCAAGAAGCTTGGTAACATATCTACCTGCAGGCCGTAGTTGTTTGCTAATCCAGATCTGCAGCCCTTGCCTATCATCCAGATCGTAACCCTGGCCGCGAAAGCGAGGTCACTGCCAAATTTCAGAAGATACAGTCTGCACACGAAGTCCTCACCGACGCGGCAGAGCGAGCGAAATACGATTCAAATCGATCTCGAACTGCAAGCAGCTTTCGGCAGTCGACAGCTTACTCTGGCGCCGGCTCATCTGGCGTTCGAGGCAATCCATGGGCAAATGCAGGCTCACAATGGGCGCCGCCACCAAAGAAGGCACCGACTGCTCGAAAGGGCGCCCCTCCTCCTTCAGCTGGTGCTCAAAGATATCAAAAGTTTGATCCGCCTAAGGAAACTCCCAACTGGGCACACAATGAGGGACCCGAAGCTCGAGCGAAGACATATGAGGCATGGGAGAATATGAGAGGACATGGGCACACCTCAACAGGATCAAGTAAGCAGTGGGGACAGCCACCCAAGGTCCCTCCACGAGAGCCTCCACAATCGGGAAGAACAAGCGCTTCACAGAATTATGCCACACCTCCGAAAGCTCGAGCGGCCTATACCGATTTTCGACATGGCACCACATCGAACGCAAGCCCACGGAGAAGTGACAGTATGAATGGAAGAAAGGGGTTCATGCCAAATACCCCAGGTGGTGATGAACCTGCGGCACCACGGGGAGCATATTTTACAACAACAAGAGCGGCAGCAGAACCTCCACCCGTTCCGCCACGCAATCCATCTCCCATACCACCACCTGCTCCAGCAACCAACGCAGATGCAGATCTGCTAAACCAGTTTCGTGATTCGATTCCTAAATACCAACCTCGCACAAGCACTCCATACTCGACACATGGTGGGGAGAAGTTTAACCCATTTGAAAGCGCTAATATAGGCAGATCTAAGAGCACCCGTGAGCCTGAACATCCAAGGCATGTCTCTCGCGCGGCTGGTTCGGACCCTAATCTTGGATCACCGCATCGAACCGAGACTTTCGCGAGCCGACAGGCAAAAGGCAGCAATCGATCTCCTGTGGAAATCTCCAGTGACGATGATAGCAATTCGAGCCTTGAAAACGGACCAGCTCTTAGTGGCCGCCCATTTGGCAGAAGACGTGTCTCCAAGAACGTGCGTAATGGTGCAAGACCGACCGCCCAACCTCAACAGGTGCCGAAGGCGGCGGAATCTTCTCCTCAAACACGTAAGCATCTCACAAATCTCGACAAATTCCGACAGTGGATGAAAGAGAACCCGGGTACAGAGCCACCACTAAATGGGTTTCCTCCAGATGGCCCTCCTCTTCGCTACGACGCCACGCAGACCGACAAGCCAGATGAAGCTAAAATGTATGACCACTCTCAAAGTTTCTCAAATTCCACTGGAAATCCCAAAGCAGACACTCCAATCAGATCTTCGTCCTTTCCAAAAAGTCATACAGCAAATTTCAAAACAGCCGGCTTTCGGTCCAAATATCTTCATCTATTCCCAGACCGCACAGAGCCGACGGAATCTCCTAGTGGAGGCGCCGTTGAACCTCAGGCTTTGAACGCGTTTGAAGGAATTCAACGTAATGTGATAGATCATCTCCTTTCCAGCAGGCGTAAAAGTAGTGGCTCGAATCCTCGGCAAGTCGCTCCTGAAAAGAGGGCTTCGTCGAGGGAAGACTCAAAAACAAAAGATGCAAGTGTTACCGCCGAGAATATCCGTCGCAGTAGCACGTCGATAAAAATAAACATCCCCAAAACCGAAACCTGCGAAAACCCAGACCTGTCGAGTCAAGGCTCTCGTCATGGTTTTGGTTTTGGCTATCCGAATTTCTCTCAGTATCGGAATTCGACTGAGAAGAAGCAAGCGAAAAAGCCAAAAACTTCAAAACCTTTGTATTCAGTTGATCCCGACGCGATGGATAAAACGCGCTTGTTTTGGCACAAATATGAACAATCAAAATCACATGCTAATCCTCTTGGACTACCAAACAGATTTTCGTTCAATGTAGATGGCGAAACCTTCAAACGAACTGAGCCAACACCAAACGGGTTTACAAGCGCGAGCGCGGAGAATATCAGTACTCGCTTTACGCCTGAGGATTGGAAAGGTAAGTTCGAGGCTGGTGCAGATTACTTCAAACCTGAACAGAAGTCGGGTGCAAACGCGGGATCGCCACGCCGTGCTCAATCTGGAAGCAGACCGAGGGGCAGGTCGCCTACGAAAGTGCGACCTATTGACCCAAAACTTGCTCAATCAAAAAGCGCAGATGCCGAAAATGTCATGGAGTCGCCAGGGGGCACCAAATTCTCGCCAGAAGAATGGTCGAAGCACTTCAAACCACAGACTTTTGCTCCCCCAACATATCCGATACGAACCCCGGGGAGGAAGCCGCGAGGCTCTATCGCAAAACCAACAATGGGTACCGCCGCTGTAGTTGACGACAGTGAGACTCCGGATGAGAAGCCTCTCTTCGGCAACAAGCCTACCTCGACTGGAGCTACTGCGGCATTCTCGCCTGCCCCGGATGCTATGGATGTCGATACTCCACCAGCAAGCCACACAATTCCTATATTTGAGGAGAAAGACAATGTCAACACCAAACGTCCAGCTTCTACTTCCCAGCCAACGACCCCTGTTGACGCAGAATCACTGAAAGTTAATTTTGATGAGCTCAACATTCAGGATCTGATCAAAACACTTCAGTTGCCAACTCCACCCAAGGGCCCTGATACACCGCCCCCACCAACAATGACAGAGACTATTTCTAGATCCGCACAAGAACAGTTTTTTGCACAATTCGGCATTTACATGAGAGACTGGGATCTGTTCAACAATAAAATCATGTTGCATTTCGTATCGAGAAAAAATCAAGTCGATGGGTTTGGGCCGCAAAGATGGGAGGATGACCAAGTTATGGAGATTTATAGACGCGGGTTACGAGAGGATGCGCTTGTCACCAAGCACTGGCAAGAAGCCCGAGAGTATCACGAAAAGGTCTTAAAGGAATGTGCAATTGTCAAGGAGAGAGTCAAGACGAGAGATGAGATGGAGAAAATCTTGAATGGGGATAACTTCGAGAGGCCTCGGAAGAAAACACACTGAATAAGCGCTGCTTGATACCATAATCTGTTGTATATTGGTGGCTACAACATGGCGGAAGGCTGATACAAATTTTCTATGAAATCATTTGGACTATTGGTTGATCGATACCCTGGAAACTTTACATATATGATATGGGGTTGGTTGGGTTGTGCATGAGCAGATCTTGTTGTATGGCATATCATGAAGCGAGGCGTTTGGGGTTGAAGTTTAGAAGATCAAGTATTACGACACATACATCACTATATTAGAATAAGCATCACCCTGTATATACTCAGGTCGAATGACAGAATCTATTCTTATAAGTTTTATGGTTCTATCTCGGCACTGGCGGATTATCAAGAGAGCAAGAAAGTCACATGATGTCGGCCCCGGTGTTGAAGAAGTTCTACCCTTACTCTCGATAAGCAAAGACCTTTAGCAGACACAATTATGACAGATCTTGATCATAGAAACAACACTCAATCTAGCTCAATTGATTACTAACAAGAACTTGACGACCGCCGCCATCACCAGGTTGGAATATCGACGAAGGTCGGCTTACAGGTTCTGGGTATAAACCCCACTTTTGAGCCGATGTCCGCAACTCGAACGGCAGGAGCACGATGTCTGCTTGTGAGCAAAATCGTAATGACATGAAAACAAACGATGTCGTTACGCCTATTAACCCAAGGAGGGCACCGAAGTCTCGTAATGGATGCTTGCGGTGTAAATCAAAGCGAGTAAAGTTGTGCCCAATCTGTTACACTTGAGTGGCTGGACTGACAATTATCAGTTAAAGTGCGATGAAAGGAAGCCCGAATGTGCTCAGTGTAATAAGAAGAGCTTACCATGTCCGGGTTATAAGACTAAGACGCTTGTTTGGTCGACTAAGCATGAGAAGTTGTTGTCTTCGAAGTCGGCTGTAAACAGCCCACCGGAGTCATTATTCCAGTCTACGGGGGACTTCCAGAGTCGTGATGCTGCTGGAGAAGTAACTCGAAACATATTTAATCATAGGCAAGATGGCATTGAGGAAGTTTCGCTCCAAAATGCAGCTTACGTTCCTGAGGGAGAAAGTCTGGTAATACCTCAGCCATCTCAATGTCGAGAATCCGAGGCCATAACCGACAGCCTCTCAGCTATCAAGCAACAACTTCATCGCTCGACGGTTCCAGAGTTTCTTCACCACCTTCCCACGATGCTGGTAGAGTACTATTTCAGCTATGTCTGTCGAATCTTCTCATCTTTCGATGGCACTCTAAATCCTTTCCGGTCTACCGTAGGGAGATTATGGGACGGCTCTGCTCCTATATATTATGCTATACAGAGTATGGCTGCCGCGTATTTGAGTAATCACTTCCCAAGGATGAATCAAGTTGGGTTACAAATGCAGCGAGAGACTTATCGATGTCTTTACCAGAATCAACAGGGGCTGAAAGATCAGGATGAAAATTTGGATAAGACGCTTTTGACTGTGTTGCTTGTGGGACAGACTACGGCATGGCATGATACGAAAGATCTCGGGGTAGTACATCTTAAGACAGCAAAAAGGATAAACAGGAGGCGGATTGAACAGCAAAATGGACTAGTGGGCGTGAGAGAGCGACGTCAAAATGCTTTCTTCGAGCAGTGTATTTTGTATTGGGAAATGCTGGTTGGATTTGTCAAGGACGATGTCGATGATTTTGGAAGTCCAGAACTCGACTCACTCGAAAGTACCCCTTCACTAGGACGTCCAAGTCCCTCAACCCCGGAAGGACAGAAAGAACTGATCTTCCCTCATCCATGGACAGGCGTCGCACCCACCGCCCAAGACTTCCTCGCACAAGTCGGCCGCCTAATCCGCTCCCACCGCAGAACTCAAGCCGAGGATCTCATGAACCTCGACTTCCTCGCCCTCGACCTCACGCTCCCCTTAGATCTACCCTCCACATCCCCCTTCCTCGCCCAAGCCAACACCCTCGAAGAAAAACTCCTCGCGTTCGAACCACCCACCCCCTCCCAAATCGTTGACGCAGGCGACCTCGCCACCCCAGTCCACCAATACATCGCCCTAGCAGAATCATACCGCTGCGCTGCGCTCCTGCAAATCTACCGCGTCTTCCCCTCCCTCTTAAACCTGCGCATTCCATCGCCTTACCCATTCCTCCCCACCACGTCTTCACCACAAGATTTCCTCCTCTCGCTCGCCCTCCACACTATTTTCCTACTTGAATCTATACCCCTGAATTCAGGGACACGCTGTCTACAACCGCTTATCCTCATTATCGCCGCGTCCGAACTAATCTTCCCGGATCCGCTGGCTGGTTCGTCGATCACGAGTCGTGAGATTGAGGTTGCGAGCGCGCGACGGTTCGTGGTGGGGAGGTTTCAGGAGTGGTGTACGTGTATGCCTGCGAAGCCGCTGAGGAGGGCGTTGGTTATTGTGGAGGAGACGTGGAGGAGATGTGATGGGGGGGAGGAGGTGTTTTGGATGGATGTTATGGGGGATTTGGGGGGTGGGACAATTTTTGGGTAGGGAGTTGTTGGTGATACTATGTTTATTAGGGTATTTGTCTTTCGTTTTGGATATCAGTTAACAGGTTTGATTGGAAGGTTTTTGACAAGAGTCGAGCTAAGACTCTTTTGCAAACGGATAATCATAGGGGAAACGTATGTATTGAAGTTCTTCAAGTCCCACGGTTTAGACTTCCACGGATTTAAGGCATAGGTTTCAAGCTTAGTAGGAAAAGATGGATGTATTTTCTTGCTTTAAGACACCGAAGTTATTCTTTTTGTTTTAATCATAATTAAGATCTTATTGATTCCTCGACCTGGAGTTATGGTAAGTCACATATCTCACACTGATTCGGAAGATGCGTGTGGCGCCCAGGACATGTATAATTAGCAGTATTAATATACTGCCGATGTCAATAGCCGCTCCCGCGTATTAGCTACATACTCTAATGCATGCCACCAAGGTGTTACCATGGTAAGGAGCGGAATTAGGAGCTTGTGTGGGGATGCGGGGAACGACCCCTCATTGAACCAACACTTCAAATTTGTATACTTGACAACAACATTTATTACATATTTTATATCGACGTGGAAAGTGGTTGGATCAAGGTAGGAATTGCCCTTTTAAACGAAGGGAATAAGCTGATTTATCATATACAGAAACACAACCTCTCAAGATAATTCACCCTCCCCATCCCGCGCTACGAAACCACCACAACACCACCAAAATGTCCACCTCCAACCCTCCCTCTGTAATATCAGATTCCCGATTCGACCCCTCCTTCACCTCCCACGTAATCGCCGCCACAGGTCCCAACGCCTCGCCCCGCGCCCGCAAAGTAATCGGGTCACTCATCCAGCACATGCACGATTTCGCGCGCGAGAACGAGATTACTATTGCGGAGTGGATGGGCGCGGTCGATATGATGAATTGGGCGGGCAGGATGAGCGATGAGAAGAGGAATGAGGGACAGCTTGTTTGTGATGTGTTGGGGTTGGAATCGTAAGTGTGATGGCAGAGAGGGTGAGGAGGGGAGGGGGAAGGGGGAGAGGATTAATGGGATGAGGGCTGATGAGTACAGCTTGATAGACGAAATCACCTTCAAACTCGCGGCCGAAACCTCCTCCCCCGCGACTGCTTCCGCGATTCTAGGACCCTTCTTCCGTCACGATGCCCCGGAGCTTCCCAACGAATCAAGCATCGTGCACGGCGTCGACGACGGCGAAATCACATATATGCACGGCATTGTGCGGGATTTAAAAACCCAAAAACCCGTTGAAGGGGCGACGATAGACGTCTGGCAGGCGAGCACGAACGGGCTTTACGAGCAGCAGGACGAGGGACAGGTGGAGCATAATCTGCGGGGGAAGTTTAGAAGTGATAGGGATGGACGGTATGCGTTTTATTGTCTGAGACCGACGAGTTATCCGGTGCCGAATGATGGTATGTCAAATTTCTGGAAATGGGTGGGGAAGAAATGGGGGCTGATGATGGTGTAGGACCTGCGGGGAAATTGTTGGAGATTTTGGATAGGCATCCGTATAGACCGGCGCATATACATCTTATTGTGAGTTGTCCTTAGTTTATAGTGTGTGGGAGATTGGCTGATTTGAAATAGGTGCAAAGAGAAGGGTATAAACCTGTTACGACGCAGATTTTCGATTCGGAGGATCAGTATCTGGAGAATGACTCTGTGTTTGCGGTCAAGGATTCTTTGGTTGTGGAGTTTAAGAAGATTGAGGGGAATGAGAAGGCGGTGAGGGAGTTGGAGTATCCGATTCATTTGAGGCCTGTTGATGGGAAGGTGTGAGGGTAATGGACGAGGTGATTATGCTGTTAGTGGAGAAATACACTTAAACGCGGATCTGAACTCTGAAACAAAAAGGGGGCCATTTCGTTATTACCATAAGCTCTGATTAAATCCTGATCGTTTGGCTAACAATCCGGTGGAATGCTCTGCGAGACGATATTGAAGTGTGACTTACCTACCAGATATGCATCCTACTCTCATGACCCCTAGCGCAAATCAAAGCCTCCCCTCCTACCTCTGCACAACCATAAACCCCTCAAAATACCTGCCAATATCCTCAATATCCTCAATCTCCCCCTCCCACCCCACATACCCATCCGGCCTCACAACAACCAAGCAGCCCCTCTCAGCATCAGCACCATATCCCTCATACGCCCGCCCATGACCCTCATGATAGCTCTCATCATCCACGAAAATCTTCCAGTAGTCCCAGCCCTCGTCACTGAGCGGACGAAGTAACTCTGGGAAGGAGAAGAGTTCGGTGCTGGCGCGTGGCGCGGAATGTAGTGTCAAGATCTCGATGCGGGAATCGATGGGTTGGGCTGCAGGAGTATATCTTTTTATTATCGGGCTGAGATTGGCGCATAAGTTCGTGATGCGTGTCATTTGTGGAGGGTTGGAGATGTTGCCTGCGAAGAGGATGAGACGCCAGCGTCCGTCGCTTTTGAGGCGTTCTTGGAATTGCCACGGGCGGGCATCAGCTTGATTGAGGACTTGGAAGCTGGGGAAGCGCATGCCCATCTTGATGTTCTTTGCGACTTCAGGTTTGCCGTGAACACTAGATGCGGAGATGCCGATGTTGGTTCCGTTGGCTCCGTCTTGAGGATTGCCCTCTTTGGCTACCAAGATGGAGGCACCATAATCAACTGCTACGCCACTGGCGAACAAATTTCCCTTTTCAAAGGCGGATTTGAATTCGGACATGCTGATTCCCGCTTCGTCCATTACATCTTTAGCAGGGCGACCAGAGAAGAGACGTGAGAATTTGTGGTCAAAGTCAATGAGATCTTGAGCAATACGATGGCGTTCGGATTGGTAGGTCTTCAAGATGGAGCGATGAGCTGTTCCTTTCAGCACGGAGGCTATCTTCCATCCTAAGTTGTAGGTATCTTGCATAGATACATTCATTCCTTGTCCCGCTTTTGGCGAATGTGTGTGTACTGCGTCACCCGCGAGAAAGATACGTTCGTTTGCCGAGAATGAGGGACAGATTCGTTGACCAATTTGATACGCGGTCCACCAGTCGCAGTAGTTGTAAGTCAGCTTGTAAGGTGCGATTGTCTTTTGAGCACATTCGAGGATCATTTGTGGTGTTATATTTGAGCGATCGACCTTGAGCGGCTAGTCAGCAATTAATGTTTATTGTGTTGAGAGATTCGAAGAACATACCTTGCCGCCACCCTTTTCGGTGGTGGTCATTTGGATATATAGACGAACAAGCTTGTTTTCTCTTGGGATTACCATGACGCTTCCTGAATTTGCGGAATGAATAGCACATCTCATACGGATGTCAGCTGCGTAATGATTAGCTACTTTGTCAACGAGGTTGGGTTGAGGGCTAACGAAAGTCTGTGATCGGTATAATATCAAGCACGCCCCTAAATTTTGACAGATTAGCACTATCACCACTTATTATGCGGATATCCCACCAGATAAAATCAGTTTGCTCTCCCTCCAGTTGATAACCCAGCTGTCTTCGAGTCCAAGAATGTGCTCCATCACACCCAATCATGTACTTGGCTTTCAAGGTTTCACGAGTGCCAGCTCTGCCATTCTTCGAAGCTCTGTCCAGAAGTTCATCAGTATCGTCGGCAGCCATGTTACTTCTAAATAATCCATCCGACTTCGCAGCTCCTTTGGTCATTTGGCTTTGATCAGGATTCAATTCCTCTTCCGACAGGTGCTGTAGGGTGACTTCAATCGGATATGCTTCGTGGTCCTCGGCCAAAAATTCATCGAACTTGAAAGTCTCGGGAAGAACTCCTCGCTCGACTCTTATGTCGCTGTTCTCCTTCAGGAAATCAAGAAAGAAACGTTCGATACGTCCTATCATTCGAAGTCAATATAACTTAATACAACAAACGATCATCTTCTGCTCACCTTGGTGCAAAACAACCTGCTGAAAACGACTAATGCCAGGAATGGTGTCTGGAATTCTATCCGAGCGCCTGATACGGCCATCTTCATCAGGATTCCAGAGACAAATTTCAAGCATATGATTACTCTCTTTCCATACTCGATCAGCAAACCCGAAAGAATCAAAAATCTAAGTCGATTACTATTGCATCGGTGTACGGGAACTGGGTAGCTCACTTCTAGAGTCCGACACTGTAGTCCATCTGCTTGCCTTCGTCCAACAGTAAGCAAGGGTGTTTACTGTACTATAATCAGGGGCATACCCGCTAAAGATCTTGGTTCCTCGTTTATCAATTATCCTGGTGTTGATACCACACTGCGCCATCCAGGTTGCGGCCATCAGCCTGGCCGATATCAGACACGAATAACGGTATGAGCACTCGAAAACTTTACCCAGCTGGACCAGCACCTACAATCAACACATCAACCTTGGAGTGTTCCGGTGCCATGACCAGATTTCTTGCCGCAAATATACTCTATTGCCTTTCTGACCAGAGGCCTGAGAGTCAAGATAAGCTGGCCTCAAAGAAAAATAAGTCGTGTGAGAGGCCCTTGAGACAGTTCTCAAAGCACCAAGAACACGAGAGTAGATCAGTGACTTGGGAACGTCGAAAAGCTTTGATAACTTGACAAGCAAGCCAGCTCTTTGTGATTGTCTTGATACTTCATGGTGGGTAAGAACTTAATGTACCACTGAATCCAGGAACGGTCATGATGCGGGGCATGCCATGTATTGGACAGGAAGTTTATGTTGTGCATCGAGTGTCAGCGGGAGAGTTCCGCATTTTATTTCGAGGTGATGATTGGCTGATGCAAAGGGAAATGATGACTAATTAAAAGCGGGGACTTGGAGCTCTTGCCTTGCTTCTCCTCAACTGATCTTCTGTATATTCTTTTCTGAGAAGTTTTATTTTAGAAACTCATAGAACCTTTGTTTGTACATCTGGATTGACAAGACAAATAATACTACAATCTTCACTACTACACCACCAATTTGTTCAAATTCTAGCTCGATCCCAGATTTCTTGACGTCATCCTAGAAATCTCATGCTGCTGCCATCACCTGGGAGATCCATATATTTGACCAGAAATCCAGATTTATATACATATCAATCGATCATGCCTTCTATCCTAATAAAGCAAAAATACATCTACTACACAGATGACGCACAAAGCGAAGGAAACTCACCACGAACAACAACCGTCTTCATCCACGGACTAGGCTCTTCATCCTGCTTTTACAAAACCATAATACCCTCCCTCACAAAAATCACGCGATGCATAGCACTTGACACCAGAGGCTCAGGACAATCGCCTCTCGGCGGCTTGCATCAATCAATCGACTCCATAGCCCGTGACGTGGCTTCCTTACTAGACGCTCTTGGAGTTCAAGAAGTGTTCGTAGTAGGCCATTCAATGGGCGGGACAGTAGCAAGTGCGCTTGCAGCTACAGATAAACGTGTAAAAGGGGTGGTGTTGTTGGGTCCCATCAATCCATCACCGCAACTCACGGATGTATTTGAGAAGCGAGGAAATGCGGTTCATAAGGGTTCGTCTGGTCCGATGATCCATTGGGGTACTGCGTTTTTCTTGGGATCTTGTTTAGAGTCTAACGGATTGTGTAGATGGTCTTGAGTCGTTGGCGAATAGTGTTCCAATTGCTGCTACGGGATCGAAGGCTGGATCGTTGCATCACGCGTTTATTCGGTCTATGATTCTGGGGACTTCTGTTGAGGGATATATCTCGCTCTGTGGGGTTATTGCAGACGCTAAAGCTCCAGATTATGCGAGTATCAGGACCCCTTTGCTCATCGTTGCTGGTGGCGACGATAAGACTGCTCCTCTTGCTGGCTGCGAGGCAATCTTGAAAGCGTACGGTACGTCTAACGCGGACAAATGCCTAGAAATTGTGGATGGAGTTGGTCACTGGCATTGTGTAGAGGACCCGGAGTCAATTGCGCAAAAGGTCGGCAGCTTCATTGAGCGCTCAAGCACAGCCCCATAGTTCTTGGATCAATTCCTTCTCGGAAATGACTAGCACGCCGAGCATACTATCAAGTCAACAGAGTCACTCAGCGAAATGAATATGTTGATCTGCAACAAATATATCACAATTGAATTCAGCCATTTGCTCCAACAATCTAATGTGGGCACTAGCTAAGTAGCTAAGCTCTCAAGCCACCCACCTACTTCAACTGCGTAGCCAAAGCAGTAATAGCATCAAGAGTAGCCTTACTCTCTGCACTCCCCGCATTCTTCGTCACCTTACCCAAAAGGTGATCAACAGTTTGTCCCGGATCCGTCTCCACAACCCCCTGCGCAGCCTTAATTCTCGCAATCTGAAAGCTCTGAAAGAACTTCGGGGCTTTGATCGCCAAATTGCCTCCTACACTTCTGATTCCCGCTTCGGTAGCCAGGTACGTGGCGAGACGGTCTTCGAAGAGCGCGAGATCGGATGCGGCGAGTGGTGATGCTGTGGCGAATTCATCGAGTGCGAACTCGAGGGGAGTTTTGGAGGAGGCGGAGAAGTCGATTGAAGAGTAGGATACACCGCCTGAGGAGACGTCTGGGACGCCGGAGAGGGTTTTGATTCCTGGGTTACAGGTGACAGAGCCTTGGATGGACGTTACGGTGTCTTGGACTTCGGCTGGGAGAGCGGTGTTGCCGACAATGAAGCAGGCTTTGGCTTGACGGTCGACCAAGGAGATGGGACCTAGTTGCATGATCAGTCCGTGTTAATATCTTCTGGGCTCTCTGGGTCTTACCGGCCACAGCCAACCCAGCGACAAGCGCAACAACAACATATTGAGAAAGCATCTTCGATTGGTTTCCAAAAAGTAACAGATTCAAGATAAATATATATCAAGAACACATAAAAAACCGCAAGACCAGCTATGCAAAAAAAAAAATAAACGAATGTAAAAGCTGCTGAACGAACGAATGGATGTCCCTCTCACAACGAGGGAAACATCGCTCATCTTATAGACAAAGATGCCTGAAGTCGATCACGAACACTAGATCTATTCTGAAATCCCGCCAAGCGTTTACATCTCATGTTTGGGATGGCCGACAGGCATGTGTTGCGACGGGGGCGAGTTCAGACGACGAAAGGGATGAAACTTCGAGGGGTTGTGGGTGGATCACCTTCGCTTGGGATGAAGGGCAGCTGGGAGGTTGGTGATCTTTTGGAGAGCTTGGGATGTGTTTGTTTTCGAGCATACAGACAGCGTGTACGTTGGAATTTCGCAATCATGGTAATTCTCAGTAGGCTTGCATCGTAACCAGAAGTGAAGTGCGTTTAAGCATAAATAAATGAAATTCCACCTTCATTTATTTCCAACTTGTCGACCCACCAACTTCAAACTTCCGGGACTCGCGCTAGCGTTCAGGAGCTTTGACGCCGGGGAAAATCACGTGCTGGCTCATTTCCCTGTAACAACCCCTGAAGATGCCCGTTGGATTATTGAAATGTTTTGGGGACTTTCGTGTTCTCGTATAACTTTAGATGTTGAAGTACCTGAAGTGGACCGATGGTAGATTCGTGATGTTTGGAGTATCGCTTTGTAGCGGGAGTCAAGTATCAAGCGAGCTCTAAGAGAAGTAGTGACCAAATCTTCTTTAACTGATGGTTAATAAGTTTTCGAGTGAGGGAGACGGCAGTAGCTTGTTCATTAAGCGTTACCGTTATTCCGAAACGCTAAATGAATTATTCTGACTGCCTTTTCGAGTAATTTGCTACCCAGACTATCTTTCCCGATATGCTAGTTTAGGGCTGGTTTTTCTTATCTCTGATAGGGTCGCCGAATGACTATTGCGCCTAAAGGTTTTATTTTTAACACTAGTGGCCAGAAAATGGATGATAATACTCTGAAGCTCTCATCAGCGGTAATTTTGGGAAGTGCCCAAAGACGAGTGTTCGAAATCTTAGGTTGAAGTTCTAGTTGATTATAATCTGGCTGAGAAGTCCTAAAAGCGAGATCATTTGAACAGCAGAAGAGTTATCTCTGATAGGACAAGTCGATTGGGATTGATGTTCATATTGAAATGAAGATTAATCATTTAGATGTTAGGATTGGATCGCGAAAGCCTACTTGATATCCGCAAAATCGTTATAACACTGCTCGTTAGCCTTTTCCGGAGACTCAACAGACCTTTTGATCAAGTTTAGAGTTTCAAATATAGTGAAGTGTCTCGGGAAAAAGTAATGTCCACCATAATCTAGTGTCGACCTGGCGGTAAGAGAAGTACCAGTGTATTTATCGTCATATAACTTTGTAAGGAGAGCCTCGACGTATGTCCACAGTCTACCAGTTACTACCGAGTTTCATAGCACTTCTCTATTCAGGGTGATTCAAAGCCAAGTGATCTTCCAGCATTTTGGTGATCTTTTTGTGACGCAAATCTATCGCAATTTGAAGCGGCGTCCGACCGCTGTTAGTCTTGATGGTAGCATTAACTTTACCAGATTTCAGGAGTGAGCTGACGGCGTCCATTCTTCTAATTTTAACAGCATACGAAAGGGGAGTGAGGCCTTCATGGTCTTTTATGTTCGCATCGACGTTCTTATGCCCGAGGATCAGGTCAAAATATTTGCTGGAGCATACTAAAGCCCAGTAAAGTGGTGTATAACCGCATCGATCCTGGAAATTAAAATCGACCTTTGAGGAGTTGAGCAAAAGCGTTGTTATGGACGTATGTGAGTTCATCAAAGCTTGAAAGAGCGGCGTCTGGCCAGACATGTCAGGCAAATTAGCGTCAGTCTTATCGTATTCGAGTAGAAGCTGCGCAACAGATATATGGTTATTCTTCACAGCCCAAAATAGTGGGGTACAGTTTCCTTCATCTTGGCAGTTGGGTTCAACGCCCGAGGTATCGAGCAGAAGCTTTGTGATATCTTTTTGTCCATGTATTGCGGCCAGGAGGAGCGGCGTCCGACCTAATCTGTCGGACAAATTAGGATCAACACCATTACATCCAAGCAATATTTTGACAACTGCTGTGCTACGACGCTTCGCGGCCAAATGAAGTGGCGTCTCATCATCTCCATTTAACCAATTAACTTCCGAATAGTGTGGAGATTGAAGCAATAGCTTGATAATAGCAACATGTCCATTGATTACCGCCCAAGACAGGGGCGTTCTTTGATTTCTGGCTCTTGACACTCTTGTGCTGCCGGGGAACTTGTTCAAACTAAGAAGAACATCCACGACTGCTAAATGCTCGTACCTCGACGCCACTGACATGAGCGATCTGACCCGGTCAATGTCTTCCAAGATATTTTTCATGTTTCCATGATCAATTAACAGTTGAACAATGGCTGTCTCACCATTTCGCACAGCCCACCAGAGAAGCGATGACTTCCAGTCTTCGTCCATTGCACTGATCTCAATCAAATTTAGCGTAAAAAGTTGCATCAGCAAATTGTTTATGACAGTGTTTTGGCGTGAAAGTTGCCGAGTGTGATGGTACCAGTGCGATTTTGCATATTGGTAAAAACAGAACTCTTCTGTAGAGCGTGACTTGAAGTATTTGCTAGCTGCCGCAACTGTGCTTCCAATATCTCGATTAGCCTTTTTTTTGGACCGCAATAGATTCAAAGCAATATTCCGCGCAGTAGGGGACGAATGTAGTGCTGACGCAATGACGTTAGAAGGAACTGATGCAGTCATCAGTTGCGGGACTCTGGTAGAGGATAATTGAGTACCAAAGACGCCATAATTCAGGTAGGTGACAATAATCTCTGCCATGTATGTTTGTGCATTTTCCAAGGAAAAGGGTACGTCCAATGTATCTTCAGGACCACGATCTTCACAACCACTCAATAGAAATTGCGTCACGCTGTGGTGCACGACTCTCACGGTCAATTCTTCTTCATCGACCATCACCAGAGCTCCGCAACATGACAGCGTTGAGTATATATCATTGACAAGTGTCGCGGAATTCCATGTAGGATCGCCAATTACGACACCTATCGCTTCTCGGAGCTCTTCGGTCGTCAAAGGGCGTTTCGCGACTGTGAGAAGCTGTAATATACGTTTCTGATATCCATTGCCTGAACTTTCCGTTCCCTGTAATATGCGGGTGAAAGTCCCCGACAGATCCTTTGGAAGATTTGCAAGAGCTTCGCGGATAGCCTCGTCCGTCTTCTCAAGGCACAAGGATTTGATTTGGAGGGCTACCCAGAGAAACATTCCTTGGCTTCCTTCGAGGAGAGCGTCTTGTATGTCCAATATAATAGCAGGATTCCCAATGGCAAGTTTTCCGGATTCTAGGCAGTACGCTAACTCTCTTCCTATGAACGCCTCGATATCTAAGTTGTTTTCAGGGGTATGCCATATCCTAGTATCTCTGAAATTTCCTATTTCCAACATGTTGTTAATCTCCAGTCTCGTAGAAAGACACAGAAGGAGAGCAAACGTCCCCTGGAGACCGCGAAGCTCCCGAACCAAAATCTCTTTAACGGCAGAACTGCATTCATCCACCCCGTCCAAAACAAAATACACCTTGAGTTCCGGAGGCATCAATTGGTGTACAAGCTTCAGTAAGTTTTCAAGGTCCATTACTAAAGAAGTTTCGTCGAATAGCAAATTTGCCGCTGACGAAAGATTCGGAATAAGGCGTAATATTTGCCTGGCCAAAGACCCTAGGATTGTTCGTGCTTCCAGGCTTTGCGAAATATCGTGCTGACAAAAGAAGTATGCAACTGCAGTGTTTTCGTCATTGACACTAAGATTCAGATGCTCGACAATATTTGCAAGTAAAACCGACTTGCCGGAGCCTAGCCTGCCGGTATAGATAAGTGTGGAGGAAGTAGACTGGTGATTCCATACCCCGTATTGAGCTGCTTCATTAAACAGTGTGGTGTTACCCTCTTTTCGAATCTGTTTCCATGTAGTTTCATAGTCATATGTCGAGCAAGCATCAAGTATTCGTAGTTTAGCCTTCAATAACCGCTGAGCAGATATAAGCTCCAATGATTTGAGTGAAAAAGCTCTAAATCGGGTATTTGCCAGAGATTCTTCTTCAACCTTTTGACCAATCAGCAAGTTTACTTCGGCCCTGATGGAAGTAGCCCGGAATTCAAGTTCTGACTGGTACTTCTTTGTATCCGAGTCACTTAAAGAAGCTATCAACTGTCCTATGACCGATTTCTGAGTGAACTTCAACAATTGATGACAGAGTGAGACTACTACAATAAAGTATTCAGACATGCTTGATTGCAAAGCTCGCGATTGCGGATAAAGTAGTGCCATGACTTGGAACCGAGGTGCTGAACGACCAGCATTCATGAAGAGTAGCGACAAACCCTCAAGGTAAGAGGCTGAGCTGACTGCAAACTATAAACTTGTTAGTTAAAGATTAAAGTTATGAGGCTGGGAAAATCTAACCAGTAACGTCATTCGAACTAAAGACCATACACCACAAGCAATAATGTTTTGAGAGCCTCCCACGATGACATCCCCAAGTGCCGCAAATCGCTGGACCGCTTCTAATAGGTTGATGAATCGGGGCCCAAAACAACGTCCACCGCCGACTTTCCCAGAGGCGCGACGATCTACTTCGGCGGTCAGACGGAGGACGTCGAGATGGGCGGGAGGAGAACTGCGCGCTTGAGATCTGGAGTCTTGGAAGATAGCCTTATGCTCACTCGAAAGATCAGCTTCAAACTGGGACACGGCTTGCGCTAGGCGGATATCGGGCTTCAGCCGCGAGGCGGTGGCCATCAATGAAGACATAACTGGGGCTCAGGAAACAATGCATGCGAGGAACAGCGTGCATCGATGATACGAACGATGAGAAATTGAGGACGCATATGTAAAGAAGAAGCTCAACTCATCAAGCGCCACATATTGAAGCGGTAGTTGATGATGCATTCACGCGTGATGCCATTGGACGGCAACGCAGGCGTACAAGCTGTAGGCTGCCCGGAAGGCTGACAATCTCCCGACATTTGCTGCAAACGAGGAGCTATTCGATATGGGAGGCTGGCGACATTGAATGCTCTTCAGCATCCAGGTAGTAATTCAAAGCTATCGCACTTCGAGCCATGATGTTTGACACCCTGGAAATGAACCAACAGCAGATCCGCGGGCGGAGAAGTAGGCACACTAGGCTTACTAGGCTTGCTGGACCTGTAGATTCGATGGCTGGAGTCGATTATCGAGAAGTATTTGGCGATCACTTTCAGGTGTCATGTATACTTGATGCGCTTCCTAGATACTGAGAGGATGAATAGTTGTAGAAATCTTCGAGATGCAACTTTTCCCAAGGACTCAGTCATGTGACCGGTAAAGAAACGAATGGAGATCACGTGCCATAGTCTATGGATGGTCTTGAATACTGATTAGTACTAGAAAGATGGTAAATGGCGTTGCTAAGCGACACAATAAACTTTCAAGAAGCTTAAAATTTTCACCGTTGCTGTGCGGTCATTTAAAGAGAATCGACAGTGAAATTTGTTATTTCCAACCCATTTCCAAAGCATTCTATACTGCTGCTAGGATCGATACTAATAAGCAGTCTACCAATACTCATAAAGAGGTGACGAGCATGATAACGGAATCTTTTAGTTCAGCGGGGTAATTCACAGATTGTGAGAAATCACGAGCATAGTAGGAACGAAAACGACCAGGACGTGAAGATAGGGTAAAAAACGAGTTCTCCCACACACAAGCTAAGATTCTACAGGCCGACCTCCGCCATCTTCGAGGGCCTTGTTATTTTACGTTGTTTAATAGAAAGTGTCTTTCCGGTAAGTTTATGCATGTTCTTTCTAATGAATAAAGTGATTTTGTGGGGGTTGGTTTCAAAAATTTCTAACGAGTAATGGCCATGACTCTTACGTAAAACTAGGGTAAAAATAGATTTAATAGTGTGAAAAAGCAGATTGTCGTCGTCTCTTGTGTCGGAGATCAGCCGTATGGCATTTATTACTCTTTTCACTTCACTAATCTTACGATAAACGTCTGGATATTCTTTTTCCAGTTGTATTTTCTTATATCTATACAATTTCAATATGAAATTAGTAAGAAAATGGTCTCATCTTGAAGATGTTAGTTTCCTCGGGAAGTGGCTCGGCAGGTATGTCAACCATCCCTGGTTGCAAGAAGTGAGCCACCTCGGCCTCTTGTGAATCAACCTGTGCGATAGACCAGCCATTTCCAAGCCAAGCCAACCTGTTGCACTCTTCTCCACTATCCTCGCCTTCACAAACATAGTCGAAATCTTCCCACCTTGGTGATCGTAAACATTCCATTGCGTGCAACGCACTTCCCGGCCAGAGACCAGTGACCCGATCCCCCTTCCCTCCATTGCTCCGATACCAACTACTACAATCATCGACGTAGACAGTCTTTTGGAAGTAGTGATCAATGATTTTCGAGAAATCTTTGACTCTTCGCTTTTGTACTTCCATTCTAGCAATATTCTCTTTCTGGATCTTGCGAATTCATTTAATGATGTAGTCACCAGCCATCTCCATCATTGTCGTCAATGAACCAGTGCCAATCGCGGCATTAGGTCCTAACATCATGAAGTAGTTGGGAAACCCATCAGTGGCCAGAGATAGGTAAGTCTCTGCGTATGGCTCGAACTTTTCCTTCATGGACTGGCCGTTTCTTCCAATGACCGGAAATGGAGGAGGGGCGGATGCTTGAAACCCTGTTGCACATATGAGAACGTCTAGTTCCTTTTCTTCACCACCTTTGAGTATCAGACCATTCGCGCTTGCTTTTAGGATAGGCGTGTCAATGAAATCGACGTTATCTTCTACAAGTGCTTCGAGATATCCAGGTCCTGGCGTGAGTCTTCGGCAGCCTACACTGAATGAGGGTAGGAGCGCCTCGAAAATCTCTGGCTTTTTTGCAAGTCTTTCTTTCATGAGTTCCGTAAAATCGTCCCTTGCCGATTCTTGATGTTTACTGTCTTTCAATGTCATAGCGTGCACTGAATTTCCATCCCGTTCGATTATTGTCCGGAACTCCAAGTAGTGCTCTGGATCGTTTGCAAACCGAGCTTTCTGCTCTGCAGAAACTAGAACACCTTAGTGCGGGGAGCAGATATATTTTGAAGCCACTTTACATTGTTTGTCTTTAATTCCAAGCTTCTCCATTGCAACGTCACCAAACGGCCTAGAGATCCATGTCTTGCTCCTGATAAAGCAACTCAGCTGTGTTCCAGGAACTTTCTGCAGCGAAGGAATGATCTGTATGGCGCTACTGCCACCTCCGATGACGCCAATTCGTTTGTTTTTGAAGTCATAGCTGAATCACAGATCAGATTAATTTGGATGAAAACATAAATTACACATACTTCTTGTCCCAGGCTGCAGAATGCATAACAGGAATCTTGATGTCAGACAGTCCTTCGATTTTCGGCCAGGATATGTCGTTCAAGGTTCCTCGGGCACTAATCACAACGTCGGCTTCATCAGTAAAAATCTCTCTTGTCTCGAGATTCTCGACCCGGACCTCCCTGAATATAGATTAGCATGTCATGTATAACCTTTGCTTAGCCTATGAGTACCATTTTGCCTTTTTGTCGTCCCATTGAGCACCAACAACTTTGTGCAAACATTTGATAAATCTGTCCACCGAAAACCTCTTCACAACATCTTCCAAATATTGTCGAATTTCTGGCGCAGGAGCATAAAAGCTGCTCCAGTTTGGATTGGGAGCAAAAGTATACTGGTAAGAGTGTGCTTTTAAAATTGTTAGTTTCGAGCAGCATTGTGGTGTTTACGCTTTACTGACATGGAATATCACAGGCACAGCCTGGGTATCTGTTCTCGTACCATGTTCCTCCCACTCCAGCATTCTTCTCATATATCTTCAAATTGACATTGCGAAGTCGCTCGGGTATTCGGACACCGCAATAAATCCCAGAAAAGCCAGCTCCAATGACGATAACGCTAACGGGACGCAGATTCTCAATGGATGCATCTTTTATGCCCTGAGAATTTCCATTGGTGACCTCATCTAAAGGATGGACTGCCGATTCTTCAGAGCCCATATTTGCTGAAAATGGGTTTGGGAATAGTAACATTAGTAAGATGATGTGGACGTTCAAAACGGTAATAAGTTGATTTGGAGATAATAGGTCCTTGACAATCTGTTTCAATGTTGATATTGGCATGCAGAAAGTTTGAGTCAACAGTACAAGCTCAATCTCAAATTGTTCGCGTCATTAAGTAACGGATAGCGTCCGATTGCCGAAACTTTATTTCTGATCCGATAGAATTAACCTATCCGTACTGCATTATCAGTTATCATGAAAGCGTCTTTCTAAGCCGGGTAAAACAATCCGATATTATAACTTTCATAAATGCGGGGAAGGCTTCTGGGGCAAGGTAGTTATTTCGGAAAGGGAACGTCGAGGGACGCTAACCGGAGAGCGTACGTTACTGATACATCCCGCCACTGACTAGAAGCCCCACCTTACTGCTGTAACTTCAGTTCTCCGTCACCTGCCGAAGCGGATTCATAAGCTGTGCGTTTATTCTTGGCTGGTGCCTTGTTCAACCCCATGTGTAGGTCTCCTCATCGATGGAAATGATTGAAGACTCTCGATCATTAATCCCGTCGTCTTAATTATCTTCAATTATGATTAAAAACTTGAAGCTTCAATCACTAATCATATAGATTTGATTGTTTCATGATTAATCAATAATTAATCACTACATCGGTAATTCAGATCTCCTAGGTAAATATATACGATAAAAAAAGACTTCTACATTTTGTATTTTGTGATTCTCCTTAAATGTATAGAAAAAGTAGTAATCATAGGTACAATATACTAGGTAATAAGTACTACGAATAATCAAGACTTTTAGCCGTCAATCATCGATAGTCTCAAAGCCTACCAATATAATCATTGATTCAATCACTAACCATCTAGTCGCGAGTGTTTCGTGATCGAATCAATGATTGGTGATCAATCACCATTCGATGAGGAGACCTGCCAATGTGAAATAGAATGTGCCATTTATTCGTGTGGGGCAGGTATTTGCGGCATTTACAAGTGTTCAAAAACATGTGTACATGGTGTCAAGCTGAGGACGCAGAATCGGACAAGTGGGCGTTGTAGTTTTGTGAACATCTCTTAAGTTTGCTCTCCAGGATTCCTCATTCACTTGTTTAATCTACCTCAAGAACGGGCAGACCATCAATGAACACCATCTTTTCCCCTTGAGCCAGCATTGCTTCAGACGCATTTGTGTCGGAGCTCGATCATAGTATCCTTCGTGACCAACACAAACTTATATCCCAAAAGCGCACATCCAGCTTCCACGCCGTATTTCTGAGCAAGCGTCGCATCTGTTACCGTTGTGGTATTAACGATTACTGTGTTCTTTACCCCGAGCACTGCGTCCGACTTTTCATAAGGATCGTCTTTCAAATACAAAGCACTGGCCTTTTCTATCTCACGCCGACGCCGCTGCCGCTGCCGCTGTTGCGCTCCCACGGTCGCCACTTGGTAATGTCACTATGGATACTGAGCTTCCCTCTTTACGAAAGCTGGTGTGGCAAAGAGATAGAAGAAAATTCACATGCGATGGTATTGAGTATATGATTAGGGTCTGAGCAAGGCGGACGAGTGGTTAGATCAGCAGCATGTTGGCTGAAATGATTTATGTCAAGGACTCAGTCACGTGACAACTAATGAGATTCCGAAGAGCACGTGCCATCGGTACTGGACCCTTAGCGCGTGCTTATTCCAACCTCCCAATTTCCCTTGGCCAAAGCAACTGCATTACATCCTTTCTTTCAATTAAACATTCTTCGGTATTTTGCAGTGGAACAAATCATGCTTAAATCTTATTTATCAACGACCGTGGTGGCACTCGCCGCTGTTCGCGCATCAGCATCAATCCTCTCTCAAGTCCCGTTCGGAGGTCCGTCACAGTTCTTATCTTCCGACAGCAGCAACTCAGTCAGAATCCTCACTCATGAGTCACATCCTGACCATAGTCTGACAATCAAACCTCATTATTCAAACGACGTATCCACGAAAGGTGATGGCAATACAGTGGCGGATATCTGTCCTGGAGCCACCTCTGGATATACTGGCTATCTTAACTCCGGATCAAAACACTTCTACTTTGCTTACTTTGAATCAAAATCTAAGCCAAAGGATGATCCTCTTGTTCTTTGGCTAAACGGTGGCCCAGGATGCTCTAGTATGATGGGACTGTTCATGGAGCTTGGTCCCTGTATCGTCAATGAAGGAGGAGAGTCGGCCCGAGAGAACCCCGATAGTTGGACAAACGCAGCCAGTGTGTTCTTCTTAGATCAGCCCATCGGCGTCGGGTTCTCATATTCCAGCAACGGGTCGGTCCATGGCGGTGAAGGTGGAACTTTTGCAGCAAGCGAAGACATCTACGCTTTCATGAGGCTGTGGTACAAGGCATTTCCGGAATCGAGGACACTACCATTTTCAATCGCAGGCGAAAGTTATGGAGGCCATTACATTCCGGTCTTTGCGGAACATATTAATCAAATGAACAAGATCACTGGTATCGACGATCAGATTCCCCTAGAGTCCGTAATGATTGGAAACGGAATCTTTAGCGATTTGAAGCAGGCTAGCTCATACTACGACATACCTTGTACTAACGTTACGGGGATTGGACCTCTCCTTGACGAGTCGGTTTGTAAGAAAATGGCCGCTGCGGTGCCTAGGTGTGAATATTTGTTGAAGGCTTGCCATGAATTTCCAGATCCTCTCATCTGCCGAGCATCCGCAGGATACTGCGCCAACGAACTTGAGAACCCTTACTTCAAGTCAGGCCTGAATTACTACGACATTAGCAAGCCATGTGAAGGATACTTGTGTTACCCCATCATCGAGTCAATTACAAAGTACCTACGAACGGACAAAGTTCGCGAAGCATTTGGGGTCGACAAAGCAGCCCCTCAATTTGAAGGATGCAGCAACAAAGTTGGACGAGAGTTCCAGAAAGTCAACGATTTTATCATTGATACGCGGCCGTTTGTTGCAGCTCTTCTCAACACTGGAATCCGTGTTATGATCTATGTAGGAACTTACGACTGGATTTGCAACTTTGTCGGCAATGAACGCGTTTTTGGATCTCTGAAGTGGGACGGTTTACCAGATTTCCGTTACCAGCAGGAAAATAATAAGCAAGTTTGGGACGGTGGCTTGTGGTGGGAAAGTGGTCTCTTACGATATGTTAGAATCAACGGAGCTGGTCATATGGTACCTCACGACAAACCTGTTGAAGCATTGAAGTTATTCAAAGCTTGGCTAGACAAGAAGCCATTGTAGATGATCAACGTTCTTACTAAACATACACAGACATAGACTCGTGTATGTGGATTGCCCATAAGTCCATATATAACTGTCCATCTTCAATTGTTACTTGTGTTGCTTCAGTCCATCATGAAATCCTCGCCAAGACTAGAGTGCATCTACCAGTTTTTGTAGGTCACATTCCACTTATCAGATACCAAGCTACCTTTTGACTTAGCATCTAAACAAGTCGCCTTGGCCGTCGCATTGCCCCTAAACTGCCATTGCAAATACGCAACGGCAGCCTTCCCTTGCTTCCCACCATTAGTAGCTGAAAAGGTGCCTCCATGACCAGTATCTAGGCTTGCCCAGTATGCAGGCAACCCAGCAGGAAGCAATTTATAATCTTTCTGCGACTGATAAAGTGTTAGCTCAACACAAAATGTCATCGAAGTCTGCCGTCAACTTACAGTTATGAATCCCATATCCTTCTCCCCACCCACGAGCCACGCAACCGGCACCTTCAACTCCTGCAACAAATACCTCTTCTCATCCATAAAGATCGCAATATTAAAGAGGATCATCAGCTTCACCCTGGCATCATGATACCCCACACTCATCGCCTCTAATCCACCACAACTATGTCCCGCACTCGCAATCTTGCTCGTATCAATGTTCCCATATTTCTTCGCACCACCTTTCATAGCCCAGTTGATCGAATCCCGACTATCCTGAACCTTCGACTGACCGCCCGTACTCCCCGTCGGCAGTCCATCCGCGGCGACCACGTACCCATGACTTGCGATTTCGGTGAGTAGGTTGCGGTATTGCGAGCCATCTGTCTGACAAGCGCCGTTGCCCCAGGATATGAACGGCATAGACAGATTTCCAGCCGGTGGGGTTTTTGGAGCGTAGATTGTGTGGTTTGGCAGACCCGGGTCGGTACCCATAGCTGCTGGGTACGGACCAGAACCAGATGTTACGGGGCCGGTCCCGGTGGGTGACTCGGAGCCAGTGCCGCCTGCTGCTGCGGGGGTGCCGGCCGTGTATTTTGAGACATCGTTGGCGGGGATGCAGAAGATTCCGCCGGCGATGGTATCGTCGCCGGTGACTGGGAAGTAGCCTGGGCTGGGTTGGAATTGGCCTTGGCTGGTTACCAGTGTGGCGGCGGTGAGGAGAAGAATAGACTTCAACATCTTGTGAGTTGGCACGAATTTTTTTTGCGGAGTAATGTTGAAGTATTCGAAGATTAGGGTCCCAGGAGCTTTCTTCATGTCCTTTATTTCGCGGTAAAAAGCCTCGTTGTAGGCTGATTTACAACAGATTTCCCACTTACCCAGATTATGTATGCTTACATGGACTGTTTGCTCATCGCATGTGTACTAGTAGAATTTACCTACACCAAATTGAACTTCGCGACTAAAGCAACATAGAGCAAGCGAAGTTGACAACCCCCTGCGACCCCGCGATCCAAGATTTCGGAAGCTTGACACGGTAATGCTGAAACTTATTCCTGCAGAGTCAATTTAATTTGGTGCAAGCTCAAACAATATATCCGTTCAAGCGCGCCTATCGCGGTTGAATTGAAAGCCGCATGTTATTGCCGGAACCCTCTACGAATTGTCAGCAACTGATATCAAGCCAAACTTTTGGTTATAGAATACTCGAGCACGGGAATTGAGTTAAGATGTTTCAACCATAGTAGCTTTCGTTGCTCAATACTTTGTTACAAGCCATCGAAAATTCCGGGTAAATGGTGGGCCGTGGCAACTTGCGCTTGTCAATTCAAATGTCTGCAATGCGTGAAGGAGCATTCATTGCTGTTCAATAAGTAAAGTTATTTGTGGTTACCCTATCATTAAACATGAGAGAAAATGTGTAAATAACGATGTAGAAAGGATGTGAAATATTTGGATACAAGTTCATAATATACTAAGGGTTTAGTATCCTTGGAATAGTAAAACCTCCCTCATCAAGTCTTACACATCTGTCGGAGTCAAAGCTTTTATCTTTCATAGATTCTTTCAGATGTCAATTCGGTTTAACTAGTCAGCAGGAGGCATAAATAGCGCTTTTAGTTAATAACCTAGTTACTTATACGGTCAACAAAATGGCAACTCTGTGTCAACATACCCCGGCTCCTCCTCATAGCTACTAGATTCTCCATTGTTCAAACAACTATCGACTATAGATAGCCCTTAAGACTTTTTGTTATCTTCAACCACAATCTGGGTTCCATAAAATACAACTAGGCAGTGATGTGATGTCACCGAAATCAGTTTCATCGCCGATTGCGCTTGTACCAGTGTTTCCCATTTGGTATAGTATACCCTGGTACCAACCCACGCCACCTCTCTTTGGTACTAACCTAGGCTGATCTGTTTAGGTATAGTACCTACCTAAGTATATCTTTATAGGTGTAGGGTATACCCTAATATTAATATAGTAAGGGCGAAAAGTGAGTTAAGATATAGTAGTATAGTCTTATTACTTCCGGACCGGAGAAAAGGAGCCGATCCCGGCTCGGGCTAAATTCGGACCGATAAATCCCGAGTAATAACCAAATTATAAAGAGGTGGCAGAATTATACTAACCGCCCTCGGACCAAGGTAGGGCCGTCTCCCCCGACTCGGCGACGCACCGGACCGAGAACTTTAGGGTATCGGGTAGGGTACCTTAGTACCCCCGGTCTAACCTTAGGTACTATACCCAAGTATATCTTCATAGGTAGGGTACCAACCCTACTAGGCCTTGGGTATGTGTTTGGGTTACTAAATGGGAATCACTGGCTTGTACTGGAAATCAAAACAGAATAAATGATTAACATGATCTGGTGCTCTATCCTGCCTACGGAACTGAAACGGGCCGCTCTCGTTATATAGGATAAACCGTCACATAAGAGAGAACACAGTGATTTTCTCGCGGCAACTGGGTTGATGGTGGGGAGAGAAAGAAGAAGACTTCACGTATTCTGCTTTTATAGCAATACGAAAGTTGGCGCCTTGTAATCATTCAAACGCTGCTAGTCTATAGTGAGTTTATGAAGTCAAAATTTTGATCTTCTTCAATTGCGACTTCCTCATTCAAGTCATTGAAGTTCCCGGGCGGTTTTATTGGATTAAAAGTTTTTAAAATCGACTTTTACCTTTTTCAAGAATCAAACCTACATAGAATTGTGGTCATATCAGTTATTTTGCTCTGTCATCTAAGATTTACTTTCTCTCAACACTGTTTTTCAGTAATGCATTCCTAATCTAGGATTCTTGAGTAGTGATGATTATTCATTAGAGTGAGGGACACGTATTTGTGAGTACCAAGCTCTGTTGGCCAATCCGAAGACATTTAGATTCATGAGGAAACCAGGATCCGAGAATGAAATAGCAAATGTTGACGTACTCACTTACCATCTCGCCGGCGTTTCTGTAGCAAAATTCTTGCTGTCAATCAGCAGGCAAAAAACTTCATGAAGAAGACCTTGTTTCACTAATCATGATCTCATGACCATGCGGATCTCTGCTTTGGTCTACTCAACCTGTCATCCTTGGGTGCTCGTCTTAGTTTGACGCAATTCCAGCGTTCGTCCTGCGACCGAGATTGTATCAGACCGTTGTGACGCTACCACAACCAGTACACACTTGAACATTATGACACGCGGAGAAAATTAGTAAACTCAACAAGCTATCAATCAGCTCCCGATTGCTGCCGAAATGTTTAACAGAAAAAAACACCGCACTGCGCTTAGAAAGTCGGCATGCAGATACGACCCAGCAACTTATCGACAACGATATACAGGCGCAGACACACAACGATGGCATGTGTAATCGAATGAATTAAAGTAAAAGACCTTATAAGACTAAGCTGGTCGACTTTATATCGTCTTTCAAATAAAATTTATACTTAAGTGACTTAGCTACTACTAGTTGAATTAGCGTTCTTATTAGTATTACTGCGATGATACGACGTGATATTTAAGGCTGGTAATTTTGTTCTTTAATAACCGGTATAGTACATCTTCTAGACATTATATTATTATAGTAGTATACTATATAAGTTAGTAACGGCGAGGTGTCGGGGGGCGATAGCGAGGTTACACAAGTAAATATAAGCGAATACGAATCTAAACGAAGCTAAATAGTCACGTGTTAATACTATTAGTATACTATAGTATACCGGACAAACAATATAGTATAATTATCGGAATATAGTACTTATTACTAAGCCTTCTAACTAATATATTCTAGTATATCGCGATCTCTAATACTATTAAGTACACTGAACTGTTGAATAAGCTGGCGATAGTCGCCTTGCACTTAGGTGAAAAAAAAACGTCCAGTGAAGCTCAACAGCTGAAAGTTAATACAAGGTTTTACAGTAAAGAACCCCGTAATTAGTTTTGTTCAAGCTGCCGCAAGAGCTGAAGCAAGTTGTACCACTGTCGCAGCCTTAGTATTAGTTGATTCGCGCGCACTCAGTTCAGCCGAAGCAGCCCAGTAGAATTGACGAATAAACACATGCCAGGTAGCCATACATATGATACGCCACCATCCACTTCCAAATATCGCTGTTAGACTGACCTTCGCTATTTATCCATGTGTTGTTTCTCAAATATCTCAATTAAACATTGAGTGTTATCTTGTTTTCCTGAATTGTTTGTAATTTGGTTTGAGGTTCTAAAACGACAGCAACTCAGATGGCTCCTCGGTCAGGGGATCTCTGTCATTATTGTCAAGATCATTGTATTACCCAAAACTCCAAGTCTGAACCCAGTTTAACTCAATGAAAGACGGGAGTCAGTTGTCTACAAAAGGGTCGGTGATTATAGAATGGTTCAAAGCTGGGTGTCCGCTTGCTGAGTTTCTGTTGAAGAGGGTTATCGGAGATGCAAATGTATGAGTCAACAAACCCTACATCGTGCACTTATAAACAAGGGTTTTTCATTATAGGATACTAAGATCTTTTTATATGTAGGATATGCTGAATTCGGACCTCAAAATCTCAGTCAAGACTTGGTGTTGCTCAGTTCGTGGGGAAATCCACAAAGCCCATTTTACGGTTGAAGGGTACAGCACGAATTTTCCTACGGGCTCAATGATGAAGTCGGAGAACAAGGTCATGAAGAAATTTAACACCGAAATATTCACAAATTCAGGTATGTCTACAATATTATTTTTCTGTTGCATCATTGATTCAAATATTATTATATGCTAAAAGGTATAACCCATCTTTAAGATGATCCGCTCTCCCGGTATATATCTGGGGGGCGCGGCCGCTTGCAGACGAGCATGGGTCTGAACAGAGTCTTAAATTGGCACGCCTCTGGATCTCACGATGTATACAAGGAGGGCATCTGAATTGCCCACCCCCGGCAGAATCTCCCTATCCTTTACGGCTGCTCAATGTATCCCCAGATAACACCGGTGATCCGGAATTAGTTCGTCTTTGTATGTTCACTCCAGGTACACGAGGCCACCATCTGGCACTAAGTTATTGCTGGGGGACAAGCCAGAAGTTTATGGCAACTAAAGCTACTCTGCCTTCTATGCTCCGCGGAATTCAACTGGAAGACATACCCAAGACCTTTCGCGTTGCAATCTCCGTGACCAGACAGTTAGGGTACCAGTACTTATGGATAGATGCGCTATGTGTCGTTCAGAATTCTGATAGTGATAAAGCTGAGCAAATATCTCAGATAACGCATATCTATCGTAATGCTGTCTTTACAATATCTGCCAGTAGATCTGCCAGCTGTAACGATGGATTCCTTGGGCCGCTAGATCTGGATCCAGAAAATAGACCGGAGGTAGTTTCTAGGAAAGTTCCGTACAGCACTTTTGAAGGCGTCGTTGGGCGCATTCAACTCAGAAAGTTCATTCCCTTCGACGCAAGCGTCCAAACAATGCATAAAAGGGCGTGGACATACCAAGAGCATTGTTTTTCGATAAGAGTTCTATCTTTCGGCAGCCAAGTTAGTTGGCAATGTGCTGATGGTGAAGCCCTAAACTTTGGGATCTTAAATGACGAAATCAGTACCCTTATTACTATGCCCAAATTGAGCCCAGCCGCAATCGAAGACATCATGTGGAATTCGATTGAGAATTCCATAAAGCTGACGTATAAGACAATACTTATCGAAAACTCAGAAGTCGGGACGCTAATAAACAAGGTGGCGGTAAAGACAGCAAGACAGGTGATGGGGAAGAGGTCGCTAGGTAAGAGCGTCCTTACGGAAGACCCCAATTCGAATACGGTGTTAAAGATAGTAGCATCGAAGTTATTGATGAAGAAGCTAAATAAGTTCAAGCTTTATATGGTTCGCGTCGGAATGAGTGAGGCACTGAGCACAAATGCTTCAGATATCTGTGAAGTTATCTTCGATATTTTCTGCGATTATTTTGTTCGGTCATTCTTTGGGGATAGAGAAACACGCAATCTGATACAAACAATGTTTGCAGAAAGAGATCTCGCCGCTATCCTGGCCCTCCTGAATCCCATGTTAGTCCGCATCTTCGCGATAATGATGGAGCGATCGACAGTAATGCCATTTAGGAAAGATAGAAATGGCGAATCCCAAGCGGAAGTTGGCGGAAATGGTATTCTGGGGATTATTCGAGCGAGTACTACTTTGTTAGTGGACATTCAAGCGGATGCACTCGACATGTTAGAGAAAATTGGCATCCGGTTCCCGAGGTCAAAGGAAGAGGAGGAAAAGGATATGCTCAAGCTCCTTCCAAATCTCATCGCAGGCCTCACCCTCTCACCACAGATCATAAAGCGGGTACTCGTAGTGAAGACACACTGGCCTGTGGTCGTGGAGCGATACTCGCAACGCTCATTGTCGGATCCAAGTGATCGTCTACCTGCCATCTCGGGGATTGCGATCGACTTTAGTAAATTCACAGACGGAAGGTATCTAGCTGGTCTGTGGGAAAGGACCTTTATCCATGGGCTGATGTGGCATCAAAATCATCAAGTCACATCAGACTCATGGCTTCCGTTGAGGCCTGAGAGACAAATTCGCGTATTTCGACCTAGCGCATGCTCTTACATAGCCCCGTCGTGGTCGTGGGCTGCAGCAGATGGTTTGGCACTGTACCCCAAAATTCAAGGAAAAATCTCACAAGACCTTAAAGTCCTTGGATGCGATTTTTACCCAGAAAATCCGGGACAGCCTTTCGGTAAAGTTATTGGAGGCTCCATACGAATACGGGCGCCACTAAGAAAGGTAGATCACAACTGGTTTACTACCAGCTCGACTAGCTATATCAAAACGTATCCAGATGTGCAAAGCAGGCTTGCGTATATTCTTGACCGTGAACCCGATCCCTGGGATTACGACTCCCATGTTTTCTGGCTGCTAGAGCTTTTCCAGTCTGATGGTAAGTATGTTGAAAATAAACATAACTCGCAGGGTTTGGTTTTGGAGAAGCTCAGAGATAAAGTTTTTATGAGGGTTGGAATATACAAAAGAGCAAATCGGGGTTGGGTAAACACAACTAAAGTCTTGAAATGGTGGGAAGAAGGGCATTCCACTGTCGAAACCATTGAGATTATTTAGTATACATTGACTAAACAGTGGCTTCCTAAACAGGTCTCTTAGTAATTGAACACAAGTACTGAAATACTTTTCAAGTAAATTTAAAGTTTTGGCTTACAAAGTGTATCATGTTACTCGATAGTACCTGGTAGGAAAACTGTATCCAATGATAACCAAGTCAAAGTACTTGTACTAACACGCAGATCCACAAGATCCGACTTAAGAGAACTTTCCTCGGTGAATTGCAATTTATCGCCAGGGACCTCCCACTCTGATCCCTCTTCTTTCCCAACCATAGCAGCTCTTCCTATGATTTCAAACTTCGGGTGAGGATCACTAGAGCCAGTTTCTCGAAGAACAGCACAAGCACTAGAATTCCAGAACTGACAAATAAAATCTCCTTCACGAACATTCGCTGGCGTAACACCAAGTGTCTGATTTGAGCCTATGAATAGCACAGGCGATACATGTGACACATCCTCATCATGGTTTGCCACGATATGTGGGGTAAGGTTCGTGATGGTCTGATGAGAGCTGAACGAAACAATATTCCGGTTGCAGAACTGGGTTGTTTTTCCAATCATCGATAGAAGCTTTTCGTTAAGGCCTCTCACTATTGATAAATTTTCGACATTGGATTTGCGGAGGTAGCATCCTAATTCGACTTTCCAGCATTTCTCGGCTTGGTGGGATGTCGCAAGATCAGAGATTGATGGTCCAAGATGTTCTAACCTGCTGACTATTGCGCCTCGGAGAAGAAATTCTGGTGATTCGTTCTCGATATTTGACGTTTTTATCCATGCTGAGAGGTCTTCTAGGGATGACTCTTTCCAGTACCACGTTAGGTTTTCTTTTGGTTTCTGGTCGTCTTCTAGATACTTCTTCAGAAGCCAGGCTATCATGGCTGCTCCAGCTACGCCAGCGACGCCAAGTGGGATAAGATTTTCGGATCTCCAATATGAATACTTGGAATCTTTATCTTCTTTCTTGCTTCCCGTTTTTTTGGTATTGATGTTCATCCCGGTACCGAATAGAGAAGGAAGAATACCGAGCCCGGCGGATGTCTTAGAGAAAATCCCAACATCATTGCCATTGGCTTCAGGTCGATCTTTAGCAATTTCCTTGGTACTTTCCTTTTGTGAATGTGAATAGTCTGTAGAGGTATCTTTTTTTGTTAAGTCTTTGGTGATTGCCTCCTGAAAGGTTTTGATTATTCTTGGCAGTTGAGTCTTCTCTCTAGTGAGCAAACGACGAACTAACGCTGCAAAATAGACTGCATCAATTGAGGATGTCTGCTGCGACTCCAATTGAAGTGAATGGAAATGATGCCTCATGATATCGTGATACACTTCTGGGATGGACTTTTGGTAATTGATTGGAATTTCCTCCTCAACCGTATCATTGGCTAGACCAATGAATGCATACACTTTGTCGTGCTGTAGGGTACAAAATGCGTCTCGAAATCCATCGACGAGATTCTGGAGTGAGAAATTCCCTTTCTGTGTGAATTTCGATCGTCGCATGGCGTCCAGTTTAATAACTGTCTGAGTTGCAGCATCGTTTGAGTTTTTTTCTCTGTACCAGTTCAGCAGTTTGACAAAGTCATTCCATTCCATTGATTCTGTTCCGAAGTACACCATGATTGTTGAGGCCATGCCGACTTCTTGGATGATCCACGCTCGGTTCCAGTACCCTTCATGAATCAAGCCGTGGACAAAGTATTCCAGCTTTATCTCCGCAAGCTGTTTGGCTCGCGTATCGACACTCTTAGCATACCCAAGTTTTTGTTCATGCTCTTTGTCGACCGGCTGATTATGTAAGCCTAACCATATTACCACTTGCCGGGCACGTCGGTATATGAATCCCATCAGAGGTATCTGTCTATTTTTCTCCAATGGGTTTGTTTGATCGATGCATAGGAAGTCAACCCACAATGCCTTGCGAACGTTTCTGTCACGCAAAGAATGCAACGCATACCACAGATGCTCTCTCACAAGAACCTTCGAGCCATTAAGCCATACTGGTTCGTGCTGAGTGTCGTCACCCCATTCGTAAGAAAGTGCGTCATATGTCGGATTATCTTCAAATGTGAGTGATTTCAGGTCACATTCAATCATAGAGCCTCTCTCTCCTGGTCGCAATATGAGTAGTCGAATCCCGTCAGTTGTGGGATCAAGGGTTGGGTACCGGAATTGAGGCTCGTTTTTTTCTTTCCCTGTGTCATTAAGCATTGTAAAGAGGAGTACTGATGTTGCAATGGCAAGCGTGATGAGACCATCTTGTTTTCCTTTGAAGCGATCGAGTGAAGAACGAGAGGCTGTATCTTTTTCTTCCGACATTTTGACTTGGTTCTCCACGAGTCTGATGATTTATTCAACACGCATAGTTCGTTAGGTCGAGAGCTGCCAAGTGTTTTGCCAGATGGTGAGTTGTCATAGGCTGTGCAAGCGCCTTACCTGAAAAAATATAGATATATTATTTCTCCCGCCACTGTCGATAAATTTTACTTTAGTCCATTGTAGGCCTAAATTTTAAACAGGCTTTCGGCCACTGTGTTATTATCATACTCAGGGGCCGTTAAATTTTACCGTGATCTTGATTTGAGATCTTTGGGTTGAGTTATAGTGTATAGTGTCGAGTTATCAGTACTTCTTTTACGTTTCATAGCAGCTACCTACTCTGCTTATAATACTCTCCTTCTGCTTATTGATATCATGGCGAGAAAATTGGACAGTCGCGTCCGAATCAAGCTCTCATCCTTTTGCGGTGAACAGAAGCCACCTCTCCTCCTGAAAGCGACCCTTTTCGAACCTATGCAAATGACCTAATGTTTGTTCTGCTCTACATACCTTTTCTCCTTTCAATTATTCGGTCGCGGTAGTATCTATGGCCCTTCGCAAGCTTTGGGGCAGGGCGCGCCGGCGCCGGTATGGTGTACCATTCGGTCACCTGACCCGTGTTTAGAAAGCTAGATCTCGTGACTTCCTCGAGTGTAACGGGCGAAGAAACAGTGCAATAGTCAATATTGTCTAATCTACACATTCGCTCTATAAGAAACCGCAAGCGACTCGGCAACTATTGTTTAAGATAATTCGTTTATAATAGTTTCCAAAGGGCTGTTTGTTAGCGGATGTGTATCAGATATAATATATCGGAAGATAAAACAAAAAAACTTCCAGGGTCTCCGGAAACGAAAGTCGTATTCATGAGCTCGAAAAATCACGACTTGGTGGCATTCATTGCACACAGCTTGGCTATACAAGTATCAAAGCTAATTTTAACTCGATAAAATCGTACATTGGTGTAACATCAAGGATTACGAATGCTAGTCTTATTAATATGACAACATTCTTGTTCCTAAAAGAACTCGTCAGAAAAGAGTCCTTCTACAGCCAAAACTTTCACTAAGATTAAGAAGTAAATATTTATTTCACTTCGGTGGAAAACAAAATCCATGTTTCTGGGGCTAATATAAGCTGAGCTTTCTCTTTCACAATAACTGTGTTAATGGCTTTTGTTGTGATAAAAGTTCCGTTTAAGGAGGTTGTGACGTTTCCAAGAATCGACTGTCTCCCTACTGCCATTAACACCTCGACACAGCCATCCTGCCGAAATCTCATTCTTTTGAGGACCTTAGCTTCCTAGTCCCAGTCCTCGCAAAGCTAGCTAAAAATACACGATAAAGAGGCAAATTCTACGACCATACATCCCGGAGTCATCAAGCGCATGGAAATTGAAGACTGCTGAGACAATCTCAACTATCCTCTTCCCCTAGACACACTCTCACCTCAGCATGTCATGTCATCATACTAATTTCGGCCGTACCACCGAATTCCTTCTATATCTCCAGCCTGTACAATCATCTCCAAAAACGTTCTCTCTATCCCTCAAGGGTTGACAGAAGGTCTCACTCGACATTTCTTACCGAGTAAACAAGCAAACGGTTAGAGTAAAAGATTCACAGGAGATATTTCCCCAACCTATAGGCTTGTTTTTCCAACGTGGAGTGAATTTTATTTGTCAGCTGTGAAATAAATACATGCTTCTTCAAAATCTAATAGAGGTTTCTCGGAAAGAGTAGACTATTTACGTGTACCACGTAAGCTTCCCAAGATTAACAGAAAAAGAAGCACAAACCTGACTGTGAAACTTCACTTGATTTGCATACACACATCCTGTTTGTCTGTCTTTTGTATTCTGACCAATAACTTATTCATAGCTTGCCAACATGGTAACAAGAACAACAACTTCCTGTGAACTCATTACTAAAACTGTAGATAATCTATTTATTTCATTCCAAATGACATTCCGCAGTTGCTTTCCCGTCTTTAGTCCACAAGCAATAGAGGTCTGTCTTTTTTAGAGCGACCGTAGCCTTCTATACTCCGCAAATTGAGTACCGGCCTCAATTGTAGTTGCTGAAATGTTTCCAGGAAACAAAACGCTTTTACCTCGAGTGCGTTTATGATAGTGCATAGAAAAGAATAACCTTTGCCGAAACCCTCTCAACAAGCTTCATTTATTCACTCCCTTCTCGAAACCTTCTTATGTTGTAACCTTACACCACAACACCGCACTCTACTCAATTATTCCTAATAGTCTAGACTAAAAAAACCTTGTTTTGGCAAAATTCCGAAAGCAAGTCTGCAACACAGAAGAATTCACCTGTTAAAATGAATAGAATTACGACCCAACTATCCAAAACTTGCGTCCACGACTCCGCGCCGCCAAATACGGCAAAAATCTAACAAGATTACTAGAGAGGATATACCGCGCCATGTTCTTACCCATATGCTGCATGTTCAGTAATCACATCAGTTTGATACTAACATCAAACGATCAATTTTCCCCTCAATAATTCAGTCTTCCTTCCTATCAGTCTCTCGGTACGTGCAATGCACCCAGGTTGTCTTGGCGTTTGATGTCAAGACCAACGCTCTCGCCCTTTGCTTGCGGCACAATAAAAAACCCTACACAACGCTCCAATCATCGCCTCCAAACGGTTTAGTGCTTACTTTCGCTTCCGCCAACATATTCCGGCGACTTTGGTCGTCGGCCGCGGTCTGCCATGTTAACATGTATGTAAAAAGTCCGACAATCATCCTTAACACACGTTTTTAGCTTACTTAGTCCAGTAGCTTTGTGTGACGTTTCCTCACTTACAGACTACTTTGGAGTTTTGGGAAGCTTAATGGTCTCTTTAATACATCAAACATGTTATCCCACAAGTCAGAGTACGGCGAAAACTTATGGGCAACAGATGGTATTGCTGGGCTTTTTTTGAGTGCGGTAAAAAACATCCACCCCACGTGCATGTAAAAGATGTTCTGGAACACACGAGATCGAGGACCGTTGCTGATAAGAAGTCCGTGAGCAGATATTTATATATGCTACATCAAGGTGTATCTATAATCTATATTTCCATCCTCTTGCGAAATTTCCTGGTCCCAAATTGGCAGCTGTATCAAATACTTGGTATGCATATCATTGGTAAGTCTTTCCCACGATTTGCACTGGGCTGTAAGGTTTTTTGCTTGCATTTAACCAATTAACTTATTCAATTCAAGGTTCTCCGGACGCTACCCTTGGGCTATCCAAACTGCACTCAAGAAATATGGCGACGTAGTCCGCATTGCACCCAATGAACTTGTCTTTATCACCCCTCAAGCCTTCCATGACATCTATCTGCCTACCCAAAATGGTCTTGAACTATTTCCGAAGACCGATTTTCAGAATCGGGGTAAAAATCTGGGCGGGTTAGCATGGGAAGAGGATCCAATTCGCCACCGCGAAGTAGCGAAGAAAATGTTACCAGCCTTTAGTATGCGCAACATGAGGGCCATGGAACCGGTTTTCACTCGCTATATTGAGGAGTTTATCTCCCAGATGAGAGAATTGGGTCAGGCAAAGAAGGGAGTGGAGCTTGTCAGGTGGATACACTGGTTGACAATGGACACAAGCGCCGATCTCACGAGTGGTGAGAAGATGGGCCAGATGAAAACTCGTCAGTTCTCCTACCTCCTGATTCCTACTCACTAGAACAGTCTTGACATTATTTTTTGTGTTTAGAGAAGGATTCTCCCAATTTACAGGTTCTTCTGGCCTTCAACTACCTCACGACGGTCATACAAGTCTTTAAACGCTTTCCACTAATACAACCTCTCCAGTATTTATTTGCTCCTGTCTCAATGATCCTTCCCTTTCTTCGCATTGAATCTCATTACCGAGAAGCCGTCAAACGGCGCATTCAACGTCAGACTCCTGACCATGTGGATTACATAAGTTTCATGTTAAAGGGAGGCAATGTGCCAAAAACCAAGGAGGATTATACTCATCTGGGAGGGATAAGCTTACAAGTTATGTTTGCAGGATTTGGGGCTATGAGTGACTGGTACTATAGTACTATGGTCTATCTTCTTCAAAACCCTGCTGCATATAATTTACTTGTGGCGGAGATTCGAGGATCGTTTGAGAGCTATGAGGATATCGAGTCCGAAAAATTAGCACGACTCGAATACTTGAATGCGAGCCTGAAGGAAAGTCTAAGACTGATTCCAAGTCTCAATTCAGGAATGCCACGCTTGAGCCCAGGAGCAATAGTCGATGGGGTCTGGGTGGCAAAAGGGGTATGTTTAGTTTTCTAACGCTCATTCATAATTTGGTACTGATACCAAGGCTGGATAGACTCATGTACAAACTTCAAGTTGGGCTGTATCACGTAGTGATCGTTATTTCCACAACCCATCCATCTTCTCCCCTGAAAGATGGCTTCCATCAACTCACCCACAGTACGACACCAAGTTCAGCGGCGATAACCTGAAAGCCTTGTTCGCATTTTCCATTGGCGTTCGTGGATGCATGGGTAAAGAGATGGCGTGGATGCAAGGAAGGCTCTTTTTCGCAAAGCTATTGTGGTGTTTTGATCTCAGCATGGTAGAGGGACAGGATATATGTTTGGAAAGAGATTTGATACATTACGGTTTCTTCGAAAAGCCGGAGGTAAGATTTCGGCTGACTCCAGTTGACAAGGAAAGCAAAGTTTGAAATGCTTGAATAAATTCCAGAGTTGTTTGTTAACAATTTTTATGTATTTGAACCTAAGAAGCAAGCATACCTGTCATAAAATCCATACCTTTGTTGTAGAACAGAATTGGATGATGCAGACCGCTTGATTTTTATTAGCAAGGATGGAAAGGTAGAGTCTGGCTAGAATATGAGTATGCAACCAAGTCAGCTTGCCTACACGACTATTTTATCAACCAGAACCCCCAAAAATATACTAAGAACAGCAATGTAACCTCATTGAAGTATTTCTGCCCTTTTTCTAGTAAAAATAAACTACATAGCGATAAAAAAAGCCCTTTACACAAACCCCCTACAAGCATTCATAGATCCTCTACCTTACTGGAAGAAGTTTTCTATAAAGTTTGATAGAACAGACATCATGATCCTTCCAACTTATTCACCTTCGAGCTACTGACACTAAGTCGAGCTATAAATCTAGACCGGAATCAGTCATTCTACTTTCAACAGCTATGTTCAACGTCTGATATTATAAAAACTTTGTGTAAGAACGGGCATAATCTGTATGTGTTATTTCCATATTTTTCAAGGACTCCTTATCACCGAAATTATCCCCACCACCAATTTATTCCTCCTGATTATATATATATGTTCTCAGGCTCCCCACCAACTCGGATACCCATACGGTATATTGTAACGACAAAGGGACAGGTTGAGTGAACACAAAGTTGAGTGGCAGGTCGGAGGCCACTTCGTACATGATGCTGTCCTAGACGTTTACATTCTCCAGCTTAGGATTGAACCTGCTAGTACTCGTTCAGAATAACACGCCTGTTAAAGATGCGATCTTGATCATACCCACAAGTTTTCAACTCATTTTAAGCACCTCAATCTTCTAGTTCCAACTGAAAGAATGTTCAGGGTTGCAGAATGCAGCTTTGATCGAGTAACCTTGGGGGGTATTTTCCCGTGTGCAAGACGCGCCAACCGATCAACAGGCACCGTCCGAAACTTGAGCTTTTAAATCCTCCCGCCAAGTTTCAATAGATCATTCAAGGATGCCGACAAAGGCCAGATATTGTCAATTTTATGAATTCTAGAGTAGATCTGATCTCCGATTTGTATGGCGATAGAGAAATAGGGGATTGTGGTTTTCGACCATTTATATAATATGCAGCTACCGCTTGCGATATATATTTCTTTCTATAGATTGTTTTCTGTTACCGAGACTTATCTCAATACCGATTCGTTTTGACATCGAACCTTACGGAGCATAGCTCTTCTCCTCCCATTACGACGTTTCCTAACGAAGTTTCGTGTTATTGTCAGTAACTGTGTCTTTCCCTAAAAGCATTGTGGGAGGTTCTCGCGCAATTATTGAGGTTATTTTACAACGACATACTAGAAGAAACTTGGCTTCTTCGTGCTTATATTCCTTCTTCATCCCTTAACTACTAGCTCACGCCTTTTAACTACTCTTCACCTCTCTATAACCTATAATCGTAGAAGAAGATATAGAATTCTTTTCTATAATATTCCAATCTTAAAAGAGAAGAAGAGAGAAATCGGGAAAGACGCTTAAAATATACAAAAAAGCTTTAATATTCCTAGACTAAACAGAAAATAAAAAGGGATATTATACAGAAGTAAGAAGAAAAAAAAAAGGGGAAAAAAAGAAAACCTGTAAAATTATGTTTCGAAACAATTCCGAAGAAAAAGAGAAAGGTTTTCTTACCGAAGGTAGATTTCATAATAGATAAGGATAAGATATATATCTAATATTTAGTTAGACTTACTAAATTTAATTTTAAACTTGCCGAAAGATTGGCTTACCTTCTCCTACCTCTTTTTATAAATTCTTAGACGTCTCTTTACAAATACTATATTAACGTTAACTAGTAATAAAGTAAACAATTAAAAGATAAAGTAGCTAAGTATCTATCCTTATAATTCTCCTTATACGCTATAAAACTAATATTATCTCGCTATATATAATCTATATTTATTTACCTTTCTACTATAGTTTTACTCTAACAACTCTCTTTTTTACTCTATTATTATTCGCACCTCTCTATTACCGAAATCTAATTTGTTACCAACTCCTACCCTCTAAAGCTCTCCTCTAAAAACGCGCGTTCCTTTTCTAATATAAGTTATTATATAACCTCCTCTAACTATACGAAATATACTGAAACTAACCCTTCCTTTTATTATATTAGCTAAATAAACAAGAACGGATATTCTTAGTTAACAATACTCGAGTTCTAATAACTACTATTAAATTCAATAAATTAGTAGATATATAAATAAGTTAGTTGTAAACTTGTATTATAGTAAATAGAACACCTAAGCCTACTACGCTATCTAAATAACTTTTTTCCGCTTACAAAATTTAGTCGTATACTCCTCTGACTCACCTAATCCCCATCAACTTCCGCATCCCAGCAAACCCGTAGCAACAACAGTCTGACGCGCCTGTATATTACTCATCCCTCACATTGCTCGAAACAACCACCTAGGCACGTTCTTAATTGTAAAGCTTACATTTCTGTTGGTTTACTATATCTCCTCCCTCTATCTTTTCTTTTTATTTAAATATCATCTTTTACTCAAACAGTCCGGAGCGTACAGGTTTCTAATTCGCGAAAATTCGTCACTTTAACTACACTTACTTCCCACTACTCACTTATAACATCCATCTCGCCAACTTCTCTAACGACGAATTCAAACCTCAAGCGCGCGGACTATAAGCGCATAACAGTATATAAGTTAATAAAAATCATTCCTCCCCAACTCATCCGCCGTACCACCCTAGTCTCTTATTCTACTGCCCCTCTTACTGTTCCCTCTCCACCGATCCCCATCCTTCACACATCCTTCGCCACTTTCCCATCCCTTCACACTTTAAGACCGCCCCCCGCCTATAACTAAACTTCCATATCCCCTGAAAGATCTGGAATTCAGAAACACCGGTTTCGATTAAGCTTTAGACAATATCCTTAATTAGCATAATAAGAACTCTAGAAAGGCTAAAGGTAGGATTGACTTACAATCTAAACGAATGGCTGTAAACCATCCTCATATTTACCTCTTTCTCCCAAGCAGACTTTGATGTCACCGAAACCTATTACACCGCCAAATTTACAACCCTTATTACCTCTTACCGCTACTTACCACCGAAACTGCAACCCTTCTTACCTGCTACCTCCACACACCTCCAAGCCACCACCACATTTCTACCTGAAATGGTTTGTGCTCATAAGCGTACATACTGCCTTGAAACCCTGTTGGTATCGAGCTACGGGATCGCGAACTCCAAGTTCGCACTCGTCGACTTCCTCTCTCGCGAACACGTCGGCTCGCACAACAGATCTAACAAGCCCTAGTACTATTAACAGAAGCGTGTAAAAAAAAGTACTACTCTAACTTCGAAAGCTTAATAGAAGATAATATATATATACCTATACTTAAACTCGATTCCTTCTCTTTATTTTATATTTTACTATTTAAATTAAGAAAAACTTAGAATACCGCTTATTTTATAAAACGAGTTATATCGTTTTTATTTCGTAATAGAGGCTTTGTGTAGACTAGAATAGAAAATAAAGAGATAATTAAATTCTTATATAGGAGCTAGAAAAGAGATAAACTTATCCCCTCTTAAACAACTCTCGCTATACTACCTACTACCCCCTCTATCTATTCCGAACATCCCTCTATAAATACGGCTAACACCCTCTATTTCTACTTAACTAATCATCTAGACACTCAAGCTGCGACTACATATATCGCGGTAAGTCCTTAGCTTACCTACGTTTACAAGTAAGACTGCGTACTTATTTCACCTCGCAGGAAATGTATACGGTAATCCAACTATGTTATCCATTTTACCAACACTCTTTACGATTTTAAAAAATTCGACTTTCCCACCGAAACCGCACTTGTCACCGGTTTCCCGCTTCCCACCTCCCACCTCTCAACCTGCTATACCCCTCATATCTCTCAAGCCACCAAATCTCAGTACCAGATATCAAAAATATAACAATTAATCCAAATGCACTAAACAAAAATTAGAGTCTCCAAAACTAACCACCTATCCTTGACATTCCTCCACGAAGTTATCCACATCTCCAAGCCTCTGCCCTTTTCCTTCCCTTTATCTAGCCCCTTTACTTCCCCCCAAAAGAGAAAACAAAGTCGAAAAGAGCGCTTCTTCAAACATAAACATGTCAAAAGGTACTTAGAGGATCTCACTTTAGTAGCCGAGTCTCCTATACTAAGAAGAATATACAGGTAAATTATGAAAACGATTTAAATAAAGGAATAGACAAACATTTTCTCGTCACTCTCCCTCCCACTACCCTTCTCACCTTCCCTAATCATCCTACCCACTCCTCAATAAAAATCTCAATCCCCTCCTTCCCCACTAGACTATCCCACGATATTTCCAACAGCTAGCGACAATGTCCACATCTCCCCCGCCTCACTACTATAACACCAACGTTCAAACTCCCTCACCAACATCCCCCTCATTTTCTCATCCCAACACACCACCCTTCACTTCCTCTCCCAACCATCTCTCCAACTCTATCACCACCCCCCTCTTCTATCACCGAATCCCACACCACCACCGAAATCCCACCCTTCACTGATAAATTCTTACCTCTCCCTTAACTTAGGCAACGTTCCTAGTTATATTGTAAGATCTTCAGTCATAATGTCTACCGTTCATTTTTTGGTCTATTCGTTCAGTTTACTTACTCCCTTACAATTTTTAATAAACTTACCCATGAAATGAAAAGTGTAATGGGTTCTAGACATTAGAGGGCACTTTTATCCGCACTTTCACGTCCTCAAACTTTCACACCCTCACACATTTACACCTCTCGCACCTTTTCACACTTTCCACACTTCTCACACTGCTCACACTTCTCACTTCACCACTCCCAATTTCCATTTAGTACTCTCAAAATCCATAAATCCTCATCAATTCAATTCAATTCATCTAATTCCACAAAATCACACTACTAAAAGCCACCAGCCCAACCACCCTCTACACCCTCCCCAAACCAAACCAAACCAATCAAATAAAGACGTAGAAAGGGGTATCTATCCATCCAACCAACCATCTCTCCATCCATAATAACCGCCACTTCATATACACAGCTCAAATACTTTCCACCCTCAGTTTACCATTTCATTTCCTCCCTCCTCCACCCCTCGCCCTAGCCGCCGCTAAATTCGCCGTCCCCGTATACCCCGTGGCACTTTCCTTCTCGGTAGAAACAGATCTACTCCTGCCTCCACTGACACTTCCGTTCCTACTTCCACTTCTACTTCCACTTGCACTTGCACTTCCACTTCTCCCTCCTCTGCCCGCATTTACGCCACCCCTACCACCCCTAGCAGCAGCACCACCTCTCCCACGTCCCGCACCCTCCCTATCAGTACTTTTCGGTCTCCCCGGGCCTCTCTGCCCTGGCGTAGCCTTCTTCGTCCCTGTCTTCTCCGCGCTCTTGACTTTCGGTGCCGTACCAGAATTCTTCTTGGCAGGCCCTCCTATCTTCGCCGGTTGTCGATGTCGTTGGCCCGTAGTTTTCTCATTCTCACCAGCAACCAACTCATCTACATCGCCCCCGTCTACCTCAGAACCCGAAGCAGCAGTCGCAGCAACCTTCGCCTTCTTATTCGCCGCAAGATTCGTACTCGAACTCTTCCTCTTCAACGGACTCTCCTGCTCTTCCAACATAGCATCCAAAACTCTCTTGGGAGTCTCTTGACCTTCTAGTCCCTCCTCAATGATAGCTTGCCATTGCTCGGAAGCATCTCCGTCGTTCAAAACATCAGCCATTCCTCCATCATTAGACACCCCTCCATCACTTGCATAAAGCATATCCATCATACTCTGTCGGCTCGGCGGATCTTCGTTGAAAAAGCCCGGCGGAAACTGACCTACATCGTAGCCAGACATCGAGTTTCCAATCAAATTGGGGGCCGGGGGAGCAGAGACTTGTTGCCAATTCGTTACATCCGGTGGAGGTTTTGAGGGATGTTTAGGAGGCATGGAGATACCAAGACCAGGATTCGAGACCTGGACAGATCGAGGAATTCGTGACATACTAATTAAGTTTGGAGACCGTGTCGGCTGAGAATCCTGCGCAGTAATGCCGCTAAAATCAATCGACGGCTGCCCAGCTATGTTGGTACCCCCGCTTTGATTAGAATTACTAGCACCGCACTTGGCCAAGAAATCTTCCAGATTATTCGATAGATTTTCTGATGGAAAGACATTATCGTCGGGAGTAGCATTACTAGGAAGTGGACTTCCAAAACTCGAAAAATGCGACTCTGGTTCGGCTGCTATGCTATGTCCTGGGCTAAACAGAGAACGTGGCTGTTGAGGACTTTTCGCCATCTCCTGGTTCTTCGCTAAATTCATCTGCGCCTGAGCAGCCTGTGCAGCGTAAATTGCTTGAACCTTCTGAAGATTATCATTGAATCCAGGTGACGGAAGATTGTCGTTACTTGATACCGGAACATTGGAAGGGTGAAGAGAAGCTTGTAGTGGGTTAGCTACTTGCTGATTGTTCATGACCGCATTTTGAGGAACTCCACGAGCCATCGCCGCTTTCTGGTGCATCATACGAAGGTATTGATTATACTCAGCTTGCGATGTGAAACGAATGTTTACCGCAGTATTTCGTGCCTGCTGAGCCAATTGCAAATTCATCGAAGCCCTCTGCGCATCAGGTACCCAGCCAACGATGTCACTAGTGTCTTGTACCAAGGCAGGATCAAGTTGACCGTCAAAATTGCTTTGTCCGGGATGACTAGCAGCAATGGGAAGCTCTGGACGCATCCCGTTTGGAAATCCACCTGGACTTTGTGCACTTGCTGATTGCCCAAATACCGGTGTAGCAATTCTTGGAGGAGTCTTTGGTGTAAACGAAACTTGCGACATCGAACGAGCTCGATTGCCATGTGTTTGCTTAAAGGAATTCCAGGCTTGAAAGGGACCTCCATTTTGTTGACTAGGCCTCATTCCATTCCCTGCTTGCCGTGAAGATATCCCTGGTGAGGATACTGGTGTCGTTGCTCTCCCAGCAGTTGGATCTCCCAACGAGTTCTGTGGCGGAGTTGCTCCGTTCATAGATGGACGTCTCACTATACTACCCTTCCGATTCCCTGTATTGTTTTCATATTTTAAAGCCCGCTGAGGCATAGTACCCCAATTACCATCTGGACTATTAATGGAATTTCGCAAAGGGCTGCCAACTCCCCCAGGTTTATTTATCAAGGAAGCATTACTGGAAGTACGTTGGCAATTCATCTGCGGAGGCGTTCTGTTCCCATGTGAAGGTCTGCGAATCATGTTGACTGGTCGGTTACGCGGCGACATTTGGGACGATCCATTCGATCCTGTAGAAACCTGTCGTGTCGACATCTCAGGCTGATTTGGCATTCTAAGTTGTGGAGGACTGCTCTGAGGAAACTGTGGCGAGCTCAGAAACCCAGAAGGAGCCTGTGCCTCGACTGATTCCATCCAAATTTGGTTGGCATTGTTCATAGCTGCCGCTTTCATCGCCTGCTGCTCCGCTTTGTGCATCATTGCCTGCTGGTGGGCTCTGAATTTTCTGAGGAACTCCTGCTCAAGAGGATTCACCATCTCTACTGTGGTACCCATAGACATACTCCTAGGCCTACTTTCATTTCCGCTCCCACTAGCATTTATAGAATGACCGGCTCCTCTTTGCACCATATTATGATCAAAGCTATTTCCAGGAGCAAGTGCTGCAGGACTCATGGCCACATTGTTGACCGCCATACCATTAAACCTAGGGTTCTGGACCTGGGAGGTTTGCAACATTTGAAAATTGGCGTCGATTTGGTCTTCCAAAGCCTGGCTAGCATTGATTTCAGGATGAAGTGAAGCCTGAACGTCCACAGCCGTACTTTGACCCTGCTCACCCGCTGTAGTGAAAGATTTCGTTTGTGGAATAAACTCTTGATAAAGAGTCTTATTTTGGTTTTGGGGCCGAGGTGAAGAATCAGGTTGAGCCAAGTGAAATGCTTCGGGGGTGAAAAGTAGCTGGCCGTTTATGAACTTCATACCGTGTGGAAGCGGTTTTGTCGGGTCTATCCCGCGCGGCCATTTTTGTTTTGGTATGACTAGAGGGGATGATCGCGGTATGATTGTAGGGGATGAGCCTTCTGTAAGATCAATCACCTGTCCGTTTGTATTTTGAGGCGAGGCAGCAGCTATATTCAAATTCTGAGTGGTCAAATTGCCCACCTTCAAAATGTTCGGAGGCTGCTGGGTTGCTTGACGCTGTACTGGTCTCTGCGAAGCTGTGGGGTTTGGAGAAGATTGTATGCCAGCTGATAGACCGAGTAGCAGCTCGTCAACAGACTGATACGCCAAGGAATTGGTTGAGGTAGAAGGAATCTGCAGTGTCGACGAAGTTGTCTGGCTCATCGTCATACCAGATGCATCTTGCATAGACGGCGGACTTTGCAACGCTCGGCGTGCAACGGCGGCAACTGGAGGAGAAGAAGCCGCTCCCGCCTTTAGAGCTTGATTATCGAATGTCTGAGATGGCGTGGAGGTAGCGACCGTTGCTGAAGTCTGAACGGAGGCTGCAGCTGGATTATTATTCTGCGAAAGCTGTTGCTCAGGTGCACTTTGTCCAGGTTGGTTTTGCACAGATTCGACCGGCACAGACAAACTCGCATCCAATTTTGCCTGATGCTCAACAGCACTTTGCGATGGCGCAGGAGTTCCAGTTGTATTGGAATTCCAAGTCACCCCAAACATATTCTCCCATTTTTCCCACTCCCACATTTTATTCTCGCCGATAATAATGTTCGTATCAAAAAACGGATGTTTCTCGTTGTCCAATATATCCGTACCCACAAACTCTGTCGGAAAATTATCCAACCATGGATGATCTTTCCTGCTGACATCAGCTTGCCAATTGAGCTTACCATTCAAGTTCAATTCCTTCACCAACTCCCGCTGGATCTGGATTTCCTCCATGGTGCTGCGACTCTCTCCATATCCATGTGGGTTGTTTCGGATGAATTCTTTGACTTTGTCAAAACCCTGTTTGTCATTGTCCTCCCAGTTTGGCACCATAGATGATGTCCACATGGAGATGAGCAACGCAACAAGCTTCATCATTTTACCGCCTGTATTCTGCGGATCTGGATCCGAGATAAGATTCGATGGAGTCCCAACACCATTCCATATAAGATGTACTTGACGAAGAATTTCTGCCTTCAGCGGCTCGACGAACTCGGGCAGAACAGGGAACTGTTCTAGATGAGGTTGCTCAATTTTCATTCGTTGCCCAAGCTTTTTTAGAACTGCGGGAACTATTTGGTTATAGACGGCTTTTGTTGTTCGAAGGACTTCGGGGGGATACTGAGGAGGACTGCCACAGTCCCAAAACACAGCTCCATTGGGACCGTGGTAATAGGTACCAGCAACAAATTCTGGCACGTTCGCGTGACCGAATAAAGTTTTCTCCGAGTAAACTTTGTATCGGGTTCTTGCTGGGACTGGAATATCCGGGTGTGCTCCAGGGAATTGAAGATAATCTAACTTTTCCGAATACAGACGGGCGGCAGGAAGAAGAGTGCCTTGATCATTGTGCCGAGCTCTTGTATAAAGCTCCCACATCAGTCTAATCATGGCATCTTTCTGTTCTCTATTAAGGTGACCAGCAACTGGCAAAGACCTGCTTGTCGTGACAGAATTGGGTGTAGTGAGACTTGGAGTTTGTTGCGGAACAAATTCAGAAGCGCTTGCTTCAAGTGGGCGTATGTCATCACCCGGGACGACATTTGAGACATTTGATGCTTCTTGCCCAAACTGAACATCTGATATTCCGTTCGTGCACGCGTTCCCAACAACATCCCCCTCCTGCGACACTTCTCCGCCTACATCTTCACCTTCGCGCTCCAAACTACCAGGTGGTGAATTCAATCTGTTCCACTCCTCGATCATAGATATGTCTCCTGAGATGATATGAGACATACTATTGGATTCCTTATGCGGCGTCGCGCCGCTGGTTGCGATCTTGGACAATCTCTCAGGTGAAATAGATAATCTGACAATTTTTCGCTCTGCGGAGGCGGCTTGCGATAGGTTTGCGAAAACTCGCAACTTTTCGGGAGGCAGTTTCAAAATGATCGTGAGATTCGAATTATCGCTGGAGGTTGACTCGTCGCGCTTATGATGAGGTTTGGGTGGAGTTCGTAGTGGATGTGGATTGTCGATGAAGCTGAACCTCCTGGGAGGTGCAGAGAGACCAGACGCGTTATAAGGTGATGGCCCGTCTTGAGATGCGTCGGTGAAATTCAACATTTCGGAAGAGTGAATGGGTGTCTGTGAACCCTTGGGTGGAAGATCAGCATTGGGTGTTGAAGTGAATTTGAGTTTTGAACCTGTTTGTTTACTCAAATCACGCGCAGCCCCATCATAGCTGCCGCCAAATTCTCCCACTTCTTGTACTGGAGGTGGACATAAGTCTATTATGTTTGCCAAATCCCGAATAGTATGAAGGGAACTTGAGAATTTGTCGACATTGTCTGCGTTCGTAGCTGTAATGTTTTTGAATGGATTCCTTCCCAGACTACGCTTCGACCACGATATTGACCCAGAATATGCCTTCCGCATACTACGAAGTGAGGAGCCCATGGCCATACGAGATCTCGACGATCGCTTCTATATGAACCATCAGTTTCAAGACACATAGAAATTCTCTGATCTTATACCTTCACAGCGTCATCCTCTGCGGAATTTGGATTCGACCTTTTGGGCGCTGAGACCATCAGGATAACATCTGGTATACGACCAGGTCGCTTGAAATCAGGTTGTGGAAGTTTTGACGGTGTATGTACTCTTTTGTCGTCTGCTAATACAACCTGCCGACGGACTTGTTGAGCAATAGCCTGTTCCGCAGATCCTGGTGACGGTCGCAACTCGATCGCATGCTGAGCCTGCTCAATCGATTGCATTACTGGTAGCGCAGCAAGGTAGTATACTGGTTCATGCTCGCGTTCGCCTTCCTCGACATCGCTTTCTGGGGCACAATCATATATCGTAACGAAATCCAGATCATTCCACGTAAACCTCACCCCTTTGTATGTAATCATGACCAAAGCAACCGACTTAACGATATCACGATGCCATCTATTATAGCCATGGTACTGCAAATACCGGAACCCATCTTGCACATCCCGCACCGAGAGACAATATTCAGTAGGTCTTGGAAGTTTATCGAGATTCCTGAGGTGTGCTGCGGTAAGTTTTTTCGGATCTTTGTAACCGTAGTCTTTGTCTGTTTCGACTTCGGGCGAAGAAGTTCGGCTTGGAGATGCCACTGAATCCAGCTCCAGCTGCTCGGATTCAAGCTCTCGTATTTCATCTTCGAGTGCCACTACGGCTTTGCGAAATCCAACTTTCCTGGATCTGTTGAGATTGTCGATTTCTGTGTGGAGCTCTGTCAGTCTGTCTTCATAAGCTTCTTGGCTATGAAGCATTGATCCGTTCTTCTGCCGAGAACTGGACGACATTTTCTTCGGACCTCCTCTCATTGCAACCCGATATGCTTCGTGAGCAGCCTCAAAAGCCAGATGAATCCTTTCTTCGTTGTTAAAAATGTCATAAAAGTGATTTAAATCGCCTTCTTCCAGCTGTAATAACTCGAACACAGCTTCATTGTTCGGTTGGTTTATAAATATGGTGCGGTAAATGAGGAATTTCAAGCCATTGTTAAGCTTAGCCCAGTCCATCTGTCGCACATGTTCCTGAGCAAGATAATAGATCAGATTGTGCTCAAATTCGAATCCCAAAAGTTACTAACCTTGAGAAACAACCTTTCCATCACACCTCCGTTCCCATCCGGGAGACTCCGTCTCGCAATCGCCTGATTGTCATCCAATCTTATAGATTGAAGAAAATGCCGAAACCTCCTCTCCATGCCTATCTCAACCTCCCGGGCTGTAAGCTGCGGCGAGTCCGCGAAAAGCTCCTCAATCATGTTGGCAGAACTCGGTATCTTCTCCGGTAAACGTGATCTATATTCGCCGCGCTTCAATGTAGGAAAGCAGGCTGGTGGTAGAGTCGGATCGAAACAATGTTCATGGGCAAACTTCGCAACTTCGAGAGGGAGACAATCTGTATCTGGAACTTCTCGATATCGACCTGGCGGATTTGTTTTGTCGCGCAGCTGCATGTTGACAACGAGGTCTGGTTATTCTGCCATCGATATCCCAATTTCACTGGGCCTTTGGGTCGTTTTTAATTCAGATTCTGCTCACACCACGTTCTTTTGTAAACTGTTAGCTGTAAGCTGCTGTGACGAATCATAGATAGAAGATGCGGCATAAACCAAAGTGCGGAGTCCCGTGTAGATGATGGAGAAATGAATGGCAAAACTATGTCTGTCAGGAATTGCAGATGGGAAGAATTGCGATGCGTGAGCGTTCTGTATGTGGTGGTGGTGAGGTCGTCAGCCGAATTGATATTCGAGGAAGGAAGCACTCTGCTCGCCTCTATTCACCCCCGAGGTGATTTCGGCGATAAGCCGCCAACCATACTCCAGCATTCAACTTCCTCACTTTCAATAGATTCAGCGTATGCTAGTGTAATTTACTCCTCCCTAAGGAGGTAAACACGGAAGTCGGGCAGCCCTGAAGCCAAGATAGACAAACTCATTTGGACTTTTTAGTCTAAAGCCACTGTTGGCTGATGCATCTGGATGACCTTATGTTAATTACAAATTCGAGCCTCCAACTCTGCGATATAAGGGAAATCGGGATAGCTCCCTCTCCATCTGTGTATCATAAGCATTCTAAACAAATGTGTAAAAGGGATGTCGCTCGAATATGAAACATCAACAACACTCACTACACTTTATTCATTCATATGAACAACAAAGCCCAAGAAATGGTAAAAGATTCCTTTAATCAATACTGACTCCATCAATTGTGATAACAAACGCCTACACCTTTGAGGTGACCTTTCTATGTATGCAATTCGCATACTGCCCAACGCCTAGGGTATTTTATAAACGCCATGTATAAACCACAATTCCAAATACTGAGTACCACAATTGCCCGTGTTTTACCTCTCCACACCAACTTTTCAATACACTGCACACACTGTGTTACATTGAACTGTACAAATACCGCCACTCTGGTCAATAATCAGAAAATGGAGCGAAGGTAGACCGGTTGCCGAATCTTGCAACATCATCGTCCATGTCGATATCCATATCATCCTCGTCTGCATAGTCATCTCTTCGACGTTTGGCTACCGCGGATTGGGTATTGCGTGGGAGTGTTGTACTTGCTCGAGCCAAAGCCACTGACGATTTCGCGCTCAGTAGTTCTTCATAACTCTGGAGGAGTGCTTTTAACCCGTCGTCGAAAGATACACAGAATCTTTGTGATTGTAAGAATTGAGTGGTTTCGATCATGCTCATGCTGAAATTTGACATGATGTATGCAGCCACAACTGCGGCTGAACGTTCGCTCCCAGACTCACAAAAGACCAGCACTTTCCCAAACATACAAGTTGGATCATTTTCGCGTTGGCGATTCATATGGATAAGATGATTGTTGATGAGTTTGACTGCTTTGGGAAATGTTGCTATCAGCTGTTGGTTTCCTTCCACGTCGACATGATCTGATGCAATGCCCAATTGGTTCGCAGTCTTGGCGCCACTCAATAATCGCGCTTGTGCGGTCGCAGTATTTCGTATCGCAAGCAATAGTGTGATATTGTTCTCGCGGACGTACTCGATATCTCGGGCGGCGGAAGATGGGCCGAGGAAGAGGAATGGAAGAATCTTTTGGGCGTTTCGGCGGTCCTCGTATTTCCAATCTCGGTTTGGCATAGCACTGAAGGGCCCTTTCAGCAGTTCACCCAATACTTGTCGCTCTTCTTCACTTTCTGCCGATCCGTTATAAGAAGCAATGTGCAACGGACCGTCCTCATCAGGGATCGAAGGTATGTGGATGTGGGGTGGTGAAGGTGGCTGTCGATAGTTAGGATACAAATGCGATCAAGGAAAGATGATGACTTACAGCCCAGCAACGGCCTGCCGTCGCAAAGCTTCCAGTAATATGCGAGATGGATGAGATGTTGGACTCGAACTTCGAAACAAATCGTGTGGGTTGATGAGTTTCCAACATGGTGCCTGTTTTTAGAATGCGACTGGATGACGTATTTTAATGTTGATGGGCGCGACTGCTGTCGCGTAGAAATCTCGCTCAAACAAATAATAGCACGAGTAACGGAGAAGAATTATATGATAACCCCGTTGGATGGCAAAAAATGTCGAATGAGGATGGATGCCATTAACACAGAAAGTTAGCAACGTCCTAACCGCCTGGGCTAGGCTACGAGGCTGTTGGAAGTCGAGAGCAGTCCGTGCGCAAGCCGAGGATTCCCCGCGAGGCTTCAGAAGTGGGGAAGCGCTGTTCGAGCCAAGCACTCCACTATCAACATTGTGTCAAGAATGGACCAGAACAACAGAATGAACCCAATGGACGGTTTACAGACCACAATTAAGTATCTTGTCACCTAATATTTGCTTGAAGGGCCGTTTCCCAAATTTGCCATGTTCCGATCAAACGCAGCTGATGACCACTCAACACTCGATTCACTTTCTCCTTTCCTACCGAAGAGTTTATGTCTGCTGAAAGCGATTTGTCCTTACCGGCACCCAAATCTCCCGCCTATATGAATTGCCGCTGGAGTTGTTGAAATGGTGGAGGTCTTTCTTTGAGAACTTTCCTGAGTTGAGCAGTTCCGCTGGTTGCATCGCTTTCGAATTCAAGGCACAGCTTCGAATCAAAATGTATCTCCGTTTGATACATTGGCTCTCCGCGCCTTTGCTGCATTGCAATCTGTAGAATTGCAACAAACAAAAAGCTTAGAGCAAGACAAGCGGAGAAGAGAAAGAATATGATATGTTACCTAACCTACATCATAGGGAGGCTAACTGTTTATCAATTCCCACAGCATGAAAGCAGTATCAACAAAATAGCTGTGACCCAGGAAAGCATCACAGGAACCCAGTGATCTGGTCAGACGTGACCACCTACCTATTCGTACTCCCACGTTCTAAATTTGGTCTTCGAAGGCGAGTTGCGGTTTCCTGCGCCGGCTTAGCTTCTGCGCGACCTCGCGTACTCGCCGACGACGGCAATGTTGGGAACCTGGCGCGTGCCTAAACTCTCGGAGTATTCGCTGATACTTGGAGTTGGAAGCGTGGGACCTTGGCGTTGGTATGTCTGAGAGAAGTCAGTTGATAACCGATGTCAAGTGGTTCTGGGTTGTTGGGGGTTCAAGACCAGATGCTGAAAACAAATAATGAGGAAACGTGTTTTGGTGCAGAACAGGGACTTTTCATGTACGCCATACCCTTCCAAAGGCAGCCATAAGTTACCTAGGTATGTCACAAACTCTTTTGACGTAGTGATATTCCCACTCAAAGTTCCTCTTCTGCAGTCAATCTCGAGAGTGGTTTCCACTGCACCCAGAGTTTCTCAGATAGCGGGGTTAAATGCAAGCTTTTCTGATAGAAGGAGTTTCGGCCTCGAGAAGTAATTTGAAAGCTGTCATAAGGATGTGCTGGTCGACCGACAGACGGTATTCCGCCGTAGATACGTCGACGAGGGTTTCAAAGTAACCAAGGGCATACAAACATCAAGCAGAAAGCAAAGCTAATATCTCGGGGACCTCTTGCCAGAGGTAGTGTGAAACATAAACAAACACTTGATATCAGTCCTCATTGAGCCAACAACCTCATCCAGCATCCATATCCAATTCAATCAAGCCATCCACTCGGGAGCCCATCCGACCATGCCAGTCTCATACTAGCAAATCCAAAAGTTCCAAAACTCAAACCCAAGCAGACGGCTCAACCACTACCTACCATCATCCCAGTGTAACATGTACTGTACACCAGGGACAGGTGCACTCGCACACCGGAACCACGAAGCACGCACATGGTTCCTGCACCGTCATATTATCTCAGCCAGGCCCAAACACAGCAGTAACTGGTCACTGGCCAGCGATACTTCATGTAACCATCTTCTCTGGCGTGTATCGAAGCTAGGTGGGTTGCTGGGTATGTAACCTTGCGACCCGTCCTCACGTGTTTGTGGGGTATTCGATACCAGTACCCGTTTTCAGACAGGAACGTGAGTAATGTATAATAAGCAGATGTTTGATGTCGATAAGATGCGGTGTAACAAGAAACGATGCGTTTGTCTGTATGGTGCTGCGCGGCTGTTGGTGAGTGAGAAGTGGGAGAGGAGGAGAGGAGGAGAGGTCGTCGTTACAATCAAATGTGGAGCGAACGCCTCACCCTGCAAGTGTCTTGAATCCCGGGGGGCACAGCACAAGAGATGTTGGTTGATCTACCGCCACGCCGTAAGCCACAAGAGAAGGGCCTTCGAGGCGTTTCGAATACCAGCAAACAAGAATAATCAAGATTTCAAGAGTAAATTAAATAGAGAGAATATGGAGATGTGAATTCATCTTGGTGAGCTGCAGACAGCCTTTTCCTCTGTGTACCGACCACCACATGTCGTTGGCGTACAAACGGAGCAGCTGCATGCGCAAGGGTCCGCGTGGCGGATTCTGGTAAAACCGCTTTAGAACTCGGGATTGCCATCTAGAATACAAATTACAGGTCTAGGTAAAGGTAAGCTATTGGTTATGGTGTAGTTGTGCTGACGAAGGTACGGCTGAGTTGGGGTAGTACGAGAGGCATCTATCAACACGAGGGTAGTAGATACGAGTTGGTGATAAGGTTGGAGGCAAAAGAGTCGAATGAGAGATATGTGTTTTGTCTCTTGAGGCGCAAGAAATGATTATAACGGCGAGTGATAAGGGGTGATAAGAGACTGAAATGGGAATAGGCAAGATACATTGCATTTAGAAATCTACGAGATCACCGAGCACGAGCATGAGAGATTATGGACGGCGAGGCGACTCCTTTACGTCCTCGTACGGAGTACCATAGGTTGCACAACCACCCGATCCAGATATCAAAAGCCTCATCTCATCGCTTCCTGAAAAAGCAAACATCCCGCACAAAGCAACATTAAACAAACGGCCTTTGCTATCATTTTGACGCATTCAAAATACCCTCCAACTCTAACATTATCATCATACGTTACATACACACCATCCCCCCCCCAAGCCATCCATGCAACCAGCCACCGGCGTAGGGAAGCCATTGCAGGTAATCCGTGCAGGCCCCCCTTATTCCTCACCACTCAGAACCGCAGACCCAAAGCGGGCCGTCATGGGTGCCGTGCGGAGAAGGGCCGTTTTGGGGTCCAAGTGGGGCACGACGTTATCGCTACTGCCCTTCCGTCGAGCTTGAATGGTGGAGAGCAGGAGGGAGAGCTATCGCTCACGTGCTTCACGTACATGCAGACCAGACCTCACCTTTTGTTATATAGCTCGTGCGTCCGTCGTCGTGGCGCGAGTAATTAACTGCTTCTCGTTCTGAGTAGTGTTGACACGAGACGCGCCGTCAATGTTGACTTGAGAAGTACCATATCGTATCCATTTGTTTGTGATTCATTGTGGTCCATCACATTCACCCGATCCGATCCTCGTCGCGACCTCTCACCAAGTCTGGGTTAGCTAGCTGTCGAGTCAGATACGAGCTTCCCCGCGTCAGATTCCGACGAAAAACAGCTACATTAGTTATCAAACACCTCGACATTCAATCCTCCATCAAACTCACACAAACACCATGGCCTCAGAAAAACCAGAGGTCCCCGTGACCGACACCCACATGGGCGACATGAAGGAACCAACACGAGTCGAATCCGATTTAGCAGACGAACACGTCGTGGATGGACCAAGACCGACGGGGTGGATGCATCGCGAGCGCAAGATTGGGAAGTTCTCGTTGAGTTGGTACGCGTCGCCGCGGAGCCAGCTGTTGATGGTGTCGTTTGTGTGTTTTTTGTGTCCGGGCATGTTTAATGCGCTGGGTGGCCTGGGAGGTGGTGGGAAGACTGATGCTACGTTGGCTGATAACATGGTGAGTCAAAAACTTCACTCAAAATCAGTTGGATGGGAAATGCTAACGTGATCAGAATATCGCGCTTTACAGCACTTTCGCCGTGTTTGGTTTCTTTGGTGGAACCTTTGTCAATTATCTCGGTGTCAAGGCGACGCTGAGTTTTGGTGGAATCGGGTACTGCATTTATGCTCTGAGCTTGCTTCTCTCGGTTCACTTTAACGTTGGTGGATTCAATATCTTTGCAGGTGCGCTTTTGGGTGTTTGTGCTGGTCTGTTATGGACAGCTCAAGGAACCATCATGATCTCGTACCCGAAAGAGGAGGATAAGGGAAAGTACTTTGGTATTTTCTGGGCTATTTTCAATTTGGGTGCTGTTATTGGAAGTTTGGTAAGTTCTCAGCCTTTCTCAAGCTGTCTCAGTGAAATTTGACTGACTGATTTCAGATCCCTCTCGGAGAGTCAATTCACACCAAAGACAACGTCAACGTATCTGATGGCACCTACATCGCTTTCATCGTTCTCATGTTCTTCGGTGCTGTGGTCGCACTTCTCCTCTGCAACGCCAAAGATGTCGTCAGACGTGATGGTAGCAAAGTTGTCCTCATGAAACACCCAACATTCATCACCGAATTCGTCGGTCTCTGGGAAACCCTCACATACGAGCCCATGGTCGTTCTCCTCTTCCCAATGTTCTGGTCTTCAAATTGGTTCATCACCTACCAAGCGAACGGTGTAAACAACGCCTACTTCGCGACCCGTACCAAGGCACTTAACAACCTCCTCTACTACCTCGCCCAAATCATCGGTGCATTAGGTTTCGGATACGCCATGGACATTCAAACATTCCGTCGTACCACCCGTGCCAAAGCATCTCTCATCTTCATCTTCACCCTTACAATGGTAATCTGGGGAGGTGGTTACGCATTCGCCAAGAAATTCAATCGCGCAGATGTAGACAAGAAACTCCACCCAGACTACGTATTCATGGATTGGACCACCGATGGATACGTCGGTCCAATGTTCCTCTACTTCTTCTACGGCATGTACGACGCCATCTGGCAAGCATCCGTCTACTGGTAAGTCTCTTAACTCCCCTCCCGTTCCCCACCTCCATTACCACCTCCTAACCAACTTTCTAGGTACATGGGCGCCCTCTCCAACTCCGGCCGTCGCTCTGCAAACTACGTCGGTTTCTACAAGGGCATCCAATCCGCCGGGGCCGCCGTCATGTGGTCCCTCGACAGCCACAAACTCGAATTCATCAAGGAGTTCGCCTCTAACTGGGCGCTTCTCGCTGGCTCTCTCGTCGTTGCAGCCCCCGTCATCTGGTTCAAGGTCACGGATCACGTTACCATTGAGGAGGATCTCGCTAATACGGATGAGACTATTGCGGATGTGTTGCCGAGTGGACATCCGGAGAAGACGGTTGTTTAGTTGATCGATCGGTGCTTTTGTTTTTAGTTTTGTGTGGATACCCGGTGAATAAGGGAGGGGATCTTGTTTGCTAAGTGAGGGGGAGGGGGAATTAGCTTTGAAAAGATCGTGAAGAGGTAGCAATGATATGGAATGGGGGATTTGAGGGACTGGGGGGATTCTGAGGTGAATGGAAAGGATGTTAGCGGATTTAATGATATGATATTAAGGGTTGATTGATACCAAATGCACATTACCCTTGGCATCGCTAGTAGAGCTTGATTTCGTAGTCTTTATGCGGTACTTGATGCGCTAACTTGTGACATGAGGTCACGATTTAAAGCACCAAATCATTTTCGTCATGGAAGCCACATTATCCACGCAATTGTATTAGTCCACCGAAAAACACATTCTCATTTTCCCAGACATTCTTCAAGTCGAACGATTTTGTGTTCAAGTCTACTTACCAAACTTCAAGACTTCTATTCCTAGTTCTTAAATCTCCAGCGGCTCTTACTCATCGCACTGCCCCTCTTTATGTTGCGTACAGGGCTGGCGGGTTGCTGCATCCTAGCTCGTTATGCTAGTTACTAAGATTGGTTTGTGAGAAAAGAAACTAAGCACGTGGTCCCTTTTTCTAGGGATGTGTGGAGGTTGAAATGGCTGTAAGTAGTGAGTGTACGATGGTTTATATTATACAATATACTCACTTCATTCAACAACGTCTTCCTTCCGCTCCATTCAAACAACGACAAGCTTTATTTGACCTATAAGCAGGGGTATTCAGCTAATGTAGCTCCATAGGCCATATGTGCCACAAACCCGTCTCGAAGAGAAACGTTCTAAGTAATGCAGATCCACAAATAAAATATCTTCGCTACTTAACGACCGTCTGCGTAGTACCCTGGCAGAAGCGAAGAAACCGCATGATCGAATAAAGCGAGTACGTCTCTCCTGCGCGATGAGAAAGCGGACGTAAGTTGAATCCCTTTCGCGTGCATGTATCCACGACAGTTGCTATATAGGATCTTGATTGTCCTCCTCCTTCTTAAAGTCTTGGCTTCTTTGTTGATGTGTCTTGATCTTTGTGCAAACATAGATGGACGCACTTTATATTTGGTATAAGGTCTAGGTCGCTTTATGCGTATCAGTACAGGAATTCGAGCTCCTAAATGCCTTTTTGCACGTTCCCAGACGGCTTTGCGAGATAATTGCATATGTTAAATCCTTGGCTGAGATATTTTCGCTTCGCCTTTGACGAAGGAGAGAAGGTTGTTCGTTCTACTTAGAACCCAGAATGTGTAATCATGCGACGATCTACGCTCTTGTCGCTCATCTCCCGACTTAACTTCTTTGATTTATGAACATAAAGTGCTTTTTTAAATGTCTATTCCTTTGTAATTGTTCACTAGAATTATGTATACCTCCTCTATCCCCCTCTACCTATCTTCTTACAATACAATCCCATCATATCCACCAATGCCACCTCAAACCCACCCTTTCCACAACAACAACCACACCTCCCCCCAAGACCATCTCCCCAGCCCTCTATCGAAAGCAGAAGCTGCCAAAATATCCGCCGTCTTGCCTCGCCAACGTGCAGCCGAGGAATTATTTAATAAAAGACCGTTTAACAGCCACTCCACCCTTCGCTCTATCCTCCAAACCACGCCCGGAGAGCAAGGTCAAGAAGAATGTGACGTGGGATCCGTACCTTCTCCCTAGTCCGGAGGTGTTGTGCAGACCTAGACGCTTGACGACTGGGAGGTTGGAGGATAGGGTGGATCTGCGGCTTGCGATCCAGCGGGATGTGTTTGAATCGGTGTCGGAGAGGGGGAGGCGAGAGAGAAGGGAGAGGGATAGGTTGCGTGGGAGGGAGGGTCTGGATGTACTGGTGAGGACCTGGAGAGGGAGGGATGGGGATGAGATGAGGAGGTTGCGTAGGCAAGAAAGGACGGCGGAACGGGGGGTGGAGGTAAAGGGGGGATGGGGTTGGTGGTGGTGGGTGGTTGTGTTGGTTTTGGGGGGGTTTTGGGGGTTGGTATGGTGAGAAAAGGGGATGGGGTTTTGGGGATGGGGATGGTTATGAAGAAACTTGAAGAACGAACAGCGTTTTTGCATCTTCTTATCCCCGTTTCAAACATTCTATGTTATCTTCTTCGTCGCTCCATTCACGTTCTTTTACTCGAATATGAGATGTCAAGGTGTTTATTTTATCTCTTGTCATGTCAGGTATCTGGCATTCATGAATGAAAGATCTGGCTTTCATTCTTAGGTTAGTTTGTGCTTTAAACTCTTATGTCCTTGTGATTTAGCATCTCTCTAGATAAATACCTCCTAATACCCTTAAATCGCCGTACAAAATCCATCGGTATTATTCCTACCTACCGAATCTCCCACTTTCATCGAACCGCCTTTAATCCTCTGACTAGTGTTTCGGCCAAAAATTATGAGATTGAAGAAATGCGAGGGATTCGTACGCACACGCAAATAATCAGCGACAGGGAAGAGGAGAAGTCAAAACTGTACTAGACGAGGGTTTTTGAAACTTGATTAGAGGGCTGAGGCTCCTCGGCGTGTAGGGCTAGGGAGGTGGGGGCGTTGTTGGGTAGAGGAGGGGATGAGAGATGAATGGTGGAAAGAGTTTCGTGTGAACTGCTGTGGATATAGAGGTTATTTGGATTCCGAGAGATGGTAGGTTGGTCTTTTAGTGAGGAATTGACTGGGAACACGATTCATGTATGATGTCGCTGAGAATCTTGTTCTTTGTTGTCTCTCCATCAGTGCTTTAACAGTTTGCTATAACTTGTGTTCATTCTTTTCCCAACAGTGTGTGATAATTTAGAGGACACTTTGAGTAATCTCCCAGTCATTCATCTTATCCATTAACGTGCGTTGTCTAACTATGAAAAATGCGAATGTGTACTTTTTAATCAAGTTCTGTTTTCACAACCAGACGTAACTGGGAGGCGTTAATCAACACAACAACCTTTTTTTTAATCTTAAAACTTTTCCACGATGATAAATTTCAGCTGTTTCTCTGTTCATATTGTCTCACCTACGACCCTATTTACCATTTATATTCTTCATCCATCATCCATCGTCCGTCTATCTATTAACCACCCATCCGCTCATCATCCCAGCGCATGAGAATGAAACCCCAGAAACGCGTGCGTTTCGCGTCCGGCCATCTCCTTGCTCTGGAACCGAGACCACGTCAGAGAGAGGGTGCACGAAAAGGGATCTTGAAAAATGGAGATAGGGTGAGAACAGTGCAGATGTGGGGGATGGGGGTTGGTGAAATGGAAGCTGGGATTTTGGGCGTGGTTGGAGTGTTGATTGGGGTGGTTGGGGTTATTTGGTTACAGGGTATGAGATCATGAGCGTAGATGAGTCTCTAGAATACTTATGTGATTTGATACGGACGTGGTTAAAGATAAATGGGCAGGAAGAATACTTATTAGAAAGACGAATGAGATAGAATGAAGATTATCTTGCCTCGTTGTTTTGGGAGCTTTGATAGTGAGATTCTGGTAAACGTGACAAATGAGAACCCTAATGAGGCCGGTTTGGCTATTAGAGATTACTTTGCTAGTTTAGGATCAATGCTTGGGTCCGGTCGTGATTGAGCGGTCATGGGTGTGTTATTAGCTTTCTGGGTTGCGATGAACATAGAAATAGTGTCTTGATAATGAGGATGTGGAATCGAACCTAAACCTCAATATTAACATGTCTTCTCCCAGCGATATTCTCTTCACAAACCTGAGACATTAACATATCAACAACGTACCTTAATAACACCTTTCCGTAATTCCCTTTTCTTTAATCCTCTCTTCCCCTCCTTTGAACTTTTTACATCCTTCACTGCTTCTCACACAGCATTTACACAAGACTTACGAAATGTCAGAACACGATCTCTGGACCACCATCCCGTTGCATAATCGACCTCTTCCGCAGGAACGCGTTCGACGAAGGACGAGAGAGTACGGCACCGGAAAGATAAACAAAGAAGAAGTTGGTGTTTGGTGTGCGGTGTTACTTATCGTAGGGGTGGTGTATGGATGTGTGATGGGTTTGGTGTGGATTCTTTGGGGGTTGAGGAGTCGATATGTGTAGGGGAAACGGTTGTTCGGTGGTAGGTTGGTGGGGGTTTAGGGGATGAATCTATATGGATGAAAAAGGTTTGGTAAGGAAGTTGAAAAACAAGATGTGGCGGGGTCTTATATGTGTTGAAAATGAAATTCGTTGGATTCGTTGATAGTTTTGAGATTGAGGCCAGGTTCTACCCTTCTAGCTATCCTGGAGATTGTGTTACTTTAAAAGTACGTGGTGATAATGAGAATTATCCGATTGTTGAGTCGATGTTGAAAAAATAGTTATCTCGAGGGGATTAGATTATTTATTTCGGTGCAAGCATAAGTGATGTCTTTGATTCTGTCATGGGAATTTAGTTGAGAAAGGAGGCGTTGTCTGTTTTGTTTCCCCTTTTCCAAGCTCATCGCCAAGACATCTCGAAGCGAGCAACAACAGCTTCAAATCCGAAGTTGACCCGGGCGTTCCGAGCCACCACCACGACGTCGTAGCTGTCGCAAGCTCCAAGGTTTAGACACACAGCTTCACAACACCACACCACCACATCCCTCGAGCTTCCAAAACCCGACATAATATAGCAGCGTCTCTCAATTCCTCTTCCGCCTGCGTTTCCGCGCCTCAAAGTTAACCCACAACTCTTCACAGCCTACACCCACCCTCCTGCCTCGACCATGGCGCCCCAGAAAATCGAACAAGCGGAAATAGAAAAGTACTGGGAAATCTTCGCCTCATTGTCGCAGGGCGGAACACATCTTACGGGGTCACAGGCCGCGCCGGTACTCAAGAATTCACATCTGAGAGATGATCAGCTGGAAAGGATTTGGGATCTTGCGGATGTGGATGGAGATGGGAATTTGGATTTCGAGGAGTTCTGTGTTGCTATGAGACTGATTTTTGATCTGGTTAATGGGGTGAGTGATATTTTATTCTTCGGTTGGGTGTGGGGACCGGGAATTGCGCGGGAGGAGAGGTTCGGAGAGCAGATGTTGGGAGAGGAGAGACGAATGAGAGAGTAGGTTATTAAGCGTATGCTGATTTGGATAGGAATACGCGGATGTACCACCACAATTACCAGACTGGCTAGTGCCAGAATCGAAAGCGCACTTAGTCCAGGCGAATCGAGCGCTTACGGGACGACAAGTACAATTCGAGAAAGTGGAAGATGATGATGATTCGCCTGGTTTGAAGGATGGTTTTGATTGGTATATGAGTCCGTCTGATAAAACAAAATATGAGGAGATTTATTCTGCGAATCGAGACGGTAGGGGAGATATTACTTGTAAGCGAACATACAGCAACATATCTTACGCGGGCTAATTTGGACAGTCGAATCATTAGACACACTCTACTCCTCCCTCGACGTCCCAGACACCGATATCCGAAGCGCGTGGAATCTAATAAACCCCAAACAAGCCCACGCAATCTCCAAAGACGCCTGTCTAGCCTTCCTCCACATCCTTAACAACCGCCACGAAGGCTACCGAATCCCCCGCACCGTCCCCCCCTCCCTCCGCTCCTCCTTCGAACGCAACCAAATCGACTACCAAGTCGACAACCAACGCACCTCCTCCCCAGCCCAGAAATGGGGCGCAAAAGGCAACGAAGACACATCTACAGGCCGCAAAGCCAAATTCGGTGAAACATATCTAAGTCGTATGGGTGTTGGGTCGTCGTATCGACCTACGGGCACGGATTTTTCGTCCACGAAAACAACGGAGGATTGGGAGGAGGTGAGGCTCAAGAAACAACTTGCGGAGCTGGAGGCGAAGGTTGAGAAGGTGGAGCGTGCGGCGGAGAAGAGGTCGGGTGGACGGAGGGATACGAAACCGGCGTTGGTGAAGAGGGAGTTGGAGCAGTTGCTGGATTATAAGAGGAAGGAGTTGAGGGAGTTGGAGAGCGGTGAGGGGAAATCCGTGGTGGGGAAGGGGCTGAAGGGGTTGGAGAAAGAGATTGAGGAGGTGAGGGAGCAGGTTGATGGGTTGGAAAATCATGCCAGGGAGAGGGAACGGGTGCTTGAGGGGTTGAGGGGGGAGATTGATGAGGTGAAGGTTGGGCGGTAGTGTGGGGTGGAGTGTGTGATTTTGGGGGTGTAGATACTTTGGTTGAGGAGATACTTATTAGAAATCAGAGACTGTAGTAGGACTTAAGTATGTCCGCGGTCGAGAGAATATGTTTAATTTCTAAACCCCTTCAACAGAATTTTGTTTGACCCATACAGCGTTGTCTTTGATATATGGAGTAGTATAGATGTGGTAGAGATTATTTGGGTGCGCTTGAAGTGAAATTTGTTACGTTATTTGTATAAGGTAGAGTAGTTCTCACAATGGGCTCCTCCGTAACCACCATGTTAACATAATCAAGAATACTATTAGAGAATTATAATCGCTCAAGACCGTACATCAAACCTCACAAAGTCCACTCACCTCCCCTATTTCTTACTTCAACAGAAACACAACCACATAAACACATACGCCTGTGTGGACTACAAGAAGTAAGCTTCCTTTCTCATATCATATTAGGGTAAGATAGGTGGAACCAGGTGGAAGATGTAGTTCGGTGTATTGGATCCTCGTTAAGAGGGTAGTGTCAAACTCGAGTGCGATTTGTCGTGGGGTGTATGTGGAGAGAGATAATGTGTAGAGTAATTTGAGAGTGATTTGGGGGTGCTCTGTAAGAGGTGGGTGTCGGTGGTGAGATTGGTTTCGGTGACAGCTTTTTTCCGTAAAGATTAGTTTGTTCGTCAGCATAGCTGTTCGTCTTCAATTAGGCTAGATTATTTAGAGAAAATCTAGCAACCTTATAGGTATGAAAAGTATATATTCGGTGCTAGTTTTTGTTTTGGTGACAATGGAGTTGTGGAAATCGATGTTTTTGTAATGTAGTGTTTCTTTGGCTTGCGTCAGTTGATAGACCACGGTAGCTAAAAATGATTTAACGATTTCCGACATTAGGGAACAAGGTCTATTTCCTATATAGATCTGCCAGAGGTTTGTAATCATGGCTTATTGCCCAGATGTTATCACTAGTTCTTTAAGTTCTCTTCATACTAGTATTTATGAACATATTAGCCGAATTATACTCTTCTGAGTTTCTTTTCAAACTTAAGGCTAGTGAGAGTTCATAAACCATTTTCCTTAAACATGAAACATTGGCCTTCTTCACAAGACACGAGTATATAGACACCCACTTCAAGTCATAGTTCGCAGGATGTACTAGCAATAAATCTCTATTGTTTCTTCACAAAACCGCCTATATTAGTACTACTGCCAATTGGCAATAAAGTTAAGTTAAGTAACAATTTTATTTCTTTCCATTTACAACTAATTTCCAGGGCTGCCGGGATTACTATAATTGAGAGTTTTGTTAACAGTAGCTAACTGCGGTTAGAGACAGATTAATAGCGAAGAGTTTGAGATGTACTTAATAATGGGAGGCTTTGAGGAGGTTTGAGCAGTGAATCATGAGTTGGGTACTAACAATCGGTAAGGAAGCTGTTTTCAGTGACGAATGTCGCCCCCACCTACGCTTTTTTCGTTCTGGTTGTTTAGACTTTGTTCTCGAATTTAGGGATAGTAAGAAAAGTACTAGAGAAGTTTAAAAAACTCTCACGAAATGAAATTAAGCAAGAGCTCCAGGCATGGGATGCCTGCACGTAATTTTTCACACACCTATTTACATCACATGTAGCAACAGTTTATATATACCAACTTACTGAATCATCGAATATTGTTACTTCATGTACATTACTGTAGAATATAAAAGGGGTTGTTGAGGTGCCCAGCCGAGGTGGACAGGGGAAAGGGGGTGCGCCACGCGTTCCCACCTCAGATTTTGAGAAAGCTGCGCCACACATCAATGTCAGCCCCAAGAGGCTTTGCCCACACCTACCTAGGCTCCGCGGTCCTCTGTACCTATTCATCGACCGCTTCGCTCTTTCGTCCGCACAATGATTAGATATAGTTCCCTCTCTTGCCGGCTTTTATTGTCCTACCGAGACCTTTCGTAGTTTGTCAGTGGAAGACCAGGCTACTCGTGTGCGCAAGCAAAGTTTCCACCATCCACCTCCACGCAAATCGACGTCTCTTGAGCTATGGCTTTGAACGATATATTTCTTATCTTACGTATACCTCCATTCATCGTGGAACCGTATACTACATAAGTCATGTCGTATCTATGCCAGGATTGTAGCAAATTTTTCAGACATTGGGGCAAGCTCCAGCGAATTGGATTCAAAAGCGACCTGAACTCTTCGCGAGATGTTGCGGATATCTTCGTCCATGGCAAGGAAGGATGTGAGCTCTGCTCCATCATACGAGCCTATATTCCCGATGAAGTCAAGTCCATGTGGAGTAGAACTAGATCTCTACAACCATTCAGACTTTCTGTCGATATGAAAGGAATGGAAGTCGGAGGAGCGAAATTGCACGTGATCAAACTTGAATTTGGCGTAGGCTTGGTGGAAATTTGTGCAGTGCCAGTACTACGTAAGTCTTCCAAATATTCTTACTGCATGTTGGGAAACTAAAAGTCTATAGATCAGCTATCAATAATCAAACGAAGCGAGGTCTCATCCAGGAACGATTCAGAACACTCTCTCGGCCAGGCACATTCATGGATTACCGCATGTATCAATGGCCATAAATGCCAGGACATGTCGATTAAAGCTTTTCCAAAACGCTACGTGCCCACCCGCCTCGTTTGCGTCCGAGACTCGAATGACCCTTATCTTTGCTTGGCAAATGAATTGCCCCGCGAAGTCCAGTATGTGACACTCAGTCATTGTTGGGGTACCGCGGCGCAATTTACTCTTACTAAGGTTAATTTGAAGACTCTACGAAAACGCATACCACTGAAACTCCTTTCCAAAACTTTTAAACAGGCTTGCTTCCTCGCCCGACGATTTGGATTCGATTACCTGTGGATTGACTCTCTTTGTATAATACAAGATGATGATTATGATTGGCAAATTGAGTCTTCGACGATGGCAAGCGTTTATGGATGCTCGAGTTTGAATATAGCAGCATCTTATGCCCGCGATGGTACAGTCGGCTGCTTCGTTGAACGAAACCCGGAAGATGTGGTGCCATGCCAGGTTTCAATCGGTGAACAAGGCCACCAACAGCAAATTGTGTGTATACCAGCTGAATTCTACCGCCGAGGACTTCTTGGAACGTCACTTGGACAAAGAGCATGGGCATTTCAAGAACGAATCTTAGCTCCTAGGACTCTTTACTTCAGCGAGTTTCAGATTTTTTGGGGTTGTCAACAACTTGAAGCTTGCGAAAGCTTCCCGAACAGCATTCCACCGGCTGTTCGTATGGACATCAATTTTCGACCCCATGATAGTGGGAATGCTAACAATCCCACGATGCATGATGTCTTGACGAATAGTCCCGGAATCTGGTCTGACACGGTTTTATCATACTCTAACGGACTTCTCACTCGCCAAGAAGACAAACTGGTGGCAATTTCAGGTGTAGCACGACTGATGCAACAGGTCAATAAAAGTGAGTATCTCGCAGGGTTGTGGAGAGAGAATGTGGAATGGCAGCTGCTTTGGAGCGCCAATTCTGAGCCGAGAGAGTGGCAAGCTACATCGAAAACCAAAATGATAAACAGACCTTACAGAGCGCCATCTTGGTCGTGGGCTTCTACAGATGGAGTGATCCGGCAGCTGTTTCCTGACCCGACTCCGAATGGCACAAAAGGGTACCAACTCTGTATCCAGGTATCCGAAGCACATGTCCAGCCAATGAATTATAGTGACAAGTTGGGAGGGACAGTCGATGGTTGGATGAAGATACTCTCTTGTGGCTTGCGCAGAGTATGGAGGAATAGGTTGACGACCTGGAAAAACACTATCATCGTCGAGAAAAGTGACCTCTCCGATAACGAGGATAGATCTGACTTTGAACTTGAGGCTGTATGGGACCGACCAGAAAGCTTAGAAGAAGGTAAAGATCTCTTTTACCTTCCTGTCTGGCTCAACAAAACTCCATATGATCAAGACAAGAACATTCGTCGAGCTGGCGGTTTGATCCTCTCTGAATTTAGCACCGAAAGACGATTCGGAAACACCCAGCCGACAACATGGTATAGGAGAGTGGGACGTGCTACTTTGGAGCACAAATTCCATGTCTCTAGCATGATAGTTGAAACGTCGCCCAAGAAATTTGCTTTCCTACAGGCGCATTACAACTGCCCTCACAAAACAAGAGACGAGACCATATTTCTAGTCTAAAAAAGAAAGGCGCTCGGTGGTAGGATTCTACCATTTTCTTGCTAATGGAGTGAGATATTACTTTTTGAATAACTTCGAAAGCTTAAACGGACTCATGTCTAGTAGATAAACTCGAATGCTTGTACTAGATCTTTAGCATCAAGGTTCAAGCGGTCTTCGACATCAAGCCAGTAATATAGGGGTTTATAGAGGCCTTTTGTCAAAGTGCGCAGGACCAAATCAAGTACGCTCATGATTTGCTCCGGCGAGCTCACGTCTCAGCTGTACGCTTTTCGAGCCAGGCCAGGACACCGGCTACTCATCTTTTCACACAATTGAACGAACGAAAACCATCAGCAAAAGCAATATGGTTCTTTATAATGAGCGCAAACTATGAGCCTTTGAACATGAATTAAGCAAGCTTTGTCTTTCAATGGGATAATTTTGTTTTGGAAGAAACGGTTTGAATGAGAATCGCTCTCTTTTTCATTTCAGCTCAAAGCACAACAATTAAGAGTGGGAAAGTGATTGTGAGTTTGTTGGATATGTAACATATTCAGTCAGTGAATTGTAAAGAGGTTTGAGAGGCATGATGGCAATGTGTCATTGTAGTGAATTAGTTGTTTATATTTTCATTATTTAGCATTGTACATTCCAAAGACGAGAGTATATACAGCGCGTTGGAGGGTTCTAAGCTCTACAACCATCGCTTGGAACTGTGTATTTGTAATGTTCCGGAGATTGTTGAACTATATAGAATCTGAACTCTCCTTTAGGTCAAAGCGCTGGTGAACCTTTGAAGCGGCGAAACACATCTCCTGTCCGAGTCTGGCTTAGTGGACATGAGATATGGATCCGTCGCACCCTATCAGGTTACATTAATTAAACGGAAAGGAATATTAGATGCCGAAATCCTGCAAGTGCCAAGGAGTTTGGGCCACAATCGGTACTACGTCCGGATTGGAGATGAAGGTTCGGTCAGAAAGTTCACAGTCAAAAAGCTTAGTTCGAATACAGAGAGTCTTATGATACAAGTGCGTCCCCGGACCTGTTCCGAAAGGAATTAGTTTCGGGCATTTCACTCCCCCTATCGCTCGCTTAGCACATCCCCACTCGTACGCACGCAAGCGAACTTCTATGCTACAATTGATTTTGCAAACGAGTTACACGAAGCTAATGTCTCAAGAGTTATATTTTGTTGCGCTTTAAGTCCATTCACTCAAATTGGTGGCTTCATTTTCTTATCTCAGGTCTTGTCTAAGGGCTTATAATTTGGAAGAGATGAGGGTGCTAAAAGTGATACAGTCTTAGCAATTTAGTTTTTTTCATAAAAGCGCAGATACAGAAACGTAGTCACATTGATACGAAACCGCTATAAATAGTTCTCAACCGTCTCCCATTTAAAGTCCTTTTACCCCGGTTTGAGCCCCAAACAAGTAATGTTGAATTACTCCTTGAAGGCCCAAGATAAACTGAAATAAAACCCCAATTCTTGGGTTGATGTGTTTGTCTGAATCTCTCGTAATAACATCCGGCCTGCTAATTGACACTCATTTTCCTTTTCGTACCAGGCTAAAAATGTAGCATGACAACCCAATCCAATAAACAGCGGAGTAAAGCTGCACTAAAGCCAGTAAGGTTAAAAGTTTGCCTAGCTGCTGCCTATGACACCACCAACCCAAATTGGTGTCCCAAAGTAAATATACTCCGCATCTTTTGGTGGCCTGACACTTTATCCTGTAAGAAGTTTATCGTGGCCAAGCCATTTATTGCAATAAAAGTCATAGCCAGCTAAGTGCTAATTATAGTGGGAGGTAAGCGGAATAGTGACTAGATTTGGTGACTGATAAAGACGACAATGATGAAAAGAAAAGAAACAGGGAATTGGAGGAAACGGGAAAGCCATTTCACTTGTAGCCACCTTCACTCATGACAGAGAGAGTATATGATCTGTATCCCTTATCGGAATGACTGTACGTCGAAAGAGACAGCCGCCACAAAAGGGAAACATTTCACGGATTTACCGACTGATAAGCAACAAGCTCTGTTTGAGGATTAAACATATGTGGCTTAATAAGTTACATCCCGGCTCAATTCCCTGAGTAATGTTGAATTACTCTTCAGAGCTCTAAGAGATACATGTACACCAAAATAAAACTTCAAGTCAAGCGGTTTGATCTGTTTCAGATGTTTAAAGTAATGCGTTGATTACTTTGTCAGTTGACCTCAAGATACATTTCCAAATCCTACCATTTGCGTTGAGCCGCTAGCCCAAGCTCAATTGTGCTCTAAAGCGACTATCATGAGCGAGATCAGTGTATTATGTTCGATATTGGTTTCAATCCAAAATAGATATATCTTTCAGAATCAGGTTGCTCGACACAAACTCCCTGGGGAATTGTTTCACGCCACGCCTCTCTGCAATCTTTGCAAGATTTCCCTTTCTTGCTTGAACATGCTGTTAATTGTTCTGTCAGTGCAATCTCTTACATCTTCACAAAAGGGAGTTTCCAAACATACCCACAAAAACCGAACCCCTTGCTCCCCAACCTGTGACTACATACACAGCCTTTACATTCTTCCCCAATGTATGACAAGTATTAAACCATGGAGAAGAATGATGGATGATATTTCTATCAGCTTTACTGGGAAACCGTGAGTAAAGACTCAGTAGAAACATAGTATTGGAGAGTTTAGGTAATCTTACCAGTCTTCTATACTGGCGTATTGATTTAGTTTAGAGGCAGCAAGCGCAGAAACACTGACATAAAGTACGGTTGTAAGGAGGAAGAAATAGGAGAAATGCATATTGGCGTAGGTTTAGTGAGTTGTATTGATAGGTCGTAATGTTTGGCTGAATTTGAGTAGGATTTTATTCAATATCGTGATGAAGAAGGCGGGATTGTATCAAAGCAAAGACAACTAGATGAGGAGACTTATTAATAGTTTCTGCTCCATCGGGAATCATGCCGCCTAGTCGGCTGACCAAATTCTAAATCTATATTTCGAGTTAGCCACCATACATGATCTGGTGGTAAGAGCAATCCCAAAATGGCATGATGTAAGCTACTTATTAGCAAACGTAGAATGCAGCAGAATTGGCTATAGTCTATTTTGTAACCTAGCACAGAGTGTTACTTATAAATAGTACAGTAGAGGATTGCCGTTCACTTTTCCAAACCCCTCCGGGACTTTGTAGACCGCCGATAAACTCGCTAACCATTCCACTAAATATACAAGTACTCAAACAACCTGTGTATATCTATTCGCAATTAAACGTCATCACTTCTCATGATTTCCAACCTAGTTGACGATGCAGGAAAACCGAACACCTGTCCGAACTTGGACATTTTAGGCGACACGGATAGAGCCAAGATTAGAAAGATTAGAGTAATATCCGAAAGCAACTTACAAAGTAAAGCATTGTAGATAATCACGTATTGAGGAATGTACTTAGCCTCAAAAGATAGTGCTAAGTTTTACAAAACGGCGGCTAAGCACTTCGACTTGCTGAAGGTGGCTCATATCAGAGCCCGAGAGTGTTCCTAACATGGACTATCCATGGTGAACATCCCTTTTCCCAGAAACGAAAGCGTAGCGAGTCGCTAGATGGGCTGGACACCATAGTCTTTGAAAAGTGGTAGTTATCACCTGCAAGTTCGTAACCTCTACAGTGCAGATAGCCGTTATGCCTTGGAACACTACTGTGAAAGTATTCCCTTACTTCTTATAACGAGATGTCCATCGGCTCAACAAAGTATTGTTCTTTATATTTTCCGCATTATGGAAAAGGCCAGAGCCAAATAAAGGATCTGTGTGGAGATATCTGGGACAGCTCTGACAACTCTGGCGCTTCTTGAGCTGGTAGATTAGATACTGGGCTCGCAAGAAACTGACGGCAAACCATACAGCTAATCCTAAGATTATCGTGCACGGCCATCCCACGTCGGTGGAAATTTCATGCTGTGGAAACCAAAATGGTTTAGAAGTGATGCTTCATCAACGCCGTTACCCTAAAGAGTTCGGTGTTGCTCATTAATTGTTGGACATTAATAGTAGTTGGACGATCGACCACTGCCCAATTCTGCCAACTCCTCAGCCCTGGCACGGACTGTTTACCCGCTGCCATCATCTTATCGAAGCACTTAAATTGGAGATTAAAATATGGTGCGGGCAATTGCACAATCCTTCAGTCTTGAGTGACATTCTCCATCACTATGAGGGCGCTTTATAATATTCGTGTCGGATTGTTCCCTGTGAGATCTTTGCTCAAATTTCAAGATGAACCTTAATGGCAACTATTACGAGGGGGCCCGAAAAGACCTTTCTTATAACTTGAAATTCTAAATATATTGCTACCTATACCATGCCAATGCACTTAATTGTGATTAAAAGGAGGCAATTTAATTCCTATTCGCAAACAAGCGCTCTCCTCTTGTCGTCGAAGCTTTGCTAGCCTGTTTTGCATAAAAAAGCAGGAGGAAGTGGCAGGAAAATATAATATCTTGAGTTTGCTAAGAGAATAAATCAAGTTCTATAAAGTGAAATAGCGCGAGCCTTATTTCACTCCTGTCGCTTTTAGTTGCAGCTCTTGTATACTAAAACCTCATCTTTGAATGCTGCTCAATTTTCAAACTAATTCATGAAGCCATCTAAGGGCATACCTTTTTAGATTATCGTTACACTCTTCCTGTCCCAGGTCTCCATCCATCGCTTAAAGCTAGGCTGCTTCCAATGCATAGTATCGAAATAGCCTACACGTTCATATAACAAACATTCTTCTTCTTCTATTTCCTTCCCATTATTTTCTCCGTTTTCGACTTTCGTTAAACCGGCAGTCTTGCGAACTTTGTTCACTTTCCTTAAAACTAATGCCTGGGCCGAAGTGCCAAACTCCCCATCATAAAAACTTTCCTCGTCGCTTGTTATGACAATTAGAGCTATGTAGGAGACAGGAGATATGAGGTCGAAATCAATGAACCAGGTTACTTTGGAACTGGACTTGCGTTGTAACGCCGACCTAAGTAGAAGGCGGTAAGCTTTTTAATTTCATATAATTCAGTTTTAAGCCATCTTATAAAAATGTGGGAGGAGACAAAGAGTGGAAATATAGAGACGATTCAGAGGAAAGAGGAAGATGCCACCGACCGAGAAGAAGTTAGAAGCGACAATTACTCACAGAAGATAACTCTGCCCATCTACCTCATCGACCTCAAACAAGTCCAAAACCCCCTCCAACTCATTATCCGGGTTCTCAAACTCATCCATAAAAATTCTCGCAATCGAACCTTTGCCGGAAGAGATCACCTGCTTACTTCTTCTGAATGTCTTGACAAGTCCCTCAATAACTATGCTGCCGGACTGTACTTGCCCGTAGGGATTCCCACCCCGAACCTTAACGTCATGTTGAGTGATTGTAGAATCATAAGGACCTGGGGCATCTTTACGTTCAATGTGAGCGAAAAGAATTGGGTCAGTAGTTACAGCCCAGGACCAGGAAGGCGCTTCTTCTGACAGAGTATGCCTGCATTGGAATATCTCATGATGCCAGCATAGACCTTGCGCGAAATCATTGCTCCACATCCCAGCGAGATAGCTGGCACCAATTACGGGGTGAAGGAGCCTAGCTATACCGGAGAAGGCAGGAAACTTGTCACTGTTATAGGTGAGTTGTCGTGATGAGTACTCCTCAACCAGATTGTAATAATCAGTTAGTATGGGCCTGCGATCGTGCTGTGACTTACACACCACATCTCGTTGTAGATGTTGGTGAAGAACGTTCGAGATGGCGGAATATAAATTAGCGTTGTCGGGCATTAGGTTTCCTGCTGGAACGCCATCCGCGGACTGGAATCCATGAGGACATTGCCAGTAGATTTGTTTGCTACCATAATGAAGGATACGAGGCGACAGGATGCTTTCTTGTAAACACCATCCCCGTTTACTCAAAGGGCTGCTTAAGAAGAGATTTCTGAGGGTTTCCTCTTCTTTATCATTCAGAGAGAGATAAACTTCAATTCCGGAGTTGCCATCGTAGGAAACTTTCGAGGAGTCTGAGGAGACCATGTCCCCCATTACGTGTTCTTTCACCGCTTCCTCCCTAGAGGATTCGGTCAAAATCCCTGCCGTGCTTCCGGGAGACATCGCCGCAGAGATGGTAATCAGAGCATTTTGGTAAACATCACCCATTTTCTTTGACTCAATCTCCCAATCGGATGCCGAGTCTTGTATAATGCATAGAGCGTCGATCCACAGATACTTAATTCCTAGATGTCTTGTAATAGTTACGGCGTCACGGAAGTTTTCGGGCAGTGAGGAAAAGGATATATCCGTTTGAAAAGATTTTAGGGTATCGGCTAGTAACCGCGTTGAGATCAGTCCACCCCAGCAATGACTGAGCGCGGCATACTGGCCAGTCGAGGAGTGAGAATGTACAAGTCTCAATATTTGCTCATCACCCAGGTTACCCACATCAATTACCCTGGCAGGCAGTTCTGGGCTGTGCTTGACGGGACAGGATTGATGATTGTTGCAACAATCCTCAATCCAGCTCTTTGCGATGCTGAAATTATTTTGTGATGTAAGAACTGGGTCAAGTCGATATCTCCCGACACGATATTTCCCAATTCTAATTTGCTTGTCTGGGAAACGTTGTCAATTATCTTTTCCAAGGCCTAGATTCGGCGACAAACCTCGAGGAACACTTAGCGTAATCAATAATGGCGGTATAGTAACGTCTTCTTCTTTCCCTTCACTTCCCTCACTTCCATGGCTCCCTACTTTCCATTCCTTTTCTTCGTATTTGATTGCCGCCGCCCCGACTTGGACCACAAGCAGATCAAATAGTGCAACCTGATCCAAACTTTGTCCAAAGTACAAATGATCAGCATCAATACTGATCCTAACGTCAATTGCTTTTCCTAGATATTCTGTCTCTCGAACTGCTTCGTCACGGGTTTGGCCATCCCAAGGCCACAAATCCACTATGAAGCTTGTGAATCCCGCCAATATCATTTGACAGAGGTCACACCCGTCTGTGGCTGATTGCACCAGGTCGTTGTATGAGTCATAGTGTTTGTAGTAGGCATGTTGGGGTGACTGGCGGCTTGCGAACTCAACTTCTGCCAGCTCGATTAAGCCGCTGAGAGAGATCCCAGTGCAAAAGGCACAGAGCATACTGGGGCCTCAATATTTGCACCAACGGCTATTGTTTTTGGAGGTATTTGTGAGACGACTTTTTGAGCAACAGTACTTCCCAAGCTTGAAGTTGCACAGAATATGTATGGATGCTGCAGAGCTTGTGTAAGTAGGCGCTGATACGTATATTGTGGCAGATATTACGCTTGAGCGGAAGGTTGTAGAGGAGCTGAGTGGTAGTTGAGGATGACGAGCTAGGTGGTGATAAGTACCGGTTCTTTCTAAGAGGATCGGTATGGGAGGCCTGGCAAGGTGTACCACTATAGGAATAGAGAGAGTTCAAGTGGTGGTGTTCTGACTACTGAGCAGAGTAGGAGCTGGGCGCGCGACGTCGCCGACGTGGCGCTTGTGAATATCGTTACCTGGGGCACGTGACGGTAGGTTACATGACCATACCACAGTACCTCCGTTCGTGGCCTTATCCAATTAAAAGAAAGGCTGTATCTAAATAAGACGGATCTCAGCCCATCACGGGGTGCTGGCAGCCCGGGCGAATCAAATCACCCAACACCCATCACCAAAATGCAAGTAACACAATCTCAATCTCCTATCGATAAATGGTCTCTCTCATTTATGGGGAGCAACAACTGATCGAGATCATGCATGGTGCTATGCTTCTTCTCGTTGCTAGCTTGTCTCTTGAAGTCAGTGATTAGCCGCCCCTGTGCAGCAGAACCTTTATCTTTGTCATTTCCCACGTGGAATCCAATCTCAGTACATTCTTGTCCGTAATTTGGATTTTGCAGTCGCCAAGATGACCCGAGTTGACCCGACAGCTTTAGCACTGTGTATCATCTTTCCATTTCTGTCAATCGTTGCAGTGATCGCGAGATTCCGAGCCAGATGTGTTCTTAAGCTCAGGCTTGGAGCTGATGACTGGGTTGTTATTCCTGCTCTTGTAAGTCAAGCTGTGCTGGTGGGATTGAGCTGACTTGATACTGCTAGATTTTTCTCTTGGGAATGCGGCGAATATACTGTTCGGTAAGAATACCATCATGAATTTTTATGGTCGAATCTCTCTGATTGTCGATATAGGGCCCATCAAGGCAAATCTTGGTCAATATATGCCACTGGATGAAGAAGGCTTTGCGATCAGTGGAGAGCAATTAGTAGCTTTGGAGAAGGTTTGTAGTCGGTCTACAGATTTTTTATTGTAAATCGGCTCAAATAAATACTAACAATTGATTAAACTAGATGGCCTACATAACTCCCGTCCTCGCCGCCATAGGTCTGGGCTGCGCTCGGTGGTCGGTCCTTCTCTTGTACAATCGAATCTTTGAGACGCGTATCTTCCGGCGTGCCGTTTACATAATGTCGGCTCTGAATCTAGGCTGGATGATAGCCTTTGTGTTTGCCTTCATATTCGAATGCACACCTGTTGATCAAGTCTGGAAGTCACAGCATGGAAAACGAAAACATTGCATTGGCATAGATTCAAATTACGCATATGCCGTCAGCTCGGTCATTCTCGATATCCTGACTCTTTCTATGCCGTGGCCAATGATATGGCGCTTGCATATGGAATTGAAGAAAAAGATTGCCGTAACAGGTATCTTTTTGCTTGGTGGAATGTATGAGACTTCTGCAATTTTCTGGCAGCAGCTGATCTTTTATACAGAGTCACTGCTGCAGGCATTGGAAAAACATATGCATTTTACACGGTTGGTGGAAAAATTGCTAAAAGTCATGACTTTACATGTAAGTGCATATCGTCCCATCAATTCTTTTGGCTGCCTTCAACTCCCTTCATACCTTTGTAATAATGCCATTACCATAATTCTGACTATCTTTCCTAGACGAAGAAGCACCTCTATTCTACTGGACTGTTCCCGAATGCTCGCTCGCGGTCGTTTGCGCTTGTCTCCCCGTCCTTACACCTATTTATTATGGCTTTACCAATTCTTCATTTATGGAAAGTGTGCGAAACCTTCTGACTTTGAGAACTTTGCGCTCGAGCACGACCAATGCAAGCAGAAATGTCCCATTCACATATGTTTCTGGGCGGATAAATGACCAAAGTCAAGAAAATTATAGTGCGGTTAGAATTAGTAAGACCGTGACCGAGCCGGGCTCGGTGAAAAGTGCAGGTACTGAAGTGGAGATGCGAGATTTGGAGGCGGGGAATGTTAATGAAGGACCGACTCAGAAGTTTTGATAAAAGCCCGAAGTACGCAAAGCTAGAGCGATTTTGGAGCGGACTTGTGCAATTTGCTTTCAAAGTCACTAAAACAACTTAATAATAACTGACATTTGTTCTGGTTTAAGGCACATGAGACCTTACATCTACATATTATTACCCCTCACATAGCTGCGTTCAACCTCGAAGATTGGCGAAGTAACACGAAATGTTGAAGAAGGAGGATTAAAACCTCCAGGTTCAGTGTGTTCTCTATAATTATTTTCCATTACTTGCCAGAGATCCAGGGTGTCGAATCTGCCAAAGATTTGCAGTAGTTTGTTTTTGGGTGAATTAGCACTACTGAGGTAGATGATAAGTGGCGTTAGGTATACACTAAAGTTTTGCATAGTACAAGTTGGGAGCGACTTCTCTAAATTTAAGCAAATTACTCAAGAAGGCGAAAAATGGTGGTTCCATTTATTGAGAAGCTGATATCACTATATTCTCCCAGAGTTGGGTATATAAATCTAAGTAATAGCTCCTAAAATATTGCAACACGTAAAGGCTATCAATTTTGTTGTGGAGAACCTTTCTGTATTTACATTCTATTAAATCAAGATCCTATTTGTTACTATGCATGAAGCAAAAATATCAGTGTAACATACCTAATAGCCAAAAGCGAACTGCTGAGTCCGAACGCTAGGCCTTTGGCAATTACTATTCGGTGAAGGAATATTGATCGGTGACAAACTTACTTTTCCTTGATTCGGCACACGTCAAATTAACCGGTATTCTCACCGCACTAGCTCTTAAACATCTATCGCGGTTCAAGTAATTCGATCCTAGTATAATAGATTGTGAAATTCCATTTAATTGAGCTTCGGTACACTAACACATCGTCCCTGCGTAGGTCACCAGTGAAACTATATGGAGCTTAGCCAGAAAGTAGAAAGAGCTTAAATACTTCGGTGTCACGTTTTTTGCGCCAATCTTTTAGAGTAGTAAAAGTTTTATCTACTTATTTTGATCTATAACAATCCTTCTCTATCAAAGATACCGGGATGTAAAGGTAACACGATTTTCGACTGTTCTATAGACGCCCAAGAAGGAGTTTTTGTTTTTCGAAAGAAAGGTCAAATACATAAGACTCTTTTGAGAAACGCGAAAGCCGTCACAAGTGTATTTGCTACAATATTTAGCAAAACGACCTATACTGGTTTCATCTTCCATATAGACAAACATGCTCTATAAGAAGTCCTAAAAGTTGATATATTTAAAATAATAATCTTAAAAAACATCTTCATTAAGATATAGTGGAAAGTAATAAGTACTTTCTTTAAGAAAACAAGGTTTCAACCCATGTCTCCACACTACTCAAAACTCTAATCTTAACTTATTTGCTTTGTAAAAACACCCTACATTTCAACTCTCCGTAAAATACCTGTGTTATTTGAGAACTTCGAAATCTGCGGCAACATCCCTCATCCCCATCTAATCCCACCTTTTTCAATAAAATGTCAACCCTCCTTCTCAGTCTTCCGCATTTGGTAACCCAAACACATACCCAAGGGGTAGCTGGGTTGGTACCCTTATAAAACCTAGGGTACCAAGGGTACCAAACCCGATACCCTATATATCCGGTGCGGTACGGTGCCGAATCGGCGGAGCGCGGTCCTACCTCGGCCCGTGAGCGGTCAGAGTGGTTCTGCTATCCTCGTTTATAGATAGTAAGAGTTATATAGTAGTACGAATTAAGGTAGATAGTAAGAGTTGTAATAGTATAAGTTAAGGTAGACGGTAAAAAGGAATTAGAGGGTAATAGATTAGATTGGATAGTAACAATTAATTAAATCTAATCTAATCTAATTAATTATAAAATAGAAGTAATTTTAAACGTCTATTTAAGTATTTATAATAAAGTAGTTAATTAAGTAGAGGTCAAGTCTTGGCAATAATCGCACTTTTGGCCACAATACTACAATACAACTTATAATTCACTATATATTCACTCTTTTATAAGGGTATACCCATACCCATCAGGGTATATCTTGGTTGGTACCCTACCTAATCTTTGAAGCCTGGATAGGGTACCAAAAAGAGTTGTCGTGGGTTGGTACCAAGGTATACCAAACCCAATGCGGAACACTGCTCCTTCTTCACTCCAGCTCATTACTTTTGATCACGCGCTGTGTGAATGAAACAGATAAATGTTAAGGACAGCAGAGGTTAGGCGACAGTTCCCGTTGCCACCCAAGTAATGCCATTTTTCTGGAAGTCTGAGATAGTATGTACAGTGCGTGAGGGCCATTTATAAATTGTTTCTGGGAGGAGATAAGTACAACTAAAAGGGGTTCTAGAATTCAAAGTTGAACGTTTCTGCATTGAGTGTTACTGGAACGATGATATCCTCAGTCCCAGAGTGCCAGACACGCAAAGCGAGGATCATGGTATATAGCTATCCGCCTAGTCCCTAGTCACATTCCCTAAATCTAGTACCGAGGAGGAGCTTGTAGATTTGCTGGAAACACTTAAATAAATTTCATAAACGACTTAAAACAAAACTTCCAGCTATAAAAGTCTTGCAAGATCTGCACGCATCCCTGTACACATTTCTTCCTATATGTATCAAAGTCCGCCTTAAATAATAGAAAGAAAAGAACAAACTTTTGGAGTAATTAACACTATATAACACCGGATAAGTTCTAGATTCCAATTAGTTAATTTTTCAATTCAGTAGCGACAGAATTATCGGTGACAAAAGTTTTATTTTACTTTGAAATACAGCAGCTGGGTGTTGTTACTTAGTGAGAGACGTATCCCATTTCGCTCGCGGGGACAATGCTCGAGCTTAAAATTGAAAGTCTTAAAATATCTATTAAACAGAGCCTCTTTGCGACGACCTATTGTCACTTCGTGTAATTGCTAGAAGAAGATGATCTGTTATCTTTAATTTTCGTGATATTCTTAATAAAGCAGATTCCCATCCCACATAACCCCCCGGCCCTAACAATTGTAATCTAAGTAACTATTCTAAAGATTTATCTCCGCAATCCACGATGCTCAAGAATCAAATATGATTTAGAATATTGCGAAACTTCTCCGTTTATCAATTAAGCTTTTAAGTGACTAAAAGGTGGAATGAGAAGAGTAGAGAGAAAGATGGATTCTTTTATCAAAATACCCACACAAAATTAAGTCTATTCAATGCTTAGAGTTTTTGAAACCCTAAAGATTTCTTTAAAATTTTATAGAGAAAGTAACTACTATAATCCTCTCAACAAAAAAAATGACATGGAATTATCACAGTGTCTGCCTTCTCCCATGAATTTATTCCATATCCCATCTCTCGACACCTGTCGAAATTCTATCTTATTTACTAAACATTTAAAAATCTCAAGAACCTAAACTCGTACCCTTAATTCTAGCACGTGTTCTATTACCTTACATTTCGGTAGCAACTTCGGAATCGGCAGCAACATCCACTCTCCGCCTTCAATACGTTACGCTACAAACAACAACATCCATCACTTACCCATACCGTTTCTCACTATTTCGAAATCTTGAGTGCTTCTCTTCCATAAACCTCGGAAGACGCAGTAAATACATTCGGCCGTGAGTTGGTGCTTGCAGCAACGGTAATCAACATTCCAGTTGGTACATGTGTTCTGAAACAATTCACAGTAGTCAAGACTACTTTTATACCCTGGTTGACGGACAAAAGGGAGTACTAGTAATGAGATATTTATTGATTGATTGTGTCCATTTTCATTTTCGGACATAAGTGTATAAAACCAAAAAGTGATACGCAAAAATAATACGACGTAGCGATTGCGCACAAATCCCATCGTTATCTGGCAGAGTCTCTGGGATACAGGACAGTACGTAAGAAGAAAGAACTCGGCTTTTCATAGCTGGGGACATTGATTACGTTTGCTTTTATTTTATTTTAATTCTACATTTTCTAATCGAGTTGTCGGTAGATCTATTTCGGTAAGAACAAAACATTCGGTGATATTAATTATCTCAAACTCGAGATATTAAAGACAGATACTCGTAGTAATTTGAAAGTTATTTTTAATTCTCTCGCGGCGAGGAGTCCTTATCGTTAACTCGTAGAGTCTTAATCTAATCTCGTAGAGTCTTAATCTAATTAGACGTCTTTCTACAAATACACATTCCCTGCGTAGGTTACTAGTAAAGATAAATAGAATTTAATCGGAGTAAAAATATCTCTTATAAACACCCCTTTAGACAACCTATAATAATTCTCAAACGTAGAAACATCTATCTAAGTCGCGACTTAAGGAGAAATAAAACGATGATTTTAGTAACCTAATAAATCTAGAGCGTAAGATGCACCGACAGTATTTTGCGAAGCGTAAACCCCTTTTTGGCATAATTAGCGAAAGGTTTAACGGCGGTAAGTAATCTAAAAGATTTTCAAATTTTAGTAGTAAGAGAATATAGATTACTATATAAAAAGCCTCAAAATCTCGTATTTGAGAAGTTAGTAGTAGAAATCCGACGAAACACGTATGTACTTTGTAACAGGTCTTATTGTAACTTACAGGAAACGGATTTGTTAGTGTCTTGTGTCGTAAATTAGCTATAGTTTAAATATCTTAATATGTTTCGCTTTCTAATAGAAACGATAAAGAAATAAACTCTAATAACCGAGATTCGGCAGTATACTTAAGATCGATAATACCTCCTCTCCCTCTTTAATATTTCGCTTTACTCCCTTACTACTTTTACTCTATTTACCTCTAAGAAAGAAGAGACGCCTACCCTACCTCTTACTTCTAAAAATATAGATTTTAAATACACCGTCCTCTCTCAGGGGGTCAAGTAGGTAAGTTTAACTATATTTTCTGTTTTTGGTATTTAAAATTATATTTACATTAGCGACATTATTTATACACTCGATACTAGGGGATTCCTAGACACATTTTTACTTACAAGGAAGAGTTCGAGATAGAAGAGAATTTAATTTATAGGTGTATATAGTATTTACAGTTGTTTGTTTCGTAGTAGTAACTTCTATCGCTACCTTCCTTTAACTTGCTAAAACCGATATACATTTATCCCCCTCAACCGTCTATACATATCCCTCTATCCTACGCGCAACTGAACCCCGTATCCTCAGTATAATACACAATAAATTCCCCCCTAAAATATTCCAAATCTAAACAATCCAGCTGACTTGGTGAGAATGGCTTTTACCTTACTCTTGCCCTTTACCTCTTACTACTCGTCCTATCCTCTTTAACTCTCATGCTCTTACTAACCCTAAGTCCAAAATCATTTCCTGGATTATATACAAAACTATTTATGCTCAAAACAACCCTCCTCTGAAAAGCTAAAATCGACAGCGAGTTACGATTCGGTAACAAACCTCTCTCCTTTTATTTTCCCAAGGTGAAACACGCACAAACTGATTTCTTTTGATATCTAAACAACGCTACCATAAATCGCTCCTTATGAATACAAGAAAGCTGTCATTATAAGAAGGAGAGCAGACCAGGGGTAATCATAATCAGCCTCCGAACTTTTACAGGGAAGGATTTTAATTAAGACGGAAAAGGAGGTAGATATATACAATCCTCTCCTATGTTTCGCAATTACTCAAATCCCCAAAATTCCCGAACAGAAAACCGTTTCTTATAACAAATCCAGCAAACACTTTACAGTACTTGTCTCTGTCCCCAAAGCAGGAATTTCGCATCCTAATACACTTACCAGAACCTTAAACCTTTCTTCTACCATACCATTAATGTCAAACCCCTGTCCAGTTCCTCGAAGCTCATATCCACCCTTTCCCTTCCCCCCTTCCAATACCCAAATTCCGCTCCCCCAATCACCCAACCAAACTCCCCACCCAGCCCCCGATAAACACCTCCCCTCCCCTCTCAATACCCAAAACAATGCAAAACGCACATCCTGGCGATGTAGCTGAGTAGTCGGGGTAATTCATCTTTGAATCTCACTTCTCATCTCTCTTTCACATTCTCGACTCTATGATTCTCGGTCTTCGAACACTCTTTATCCCGCCGTAATAATAAAAAAATTCAGGAATTTCAGTTTCGATGACGAATGTAGTTTCAGCAACAACTCTCCTTCCCACCTCTCCACCCCACCATTTCAAGAAACCCAAACCAAACCCGCTCACAACTCCACCCATCAAGAACCGACCATTCATATTCAGCATCAATCGAGAAATCAGTTTTCGAATCCCAGCGCACAAAGCGCGAGCAGTACAATTGCGGGTCGTGATGTTTATACATGTTGAGGTTCTAATGTTCGCTGCACGGCAGGATTTTATGCTGCTCCTTACTAGATGATTCGCGCGAGAAATATTTCTGGATGCTTGTCATCGAGCTTCTGGGTGGCAAATGAAGAGTGTGCGAATGACTAGACTTTGAGGTTCCATTGCATCGCAATGCGAGATTGGAGAGGTGAGATATTCGAAATAGCAAGTTGTATTAACTAAGATCTAGGCCTAACGCCCAAAAGAAAGGACATCAGGGTATAACAACCTTAACACCTCGCGCAAGTTCCATCTATACCATTACACTACTTCCCTTTTCCCCATTACACGCCTACAACTCGCTGATCACTCCCATCCATCTCTGCTTCGTCTAGAACTCGGCACCACTAATATATTTTGGAAGCTTCTCCGTGAAAAGGGTTTTGCCTTTGACGAAATCTATGATACCTGCGTCAGCACAATCCACCCGAATAATGTTTCGCAAAGGATGCAACTTACAAACCACAATACTAGGGAACTTCATATTGCCCCTGCGACCCGTCCCCTTACTGCGTCCCAGCGTAACAGCAATCATAGGCGGTCCATCCGTAGAATACTTGACAGGAGGCTGGTTCTTGAGCACGAGATCGAGGTTCTTGGCCAGGGCTTTGGCTTGGAGCGCTATTTCGCATTAGCACACCACCCATCAGAGAATACAAGAGATTAGGACATACCAGCAAAAGCCATCTGCTTCGCTTGAATATCCACCACATCACCCGCAGCCCACACACCCTCCACGCCCTTCACCTTGAGGAAACTATCAACCTGCACATCGCCCCTGCCGCCTAGTATACTCTTTGGCAAGAACTCGGTATTCGGAATCACACCAATCGTGGGGAGATACAAATCGGTAGTCATTTTCTCACCGGTGGAGAGGGCCAGTTCGGTGGCGTTGCCGGATGGGAATTCTGCTTCGACGCGCGCGCTGTAGATGGTTTTGATGCCGAGGGAGGCGAGTTGGTTGGTTGCGAATTTGATTACGGAGGGGGGGAGGCCGGGGAGGATTGTTTTGCCTGCTGTGACCTGGGAACGTTAGTCCCTTTACTTAAATTTGTGATGTATGTTGGGACTTACCAAAGTAACCTCCTTCTTCCCTTTGTACTCAAAAGCCAATTCCGCCGCCGTTTCCACACCAGTTGGTCCTGCACCCGCAACGACGATATTCTTCGCATTCCGCACTTTCTCTTGGTATTCGTGCAACACGGCTTTTGTCTTTTCGCTGCCCTCGAGATTGCTCTTCCATGGGACGTTTCCTTCGCTGCGACTCCCTGTGGCGATGACCAGATGTGTGTATTTCTGCTCTGAGGTTCCGGAGGCGGTTTTGATCGTGACGGTTTTGGAGGTGGGATCGACGCCTGTGGCGGCTCCGACGATGAGTTCGTAGGATTCGGAGGGGTATTTTGCGAAGCCGGGTGCGATTTCTTGGAAGACCTGGATGTGTTAGTTGGAATTAATGTCTGAAGGGTGTGTGAAGTACCTTCTCATCATTCATCTGCCCCGGCACAATCGCGCGCACAGAAGCCAGATTCCAGTACAAATGCGTATTCGGCGAGACAACCACAACCTTCAACCCCTTGACATCTTTCGCCGTATACTTCAGCAAACTATGCGCCACCGCCAGTCCAACATAGGAACCACCTAGAATAACAATCGTCGACATCTTATCTGAATACGCAATCTGCTGTTTCGGTTTCTTCTGTTGAAGTAAAAAATAAATCCCAAGCGGAAGCACAAGACTGAGAGAGAAAGTAGTCAAATTGATAGTAAACATTGGGGAAAGTCCGGACTTTTTATCTGAGACCCTACAAGCGGAGCAGGCAACCTCTTTATCGGTATTTACCTTTGCTAGCGTCGTAAAGCATTTCTCAGCCCTTGAAACATCTTAATCAACCTTACCAATGATGCTCAAGCAAAGCCACGATTTCTCATCATTTCGTTTTTTCTTTGTTTGTCGTCGTCGGGAGAGGAAATGCTTGATCTTTGGGAGGAGTGCGGATGTGGTGCTGATTGGTGGGTGAGTACGCTTCGTGTTGTGATTGGGTGAGTTCTAAGCGAGCTACCGCCTCGGGTTCGGGTCTGCGCAGAGTCAAGAATGGGGATCCGCTTTTTCAGGCACCGTTGAGTTTTGATTGGCAGCGTTGACAGCAGTGGGGTGAGACTGATCCCATGCGATCGGACCGGATGGGATGTCGGATGTCCGTGGGCGGTGGGATGCGGTCGGTATTTTCAAGCATCCATGGAGATATTTTACTACGCCTTGAAGACGTGGTATCATGATCATCATGTTTGCCTCTTTCGGCTCGGATGACGTTTTACTCTTCGCAGTCAAATAATAAGAGATTGCAATGTTTCGTGTGCTGTCAATATGCCCCCTTTAAACATTTCCCTTTTTAATGTTTTGTCAACTTCTGCTATTTATCTCGACCCCAACGCCTCCTTCTACTTGTACGGTGTATCTTCAAACAACATATCCCTCCGCCGTGTAGAAGTTTCATCATGACAGTCGGAATTGCCTCTTTCTATTCTCCGCAGTCAAAGTTATGACTAGAAGTCATCTGCTTCAAATTTTATTAATTCCCCCTTTTTGAAATGTCCACCTCAAACATTCCATCGCCATCTTCACTCCATCCACAACGCCATTTTACCTCGCCATCTCCTCAATCACCCCCTTCACACACTCAATATCATGACCAAACCTCCCCAAAAACAACCCATCAACACCCTCCCTCATCCCCTCAAACGTCCCCAACCCAGCACTCCCTCCATATATAATCCTCACCCCCTCCCCACAAACCTCCCTCAAACCCCTCGTAACACCAACCACATACTCCGCACTCGCAGGCCTAGGCTGTCCAATCGCCCACACAGGTTCATACGCAAACACAATCTCCTTCCCCTTTGCACCCGGCAGCGCAAGGATAGACGTAATCTGCGGCGTACACTCCTCAATCGCACTCTCCACACTCCCCTCGATCTGCTCCCCAATACAAACCAACGGTACCATCCCATTCCGCAACACCGCCTCCGCTTTCCTCGCGACAGTTTCATCGGTCTCTCTAAATAATTTCCGTCGCTCCGCATGGCCCAATTCCACCATCTCACATCCCATCAACGCCAGTTCGCGCGGGGAGATTGCCCCGGTATACGCGCCGCTGTCATAAGGCGAGCAGTCTTGCGCGCCGAGAGTGATGGGCGCTCGATCGCGTTTGGATAGGGACCAGGTGGTAGAGTTTAAGGCACCGGTTTGTTGGAGGAGAAGGGGGAGGGTGAGGACGGAGGGGATGAGGAAGATGTGGATGTTGTGTTGTTGTGCGAGTGAGAGGATGGGTTGGAGGGATTGGTAGTAGCGGAGGGTTTCTTGGGGCGTGAAATATATTTTGAGGGAGATGCCGAGGGTTCGTTGAGGTCTTTGGGGTGGAGAGGACATTGTGGATCTGGTTTGGTGAGTATGTTTCTGTCAATTGGAGAGAGTGAGGTGAGTATACATCTTTTATTTACCTACCCAGGCTAGATGGATCCCTGATATTTTCTACCAGGACTTAATAGCAGCGATTCTTATTTCCTTATTCATTTGCTTTCTCCCCAAGCAACCTTCTTTCTCGAGCCTTCACATGAAATTTCTTGAGAAAATTATTTGATATTAAATACAAGCAATATTAGGAATCAAAGACAAATCAATTCAATTAGCATAGTAACATCTTACGAAAACAAAACAATCGACATCATACATCACCTCTCCACAGCGGGGTAAAACCCCCCATCCCACCACCCCGGCATCCCCAATCAGGCAACCCGGAACCCCACCTGTCACCCCGCCACGCGGGGTTCACTTCAACCTCACCCGGCGGTAAAATGTGTTCTTGCGCGACATATCTGGAAAGAATCTTCTTGCGATGATTCAACCCTCTAATTCGATTTGTTGCTTGGATTTTATATTTTTGGAAGCGTTGATACCTGATTGATTGATTTATTGGATATTAGGAAGAAGACGATAGATAAGGAAGGGGGAAGAAGAAAATGGCGGAACAACAGCAGAAATTACGCATAGTCGTAGGCGGCGACGACGGTAACTCCCTTCTTCCTTCTTCCCCTTTTCCCCATCTCTCATTTCCTCTAATCCTCATCCCATCCTCTACAACACCAAAACAAACCACTAACCTCCATCCCAGCCGGCTACGCCTACAAAACCGCCCTCACAACCCTCCTAAAATCCCATCCCGCCGTCGAATCCGTCCACGACGTCGGCCCCCTCTCCTCCTCAGACAAAACAGCATATCCACATTACGCCGTTGACGCGGCGAAGAAGATTAAAGCTGGGGAGGCGGATCGCGGTCTTTTAATCTGTGGCACCGGCCTCGGCGTTGCCATCGCAGCAAACAAAGTCACGGGTATCCGCGCGGTGACGGCACATGATCCGTTTAGTGTGGAGCGCAGCGTGTTGAGTAATGATGCGCAGGTGTTGTGTCTTGGGGAGAGGGTTATTGGGTTGGAATTGGCGAAGAAGTTGGTTGATGGGTGGGTGGGGTTGAGGTTTGATCCTGTGAGTTCTTGTGATTTTCTGTTTTTGTATTAGGGTTGGGGGGAAGGGTAGGGGATGTGGGGGTGAGTGAGGGGAGAGGAGATGTGGGAGAGGAGGAGGCAGGGGATGGAGAGATGAAGGGGGAGGGGCAAGAGAGGAGAGAAGAGCGAGGTAGATTTATGCTAACGATATAATAGAACTGCGCGAGTGCAGAGAAAGTCAAGGCGATTAACGACTACGACGAGGAAGCGAATTAGAAGTTGAATTTAGCGGTACCCAAAAGCGTAAATTTAAATCTTGGGAAATGAACTATCAGTATACTTTCTTCCACAATTGTGACCTTTTAAAACGGAAATTGTAACTAGTCCCCTACTAATCTACTAAAATTTCCGGCTCCGACCCCCCCAATTTTCGATCACGAAGTACTATATATACTCCTATCCCATTACTAATTGAAACTCATAGTAACGGACACCTTCATGGAAGACCGATGGGCTGTCCTACCTACGCCGACTCTTGAAGAAATCTTTCGTCCTGGAAAAAACGGCATGGACTTTGTTCTTAATTCGAACTATAGATTAAGTAGTTTAGAAATCGAGAGTTTTTAATTAAACTAGGGTAGAGTTGTCACCGAAAGTTGAGCCGTCAACGAATTCAGCCCAAGTATACAATGTGTTCTATCAAGACCGATTGTATTCGTGGGTGTTCTGTATCAATTTTGACGTATAATATACGAGGTAATATTTGTTACTAGCTTTAACTTATATATTTGAATATAATGTTTGTAAATACTCGAGTGTATAGGACTTAGAAGAGATTAAATCTATCTAACTTCGAATACTTTATATATACTCCTTAAACATTAAAGTAGAAAACTATATTTCTACCTAGAAAACAGAGTACGGGAATTGAAAGTACGGTGGCTATTCTAGGGAAATTAGAGAATAATGTTAAAAAGAATTATATATCTAAATAATTCTCTATTTTCAAGTTTCCTTATATCTTATAAAGGTAAAATAACTAATATTCTCGTTATAGAGTTAGAGCTAGAGGGATAGCTGTCTATTATTAAGAAATAATTTAAGTATACGTTATATAATATATTAAAACTAATATAGATATTTAAGGTAAAGAGAGTAGAGTTCTAGAAGATACTTAATAAATCGCCTTATAGTATCGAAATAATAATAAAGAAACTTAGGTAATATTTAATAAATTATAGAAAACCTAGAGTATATTTAGTTATCTTTCAATACTAGAGTACTTAATCTATAATATAGACTTATTATTAAAACTAAAATTATTCTCGATTTCGCTATTTATAAAGTTTAGAATAGAAGTAGTAAGAGTATTTAATTATAGAAAGCTATAAATACTTGAAAACCTCTACGCGACGCTCTAAAAATAAATTACAGACTAAAAGTTTACTTCTATAAAGAGTAAGAAAGAATCTATAGCTATCTCTTCCCGATCTATAATTAAGTTATTTATTTTCCTTCTATCTTATCTAAATTAACTCTGTAGCATCTTATCTTACATACTCGATTATTCTAATGCTAAATAGCCCACTCTCTTCAGAAGGCAAACTCAGACCGCCGGGCCTAGAATCTCTCTATCCCCGAGCTATAAATTCGCCGCCGTACACATGGGGAAAGTTCAGCGGCGCCCATGTGGATTGACAATGTCACTGTAGTGTTGGTTTTGGGATGTAGGATAAGGAGCCAAGGTTTTGAGGTTTGGGGTTTGGTTTTGGGTGCACGGCTTAGGTTAGGGGGATAAATGAGGAATGGATTTCTAGGGTTGCTAGGGATGGAAGAGGGAGCGTGGATGTTTGTTGCCGAAGATTAAGGTGTCACCGATTGTCAACTGCTAATTTTTGTTTTATAGACATTAAATAAACGTCTCCCTACTATTTTATATTCGTGTAGTAAACGCATAATGGAACTACATTATACTAAACGGAAGTCTAAGAAGAGTATAGTATATTTGTAATCTTTCTCGTTTGGTTTAAGCTTATTTATAATAACAAAATGTCCTTAACCCCTGTGATAGGTTTATTCCAAACAAACTTCAAGAAAAAGATAAATAGAGAAGTTTACATATAAATACGCAACTTCTTTATCTACTTGAAATCATCGACACGTACTGTGCACTCCCACTAGCATTATAGCTTTGTGCATTGGGTTGTTTGAGGAAGAAAAGGGATCTTAATAGTAGGTTTATGGAGTAAACAGGGGAATAAGACTGCGGAGTGATTTTGGGCGTTGGGTGGGAATGGGATGGGGAGGCACAAGGGGGGTGAGTGTTTGTCGCCGAAAAATGAAGTATCACCGATTCTCACCTCCCACTACTGTTTTTCAAGAATTTTTTAGAATGTAAATTGCGATTAATTACTGGTTCGCCAGTCAAATGATGGAAGGTAGTGAAAGCGGGAATTTGAATATGTGATAGAAATCAAGGACCGTGACTTACGACACAGAGATGTTATCGCGTTTCCAAGTAGTTCGCGTTGTTTAAGCTTCTTGGTAAGAGGTGGCGGTCGTATTTATGTGAAGATGGGAGGTTGTTTCAAAATTTAGGAGAGGTGAACGGAAGAAGGGTGTTATATTACGGAAGAATAAAAGGTTTTATATCTTTCGCACGAGAACTATTGCGATTTTATCACGAAATTTATTTTAAGAGGTATTAATAATAAATCCTAGTTAAAGATACAATTCATAACACTACTATATATCTAGGCTTCCCTTTACTATCTTTTCCTTCCCTCTATCTCTACCTCTCTATTCCTTTTACTCTAAATATCTCTTCTACTTAATTTAAGTTACAAGCCTACTATTTACGGCTCTTATCCCTCTTTCTCTTCTTCTATTAAGATAGAATAATTTTACATATAAATACTAATTATCTCTAGTCCCTATAAATTATCGAGTTTGAAAAAGATATCTTATAGGGTATTTGTGGATTTACGTATAGTATAAATTTATTAGAGAGGGAAGTATTAGAAGAGGAGAATTTAGAATAATAGAGATAGCTATAGATACGAAGTATATAGAGGGGTAGTAGGCGGCGGTAAATAAGTTATTCTAAATAGGAGGGAGTTGTTACCGATAATTAAACTATCACCGATTTCGACTTCTCCGTTTACCTTATTCTTTGAAAACGTAGTGTTACTATCCTTATCCCGAGTTTTCAATTATAGTAGTTAAAGCGGAACACTATTCTATAGTGTACATTAAGGAATAAGGAAGAATTATAAAGAATAACTTATATAGTAGAGGTAGTAAAGTTCTTTGTGTCCCCTTAGTGATATCGGTTAGATTGTTTAGAAGAAAGGCGTATTCTTAAGGGCGTGCTGGACAGAATATTCTTCGTGCTACTCGCGTATTACAGGTTGGGGGTCTGCCTTTGTGATAGAAAGAGAATTTATTAGCCTTGAGTAGAGACTTTGGAAATTGGAATTCTAGGATTAGTAGGGAAATTTTATTACAGGTGCGAATATTATCTCGTGATAATAAGAATACGGTTTTAGGGTCGAGTGGAAGGATATAATTAATCTCTTTTCTCTTAAACAAGAATTTGGGCAGATCGAGAGGATGGATTAGGATATCAGTGTACCGTAGGAGATAACAGCTCACGAAGAAAAGTTCGTAGTCGCATATGTGACGTGTTTTTAAATTTACTGCCGATTCAAAGGGAGAAAGTTAATGTCTCCTTAAAGTCTCCAGCCGAGTCTCTCGATTTCTTTACTTTTGCTACAGTACCTCTGTCAGTAAATCTGACGTGTTTGATCAAAAACTTTACTCAATTTTATACCTCTTTTTTATTTGCGAGCTCCCGAGACAAACTTCTTCAGACTCTAGCCAATCCGCTTCAATTTCCCAACCGCGGGCGAAACCCGAAATCAACCTGACGGATAGAAAGGTCGAAAGACTGTGGCACGCATGATGACGCTGAGATTGATCATGGATGGTACACGTTGCAAGGCAGCGATATTTGCATTGATACAGTAAGACCCAACAAGAACTGAGTGTGCCAGCCATCCAAAGAATTCGTTTACATCAAATCGAAATATCCACCCGTCAATATCTCTCCGACCGCTGCATTTTATTTCCTGGTCGATTTGGCGCAGATCGTGGTCGAGCATGAAACTGCCTGAGGGACACTCAAGGATTTGAACTACTATACTTCATTGTGATCTCGCCCCACTTGCAGCCCCGTAGTATATGCCAGAGTTTGTAAACCGTCGAAGTCGCCATAACGGGCGTTTGTAAGAAGCGCAAGAAGAATCCCGATTTTCAATAAGGACAAGCGTCCTTGTTTCAAACAAAGATACACGAACGTCATCCTGTATCATCTAGGCCAAAAGAGAATGTTCTTCTGACCTTTTCTCCTTCTCCTCCCGATCCTCTTCGTTATAGGGACAAAGAGCAGCACAGTAGCCACTAGACAGACGGAGGTAGTGACATACACCCAGATATGTGGTCCGGCACCAGTCAGTTCGTTTAAATTCATTCCGAAAACGGAAGATACGAAACTTAGCGGAATGAAAACAAATGCTAACTGTGTAAGTTGTTTTACAGCAATCGCTTCTTGGACTGATCTCCTGGATTCCTCTATTGATGTCTCTGTCAAACGCGCTTGCATTCTCCTAGTGCTTATATGAAGCAGCGTCCGTGCATTATTGACTGTGCGATCATAGAATCTGATAACAACATTGAGACCAGAAGTTGATTGAGGTTGGGTAAGGGATTTTGTAAACTCATCGACACTTTGGAAAAGCTCTTCAAGTAAACAGACAGCCATTTCTAGGTCAGAGGTACGGTAAGTTATCCGCTCCTCCCATTCATTCTTATCTTCAGTGTCGTCCGATTTGCAGATCGCATCATTGAGGTCTCGGGTCAAACTAGTTAAGTCGTAGATCTTGTATTCCAGCCACGGTACTATGTAACTCAATAGATCGAGGTCATTTGCAACAATGGCATTACGTTCAAGAGACAGAATCCATTTTTGATAACCCTTCGAGTACCAGAGAATATTTTGTTCTCTGTATTTCTGTTTTGCTGCCATATTAGATATCTCGATACCGTTATTAATGCTTGAGCGTTCGTTAAAAAGTAAAGGATGGATGTCAGGATCGTAGTGTGGTGCTATAGAGAGTATCGACACTATCGCATTAACACTGTTAGATCTCGGTTATGATATGAAGATTACGATGCAGAATTACCTGTATTGTACCCTGATCCGCACCCGTCAGTACGTGAGAGAATCATCGCTACCATGCTTCCATGGAGCCGAAGAAATTTCGGGTTTTTCGACAAGGGTCGTCTTGCTGTGCAATTTTCGGATCGGGACTCGTCCCCTGCAGTGAAGAAATGCAAGAAGAAGGCTGGGTCGATATCATATTCTAGCCCGATTCTATCAATAACTGTTCGCACTCCGCTCTCATGTCGATCCCAAATCTCGATGACGATTATTCTGGTCTGCATGGAGCTGTCTGTCTGTCTCTGGAGCTCAGTGATAATACTCTCATTGATTTCTGCAAGTCTGTTAGAAGACTCCGTTGTAGATTCAAGGTTATGCAGCTGCTCAAAAGCAAAAGGTTTGATCGTCACTTCGCCAGATAGCATAGTGTCTATGAGAAGAACTTGAAATGTCCCAAGTCCCCAAAATGTGTAGGTGAATATCGCATAAAGATCTTCGTAACAGCTTGAATCCTTTTTCAGATCCGCAATATACTCAAGATATGACGCATATTTTGGAACAGGAGATGCCAAATAGTTGTTATTCAGATCGTTTCCTGCCGAATGAGGTATCTTCCCTAACGATGCGCCATCGGATTGAAAGTCATTGGCTTGAAGGGTATCCATGTTGTTGTCAAACGTGTGGTCCTGGTCACTACTCGGGGAAGTTTGGGTGGTATACACGAAGTTGACCGATACACTGCTTGGATATCTGAGCGGAGATGATAAGCATATAACAAGAGATATGCCAAATTCGCAAACGATGCATTGGATTCGCCAAGAACAGGAGTGGCGAAAGTAGGACCAAGGAAGCTCACCTTGGACAATTTAGCCAATCTCAATTGTTGACGTGACCAGTAGTCACTTATGAAGCATGACTCGGACGAAGAAAATCCTGATCAGTGCGAACTTTAAACATGATATGTGGTTCATGAAATTCAGCCTTACAATCAAATGGTGGTGGCAGTGCTGGGCTGAGAGGAGCACCGCCGCCAAAGTAACTCTGGACCACCCAATCGCCTGATTCGCCTCAAAGCAATGCCTCAAAAATAATTTCTTTGTGACGGTTCCAATCTAGCACTCGACTCTTCTTGCCTTGGTACTGAATGGCGGCTTTTCAGGGCATTGGAAAGTTCTTGTCAGGCGGCTAGAGCGGTCTGTACATCGTAAGTATCTAGTAGGCGATAAGAGACTAAAAGCTATTATTCCATGGTTCTGTCTGCATAATGAGCTGGGATACTCTCCCAATAGAACCCCTCTTAGGAGACTTGGTAGAAATCGTGAAAAGCAACTTAGATTAACTAATATACCTAAATATAAAAAATTTAGACTAAAGAGCTTAAAACCCTCTTAATCTTCCTAATGTTAAGTATAGATCTCATCCTTCTACAAAGAATCTATTTTTAAAGTTTTTGTTTAATAAATAGTAACAACTGTCGAATCCAGTCCCAGCAAGACACAAATGTGGGCGAATGCCGCGGAACTCTGTGGACTTATGAAAACAAATTATATCTAAAAAGCGGAAGCTTGGATGTCGTGTACCGCTAGCTGTTGAAAATTACTCGTACGCGTTGTAATTTAGACTCGACTTTGCAAATCATGAAATTCATTAAGTGTGTGAAAACTTTACTACCGAAACCAGAATTGTCACCGATTTCCCTTTTTTTAAATTCCGAATTCCCTTAAAATAGAAGTAGCTAAGTAAACATACTCTTAATATACAGAAGTACAATTTTCCACGATAATGAAACGCTTAATATCACTAATCACAAAACTTATCTCCAATTTGATATTCTCTCATTTGTTCTTCTATAACCCGCAAAAAGCAGGTGGGAAAGAATAATTTTTAAGATGTAGCGACGTCGAATTCTGAACTTCAGAATCTGAAGTTCGGATTAATTACTCTTTTATAGAGAGCAAGTAAAATCTAATTTATTTAAAGTTCTTTCTAATGTTAAGTAATCTTAACCCTACTAATTATCAAAAAGCTTTACTAATAGAAAGAGTAGAACCGCGATTAAGACTATAGAGGTTTTTTTTAACAAGTTAATTTTCGATCGCTAATATAATGTTCTACTTGTGGAGGTAGATATAATAGTAACATAATATATTATTACGATAATATTATCAGAGAAATTGAAATTAGTATTCCACAGCTATACAGCTACTGACCGCATTGCCGCTAGACTGTCTATTTAAATACATCTAGGCAAATAAGAAGTTTTGTTAAGTAGTACGTACCTATATCCTTGTGAAAAGATGTTCACATATTCGCCAATGTTCAGAAGCGGTTTTGTTGTCACCGAAACCAATCTCACCACCGAAAGTAAAACAACCACCGACAAACTTGACAATCGACATTATATTCATTATCTTTACGAACAATCCTCTTAAAACATCTTACCGCAACTGATAACTCTATGCAACCGCACCCGTAAAGTGACCATGTCATCCCGCCTCCATCATAAAACTGCTGTTGTTCGTGTCAAGGTTTGTAGAAAGTAATCTTGTGATCCAGGGATCTATAACCTCCTTAATAATACTACTTGAAAAAGCGACATTCAGTAACGATCTTTTTTAACATAGTCAGAGTTGAGTTGTTTATCATATACAAAACATATGTCACACATCCTGCCATCGTCTAAATCGTTGCTTGCTTCAGTATAAGAACTACATCACATCTCCTGCAACATTCCGAAACAGAAAACAACCTGATCTCGGACAATCTCGAATCGAGTAGCGGGACTTTCAAGCTTAAAGAGAATCTGAGAACGGGAGAGGAGAATGAGAAGTCAATAGTATTCGAATTTGTTTTGCTGGATAGATATAAGAGGTTTAAAAGGCAACGAGGAGGAAAAAGGAAAAAGTCTACTGTCACCGAAATAAAGTCCACCACCGAAACCATCCTCCCCATCCGCTCCCAGGCCTCGAATCCAAAACCCCCTCACAACTAACATACCATCCTCCACAACATCACACCTGAATCCCCAAACTCCGCATATGTTATAAAAAGAAGGGTGCTACTTACAACCCAGTATTTGCGGATGGCTTTTGAATTGCTTCTACTCGACAGTAGTTATAACAATTGCAGCGTTTTAAAACCTAGCTAATGCGATTTTCTCGTACCGTCGTTCAGTGAGTGGGCTAAGTGGCTTTGTCACTTAGGTAGTGTGAAGGTTCATCAGTCAACAAGGTACAAATTCTGGGGAAGACAAGGCAGAAATCTGCGAAATACTAGGACTTGTCAAATTGAGAACTTGGCTATAAATTTTAAAACACATTATTCCGCAAAATTCGACTAAAATTAGCGCCAACTACGAGCGTGTGATCGAGCACGGATGCGCTACTTGTCTAGGATTTGCGAGGAAGGTTAAAATAGACATGGATAGAGCGTTATTTTATGCTTTTTATCTCATAGGATATAAAGCAGAGCAGATGTGATGCTGAAAAATGTGAAGTGAGGGAGTGTTGTCACCGAAACCAATCCCCCCACCGAATCCACCCCTATTCATTCTAAAACGCTCGAAGGTAGCGACTAGTAAAAGTTGTAGTCTAAAAAACATGACTCAACGTTTAATAATCTTTAGAAACATCAACAAATGACAAAGAAAGAGCGAAAAACACACGCACACCAGAAACGGCTTTCGTTGGTTGTTCATTCTGACGCAGTTACCGAAGTTCTAGGCGTGGGATATTGTTATTTAAAGCGCTCCTACACGAGCACCTGTATGTTTTGTATGTGTTGGTTCTGGCTTAGCAAGAATTATTTTAAGAGTGTTGGGATGGCGTCTAGGAGATGTTTCCATAAGTTGAAAGATAGGTTCGAAGTTTAGATTTGACATTCTAGCAAGCCAAAAGAGGGAAATTGTCAGTTTAGGTGGAGAAATAAATAAGAGTGAGAACTTCTCTATACATTTAACCGCCTCTGGTCTACTCTAATACGAGCATAAACCCCTCAACGCTATCTACCATCTAAACCAACAACCCAAACCCGAGTCCAATACAAATACACCTGATATTCCTAGCACCCCCAAACCAAACTCCAATCTCAACTCCTCAATTGCTCGTCCTGAAAACCCCAAAATCCCCTCATTGCCCTTTCACCCTCTTATTAAACTCCCTCGTCTCCTCCATCTCCCTCCTCATAACCTCATTAAACTCCTCCCACCCATCCAAATACAAATGATGACCCGCCTTCTGAATGATAACCACCTTCGCACTTCCATTCTCCTTCTCCTTCTCCTCAGGACTCGCATTCCGTAGTGCCTTCTCGCGCTCCTCCTTCAATTTCTGCTCCGCTGCATATCCACCCGCGATATCCATCCAGTCGTGCTCGCCATACATCAGAATCACGGGGAAGCCCGTTTCCTTTTTCGTGATGGACTGGCTGGAGGATGATGGGGTTGGGAGTTTAGTTTCTGAGGATGCTGGGATGGGTTGACGACCGACACCGTGGATGCGGCGGATTAAGGGACTGCGGGCAAAGGCGCCGGGAGCGAGGATGTATGCGAGTGCGTATTCGCCGCTACCGCGCTGGCGGAAGAGGGAGTAGGCGTAAGTGTGGAGGGATTCGGATTCTGTTTCCGGGAGGTGGGAGAAGCGGCGGGAGGTCCAGCCCGAGACTAGACGTGGGCCGAGAGGTCCTGACCAGCGGACTAAACTGAAGGGAGAGATGTTCGCGTCCCAGAGGTATGTAAGCCATTTTGGTAGCGGCCGCTTTTGAGGTTCTTCTGGTTTTCCCTTCCCGTCTGCTTTGGGTGGAGCTTTGAACAGTTTGTTGTTGTCTCCGGTGCTTGACTTGCCGTTGGGATTTACGATTTCATTTTCTTGATCTTGCATGAATTCGCTTGCCATGGTCGAATCTCCCGGTTCTGGCATGGCTGCTTGAACAGCATATGGATCTTCTGGAATTCCAACAGGTGACGCTAGCACGAGTTTGTTGAGATGTCCAGGATATTTCAGGGCGTATGCGACTGCCATGTAGCCTCCCATACTGTGTCCCAATAACGTAAATTTGTCGATCTTCTTAAGAATTCGCCATTCTTCCAGCGCATCGATGAACCAATTCTCCGCCTCTGTGATTTTGCCTTGCTGATCTTTCGCGTGGATCTTGAATGGTGGTCTGCTACTCCGTCCCATTCCCAACATGTCTAGGGCATAGATTTTCCACCCTTTTGAACGACTTAATCCCTCAAAATTCTTGTAGAAGAACCCGAGTCCTGCTCCGTATCCGTGTAACATCACCAGGTTTTCCTCCACCTCTTCTCCTGTTCTTTCCACCGAGAACTCGTTCAGTGCCCTCTGCTTTCCACTCAACTTGATCAAATTCGAATGCCATGCGCGAGGTCCATGTGGATCGTTTATCGAATTCGTCCTCACAGGAGCCGAAAGTCTGGAGGGGTCTTCATTGATCGAGACACTGGAGGGCGCAGAGGAAACTGGCGCGGATCCGGTTTGCGTGTGTGTTGGCGGTTTTTGTAGATATGGGATGAAGGAGAGGACATTATGTTCTGCGATTGCTGGTGACACGCTCGCCCACCACTGACTGATTCCTTCTTTATATCCCAAGGGGAAGTATGTGGCTTTAATCGGTTCCGGCTGACGTGTTTGTTTCGCTCGTTGCGAAGCCAACATCGGTTGCTGGCCTCGATCTGAGGAGGACGATGATTGTTGAGACGCAGACATGGTGGTGTATGTATGTCGTTCGTAGGAAGGTAGAAAGGGAATTTGGCGCAATTGAGGAAATGTGACGCGTCCTGCAAAGCTCTCCGTAGGCAGTGTTCGCAGAAGCGATGGGAGTGTCAGAGGGGAATACAATGTGAATGATTTTTTGAGAGACCAGATATTCGTCTCTCGAAGATCGAAGGAGCGAGGTGAAGTACTGTTGTTGAATCGGAGATTACGCAGATATCTTAAATTCGTAGGGCAGATGTCCGCTCACCAGCCCGCTTCCCGTCGATGACGAGGTTTGTTGTTGTGGCAAAATGGAATATCAGTCAATCTGCACCAGCCAAGTCGGGAAGATTCTGCTAGGAGAGACTGAAAAAATAAACAAAGACCCTGCAGATCTTGATGATATTATAGGGGAAAATACAATAAACTTATACCTTTGAAAGGCTTCGCATTCGTTTCTGGGCGATGTCGAGCGGAGCAGTCGGCATAACTCCGCTCCGTTTGAATGTACTGAATGTACCACCAATGGACTTACCAGCATGATAGAGTCCGAAGCATCAAGACTGCATCCACATACTTCGCATTACATATCTTGGAACCCGTCTATAGATGATAAGTGATCCTTTAATGTATGGAAGTCCGAAAAGCGTCAATGACGTATTAAATATATTTACAGCTTGATGCAGATGCCGTGGAGCTGAAAAGCTTGTGTAGGTTATTAGTCGATAGAGGTCCCGTCGACCGCGCTCGTGAAAGTCGATCATCCAACGTCAACACATGACAATTTTACAACCAGCAAACCTGACCAGTCTTACCACATCTCGATCAGACCAGAACTTGGTATTTCGTATTGGTAGATTGAAACCCCATCATGATATTTCTATAACACAAACACAACTTGCGCCATGTCAAGCCTTGACCAGATAGTCAAAGGAGCTCCTCCACCAGGAACGTCCGTCCAACCACCGCCAACAACTCCAATCACCAAAATCGAACCCACGACCAGTCTCGCCGATCCTCTCGCGAACCTCCCATCCTCACCTCCTCAAATATACCTTAACCTCCTCATCCTCGAAGCCTCCCTGCGAGCGCAATGGCTTCAGCTGCGCACCCGACGACGACAACATACATTCTTCCTGACTTTGCTGGCGATATGGATGTCTTATTTTACATACGCGCTGTTTCTTCAGCCTAGAGAAGACGGGAAAGGCGTTGGAGGTTCGGTATATTGGGTCGTGGATGTGACGGAGAAAGTGTGCTTTATTGGAGGGATAGTCACATCTGCTCTGGTCTGGGGAACGGGGACGTGGGCACGAGGCATAAAATGGCCACGAAGATGGGTATATTTGACGAATCGAGGGCTCCGTGGATTCAATTGCAAGCTGGTGGTGATCAAGCAGCCATTGTGGCGGGAGGTGCTTTCCACGATATCATTTCTATTTTCATACGGCCTGTTTTCGGGTAGCAGCGGGAGTTCATATCGTTTCGTGGGACATAACGCGTTGAAAGAATCGGAGAAAGTACAAGGAAAGAACGCTCATCACGCTCTACCAAACATCAGTGAAGACGATGAAGCTGGACACGAGGAGGATCTAGCACCAGGAGGAGACTATATCAAGCTTCTCCTCCTCCCCAAACCATTTTCCCCAAGTTTCCGAGAAAACTGGGACAACTACCGGTCCGAATACTGGGAAAAAGAAAACGAACGGCGCGCCCACCTCCGCAAAATCATGAAAGCACGCGACCGAAAACTCGCAAAAGAGCAAGGCGGATGGCTCTGGTGGACCGGCTACCGCGGCTTCAACAAAGGCAAAACACACGATCCCGAAAAACACCATACCTCTCAATCCTCCATCCACAGACACAGCTCCCTCCTCGAAAAAGACCACAAGCGTACACGTAGCAGCAGTGTCCGCGCTGGCTCTCATTCCCGAAACTCCTCGCGCAGCTCAACTCCTGTCCTTGAAGCAGAAGATGCCCAACACGCACCCAGCCATGTTCGTAGAGGTAGCAACTCCTCTGTCAATTCGGAGCGCAGGAGGAAGAAGGTCACAGCGACAGGGACGAAGGGCAAACTCTCGCCTGCGGGGTCGAGGAGTGCGACGCCCGAGGTAAGGTCGCCGCTGGCTCGCGATGGCAGTTTTACGAGCGTGAGTTCGGTGGAGTTGGATCGGCCTGGGACGCCGACGGCGGCGGGTGAGGGGGAGAAGGAGAGACTGGCGGGGGTTAGGGGGAAGAGACCTGCGGGAGAGAGGAAGGGGAGTATGGGGAAAGGGGGGAAGTAGGTAGAATATTTATGTGAACGTCTATCACCAGGTTTTGATATCTCGCTCTTGTGAATTGTTTGCCTTTGGCTGCTTCTTAGTGTTCATGTGTAATTGTACGATTCCCTCCCGTGCTCTAATGAGTTCTTTTAACATACTTGACTAAATTAACTAGTTCAAAAAGATATGCATAAGCAAAACCCAATGTTCAGTAACTCAACAAGCTACCAAGGTCTTAGCAAAATTGTACGATAACTACAGGTATAAACCACAACATACCTATGTATACCTATGGATTGTGGTACCGGAACAACTCGCGGCCCGATTCGCATAGGCATTTCCTCACGACTTCTCGAAAACGCTGGCACTTTCTTTCCGATGCAACATTCCATGAATTCCAACTACTTTTCTCTGCTCAATGCATTCTCTTACCGAGTTCCCAGCAGTGGATTGTGCGACATAGTCGTACTTCTACGGCATAGGAATCTATAGAAGACGCCCAAGATGAGCTACTCCGACAGAGGGTTTCCCAAAACAGAAACTCCTCGGCGATAAACATCTATGCTCGGAATTAACATCAAGTATAGTTGTGGGTAGACACTAACTGACAGTGTGGTATTGCCGAAATGATAGCGATACATAAGGTAATGCTTTTCGCCCAGAGAATCTGTCAGTGGGGCTTACTTGATAATTCTCTGTTCTCACTTTTTGTTGATTCCGATACTAATAAAGCCGATCTAGTGGTCTCGTTGGCTTGCCATTGCCAGTCAATCATTAATGTACAGTCGTTCTTCATTTCCTAATTGTGGCTAGATACAGGACTGGCGGGCTGTTACGACACCCAATCAGACAATGACCATGCTGCTTCTGTACCACTTTTCACTGGTCATCAACCTTGAGAAACAACTTACTTGGTGGCTACTTTCATCCGATCAACAAAATGGGAAGCAACGTGAGGTGACTGTAAGATTATAAATCTAGCTACATGTTGATATTGAGCTCGTTTGGAAAGACCGAGTGTAGTCAGCAATTTGCATGCCGCGCCAACGATATGCGAGTAAACGACTTTTGGCCGACGCGACACCCATATAAGGGTGTACTGATCCGAAGCAGATGCAAAATACCCAAATTTTGAGTATTTTCGCAGGAAGTTTTGACGTGTTCGCAAAAGCCGAAATAATCTCAACATGGCTACCGCAACAGCAGATTTTGGCATCGATGTATTCGCCAAATACAAGCCAATATCATTGGACCCCACAAACGCAAAACTTTCGGATCAGCAGAAAGAGGATCTCTTGTCCAATATATCTCTACTCAGAGATACCATTGTCTACTTCACATCATCGGGAGCCGCGAGAGGGGTCAGCGGTCACACCGGAGGTCCATATGATACAATCCCAGAACTATGTATCCTCGAGGCTTTCTTCCTCCACTCCTCCGAGAAATTCTTACCTATTGTCTACGATGAATCTGGTCATCGAGTTGCCACACAGTATCTACGAGCTGCTCTACACAAGCATCTTCCTTTTGAACATCTGCTTCATTACCGAGAAGCAAACTCGAAGCTACCTGGACATCCGGAACTTGGTTTGACACCTGGTATTCAATTCAGTTCAGGACGCCTTGGTCATATCTGGTCATTTGTCAATGGAGTTTGTATGGCTAATCCTGACAAGACGGTCTTCATGTTGGGTTCGGATGGCTCTCAACAGGAGGGGGATGATGCTGAAGCTGCTCGCTTAGCCGTTGCCCAGAACCTGAATGTGAAGATTTTGATCGATGATAACGATGTTACAATTGCTGGTCACCCATCAGATTATCTGAAAGGATATTCTTTGGCATCAACATTGGGTGGCCATGGTATGAAGGTGTTCGAGACATCCGGTGAAGATATCGACCAGCTCTATGCCGCAATTTGTGGTGCAGTCTCGCACAATGGACCAGCAGCTGTCATTGCCAAAAGAAAGATGGCACCAGGAATCAAAGGCCTCGAGGGAACCACCCACGCACACGATGTCATCCCCGTCAAAATTGCAGTCGAATACCTGGAAGAACGGGGCTACACCCAAGCCGCCGAAAAGATCAAAGCAATCACCCCCAACTCTCTCGCTTACCTCTACGAAGGCTCAACGACTGAAAAGTCAGCCAACAGAGTCATCTTCGGTGAAGCCGTCGTGAGCGTTCTCGAAGGTCTCTCAAAAGAAGAAGCCAAACGCCGCGTTATGGTAATCGACTCCGATCTCGAAGGCTCAACCGGTCTCAGCGTCATCCACCAAAAGCGCCCCGAAGTCTTCGTCTCCTCCGGCATCATGGAACGCGGTAACTTCTCCGCCGCAGCAGGATTTGGCTCGACCAAAGACAAAGTCGGGATCTTCTCTACCTTCTCCGCTTTCTGCGAGATGATCATCTCGGAAATCACGATGGCGAGGTTGAATTTCGCGAATGTGCTATGTCATTTCTCGCACTCGGGCGTTGACGAGATGGCGGATAATACGTGTCATTTCGGTATTAACACTTTCTTCGCCGATAATGCGTTGATTGATGGGGATGTCACAAGATTGTATTTCCCGGCTGATGCCACGCAGATGAGGGCGTGTGTTGCGAAGGTGTTTTGGGATCAGGGGATCCGCTTGGTTCTGTCTACGCGTGCGAAGGTTCCGTTGATTCTGAAGGAGAGGTCTCAAGAGCCGTTTTATGCCGATGGATATGAGTTTGAGCCTTGTAAAGATGAGTTTATCCGTGTTGGTACGGCGGGTTACGTCGTTGCGTTTGGCGAGATGGTATATCGTGCCATCGACGCCGTCGATAGACTTCGTGGCGAGGGCGTTGATGTCGGTCTCATCAACAAATCAACACTAAACGTAGTCGACGAGGATGCGATCAGGAAATACGGGTCTACGCCGTTCGTGCTGGTAGTGGAGTCGTTGAATCAGAAGACGGGGTTGGGCTCGAAGATGGGAACGTGGTTGTTGGAACGACAGTTGCATCCGAAGTATAAGTATATTGGGACTACGAAGGAGGGATGTGGGGGGTTGGGAGAGCAGATTTTTCATCAGGGGTTGGATCCGCAGAGTGTTGTTAAGGCTATTAGGAGTTTGCAGTAGGCATAGGTTTTGGCATAGAAATTTGTTTCATTTCTCGTGTTAGAATTGGAAGTCTTCTTTCTGCGAATCTACCATATTTCTTGTTGAACGACTTTTTCTGCTCAGTCTCCATTTTTCCATTTGATATTCCCTATTACAGATTGAAATCATCATTCAGATTTATCTTGCCTTGATAGTAGTAATTCCCATAGATTACTGCAAACAATTGGATATCTCTATGATGTTTGCAAGTTTACATTGCAGTTTCCAGTCTTTGTACCTTCATAAACACTAATAATATACTAATAATATATTTTATCTCCCAACGGAGGCTCTAGGACATTTAATGTATTTATTTTCAAGCCTATTAGGTAGCCTACTAAAATATATCATCACACCAGCCTCCCTATCTCGCCACCAAACCTCCTCATGCCCTCACTCTCCTTCCCAACCCATGCACTCAACCCCCTTCCCAATACCTAACATCAAGGCCTCCGATCCACAAGCCACTGCGCCATTCCACCGCCAAAACCGTAACCACATTCCGCATTTTGGTCTGCACTCTAGTTGAATCATTGCGATAAAACCGCTCTCGGGATCAGGCACCATGGCTTTAATCGTCTCCTGAATGATCCTGCTATACATCTCTCGAATCTTGTTCGTGAGTTCCGTCGGGGAGTGCAGGAGGTGGTCTGCTGTTATGTTGGTGGACATGGGGGGTTGTGGGTTTGGATTAGGTGATGTGTGGGTTTTCGTGAGATCTGAGGTTTTGGGAAATGGGGTGGGAGGTTTGTGGCAGGTGATGGATTAGATTTTGGAAGGGGGGGGGGGTTTCAAATGGATGTTGAATCTACTTAGAGACCATATATTAGAGAGTGTTTATCCACCGCATTTTAAAAAGCATGTGGGTCACGGCACGCATCTTAAAATCAATAGCAAACGTTTGCTCAATCAAAGCAGTGCACAGAGTGAAATCTGAATACTTCCATCACTGATTGCTGTACGGCTGTCAAATTACGAGGAAAGTTTTCACTACATTGGAACTTGTGTCAAGACAACAGACCAGGTTTTGACTTCTAAGTATATAGGTTGTATTTGCCAATCTCTTGTATTAATGGGTTGACGTATAAGATAGAGCGAAGTAATATGTTGGTAAATTAAGTTTTTATAACACTTGTTTAGCTACGAACGAATTTTTCGGTATAGTAGACGATTATAGGAGTATAAACTTTACGTTACAGCTTCATCGGCCATCTCAAAAACATTCCAGAAGCCTGAACGTAACGTCGTATTATAGAAGTGTTACTAATTATTCTACTAAACAAATACAAACACACTGAAATCTCCCCTTCTATCTTACAGAAAGAAAGAATTTTTAAATGTTGTTTGTTCAATCTATACCTAATTTGCTTTTCATATAGATTAAGCCCGGGTGTTCTATCGTCTAAATAGTATTTTAAATGACTCATATACTTTTGAAAACTTGTTGTGTACCAGCTCTCCATATGCTATCATCATTAAATAGATCCAATTTCCTGATTTGCGCAGTGTATGCCAGTCGTTCTATCATCTTTCATAGATCCTTTCAAAAGCCTCCTCAAATCCATAGAATCCTATCTACTCGCCATTCCAGCCCCACAACAGTCAGCACCCCCTTTAATAAACTAACTATGCCCGAAAGTCGAGATGCAATGGAAGCAGACCGTCACTTCACTCCCCAGCCACATTCACGGTCAGAGCTTATAAGCAAATCTCGTGAGGAGTTGTCAAGACTTGTTGAGAATTCAATCATGGCGTCTGATCCCAAGAACCATCCTTATCGAGTTAGGTCAAGGATGACGGACGCGGTGAAGATACTAGCAGTGGATTTGGCTGAGTGGATTATAAATGGTGGATCTAACGTTGTTCATTGAGTTTGGATAGTTGTGTGGATGGGTTGTTGATGATAACAGAGGTCTGGAGTTTCTGTAAAGATGGATTTGGGGAGCGATTGAAAGGGTTATCTCGTCTGGAGAATGATACAAGGGTATAGAAAAGAATAGATTCGAAGGTCATCCAGATTTTCATTCTAAGACTATTATGTGAAAGTGGGTATGTTGCTCGAGATCTGCGGAGTAGAATTCCTTTTAACTAGTCTTCATGGTAGCCAAGATTTACTAGCAAAATGCCGTTGTGGATTTTGGAGTGAAATCATTATTTGAAATTGCGAAACCCTGTTCCCTTGTTGGCTTTATCATAGTGTATGAGTGATGACAAGGAAAAATGTGAGAGTCTACCGGGTAATGAAAAATCGTTGTTGACTTCTATAATTCTCATGTTTGCACACTGGGAAAGTGTAACATCTGCAATTTTTCAAGCCAGCACGAATTAGACAAAGAGTTGCAAACAATGTATATTATGCAGTTTGGAGAGAATAACATAGCTACAAACACTACTGACGTGTGATTGTTGACTTCGTTTGACTCAGCCGACGCAGCTTTGGTTAGATGCTTTCATTTATCTAAATATAGAAACATTCCTTATCAATCAGAAACGAAGGGAAAATCATCTGCAACCACGCTTTCCAAGTATTCTCCTATGCTTGATAAGAATTCTCACAGCAACAGTAAACCAACATCATTCGAAAATCAAACACACTAAAACATGAACCAACAATCTTGGGTTTTTCAACGGCGCAAATCATGTCCGACTCACCAGCACCTCCCACCCCTCACCAGCAACTCAGTCAACTGGAAAACGATGTTGAGGTTCTTCTCTATCACATGACAGAGGAACTAGTCTCGTGTGTATTGGACGAATGCAAGGAGACTAAAGGGTTTTCCAAGACCGCAAAGATGGAGGAAAAAAGAAGTGAGATAGCGGACAGCTTGAGCGATTCAATCGTGGAGATGATGCGTGAGCGTCTTATTCCTACTGACGATTCATGAATCCGGGATTTAAAGAGCTGATAAATGGATGTTTTGATTCGTTGGGAGCCGAGATTGAGATGGACAAGATTGCAAGTGTCTTGGGAATGGTGGGCGATAATTTGAGCCTCTGAGCATTATGGAGATGTGCTTAGTTGGAAAGAAGTGCTTAAAACTTGAAGTTTTCTTTTAAGATAATAAGAGGATGATATTAAACAGATTTTATCTCATGTGAAGAGTTGATAAGCAAGAAAATATAAATCAAAGCGCTCATAGTAGGAATTTGGAGCAAAAGGTTAATCTATTATGATTTGCATCTGCAATTGTTGGAAACAAAATACCCTCAAAATGTCGTGTTTTGCTGCCAGGGCGACAGAAGACAGTTTCAAATTTGTGCTTTGAAACGCCGATGACTGCTGTATGTTTCCCCGAATAATGATTCCTACTTTGTCAAAGTCCTGAAAGAATATCAACATCGATTTGGACTAGTAATTAGCAAACATACGAAGTACAGTCATCTTTGATCCACATATTTCAGAGGTGTCGTATATTGTGCCTGCAAGCAGATGAATGGGTCTTATTCAGCAAACAATTAATTTACAAGCAAATTAAAACTATGAAAATCATGAATCAACATACAGAAATATATGATTTGTTTACTATAAGTCACTGTTTCTAGGTGGAGCCAAACACATTCTCCCCATGACCGAATCATATCCAATAGGATATAAAGACCAGCCATACCTCAGCAAGAACTCAACATAAAAGCACCAAAAGAGACGCCGCTTTTAGCATTCCTTGATATTAAAAACATTTCATCTCGAAGAAGTCGGAACGCAACAGCTCTCAACTCAATACGCAGGCTCACCCCAGTGTAAATACACAGTCCGAGAACTCAATTTCTCAATTTAATTATGTCTAACTCAGGACCCACAGCCATGCCCAAGGTGTATATCGATCAGTTGGAACCAGTAATAATTTTGGCCTCTCAAAGCATCATTGAGGAAGTAGTCACTGAAGTACTGGCGATGATCAATAGTGAATGTAGAAATGGCACTGAAGCCTTTCAGGTGGCAAAGAATGATGACACGGCCGGTTTATGTCCTAGACTTGCCGGTCTCGAAATTACTTCCTCTTCCAATAGTGATACTTCGCCATCCTCTGAAGTATTACGGCAGCCATATCCAGGAAGACCAGACCCGTATCTCCTAGACACGGACGGTCTTGCATCGAGAATGAGCGACAAGAAAATTGAGTGGGCGAACGAGATGACTTGTACGATCGTGGAAATAGTTGAGCGCTGGGCCGCTGTCTTGACAAGGGCAGGGATATGTATTTAGTGCTAAAGAAAAAAGGCTGGTGTACTATTCTTACTAGATGAGGGGGACTAAATGAATTGAACGCTATTACCCCCATCATATCTTTCCCTCCCGAAAACCAATACCACCAACAACAATGCCATCCCCCTCCCCTTCCCAAGAAAGCGAAGTCGACTACAGCACAGATTTCAGCCCAGAAGGCGCGCTACACTACATAAAGAAATTAGAAACCCAGAACAAAGAGCTGGTGGAGAAGTATAAGCAGCTTGAATTCCGCTGGATTGGTTTAGAGCGAGACTTCGACGATTTGGAAAAAAGAGCGGACAAAAGGCTTCATGAGGTTGCTAAGAGGGCAATTGAAATGACATTGGATGCGGTTAAGGGTGGGAAGAGGATTACGAGGAATACTGCGGATGGTATTATGAGGGATTTGAAGGAGGAGATGGAGTTTTAGGCGGGTGATGGTTGGAGTGTGTGATTGTGAAGTTGGTTGTGTCAATATAAGAGGGTATTTAAAAACTTAAATTTATTACCATTCTATCTATTAAATCAAGAAAATTAAAACGACCTAGTTTCAAACTCCATCATAACTCCAAAGCATGTTTTAATCCTAAATCATAAATTGAATTTCATCAGTGACTGGAAAGTTGCTTCTTTGTCATGGTCGTAGACTTTTCATGCTCATGAACCTCGACTTCTTCCTCCTCCTCCTCCTCTTCCTCCTCGACCTCGACTTCCTCATCATCATCATCGTTTTCCTCTTCTTCATCGTCCTCCTCTTCTTCATCGTCTTCCCCGTCATCATCCTCGGCATCCTCTTCGTCTTCGTCCTCGTCCTCAGCTTCTTCTTCATCTTCATCATCATCTTCGTTATCGTGGTCATGTTTTGCAGCAGCATCGTGATCATGTTTGTCTTTCGTTAATTTCTCAGCTCTGGAAGAGGTTCCTTTCTTAGATGACTTATTCGTGGGTTTGGAAGTTTTTGTAGAGTCTTCATCGTCTTCCTCGTCTTCTTCATCATTCTCATCTTCCGTAACTCCTTCATCCTCCTCAACGTGCTTATGATCATGATCATGAACCACCTTCTTTGAGCTTGAGCTCTTAGATTTAGAGGCTTTAGCAGAAGACTTCGACGACTTCTTCGCGACCAAAGCTTGTTCTTCTTCCTCTTCCTCATGTTCAGTGTCTTGTCCATCTTCTTCGTCGTTCTCCTTCTCGTCGTCTTCCTCATGCTTATGCTCATGAACCTCTTTCTTCGAGCTTGAATTCTTAGACTTGAAGCTCTTCTTAGAAGACTTCGAAGACTTCTTAGCGATCAAAGTTTGTTCTTCTTCCTCATCCTCTTCCTCTTCGGTATGTGCATCGTTTTCGTCGTCCTCATCATCACCTCCATTGTTGTGCTCCCCTTTATCCTTGGAGGCTTTCTCCTTAATGGCCTTCTTTGATGACTTGCGCTTTGGACCTCGCTTAGATTCCGAATGATCCTCAGAATCGAAGCAGCCTTCCTTGCATTTCTCTTCTCCATGCTCCCAGCAAGGACCAGATTTTGATCTCTTGGGCTTTTCCGTAACCTCGGTATCTTCGAATGCAGAAGCCATATCTTCAAGCGCCTCTTCTTCTACCTGGGATTCCGTTTCGTCGATTCCAGAGCCAACTTTCAATTCATCCTCGACATCTTCAGTTTCATCAACCTCGGACTCAATATCGCCCTGTGAATCAACGTCTTCCAGGTCCTCGCCATCCTCGGTTGCATTATCCTCGTCATCCTCCTCATCTTCATCTTCATCTTCATCCTCCTCCCCGGAAGCTGCATCTTCTTCGTCACTCTCAACGTCATCGAGCATACCAGGTCGCACGCAGACTTTACAGTCCTCGTCTTTATGCTTGAAACAAGGGCCATCCGCCATTTTCTGACACTTATCATCTGAGCAGTCTTTTTTATCGTGCGCCTCACAAGGTTTAGCGGATTTCTTCTCCTTGTCCGATTTATCCTGATCCGTGCAACCCTTCTCGCACTTCACTTTGCCATGCTTTCTGCAGCCACCCTTTTCTGGCGTACAACTCTTCTTCGGACAGTTCTTCTGCTTGTGTAACTCGCAAGGCTCCGTCGCAGGCAAAGGCAATCCATCGAGATGATCAGTGCAGCCTTTCTCGCAATCCACCTTTCCGTGCTTCCGGCAGCCGCCTTTCTCGGGGATGCAGCTTTTCTTGGGGCAATTCTTTTGTTTGTGTAACTCGCATGGTTCTGTTGCTGGCGGAGGAAGATCGTCATCCAAGTCATCAAAGCAGCCCTTGTCGCAGTCAATTTTGTCGTGCTTCTTGCAAGCTTTGTCGGCGGTTTTGCATCCTTTCTTTTTGCAGTCTTTTTCACCGTGCGCTTTGCACTTAAGGTGGTTCGTGTGTGAATCCTCGCCGTTCTGTTTTTGGGGTGAAACAGGAAAGAAGTCTTTGCAGCCTTTTTCACACTTCTGTTTTCCATGAACCTTACATCCACCTTTTTCCGGGGCGCAGCTTTTCTCCAGGCAATGTGTCTTGTCATGCTTTTTACAAGGCGCAGAAGCTGTTTGCTGATCATCTTTGTCTTCGTCCTCATCATCACTCTCGTCTGGGAAGAACTGAGAGCAAGATTCACACAGCTTCGCGCCGTGTACCTTACAGCCGCCAGCTTCCGGCTTACAGCTTCCTTCCTCGCAGTGAGGAGTATCATGTTCCTTGCAAGGTCCAGAGGCGGTGTACTTATTCTCGCCAAGCTCATCTACATCGGAGAAGGCTGTATACCCCTTTTGGCAATCCTTTTTACCATGTTTCTTGCAACCGCCAGACTCGGGTGCACATTCCTTCTGAAGGCAATGCGGAGCGTTATGCTTTTTGCACGACTCAGAAGCTGTCGTATCTGGCTCTTCAACCTCGGCATCTTCAGGAAAGAATTTAGTGCAAGACTCGCAAAGCTTCCGACCATGAACCAAACATCCACCAGACTCAGGCTTACAGCTTTTCTTGGGGCAGTGTTCAACTTTGTGTTCCTTGCATGGCCCAGAGGCTGTAAAGTCTTTGCCAGACTTATCTTCCTCATCTGATTCCCCTTCGATGTCAGACTCAATTGGGTTCCCGTCTTCATCGAATTTTGGGCCATCATATTCGTCGTCCGACTCAATTAGATCTCCATTTTGGTCGTATTCTAACTCTTCGCCAGATTCATCCTCGGAGGCTTTTTCGATGAGCTCGCCGCTCTCGTCAAACTCATCTGATTCATTTCCGTCAAGCTCATCGGCGCCTAAATGGGTACGTTTCTTCCACCATTTGTTCGTGGTTTTACTCCACGTGAGCGTCCAAGTCAGTGTTGTAGTAGTCGTACGCGTCTCGGTTATGGTGTGTGTTGTCGAAGCTTCACCGGAGGTCTTTTCTTCAAAATCATCGGCCTCATCCTGAGTCAAAGACAATTAGCATATAATAAAACCAGAAAGGTATTGTTCATTCTTACCTCATCCTCGGAGTCCTCCAGTTCCTCGATTTCATCCACATTAATTTCAACAACTTCCCCTGATTTGTTGACCCAGGAACCAGTGGACTCATCTAAGATCAACCGATTATCGTCGTCAAGTTCAAGTTCCTAGATTACAAAATCAGCATCGTATAAGAGGATGACATGCAGAACTTACGTCTTCTTCGGGATTTTCATCCCCTGATTGTTCTTCGCTCTCCGCCTCCGACTGGTTTTCAACCCACTCACCGTCAACCCATGAGCCCTCTTCGGTATCATTCTCGTACATTGGGAGCCCGTTCTCATCCAGAACCGGTTGGCCAAATGAATCTAGAAGTGGTATCCGATTTTCATCGTGCTTCTATCATCAGCAGTGATACAAAAGCAAGGAGAGTTATCCGACAAGCACTTACCTTCCCCTTAGAATTGTGAATTTCAGATGGATCAATTTTCTTTCCCTCTGCATCGCAAATCTCAACACCCTCCATCCGGACTCCGAACTCATTGCAGAACACTCCATCTTCCTTCATCCAACCTGCTACTACCTCACCTTGCTCGTTAAACATTTCGCAAGCCTTACCATTCATCTCCTTACCATCTCGATCGCACATATCTCCATCATTACTCATCCAGCCCTCAAACTTCTTACCCTCAGCGTCGAACATGGATCCACACTTGTGGTCTTCCTTGCCACGAATAGGCATCCAACCTTCAGAGAACTTCTGGGCATCGGTAAGCTCCATGAAAGAGCTGGTATGAAGGCTTTTCTCAGAAATTGACTGAGAATGAGAGATTTGACTCGTCGAATGCGATTCTTGTCGAGTCTCTGAATGTGATTGAGACATCTGCCAATGAGTTGCATTAGATACTTCATTTACACTAGATAACTGATAAACACGTACTTTTTTGCTTTGCGCTTGCTCCTCATGCTTCCCATCGCCATTCGATTCGTCTAGAATATTACTGATTTTGCCATCCTTAGTTTTGTCTTTCATTGCGAGGTTCTACACGGAACATTAGTATGCACTGGGTAAAGCCCACAAATCAAGCATATACTTACGGGTGAAGGCCCCGAATCTTTTGGAACCTTCGGGGGTTTCATCGCGCCAGTCTGAGGCGCTGGCTCCTTGGGCATTGAAGGTTCTTTAGTAAGCTTGGCAGCAGAGGGTACATTGAGCTCCTTGGGGGGTTTAGGCGCTGATGGCTGTTTCGGTATAGGGAGCGCCTTAGGCATTGGTGGTACCTTCTGTGGTTTGGGCATCGGCGGCTCTTTCTGCGGGGGTAGGGCCTTCGGCATGGGTGGTGCTTTCTGAGGTGGGACTGCTTTGGGCATGGGTGGTTCCTTTTGTGGTTTGGGTGCTGGTAAAGGCTTCGGAGGAGGAAGTGCTTTCGGCGCAAGAGGTTCTTTCTGTGGTTTAGAAGGAGGTGGAAGCTTTCGGGCAGGAGCCGCCTTTGGCATAGGAGGTGCTTTGGCTTGTGGATTTTGTTGAGTGGCTTGAGCACCTGCTTGAGGCTGGCTTGTTCCTTGCATTGGATCAACGCGTATATTTTGAGGTGCTGGTTGTTGCATAGGTGGCGAGGGTTGTGGTTTAACTGGAAAGGCACCTCGACCGATTGGCTTGAGAGGACCAGCACCTGAACCTCCTCTTTTCAATCCACCTCCCGGCTGATTCGCAGGCATACCTCCTTGGGGCAGGAGTGGTGCTGGTGCCTGCTGCTGTGGGTTTACTGGAAAGGCACCTGTTGCTTGAAGTGGTTGTCGCCCAGGACTCTGTACTTGAGTAGTCTGGCCCTGTGGTTGAAATCCGGTTGGTTGGGGTTGATTCAGTGCCTGCGCTTGCGGTGGTCCAAGTTGAGCCTGTGAAGTTGGCTGTTGCCGCTGTTGACTTTGGGCTTGGCCTTGCGGTTGTAGAGGGCCGGCTACTTGAGGCTGCTGGGGTCGAGTTTGCTGTGTATTTTGCTGACTTGTCGAATACGTCTGGTTAGCAGAGGCACTTGATTGTTGAAGCGCGGAACCCTAAACTGCATTTAGCACAATCTAACGACATATTCTCATTCGTGAACTTAATCTTACCTGTTGTACCTGTCCTTGCTGACCAGCCTGTTGTGGTGGAAACGGCATCTGTGGCTGTTGTTGGCTCGCTTGAAACGGCTGTGGTTGAGGATTATGAGGAAAAGCTTCCTGGCCTGGCAGGTTCATTACTGCCCCGATTCCAAGATCAGTTGCTACCATTCCCGGGTTCAAGGTCTGCAGTACCTTTGCCGTGGTACCTTTCATTGCTGCAATCGCGTCAAAGGTATCGCCGCTTTTGATCGTGTATTGACCAGGTCGAGCATTCATTTGACCTTGTTGCTGAATTTGACTGGCTGCGCTTGGGTATGGCTGAGGTTGTCCACTTGGTACTGGTGGAGGTTGCTGTTGAAATGAGGGATATTGCTGTGGTTGCGATACTGGAACTGGAGGTATCCCTGGATAAGGCTGCGGCTGGGGATTCTGTGTACCTGCTTGTGGTTGCTGGACTCCTTGATACGTCTGGGGAGGAGGCTGCTGGGAATTATATGGGAGTATTTGCTGTGCACTCGATTGCTGGCGTAGGACACTTGAAGCCGATTGTTGATCCATTGTCTGTATGGCGCCAGGGTATGGCATCATTGGATTTGATTGTTGAGAAGTAGAAGGAATGGGCGGCAATTGGGGGCTTAGAGCTCCAGGATATGTCAGTGGTTCGTTTTGTTGCTGACTGCTAGGCGCAGAAATAGATTGTGCTGTATTGGCACTGCCAAAACCTGGAGCACCTGGGTAAGGCATCAGCGGATTCGGTTGGCTGTTTAAATGTTGCATGCTAGAGTTTTGAGCTGCTGTCAAGCTGGTCTCGCGGTTGAAGGCCAGGGATCCTGGGTAGGGGACTGGTTGGTTCTGTTGTGGAAATGACGGTGCCAGCTGTGGAGGGGCAAATCCGCCTTTATAGAGGGGCGACGCACCTCGACTGGGTGGAAATGGTTGCTGTTGAGTGGCTTGGTAACTCTGCGTCGAGCCATAGTTTTGGGAAGTCCCCAAGTATGATGATTTGTTCTGTCCATCTGCGGGTGGTGGTGCTAAGGGATCAAAGAGTGATATTGATGGCCCTTGGCCTTGCCAGTTTGGAGGCGGAGGGCCCTCACCTAGCCATCTGTCTATCTTACTCGTAGTTTCCTTGATTTCTGACTTCGCCTCAAACTTCAGCCGGCTGAGAATCGAGGAGCCAATTCCATCATCGCTACTGTCACTTCCTCTCCGATAAGGATAGTACCCCTAAGACCTGTATTAGATGTGGTATTTCCTTAAACATAGAGGATAACCCACTCCTTTTCCTGGATATTGTGCTGGTCCCCCAGGGTATGGTGCTTGCGTTGGTGGGCCACCTGGATATGAAGATGGTGGCGCACCCGGATAGTTAGGTGGCCTCGACATGACTTGCGATGCTTCGTCTGATGTCGATAGAGGATGAGGGAGCCCTTGATTTGGCGGAATGTAGGGAGGCAGATTCGCTGAAAATTTATTGTTAGAGAGGTGGAAATTATATAGTGTTAGTAGAGGGAGAACTCAGAAGTGTATACCATATGAGTGACCCTGGTCGTTCATCTTTGCTGACTTGTTCAAATGTAATACCCAGCGGCTGAAGGGGTATTCAAAGCGACGAATTTGTCAATTCACCAAGATGTTGAAGACGGAAAGGTATTTGGGAAGAAACACACCGAGACGGGTGCTCAACTAAGCGGGAAAGAATAGCTGTATCATTCCTTCATGCCCCTCCATCAGAAATCAAGCATCAGACGTGGTCCCACCAGGGCCACCACCGCCATCAGTTAAAGCGAATCAGCCTCAATCTGAGCTGAGAAGGGTATTCAATAGGATACGAATCTCTAAAAAGAGGATTACCGGGTATGTGTGCTTACTGTTCTCCACAATTATGTATGAATGCGCGTGCTCGGCTTTGTCAACCATATCCTCATGTCAGATAGCCGACCTCACCAGAGCTGAAGCTCAATTCGTGCGTGACTGGCGAAGATCTTTCTCAGAACTTTGCTGATGTCGAATATTTGAGCTCCCAAACAAATTCTAGAAGGCGACAGATGAGATATATATAAAGCATATCGCCCCCCAAATCTCAACGCCTTCGACGACATGATTATCACGTGATCCAAGTACGAATCGCAAGAAGCGTGTACAGTTGATAGCAACTGCCTACTGTTTCCTGTACCACAAACGAGCATTTCACCGATAAAGAAAATCTGACTAATCTAAAAAGTAACCTAAATTTTCAAATCAATGTTAGAGGTTTAAAAGCTACGAACTTATTCCGGTCCAAGGACGATGATACGTCTTCTAAATTTTGTCTTCATAGATTTTTTTTAGCCAACTGAGCACCGTAAAATTCTTAACCTAAAAAGCATTTCTTCGAATCTAGTTGGTTAAATTCACCATGCGTAACTCACACCCATACACATCCGTAAGTGAGGATGGAAAAGAAGAATGTAATTCACAAATCATCCACGCACGGAAAAGATATCAATATTTAAAGAAGCACAGCTCCGCTTTTCTTCTTCTTCCTCTCACGCTTTTCACCCGCTTTCATTCAGATTCAGGTTCCAACTTGCTCCACAACTCACAGCTCTACTCTACAAACAACTTCGTTATTCGCATCAGTCGCCTGATGCGCATATACAAGTATATCTGCGCAATATTGACGCTTGCTTTCATCGCTTTTGCGACCCCCATTGCAAAGAAAGCTGAGGTCTTGTCCGATCGACTGGCTGATGAGCATAATACTACCCTCTCATTGCTTACTCCTCGTAACAAGGTAGTGTTACACCCTATAATTGCGAGAATAATACAACTGACTCGATCTAAGACGGTGTTCACTGTTGTAGAGACAATGGTAGAGGCTAGACTTATCGAGATATTCATCTTTTCGACAACGCGCGTGAACAGCTGTGAGCTAAAATTCATGAAAATCAAGGTAGTACGGTCATTAATATAGTTGCGCTCTAGAAAGCAAACTGCAAATGGATATGTTGTTCCAGCCAAGTCTTGTCGTTCGCCGTACGGCTGCTGGAAGGGTGCTATCATCGAGGTCTGCAACGATGTAAGTACTGTAACTAGAAACCTAACTAGCTAGTAATGATTATAATGATTACTGGATCGCTCCAAACGCGAGATATGTCCGCAGCTATACCGATGATATCATCAGAACATGCGAGACCTTTGGGTACCAGGTATGTGGACAGGAGTTCGACACGGACAAATACAATGTTATTATGCGGGGATGCTAGGAGAAGATGACAAAGCGGGCTTGTGAGCAGCTATTACGCTTGCAGTACCGCGAAGTGACTCGGGTTATGACAATTAGTAGACCAGAGTGTTACACGGCTACTAGACACTTCTCGCACCATTACAATAATTTTAATTGACAACCAGCATCTGATATTTCAAGTTTACGTTAGATCTTTGGTTTAAGCACCATGCAAGTTTCCTTGTTACTTTCAAGTGAAATCCTTCGTAGCTTTAATATTTACACTCCATACCAACAGCCCATCAGCTTCAAAGCCGTACACAGGCAACGTAGGATCTGTGCGGTATGCTGGAAAGACCATTAAGCAGATTCGAATATGAGCAACTTGGGAGAGGTAGATGAACCAAGGGGAACGGCAATTGTCTTGATTGTGTGAGTTAGTTGGAGTACCAGAAGTAGAACGTGGCATATGATGTTGAGATGTGTCAAGGGTGAGAGCGAAAGTCGAAGAAACACATTCAAGTATCGTTTGAGCACATGTCGGTGGTCCATCTCGTTGGAGATAACATGCAAGTTGTAGACTGAGGTCTTGTTGGTTGGGACCTTTTGCAGAATCTCTGTTGGCCGGGGCGTAGCAGACGCTCGCTTTCACCTTAAAATAAGCCAAGCTTGCAACGAAACCATGCTTGCCTAACGGCAAAGTTCTGTCCGTTTCGACAGTCTGTTTCAGATTGCAATCACATATGCGTATGATGTGTACGTAGAAATAATATGCAGTGACGGGGAGTGGCAGCTTAACGCCGAATACCAGAGCAACAACTCGGACTGTTGAAGGGAGTGAGTCCTGCTAACGCCGAAAAGATGTACTCCAAACGTAAAACCATACGTATAGGATATCATGTGACTATCCCACTCTCAGTCGATTAAGTAGACCTCAAGAAGTCATCCAACCCACCAAGAAACCCGCTATCTGTGTCTCTCTCTCGGAACACTTCAACATCTTTGCACGTCACCAATGATGGCGCATCAAACACACCATATAACGCACTCACACTCAAATACTCATTTGAGATGGGACAAAACTCTTGCACCTGTTCTGACGGTATCCTCTGGGGATGAGATTACTCTTGATCTTCCCGATGGTGGTGGAAACCAATTCGATGCACATAGTACAAGCGAGTCCATCTCCACGTTTGATGTCTCAAAAGCGGATCCTGCAGTCGGGCCTGTCTTTGTCAAGGACGCTCAGCCTGGAGATGTTTTAAAGGTGGAGTTTTTGTCATTGCAACCTGCAGCCTATGGCTGGACAGCAATACTACCCGGAAGCATGAACTTCGGTCTGCTTTCAGATGAATTTCATGAGCAGCGACTGAAGATATGGGACTTGGAAACCCATGCGAAGGACGGTTATGCTGTATTCAAGGAGGGGATACACATTCCCATTCGACCATTTCTTGGTGTTGTCGGTATAGCTAGAGAAGAGGCTGGCGAGTGGAGCACCATACCTCCATACGACACTGGTGGGAACATCGACTGCAAATATATCGTGGAAGGAAGCTGTTTGTATCTTTCCGTAAAGGTAGAAGGTGCGCTGTTCAGCTGTGGAGATGGACATGCTGCGCAAGGAGACGGAGAAGTCTGCGGGACTGCAATTGAGACTCAGATGAAGGCCAAAATGAGATTGAGTGTTGAGAAGAACAAGCCGTGGGTGAAAAGTCCACACTACGAGACAAGCGGAGTGAAGGCGAAGGTGTGGGATAGTAAAGGGGAGTACGCCGTCTTGGGTATTGACGCGGATTTGAGGGAAGCGAGTAGGAAAGCGATCCGGGGGATGATTGAATGGTTGAGCGGAGAGAAGGGGCTGACCAGGGAGGAGGGCTACATGTTAGCAAGTGTGGCTGGCGATATGAAAATCGTTGAAGCCGTTGACATGCCCCACTATGCGGTGGCATGCAGCATGCCTCTAAATATTTTTGTAGGTTCCATTGGAAAGTAGAGCCACCACGATAGCTTCATAACTGACGTAAATGCAATCCTCAAGCTTTGTTTTAACTTTCAAGTAATGTCTTTTCCCCAGAAGTGTCTGTCAAATCTTGTGCTTCAACTTCTCTTGTAATCGGAGATACAATTCCTTGTAGCTCTGAACAGTCGCCGAAAGCCGATTTCTAGACTGTATCGTCGCGCTGTATCTCTCTCGAATTGCTAGTCGCGTCCCAGCGCCAGCCCTCTATATATAAAACTATTTCGGTTTTTGAACTCTTGAAACGTAACTCGTGATTCTCTCGATCTCGTCCGCCTCATGTTGCCTATTCTCATTCCATGATTGATGGAAAATTCGACGGTATCACAACGACACAATATCTCGTAGGTCGTGGCGGTTGTATGACGCAGCCAAATGGAGCTCTAGGTACCCCGAAGCCCTCGACATTTCATTTTGTAGGTAAAGCGCAGTTTGGAAGGGCGGGAAACGTCGAACGTGTGGCGTCATGTGGTGACGGTCATGATTTTGTCGTTTTGCTGCATACCGCACCTTAACCATATCGTCTTTAAGCTTTTTGGAATTCCGGGGAAGAGTTAAAAAGCGGGCATAAGGTCACATGATGAAGTCAATATGGATCGGCCAATGGAGTGTTTAATTTAATTGTCAAGTCAAGCTTGCCTTTACCTGGACATGTTAATTATCGTAACCCTTTAGGTAAACTGCAAAAATACCTCGCTGGACACTGACTTCAAAGTCACGTGAGATAGCCACAGGTGACGTGATGGGCAGAGAGCCGACGTGTGCCAGTCAACAACCGCGACGAAAACAGCAAACGCCATGCTGTCGTCCGCGCGTTGTTTCGAGCACCCAACCTGATATCGCTATGGATGAGAATGCCCCTGAAATTGATCAGGATGTCGTTCTTCAAAAGTCCGCCAAAGGAGACTTACCAGGCTTCGAAGGACGGCTCAGATCATTTCTCTGGAATTCTGGTGGGCAAGAAGTCAGACGTCATGTGAGGATTCGGGACACAGATTCCCTCGTAGCTGTGGTTTGTCTGCGCACAACACCCATAAATGGACCACTATTGATACAATGGTTTACAGCTTGAGCAATTCCAGGAGCAGCCTCAACTCCTCGATCCCTACCTCCAAAAAATCGTCCCTCCTCTCGCCGAAGCATTTATCCAATGTCTCCAGTATCCACCCACCTCTTTGGAATCATCAGCTATTTCTCACCTCTTGACGCCGCTCTCTGCTGCCATATGCCGTCTTCTATACACATTCTGCAAGATCCGTGGGGAAAAGGTAATTGTACGTTTCCTAAGTACAGAGACGAAACATCTCGAACTACTTCTCTCAGCAATCGAAGGAGGCATCTACGTTGACGATAGCTCCGAGGCGGCGAAGCGTGCTTGGACCTGGGAAGAAAGATATGCGACGCTTCTGTGGCTGTCACAACTTTTGTTGGCCCCATTTGATCTCGAGTCCATATCTTCGGCTTCCTTTGGCGAGGACGAGCTCGGAGAAGTCCTTTCTGGCTCTGAAGTGGCATGGCCCGCGAATACCCCAACCGTTTCTCAGCGTGTCATTTCTCTTGCATTTCGTCATTTGTCTTCTTCTGGTAGGGAGAGAGAAGCTGCTAAGCTTCTTCTTGTACGTATTGCCCTGCGTCCCGACATGCAGAAAATTGGTATTCTCGATGTATTGGTGCAGTGGGCTACAAAAGCTCTGTCCGACACGTCTCAAACACTCCAACCAGTCCATCGCTATATTGGAATTCTGTCGTTTTTAGCTGGCTTGCTTAGTTCTTCGACTGGTACCAATGAAATGAATCGGTATCTATATGACATATTCCGTCTTGTGGAGCAAATACAGCCTGATAGTGGACCTATCTTCGCGAGCATTCATGAATCCGCCGTCGCGCGGAAAAACATTATTAAGATATACCGCGGTGTTGCGATTCTTCTTCTTCGCACCAGCTTGGACGAACAAGCGTTTGAAATCATGCAAGGCGCTATTGTTGCCCTTCTTGGCTTCCTAGGAGATGAGTCCACTCCAGTCAGACTTGCTGCGAGCAAGGCGCTCAGCATGGTAGTTCCCAAGCTTGACTCCGATATGTCTGTGCAAGTTGTGCAAGCTATTGTTGACGAATTGGAAAACGGAATATCATGGCATAAGACTGAGCAGCGTACCGAATTCTCGGACTCTCAGAAATATAGTTTTACAGATGCCAATGTTCTTCTCTGGCATGGGCATATACTTACTCTGTCTCAACTACTATATCGTCGTGCTATCTCAGTAAAAGAAATCTCCTCCGTCTTAGACTATGTTGTCGCAGGACTCTCATTTGAAAAGCGGGATGTTTCTGGTCTTTCCGTTGGCACCAGTGTTAGAGACGCAGCGTGTTTCGGCGTGTGGGCACTCGCACGGAGATATACAACAGTTGAATTGAAGGAAGTCCATCTAAGCTGTCCTCATTCCAAAGCATATCGTACTCATTCTCGTGTGCTGGCTGGGACATCACCGGCGCCTATTGTGCAACAACTGGCAATCGAGCTCATCGTTTCCGCCAGTCTGGATCCTGCGGGAAACATTCGCCGAGGCTCATCCGCAGCGCTTCAAGAACTTGTAGGCCGCCATCCCGATGCGATCGCAAATGGAATCAGTTTGGTCCAAGTAATCGATTATCATGCGGTCGCTCGTCGATCGACCGCTCTACGGGAAGTAGCTTTCAGCGCCGCTGGCCTCAGCCACCTCTACTTTGACGCGGTTGTTTCAGCATTGCTTGGTTGGCGAGGCATTCGTGACGCGAGTGCCGCTGTAAGAAGAGATGTTGCGAATGTCTTCGGCCAACTTACATGGAGTCGGGTTCCAGTGATGAATGGCCTGGCGATATCTGAAAATATAGAGGCGCCTATCAAGCAAGTTCTTGGACGATATCTCAAATTGCCAGCAAGAGAGCTGAATGAGCGTCACGGCCTACTGCTCTGCGCAGCTTCTGCCATCTCTGGTTTTAGTGTTGATCAGAAAGTTATGAAATCTTTATTACAGACAGGCGATGGTCTTGAGATTTCGACGCTTGTTCAAACGATTGTAGCGCAAGTCGGAGATCTTCTGATAGCTGTAAATTCAAGCTTGAAAGAGCGAAAGCCGACAGATCTGCTCGCCGAGTCTGTTAGCAGTTTGATTGTCTCTGTATTACCTCTGATTCGTGCCAGCACTTGTCTTCGTCGTTGGAAAGCCGTCGGCACTCCGACTAATAGTGTGAACGATATTGAGAGGGAGGATGGGATTTTCGAACTGTGCGACACGCCCACGTGGCCTCCAGAGAAGATTTACAGTCCCGCTCGATCTCTGTCGAGTATGCAAACCGCGATCGATGGCGGATACTTTGAAGAAAGTAGTATTGTAGTTGTTGCTGGTCAGTTGCTGGCACAATTCCTCAATTTGATGGAACAAGAAACTATTGAGATTGTTGCTAGAACCTGTGCGAACTATATATTCTTGTTAGATAAGTCTGAACGACGAGTACTTGTAGAAAGCTGGGTTGAAGGTCTGCGTATCCGTGGCAGTGGTGGGCGATATGTCGATGGGAACATTATTACGCAAACGCTATTTTACATCCTACCAGTCCTTGGGGCTTCCGAACACGTGCAGCCAGGATCTCTCACACTCCAGGAGCTCGTGATAAACGAGCTAAGATGGAAATGGGCAACAATCAAAACTACCGACAACCGAGTATGGCTTCTAAGATGTCTGAGACATACCCACGCTCTACAGATGTTTGCATATACATTCACTGCCTGGATTGAAGATGGCCTTAATGACTACACCATCAATAGTCAAGGTGATATAGGTCGGCATGTGCGTATCGAGGCTTTAAAAACTGCGGCTGCTCTTGGAACTTCGTATGATAGCTTTGCAAGTGATGAAAATCTAGAAGTTTATCGCGATCTATTTGGGTTGATACTGAGATCTGCGGCAGAGAAGAATGATAGCGTTCGACAGGCAGCTAAGCAAGCGTTGGTGCTTGGGATTCCGACCAGGTCAGTCGTCTGTTCCCCCGTTCCTGACCCCACTGACCTTTGTAGCTTTGAATACTCTGCCGTGTTTGTTGACCTGTCACCAAAATCACAACTGTATTTTGAGATACTCTTGAAGCTACCGAGTTTAGATTTGAAATCAGCAGACAAGACATGGCTCCTCCTCATGCAGGGCTACGTTACTTCAGCCCATGCTGGCTCTGAAGACATCATCAACGCGAGCAGAGCAGCAATTGCATCAGTCTGCGCTCAAGATCCGGTTAGAGCAATTGACTCCATGAGCGATGCATTATGGAAGCTTCTTCGAGACAAAATTGGTAATGACCGAATCATCGTTTCATTACTAGAAGTCATCTCCTTTCTTTTCGATGCGGCTGTCATCCACCAGCTCGAAAACAGGTTCGCCATTCCCTCTTAACATTCTCATCCCACTAACCACCCTCACAGTCCCACCACGCAACCTCCATTCGAAAAACGCCTCCTCACGCTCTGCGCACTCGTCCAACAAGCTCACTACAAATCCAACGAAGTCCGTCGTATCGAAGCGGCGGTCAGGATTTACGGCAGTCTAGCGGAAAGTTGTCCGCCGGCCCTGAAGAAGTTGGAGTCGATGCTCCTCCATCCGTTTCCGAAGATTAGGGATGCGGTTGTGGAGGAGATGTGGGCGCTTTATGGGGTGGGGAAGGGATTGGATTGGGGGAAGGCGGGGAAGGGGGATGTTGAGGCGTTGGTGAAAAAAGTTGAAGTTAGCAGGGCTGGTGGGGTGGAGGGGGGGAAGGAGAGGGGGTGGGTGCATCGATAGTTGGGGGGAAGGGCGGGCAAAACTTGTTTGTTTTGTTGATAGTGTTCCATGGGTACCCATCTGCGAGCATCACTGTGCAAAAAGTAGAGTATATCATACGGAGTGGGAGTGATAGTCATAGTAAAGTGGCACACCTGATAATCATGTAGACCTACAATTAGCAACAAATGTTCACTGACGGCTCAGACGATTTCTAATATCTTAAGCTCCTTTTCCGCTATATTTGACCATAATTTAAGTTGACACAATAAGTAGGAGGCGCTGTTACTTCTCTCTTGCTGCATGTGAGCCAGCATCTATTTATTCGGGGTCATGTGACTTGACGCAGCACAAATCCCAAAATACAATTGCAACCGCGGGATCTTTTACATTGAAATACAACAACGTCTCTTCTACCACACGTTCCTTTCAACACACATTTGCGATTGCAAAATTGAATCGCCCGCTCAGTCTACGACCTTGTACGTTTTCTTCGTCGTCCCAGCTCTCAATGCCCACCAATGCAAGCAACTATCGGCAAAACACCGAAAACATGCATTTCAACCTTCGGCCATTGTCCACGCCATCGCGATGAGTTTTCTTCTACGAAAATGGGGTTTCTGGGGTGGAGAAGGAGAAGGCATCTTGAAAGAGACCGATGAGAATCACAAGATATTAGCATCAATGCGGATTATACGAACACGACCAAGGCCTGGACTCGGATCCACTATAATTTGCCATTCACGCAGCTATGGACCAGTTAGATCTGAAATTGCTAGCGGCATTCAGCAAATGCCGTCCGAGATGAGGGTTGCATGGCATGATTGACTCTCCATGGTATCGAAGATGGCAATTGGAGAGTTACAATCATACCGCCGGCACAACTAACGCTAAAAGGTCGATTGATGACCTCATTTCCTAGACTTCAGCGGAACCCGCGGCTGTAGCTCGTTGGAAAACATTCAACAACCACGAAGGTCGCATCAAACGGCACTATATTGCATTTACCATCTTCGACGCGCCTCTATCGATTTACGATGGCTGTTACACATTCTAGTCTTCAGCAGATGATGGACGAGATGGCAGAGGACAAATCAGTGGCTTCCTTGGAGAAGACGAGCAGCATCAAGGTTGACCATCGAACCACCCGCTCCTTCGCCAACGCAGCTCTACAGATATTCATTCGCCGTATCGCGTTTCTTCTGATGAAACAAAAGCTCCCTCAACCCGAAGGATCACCGCAACTGAAGCCACATAGATACGCAGACGAACGAACTCCGGTGGTCGAGGAAAAAGTAGGAGACATGTGGACATACAGGTTTATAAACGACTGCGCGGGAATGGATCGCCCAAAGGCTTCGCATACGTTATGCTACTTTGCTGGTGGAAGCTTCACGTCTCCAGCTGCTAAAGAACACTGGCTTCTATGTTCGGAGCTTGCAGTCAAACTTCCTGCATACCGAGTGCTACTTGTTAGCTATCCTTTGGCGCCAAACCAGCCGGCCGAGAAGGCACTACCGGCACTTCACCGATTCTACCATACTCTGGAGGCGCAATGTGTGAAGGACAAGACTTGGTTGACTTTTGCTGGGGATTCCTCTGGCGGAAATGTTGCTTTGACACTGGGACTATATGCCGCCTCGTCATATCTAAACTCCAACAAGAGAGACACTTGTCGACTTCGCAACGTCTTTGTGATATCTCCACCCACCGACTTCCGAAATGAAAACCCCGCCATTGACGAAGTAGCCCGGCAAGATCCGCTACTGAGCAGGAAGACTATCGACGACGCTGCGAATGCATGGCGAGGTGATTGGCCTGCGGCAGAACCACAGGTGTCTCCTATATTTGCAGACTTGAGTCTTTTCAGATCTGCCCATATCAAAGTGGACGGGGTTGTAGCTGGATATGATGTGCTGGGTCCGGATGCGACTGTATTTCGAAAGCGTCTAGCTGAGGTTGGGGTCCGTGGTGACTGGCTAGAATGGGATAAGCAAGTGCACTGCTTCCCTTTGATGTGGTCATACCATATCAAGGAAGGCAAGGCCGGGAAAGACTGGTGTCTGGACGTCCTTCAAAGAAACGCTCACTTTGTCGATCGCTCTGATACAGGAATACCATGATCTGGCCAAAATTACACTGGAAGAAAACTTGCCTCGACTGCGGCCAAGTCTTGTTCGAGCTGTGGACAATCCATGTCCTAACAAGGTGTCATTATTCCAGCGGTTATGAAAGATGGCCTCGGAGAGCTGATGAGAAAGCGGAACCGTATCCGCAAAAATTCATTGGTCTAATCACGGCGAATATGACCGGGACCATTGCTAATGATGTTCTCATCATATAGCTCGAAACACTTTAGCACTCCCCCGGCCAGACTGGCTACTACATGTCCATCCATAGGACTTTTCCCGGACTGGCCAATACAAGCCAATTTACACCGAGCTGCACGTACCCTTCTCAGCCTCTGTGAAGAGTTTCTTCGAATCCTAAATTGGAATCACGATGCCTTATCCAATTGCCGAAATAGACGGGTTGCTTGGAATAGCATGCAAGTGTCGGAACAGATAGGTTGTTTGCTCGTTCCAAGTGGTTTTGAAACTACTTCCCGGATCTTACCTTGGACCCTGCGCCTTAAAATGTACAGAGGCCTACTTTGGAGTTTCGGTCAGACATTTTCCTCCTATTATTCGCAGTGTTGTTTTGTCTTTCCATTGAGACTGACTCGATGTTGAGATATCGACACCTCAGTGTGGCTGTTGAACGGAGGCTCCGCACGATTGTTAATTCGGATCGTTTCGGTCCCGCGACAAGGGCGTTTGTTGTATCTGCAGGCCATCTGCATCGCGTCTGACTATCCAATCAGCACACTCATTTGGCGTCATATTTTCAAGGATTTGGCGGCTACTCATCACTCTTTAGCCGCAAGCCTCAGCTGTCAGGGGTCGTATCACCAGCCATCAGCCACACGAACTCTTGTTATATCCATCTCACGTAACACGTTTTCCTCCCGAACCGTTGGATGCAGCCGGCCCGGAATCTCGATTTACCATCTCCAGCCACTTTGTGCTATTTTGTGTGCATTTCTCCCATATACGACACTCATGTAGTTACCCACGTTCTGGCACGGACTCGTTCAGCCCTAGGAAGATCTGACGTTTTGTCTGATCTGGCCAATCTCATGATGGGAAAGCTTCACTGCCTGACGTTGGTTACGGGGGTGCCAATCTGTTTGTGCCTCGTGGTTGCTGACTTGATATCAAGCTGCTTCAGACCAATGGGGCCGGTTGAGATAGATATGAATATATACATCATCACTTCCGGCATATACCTTACAGCTAATCAATTTCGTTTACCAAAGATCATTGTTTGTTTATTATCATGCGCCCTCTCACTGTTGACACTGGAAAATCGAAAAAGATAATAGAAACTATGGATTCTGGAAGTGAGCAGCGAGCGCCACAGGTCTGTTCGCATTGCAAAAGCATCAAGAAGGGTTGCGACAAAAGACTTCCGAGTTGCAGTCAATGTCTTAAGTAAGTGAATACTCAGTTACACTTAGCCATAACTCCGACGTCTTGTTCGACTGCCGTTGTTGATGTGAACTGACGATAAATAGACGTCGAGCTGTTTGTAGATATGGAGAACCATCGGAGCCCAGGAGATACGGCGATGAAGTAGCCAACTCGATACCGGCCATAGATTCGTCAAGTTCCCCTTCGACATGGACATCGATTCCTAGACCAGTGCTTGGTCGTTTGAACCCAAGCATGAGAGTCTCGATATTACTAATGAATTCAATGTCCGAAATGATTCAGGCCAGTGTCCTCGAGCCTAATGTCTCACAGTCAGTTATATCAACGGACGCTATTTTTCAATCACAAGTTTACCATATCATTCGAGCCGATGACCATTATATTGAAGATGTTGTAAATCGCTATTTTAATGGTGTTCACACTTGGATACCCATCATATCGAGAAAGAGATTTGTAGATCGATTCCGAATCCAGAATATCATACCCACTGCGGATTTTTCGATACTACTACTGGTTATGCGGCTTTTGGCACAATTCCCTTCACCGGATCCCGACATCGATCAGGAACGGGAAATACTATATCTGGCTACAAAGACGCTATTTACTCAGGTCCAACCATTTGTTCCAATATCACTGGCATTGGTCCAAGCTGGTATTTTACTTTCTCGTTATGAACAAGCACATGGAATGATTGATGCCGCTTATATTACTTGTGGTACGGCTTCGCGTATGGCATTTACTTTGAATCTTCACAACGCTGGTTGTTCGACGGCCTTACAGGGGAGTGATAATTGGTTAGACGAGGAGCAGGCTCTTTCAACGTGGTGGGGACTTGTGATATGTGACAGGTAGCACCTCAACACCTCCATGGTGAATCAAAAGCTGACTTATTAGGACTATTGCATATGATAGTCGAATGGAGGGACGTCCACTAGCAACGCGGTCCATACGAGAAGAAGAATATCTTCCCTTGGAAGCTGAAGAAATGGCAGGCACCGCTCCAGTTATGTCGCCTCGATATCGATACTTCGTTTCCGCAACCACACTCCTAAACATCGGTACCTTTGGCCGCGAATGTCAATCAACCTACATCCTAGAAAAAGCGCAAACCGCAATTCAAGATCCCAACTTCAACCAAGACAAACTTATGACCCTAGGTCTCGAAATGCAAAGTCTCCTCAGCACCGTCATGAACCAAACGGCAGGCCGCTGGGGTCCCTACCACGGAGCCACTAAAAACTTAATACTGTAAGTCCCCTCCCCATCTCCCCCACAACCTTCCAGACTAACATATCCAGCGGCATGTACACCCTCCACTGCGCAGCCCTCAAATCCGAGTCCATTCGCCACGCAGAAACCGTCAAAGCAACTCTCGACACCGTAACAAGAATGGTCATCGACATCGCGCGCGCTTTCAATGCATCGTCCGCTGACTGCGATCTCGAGACTCTGGCACCGACTATTGCGCATATTGTGAGATGCGCGCAGCAGCATATTGCTACATGTACAGATCCGAGGATTGAGCGTTGGTTAAGGGATTTTGAGGCCTTGAGACGGATGTTGGGGTTTTTTGCCGGGAGGTGGTTGGGTGCTGGTGAGTTTCACTTCCTTTCTCTTTTTGTTTGGGGGATTGAGTTTGTTTCATTTGGGATGAGGCTAATGGTTTGAAGCGCATGAATTGAGGGTAATTAATCAGACTGCGGATTCGGTGCTATCAAGGAGATAGATGTGGGTATATCTGGGCTGGTCCCTATTTAGGTTGCGACGGTTCTGGAATCTGGTATTTCAGTTGCTCTCATCTTACATTTTATCGGTGCATTCACGACGGTCCTTTACGATACCCAAAATCATAGATTTGTTGTTGGGAAGTACGGTTGATCCGATACTTGCCTAGTCTGCGAGTTTCGCGTTTGTCGTGCATAGATTGCATATAGATTTAATAGAATGTTTTATGGAGCATTTACACTGTGGCTGGCATTTATATGGAAAAGTAATGTCTTTAGATGCGGCAGAATGCGATGGTTTATATTTTAAGTTTAAATGCGTTGTGAGTTTTGAAATTTATTTATCGTACTGGGCTGGTTTTGTTTGATTGTGAGTTGGTGTTTCGTGTTTAATTCATATTGAATTAGCTACCGTGTCTGTAAGACTCATTTCACATATCCGAAACAGAAGACGACCTTTAGCATTATTTAAATCATTCAAATCGTTTCCTTTTCAACTCTTCCAGTGCCTCCCAGCATATCTCCTCGTACCTCGTTCTTAATCCCAATCACCACCCTTCCCCATCAATCATTTCCCCTCGCCATTCCCCAAGAACTCCCCCCTCCCAATGATTACGGATCCCCTGCAACCACCTCAGCCACACGGCACCCACCCTTCCCGATTCACTTCGGCTACTACCGAGGGCGTGTTACCCGCGCGTGCGGCCGGCGTATCACGGTTGAGGTGGGCGGCTGTTTTGGGTGATTATCTTTGTGGCGCTTGGGTGGGTGGCTTGTGTGAGTGTTTGTTGGGTGCAGGTTGGGTGGTGTGGGTGAGGTATGTGGGTGATGTGGGAGGGTTTTGTGGGAGGTGCTTATTTGTGGCGTTTGGGTGGTTGTGGCACGATGGGGAGGTGTGATGTTGGTGGTGGTTTGGAACGTGTGATTTCGTGTGGGAGGTTGTGTTGGTGATAGATAGAATGGGTTAGGGGATGGGATGGGGGATATTTTTGGAGGAACGAGAGAGGTGGGGTTGGGATGGGGGGACAGAAGGAGAGGGAGAAACGCGCGGTCCTTGTAGACGCTTCTTTCGAGGGGTGTGGCTGGCGGGCAAGTTGGGTGCTCACGCGTGACGTGAATATGAGATTCTTGATAAGAGCTTGCGATAGTTGCAACAGGTAAGTCTTCAGGATTCGTAGTAGTTTGACATCTTGAGTTGTCCGTGTTTTGCCAACTGAGATTTGGGAGGAAGAGTTATGTCGAGGGATAATTATTGTCGAGGGATAATTATCAGAAACGGCTGACGCTAGGGGGCAACCTGAACTCGACGGTTATTAGTTAGGAGTTTCGTGACATATATAAAAGTTTGTAGTTTATTAGAGTTGAAGTATGAAATCAGAGCAAAATGATTGAAGGAAGAGGAACTCATTTGTCAGAGACAGTCGGGTCACGTTACCTGATTGATCGATTTGACCCCTGAAATAAGCGGATATCACCTGATAGTTTTGTTGTTATGTTACCTCTACGCCTTGGAAGCTTTTGATAGTTATTTAGCTTATTCAAAGTTTGAAAACAGTTGGAAGATTAACTTGCGGATGATTTGTGAAAGGTAAAAACTTTTGCTCTCACTTCTGATCACAGTTTCCTTGACTGGTCCTCTTGAAGGCGAACGTCACATGATATGTTGGTTGGTTTTCGCGACGCGATCTGATACCTGGGTACTCCTGACCAGTCCATCATCATGAATTATCTAAAATTTTGTCAAATATTGGCTCTCGAAGACGATCTTATCACCAGGCATATCGTCGTTGAGTAAAATGTATCGCCGCACGCTCCTTAGAAACGCGATATCACGACCGTTGACACGCCCCTTGTGTGGTGTTGCAAGATCACACGTTGGCTTCTTGCCAAAAGCTAGCGATTCACCTAACAAGCACAGATGGCTGCAAAATTATGCAACAAGGAGATTTTCTAGTAATCAAAAAATGATAACAACGGATTCCGGGACCGTCAGACCCAGTACTAGTAATTCAAGAATGGATGCCAAGCTCCGAGGGGATTATCATATCATACGAGAAAATATGACTTGTGATGAGCTTCATGATTCTGTGTGGGGATTTGTAGTAAGTACTGGTCTTTGTCAATATCTCATTATAATTTGATTGACAAGATTAGATTTATCGGTGTGTGCAAGGCAACGATCATGCCTGGAATAGCATTCTAGAGCAGATTCAGATCCTTATCAAGGAGCATCTTGTAGATGGGCCTTGTGAAGATATCTTAAAACATCATGATCTTCATGTTATAGACGACAAATCATTGTAGTAAGTCAGGGCATCACAGTTATGATATTGACGACGATGCGTGTTCTGATTACAGTCATTAGTGGAGCATCAATTGATCAGGTCAGAAAACATTTCCAGGACTGGGTCCCTCAGAGCTTGGAGGCTAGACTCCAAACGGACACTCATGTACAATTTCAGACGTCAGCTACTTAAGCGTAGATACAACGCCTAGGTACAAGTATTGTCTCATGGTCGACCAGATATGTCTTGAATCATGGGAACATATGCAGAATTTATGGCCTGTGGTAAAATTGATTAACCCGGACTGGGAATACTATTTAACCCCTGAAGAATTGCTACAAGAGGTGCACCCACCATATCATGACGGCATTACTGAACACTACGAGGAGGATGTCGGGTGGATGTACATGCAGCTTATATCTTACATGGAGAAGTATGAGCTTTTCCATGACAACGACTGGTTTGACATGTACGTGAGGCCGCCATATATAGACTTTTCAGAGGATGAGAATACTATGGTAGGGCATTGGACGAAAGGAAGGATTTACCAGTTGGGTGGCTCTTCAACTTTAGACAGAGTCAAGACGTAAAGTCTCGTTCAATTTGCTGTTAGCAGACATTAGACAAGCAGGTGCGTAAAAAACTAGGGAATGATCATGTAGTAACTCTACCTTTCGTGGAGGGCTATTTATGGACAGTTCTGCAACATGTCAAGGCTTTACATGTGTTCTTGGGAACGTGATAAAATAGCCCTTAGCCTCAGCCTAACCAACACAATCGACTGCGCATGTCAAGCTTTTCGAGTAACGTTAAGTGTGGACTATCGCAGATTAACATTGGTCGACTGCCTCTGTCAGTTCGCACGCCCACAATAGCTGTTTAATGAATTCAACGGGTTTCGATATCTTTCATCGTCAAAGCCTCGGACGACATGGAACGCATTAGACGACATTCACAACATCAACGGAGCACAATATTGGCCATTCAAATAGGATGACTTAATTAAACATTATTATTTTCTCTACTCCGGTCTCAAAGGGAAAGGCAGAAACCGGTGAGTTCGCGCTACGAGCTCTGAGTAATCTTTCTCATTTTCGATAGTCAGAATTCCATGCCGAATCAAAAAGTCGATCAACACCATAACACACATGGGCTTGTAGTTGCCTGCGACAATGTTTTCTTGTACCTCCGTGGCAGTCATCAGTCGAAATTCCTCCACCTCTGCATCAGCTGGCTGTAGCACGGTTTCCCTGTCAATTTCCATATCGTAAACAAATTTTACAGATGGCTCCAACAACCCTTCTCCGGCATCCTCAACATGGTATTCCATGACACAGCCTGTGGCTTTTGCGCGGAGTCTCGTCAGTTCTGGGGACAGACTAGCCTCTTCAGCTGCCTCTTTGACCAAACATTCAAACGGCTCAACCCCAGCAGGAACTCCTCCCGCCACACTGCTGTCCAATTTTCCTGGGTTCTTTTTTGTGGTCATGGAGCGTTTTGGAACCCAAAGAAGTATCTCTCCGTCTGGGGATCGAGTATACACAGTCATGTGAACACCAGTCGTAGTAATTCCGAAAAGTCCTGCTCCAGCTCGTTCGATTTTAAGGTCCAATTTGGCCCCCAAGATTCGATATTCCTCGTTACGCCAACCATTCAGGCACTTGAAGATTTTGTCTCCGCGAGCACTCAGGAGTAAATCAGCAATTGCCTGGTTGGCATCAGTGAGTGAACTTTTGAGCAAAGTGACTCTTCTCGGATCAGAGCTGTCGTCGATACGGAAATCCGAGTTCCACGGCATCGCTTGCACTACAAAATCTGGGATATATCCATGAGCGCGCGAGTCATTCGCAAGATGAAATTCCCATAGACGACCAACATATTGGTCATAAGATTTTGAACCATGGTAGGGAAAGCTGTATTTCAATTATCAATATCAGTTCCACATGGACAGAAATAACATACTTGTCAATTTCATTGACGACGTCGAGAAGAGACTTCATGCTGACAAACTTGTTGCTAGGATCCTAGTACGCAGTCTATAAAGGGAATTCAAATTGTATGAGCGGTAAACTTGTTTTTGACAAAAGGGAGGATCGAATCGTCAAAAGGGCGAGCAAAGAGGCATCCAATGCGATGTTACATCCTTACGTCTCACTTGCAGGAGACTCGCTTCAGGTACAGATGCGGAGTGAGAAACAACCTTATAATTAACCGCTATTCGCTAGTCATGGCTGCATAATCTCATGCATGTGCGAACTGCGCTCATTTTCCCCAAAGGTTCTGCTTGCGGCGCAGTGTATACATCATTCGAGTAATAGACCAACGTTGAGCAGCAATCGCAGGGTTCCGGATCCTGCACTTCGTGTGCCACCCAATTGTGATACCTTGGAAGTTGTATCATCTTGGACAAATGTAACTCACACTTTCAGGCTACGCAAGCAACATCCTCCCCGACGTCCGTCAATCCAAAAGCTATATGTGCGTACCAAATTCGCAGTGCGTCAAGGTACGTAAAAATTCCCTTCCTCATTCATGCCAATAAAACAAAATGGCTTTGCTTACTCTTCATAGCTTGGCGGAAGGTTTACTTTTTCATCATTGTACCAGCAACACGTGAATCCCGAGCATCTCAAACATTGCACTTAGATCTTCTGGGCTTTCTATTGTAAATTGATCAAAATTGCGCGACACAAATTTGCTTACTTTGTTTACTTGGTCTCAGGATATCATACTTCCAGCTGAGTATTCAGAGCAGGGTACTCTCATCATCCCTACAATTGTAAATTATCCGAGACATGTATATTGTAGGATTACGCATTCTGCAAGTGCTCTTGGACATAACTCTAACGTGGTAGATCTTTGCTTGTAGCAAGCATTCCATTTTCCGGCTTACGGACGACATACGTGCCGTTCCTCTGCTGCTATCCTATAACAAGCAGCCGTGTCTCGCCAGCGATGTGATTTCGTTCCGAAGGAAACCCCTTTTCCAAGGCAATCTTCACAAAATCTTCCTACGAATAACGAAATCAAAATGATCACCACATCAACTCTTCTGTCGCCCTTCTTATCGCTGTTGCCCAGCAAAGATGTGCAAGTCAGTATCGATGCCGTTCGGGAAAATTCGGACGAATCGTTGCCTCTGTTAAATGTAAGTCACTATTCTGGATACAGCCATGCATAAAGTGCGAGTTGTTCGGGAAAATCTTGCCGCTCAATCCGCATTTCATGAGCAACCCCAGGAATTCAAGCATTCCAAGTCAAGAGTGTATTATTTACCATCGTAAGTTCTTACTGCTAACGCTATTCAGGTAACCAAATCTATGACCGCCGACCCGCAGTCACATACCATGGGGGATAAACTTATACCCTACGTGGCCCCAAAGATCCATTCTTGCATTCAAACAAATACCTTTTCTTCGATCTTTGTCATTGGAGAGCATCTACGCTCACATCCTGCCCTTATCACCAGTAATGAGAAAGCTGATAAGCCGTTCAACTGGCAGCGTCCAACTGCTTCCATTATAAAACGTCCAGAAGGTGACGTTCTTCAACTCAACGTTCTTCCTGGGCCAGCGTACGTGGAGCACTATGCAGCGCTACTTTCAACCTACTTCGCTTCCAAGGCATTCACCGGATCTAGTATGCCGTCTGTGTACTACCAACTTCCTTCAAGTGATGCTGCTATCAATTTGTTTGCTGCTTCAAATCTGCGTCATCTGGGACCAGTTGACTTTGCGATCATAGGCTATGTTGACTCACTCCACAACTCTACGGGCCCAGGCGAATGGGACACAGCTACACAGACTTTGGATGGAGAAGAACCACCTCTGTTCGCATGGAAGAAACGTGTGCTTCCCGACAAGTCAGTCGTGGCATTTGTGGGATGCACAGCGTGCTACTGGGGAGACATTGGAGGCCAATTGATCCGTTCGCTAAGCGAATTGAATGGAGTTCGAGAAGCCATTTACGTAGGCAAACTCGGAACTTTGAATGAGCGATATCTTCCGAATTCAGTTTTGGCAACTGGATCTTCCAGTATTTTTATGGATGGTGGAGTAGTGGAGTGGGACAGCATTCTGAAGCGCGCAGTACAAGGATCCAGTATAGTGAAAGATGGTGTTCACCTGACTGTACCGACTACCATTTACGAAACCAAAGAGTGGGCAAGAGAGATGAAGACAAAAGGAGACTGGGTAGATCCAGAAATTGGTAACATGGCCCGCATCAGTAAAGAGAAAGGAGTTGGCTTTGGATTCTTGCATGTGGTCACCGATAATCTTTCCAGGGAGGGCCTTGAAGGCTTGGTAAATGAGAGGAAATCAACAATCGTGGCCGCTCGAAAGGAGTTGCTGTGTGAGGTGGAGATTGTGTTGGAAAGATATTTTGAGGAGAAGATGAATATCGTATAGACTTCGCAAGTGGGACCGCTAAGTATGCAGATATGCTATCCAACCACCTAGCGATGTTGATGTTTACTGATTTATGCTTTTCTTTTTCATTATGGAACAAACTTTTAGATCTATGTCTAGATAAATGTAGCAGCTAGAGTAGATTGAAGAAATTTCACTTTTATTTATGCTTTTCTACTTCATCTAGAAGCCTTTTAGTTGCGGTAAGCTGACATCTTCCCCAACACTGTTTATCTTTTTTTCCCCCTTTCATTGTCACTTACACTAAGAATTTGAAATCACAGCTACACTAAAGTTCATTCAGACTCATTGGGACTTCAAGCTTCATGCGGCATGAAAGGATAATTTTTGCCACACAGCTGCCAACTCTTCTATCGTACCAATCCCTTCAATGCAAGAAGTCTGTTGATTATTTAAACTCAGTGGAATTTCCGAAAACTTTCAATTTACTGCGAAAATGGGATTTGCAACGATTTGGAATCAATCACCGCCCCGATCGTTATGTTGGCCAATCACGTGGAACCAACACTTCAACCAACTGACCAGATGTGAAAAAGACTCAAGTCTGCATCTTGGTGCACATTAAAAGTTTTCAGCATTCTGTTCACTTCCCTTGTCGAAATGTCACTGCAAGCAAAAGACATCCCTCCGAAGCTAACAAGCTCTTTTACTCCACCAGTGTCTAGATTCCAATCTCAAATCAGCCCTGACCCCTCAGCGGAATTTTGCTCGGAGATTGGGCGTTATGTAAGTACTCAACTATTTAATCGATAATCTGGAATTACTTCGTCTCCATTACTCAAATGACACTGGCCTGTATGAATACTCACGCTAAGCAAATTCCACAGGCCCTGTATATCCATCTTGGGTGTCCTTGGGCACATCGAACAAATATAGTATACCGCCTCAAACAACTGCAGGAGATAGTGGACCTTAGTGTTGTATCTATCCATCGAGGTGGTACCAATGGCTGGACGTACGATAGTACGGGAGGATCTGAAACCATTGACCACGTGGAAGGTTTTCACAACTTCCGAGAAATGTACGAAAAGGCGGATCCTGAATATGAAGGGAGTTACTCTGTCCCGGTGCTCTGGGATCGGAAAAGTAAGACAATCGTCAACAACGATAGTGTACAGATCATGCGAATTTTATCCTACTCTTTTGACGAATTCCTTGCCCCCGAGATGAGAGAAATCAACAAGCCTGCCGGAGGATTGCGGCCAGTGAGTCTGGCTGGCGAAATCGACCATCTTGGAGACAGTATTGAATCCGATGTCAATTGGGGAACATACAAATGTGGTATGGCACAAACGCAGGAAGATTATGATTTGGCAATGGAACTGTTGTTCGTCAAATTTGAGGAACTTGAAGGCAGACTCGAGGACAGAAAGTACTTGTTTGGAGATCATATCACAGAGACAGATATCAGGTAGGTCTTTCCACTAAAGTATAAAATAACTAAAGTCACTACCCTCTCATATCATCGCTACTTGCTCGCTAATCTACACTTTACAGACTTTTCCCTACGGTGATTCGTTTCGACATGGCATACTATACTATATTCAACTGTAATTGGAAACAAATTCGACACGACTATCCAAATCTGCACCGTTGGCTAAGACACATTTACTATGAAGTCGATTGCGAGACTAAAGATGCATTCAGAAGTACAACCCACTTTGAAATAGTGAGTCAAATGTTCTTTTCCCGCTTAGCCATCCAATTCTGTGTGTCATGCTAACACGATACCGTAGTTCATGGAAGGCTATGCATTATCAGCTATGAGAATGAAACTTGTACCATGGGGGCCTGCGGTTCCGATAATGCCGTTGGATGCCTAGGAAGAATTATGATGACACGAAGAGTAACTTAGTATACATCTGCATGAAAACGAGTTTTCTAAATACGCAAAAAACGTTAAATCGTCGATCTTCAACTTTAGGTTAGTCTCAACTCTCACAAAATTGTAAAGAGAGCAAGATCGGATCATGATCCTTGATATTAGTCCTCTAACTCACTAAGTTCATAAACTTGCCATGCGCTGCCGAGAAATTTCAAGTCACACCATATCCCTTGTTGAGTACGCAGCACACCCAACAATACCGTTGGCTCGGAATTTACTGTATCGTCGGCTGTCATGGTCGCACTGTATATCCCCGCTCCTTCCTAATATACACGACACAGTCTTGAAAATTCAATTTTCTTCTAGCTTGCAAACAACCAAAACTTTCAAGCTAATAATTTAGTTACTATAAACTTATATTTCGATATTTTGAAGTGCGATGACTATATAGGGTCTAGAAGAGGCAGAGAACTTTAAGTAGAACAATCGGGTCGATCTAGATCTGTACCCTAGTCTAGTGAACACATAACGCTTACAAATTAGTGCATTTTTGGCGAGTATTCTAATGTTATATTGGTTGCAAAAGGGTTTACCAGCACTTGATCCACAAACAAATCACTGAGACAATCCCCGCTCTCTGTTTACGAAGTCCATTCGTGCATCGTTCTTAGGTAACCGGAGAAACGCCTTCTCATATTCCCCCGACCCCTCACTTCTCTAAACTCTGCAAGAATTCATGCAAGTGCCTGTTTACATCTCTCGCGGTGTCAGCCTGCATGAAGTGCCTCGAAGGTACGGTCCTAACGGTCAGGAACGGAATGTACGGCACAGTGTTGTTGAGCTGGATGCTGGGGATAGCGATAGGGTCGTTATCGCCGACGATGAGTAAGGAGCGCTTGGTGACAATTGGGGAAGTCGAGAGTTTCAGAGCTTGTAAAAGTTAGTGTTTCGAGCTTGAGTGGATAGGCGCAAAATCTAATACATTGAACGTAGTATTGGAAAAGAGAGATCGATAAAGAGCACGCGTCAACTAACCTTGTTCATCAGCAGTGTTGTAACCGCGCATCATTGCACGATACCACTTGAATGGGCCATCCATACCGCCTTGCGCCTGCAAAATAGTGCGCCATTGTGCAAGTGTGGTGTCGGTCAGGAATTCATTCTGGAAGGGGATGCGGCCATCTGCGTGCAACCAGCGCTCTAGGGCCCCTACTTCTGTGATGTTTGGAGCCCAAGTGATATCGGTGCCGTAGGCAATGTTGTAAAGAGCGTCGAGCTGCACATAGGAGTTGAGCTGTTAGTATCTTTACTTTGCTTTTGTGTATAATGGTCTTCAATCTTCATGGCTTAAATGGAATTCGGACTCACGTGCTTGTCTGTGACAACGGCCGCATCGTCGCGTTCGTTAAAGTACCAGTACCCGAGGAGCGGGTATCCGAATGCAGCGAGGGTGGCCTCGTTTGTAGCGTCCACGAAATCACGGGTGAGGTCGGCGCCAGGTACGGAGTAGCCCAACGTGAGAAACACAAGGGCACTAAGGCGGTTGGGATGGTAGTGCTGGAGGCGTGAGAGGAGGGCGGAGCCACTAGATAGTCGGTGATTAAGGGGCTGTAGCTTCTAAGAAGGTTATCTAGTTTCCTAGATATACTCAACTTACATGTTATGCCCGATCCCTATAACCTGATCGAGTTCTTCACATTCGAGCAATTCGTCCATCTCAGATGCTGTTCGTTTGAATGTAAATGACTCCAAGTCATTGGGATTGTCCGTTCCACCAGTTCCTATCATATCGGGAGCGATGATACCGTAGCCATGCCGAGTGAAGTATTCGATCTGATTCACCCACGAATAGGATGTCTCAGGCCAGCCGTGCAGGAACAAGAGTGTAGGTAAAGAAGAGTTGAATGGAGCCTTAAAGACGTAGCGATATGTGTGTCCCGAACGGAGTTGTACGCTCCTAACGAGATTTGCATAGCTTGTGTATTTGATATCTGTCTAGGAAGGCTGGTAATCTTTCACGGTGGAAGAGAGATGGAGGGATAAATATACAGTGTCAGGATTTAGGTTGATCTTGCACGATGAGCTCTGTTCGGTTGCTTGAGCCTTTTAAAATGTTAGTGAAACAGGAGATGAATATTATGAATGGAAAAATACCATTGCGAAAGTAGCTGACAAAAAGAGTAGCCGCGGTGCAATTGAGAAAGAAATATTATCTAATGCGAGTGTAATGTAGATATGATACTTACCTGAGAGGATTTGAGTACTATCCCGTCTAAGTGTCGTTCCGTTTAAATCATGGCTGTCAATTGTTGACATCGATGTATCTACACAGTGCAAAATAGATCGTTAATGAAATCTTAGTACAAAAAAGCAACGACATATTGTTTATCTCCGATACATGGCATTCTTCATTACGTGAGCTCGTGTTTTAGTTGTTCCAATCCCTTCCGCTACGCGATTAGTAAACAGGGTTGAGATGCGGTGAACTCATTTAATAAGCCGCATTGTCCGAGCAGACACTCTATTAACCAGATTTCATTTCTTCCAAGAAAGTCAATGACTGAGCTAGTCTCTTTTTCGACATCATATTAACAGCCGGTGGGGCTGGTAGATGGTTTTTGAGTAGTGTTTTGAAGACCTGTGATTACTGATCTTGTAAAGTTCAGCCGCCATGCCAGCCGCAACCTAACTAGACCAAGTCGGCGTACGGGTCCTCTGCCGACCAAAGCTTCCCCTAGAAACCCACTGTGGATGATTTCTTCAAGCATAGAGAGTTCAGGACTCAGGAGACGACGCGAAACATATCTTGGGTCAATTAAAGGTTCATTGCTTTGAAATGCAAGATGGCTTCGGCTTTTAGACCTTTATTGCTCATCATTACTACCAGATTGTAGGATCACTTCGGTGTTAAAAACATACTTAGAGAATTCGGGTCGATTTTAGTGGGTGAGAATCGGCCTTGTCACCATAGCACAGTCCAAAGTGTGAGGGGCGATAGAAGCTGCAATTTAAGATTCCAGTGCACCCACTCCCATGTATCCATCTATCCGCGTAGAGAGTTATTGTAGATGCTAGAGACAGACATACCATATTCCACGTCTGAAGGATGTCGGGAAGCTCAAGCATATTACAAAATACCAGAAAGAAGTGATGCGCATTTTCTTAGTGAAGGTTCATTGGTTCAAAGGCTTGCACAACTCATTTGGACACCGTGGAAAGCAAAGATGCCTTTCCTACGACATCAGCGTTTGTCCTCAAACTCTCAAAATCTTCTCGCTTTAAATACCAACCCAACCTTTAATTACAAAAGTGGTCGCTGGTGTCGCAATAATTTATTTCCGAGGAGCAGTCCTGAGCGTCCATCTTGCCTCTCGATGTAAACTCTAGTAGTTGCTGTAACCCTCGGATGGTATATCGTGCTCGTAGGCACGACTGTGCTCGACGCAACGGCTAAGGAGCGTTGTGGTAAAAATAAATTCGGCGAATGGGGACATATACGCAATGCAGTCAACGGTACCTGCTTGTTTTACAGACATTCTAATTGCTTCGATTTCAAACCAAAAAGCTGGTTCAGATAATGGGAGATTCGTAGTACCTAAAACAAGCAAAATGAATTTAGAAGGCTCCCAGAAATTTGCCCAGTTATTTCAAGGTATCCACCCCAGCACAGTCTTCGTCTCTCCCAAAACATGTTTCTGGTAGGACTATCCAGTGGGTGCAAAGACATCATTTGAACCAACCTTATTATCGATGTATTTAAGGCAAAGAACTTAGAGCTTCAGCCAGATTTTGATGCTCGGCAGTTCCAAAGGTAGCAGTTTCCACAGAAAATAACTCAGAACAACTAGGAGGACACGTGTTGATCTGTCTGGAACGACTTCAGTCGGGAATGGACTGCTGGCGATGCTAAATCTCTTACACGGTGTTTGCAGGTCTTTGCAAGGAGAACGCAGCGTGTACAGGAAGGCCGCTAGTGATCCCATGGTGGTCAAAATTGTAAGTGTTCAAATATTGCAAGCTTCGGGTTACATAAGTGAATTGCTATACGAGTTTTCACTACGCCAAACCATACATAGCCTCTGTAAGATGTCCAGTAGTAAACGTACGCCGTAAGTATTTGGCAATTGGGAAGTTGGGCCTGAGCCCTGACCAGATTTGGCTTCTGACGGCATTAGATGCATGAGAATAATTATGACGAAACGAGGAGCATTTTGGTATAAATATGCAGGAAAGAGGCATTTCCCAAATTCAAAATCCAACTGAATCCTCGACTATAGTTTGAACTTCGTTCCATATGACATAAAGCCTCGTTACATCGAGTTCCTAGTTTTCTATTACCTGCCAAGACGTGTCAAGTTACACCAGATTCCTCGGTAAATCACCATTCGCTAGGATCATATTGTGTTTGTCGTCGCACTGCATATCCCCGCTTCTACCTAATTCCAACAACCCAGCCTCAATGTAGGTGGCAGCCAACAATCAGAAACATTGTGTTTGTTCAGCTTCCTCCTTCGCAACTTCCCAACCTCACCTCTTGCTATAAATTCCTCGCCATCGACTCCCAAGTAGCAGCAGAACCAAGATCTGCTATGGGTCTTTACAAGGCGATCGCTGAGTGCTTCGGCCATTCCTCCACCTTCGACGAGAGTAATCCTGCATTCACCTCAACAAACGAAAAAGCAATCCCTGTTATCACTCCTACAACAGAAGTTCAGACTGCTGAAGCACTTATCTCTGCAATTTCTGTGGCCGAGAAGCTGGGCAGGAATCTAGAAATTACATTGCAAAATATTGTCGAGGACAACGGCTTTGTACACAGCAACGGTCTCTGGTACGAAGGAATCGCGAAAATTCTACTCGGGTATTTCGAAACATTGGTCAGAGAAGGACAAGATGCAAAGTTCACTGGAGCTGTCAAGGAAGCGTTTGAGAAAGCAAACGATGTTGTAAGGGAATTCGTGGATGACCATCCAATTCTTACAGCTGTTGTCGTCACCCTTGTTGTGCTTGGCCTGCTTATGTATGCTGCACCTTGGGCAGTTAGAGCTCTAGGATTTACTTTGCAAGGCCCTCTTGAAGGTGAGTAACCGCATTTGAGACCATCAATATCGATGAATAACCTTTCGCTCTCTAGGATCTTTTGCGGCCGGATGGCAATCTGCACTGGGTGATGTCGAAGCAGGAAGCTGGTTTGCATTTTGGCAAAGGCTAGGTATGACCTGGGGGAAGTAGAAAGTACCTGGACCTCAAATATGGACGTGGGATATACGAATCATGATTGAACTCCATAACTAGCACAGCCTTGAATGCTTAGAACATCATCTCCAAACTTGATGCAACGGATGTGACGCGGAAGCGTTTTCTTGAACCCTTCCTCTCACTAGTTACCTGAACTATCCCAAGCATTCTGTGAGAATAGCACAACCCAAGAAAGCAAATCCGATTAAAATTCGTAGATGGGGCTGTGAAAGTCTACGCTGATGTCTGGGTCCCACCCAAGGTCTTCCTATCTCACTTCCTGCGAAACCACGATAAACCACAAGGACATCTACTCGTTGACACAACCTCATGCGCCTCAAACTGACCAATCATGAAATGCGCTGGCACTGAATATCAACTCGTAAAGATGTATTACTAAAAGTTCACTTCGATTCTGAATATAAACCATTTTCTAATCTCAACCAGCGATCTAGACTTTGAGGTGGAATCAAACTGCTAGATTGTTCCGCTGCCCTAAATAGCAACGGCAGTTTAGGAATCTGGAGGAGACCTTCTCATTTAAATTCTCCTAGCATTTCTTCTGCCCCTTTCGTCAACAGTTTCTTTTCGTTAATGTGGTAGAGTTTACCTATAGGGTCCTTAAGGGGAAGTGCGAAGTGGCTGATTTCGTAACATAGGCCACCTCAAAACATACGTGAAAAACAGTGTTTTTACGACTTCTGAAATATGTATCTTAACAAATTTATTTCTTAAGATATAAAATTTTGTCTTCTTAAAGTCCAAAAATGTCTCGGTTGAAACGAGCTAATTCTATTAAAAAGATCTCGAGATATCGCTTTTGGAACGAAACCAGCCACTTCCCGCTCCCCTTATTTATAAATAGCGACCCTGTTCATCAACAACGCCCACTTACTCGCCCTGTCCGTAAACAGCGTGCTTATCTCCGGGCTTCCACCTTATGCAACTCCTATAGCCCAAATTCCTAGGTAGTTAAAACACTACAAAGATATTACCTTTATATCTGACTTTTGAACACGTTTTTGACTAGAAAAGTACCTAGGCACTTATGAAGAATTTCGTATCAGAATATTACTTACTATATAGCTATCGAACGTACTTTCGCGATTTCTTAACTCTAGAGTTACTATTTAACTTTACTTATACTCAAGTACTCTCGAGACTGTTTAGATGGCTGTTGACGAATAGGGTTGAGTGAGGTCTACCCTATAGGCAAACTATTCTATTCACGAACACGAGATGTTGACGAACGGGGAGGAACGGGGAGGAACACTATGTATACCCGCGTGCGAAGCCGTTTATTCAAAGCCAAATCTAATTGAGCTCAGTAATAGTAAGCGATGTGCAGAAATTTTGGGATAGAAATGTGCAAAAGCAGTGATAGCTTAGTAGCCATTAAAGATATTCGGCCTTTGTCCTACTTCTGTAACCCAAGAGTCTACGCCTCAACTCTATCCAACTTTCCGCCCAAAGCTCCATCGTCCAGAAGGCTTCCAAACATAGCAGCCTCAAACAAGTAGTTCACCTGCCAAGCATGGTGGCTTGAGTGCGAGCACAGCCACGTCAACTCAAGAAAAAGGCCTTTTGAGTATGCAAAGGCGAGCATCCAACCGAGTTTATCGGTTAGCTCTAATTCACGATCCCCATCCACCTTACCACCGGAAACATATTCCATAGGTCCTGTCACCAGATACCACCATACATCATATATGAGGGAAGACAGTTCACTCTTCTCAGCCAGTCTTTTGACAGCGTCACAAGGATCACCGCCATCACAGGCAGACTTCAACGGCCGACTGAACCCTGTAGTGTGAAGACGTTCATCGAAAGCCTCATCAAAATCCGCTTCTCGTTGATCGGGTGGCGTCTTGCGACGTTTTGAATAACCCAGGACGGCGAGTCTGTAAAACCTATGCCTGTCGTTAAGAATGTGCCACTTGTACAGCTGCGCATTCATACGAGCAGAAGGTTCCGCCCAACGATCAACAAAAATGCGTGCTCCCGTAAAAGAGTAAGCGTCGTAAATTCGTCTTAGCTTCTCTTCGGTCACAATTCCGGTATCAGTAAAGTCTGCGGTATTCAGGAATGAGTTCATGATCTCGCAATTGTGCAAGTCGCAGCCGACATCGACCACATCAGTTGCCGGACAGCTAAAGACCATATCTGCCATGATACCAGCAGGGTCGTATCCGCGCGCAGCTGCTTCTCCCGCTACTCCAAGTAGACTGCTTTCGCAAAGAGAGACAATTTGTGCGGTCTCTCGACTCATAATAGCGGAGCGGTTTCCAACCTTTGTTTTGTACTTCTCTTCCAACTCAACCTTGGCCTTGATGTACTTGATTCCGATCTCTGCTGATATCCTCCGCTCGAGGCCTCCAGGGGTCTGGATTGCATGAGCATCCGTCAACGAGTTTTTGAGAAGCTTTTCAAAGTCTGGAAAAACTGTGTGATATCCATGCTCATAGTAAAACGCCAAGTCATTCAAGTAGTTGGAAACAAGTGCTTTTGAATCGTATGCCCCAATGAACAGATTCATGTTCGCGCAGCCGAACATTGCCCCGTGAGTCGTAAGTGCTGCTGGCCAGTTTTCGGTCCCCCAAAGTTTGCAAACCTCTTCAGAAACAGGTTTCAGACCGTGACCTTTGCTGGGCAGAACTCTTCCTTGTGCATGTTGTTCTTCTCTCCATCGTTGAAGATCATGGGAAAGACTTAGACGAGCGACATGTTTTGACGCAATAGCTTCCGGTTGATCCATAGCACCAAAAGTATCTAAGAGATATTGAATAGCTTTACCTGTCAGCTTTTTCAAGTTCTCGGTGCCTCCATCGCCTATGAGCTCTCTCGCTTCTTCATAACCATCATGTGTTGGGAAGACGGTTGTTTCTTTGCTAGATGAGAATTTGCCACCCCAAAAGTACGGAGGAATGGGGCGTGAGGTGGTGTGGAATAGTTCGAGGTTCGGATCATTAATGGGGGGTTTATCGTCCCATAGTGTGAAATTGACAGCGTCAAGAGGACTCTCAGATACCTCGACTGTCTTGCCCTCCAGTTCGCTGATGTTCTCACCCATAGGGAAATTCTGGTAGATCCTGGCTTTGTGTGTAGAGAAATTGCGTTCTATAGAGCGATTATATTTCAAATTATGCGAGCTTGGTTGCTAATCTATTCATCTCGTTATACGTGTTGAATAGTTGGTACGACAGTATTTATATACCGAACATTGTCGCATTATCCTGTGCTACGCCGCTGAAGGATCATGGATATCATTGATTGTTCTGTTTTATGGATGCCATGTCATGCTACATATCACTCGCCACGACCTTGCAAAGATAGCGAGCAGAGTCTGATTGGCAGCTCCGATAAAGTGGAGATATGCAGAGACGTTTGCAATAATTGCAGTATGATCAAGGCACATACAAAGCTGCATGTCACCTATACCACTTAACCCCGGATGGTTCAGGTGACATTGAGTTTAAATAAGTCCTAGCAGGCTTCAAGATCAGAAGAACAAACGGCGACTCTTCCTTCTTCCGTACCCTAAGTAAATATCCTCTAATTACGACAACTAGATAGACTTTGCCATACAATTTGTGTTCGCCGATGCTTTCGATCCTAGATTTTGGGTAAATTCTAGACTGGGTACATGACAAGGTTGTACGGCAATTGAGCTTGAACACGTTCTTTAGAGACTGGTCAATCCCTTAGTCATTGCAGTCGAGCGTTGAAAATCATCCGGGGTGTTAATGAAGTGGACTTTGAGCGGACCGGCACGTTCCATGATTTTGGCTGATATGCCGGTGCTGGGAACATAACGAACCACTACTCACGTCAAGTCGAAGGGATGTTGATCGTCGATTGATTCCTTGGGTGGCCACTCGGTGATGGGTTTGCCCATTTTGCTGATTTTTCTCCGATCGATTGCTAGAATAGTATTTAGTTAGAAGTCTGACAGTCTAACAAAAGCATCAATCTATCTTCTATATCTTATCGAAGATAAGACTTTGAATTGTAGCATCACGTAGATGATGGGCCAGTCTGGAAGTCCGGCCAAAAATGGCATGCAGTATCAAGGTGGAGGATGCTGACCGGCGATATCTCCGGAAAAGACTTAGCTTGAATAACGGTCAAATGGAGATATGCATCAAGCTTGTCCATATTTTGGTATCGTCGCACGAGACGTCCAATCACTTACAAAATGAGGCACTTTGTAGGTAAGCGAGATTTAGCGAGAATATGCTCAGGGGGGTGTGTGGCACAGCACATTCCTTGACGGAGAATTCACAACTTCATTGTCCGACCCTGGCGCGACTCTAGATCAGATTCCGATGAGGAGAAACTGCTTATTCAAAAAGCATTGGCACAGCGTCATGTATTCGTTGTTGGAATTTATAGCAGTTGCTGAATCGCATAGAAGCCAAAATAAATTATTAGACCTTTTCAAGTTACAGATCTAATGTCTATGCGTATTCCTTCGCTAAAGAGACACGATGCTCATCGTATGATGAACCAAAAGAGCCAAGTCCACGAGTCACTTTATCGTCATGCTTGTCAGATATTGTCAACAATGTCTTTTTTCCAATCAACACGGCTTCTAATTTTCTCAATTTCTTCTTGATATGAGGTTAAAGGTCATGCATGACCAGATATCTCTAATAGTCGATATTTGCCCTTCTATCATACAGAGAAGGCAGGACGAATGTCAGTACAGTGAATTGAAACCCTACCAAAGAATTATGAAGGCACACTTCTTAATTAATCTCACTATCATAAGGATAGGTATAATCTCTTACCCTTTTGTATATGAAACAGTAATAACGTACTATTATATATATCCTACTCTTAATTCCCTAAATATCTATAGCAAAACGCATTACAAGTGTCCACATCATAATTGCCATCGAGCGCAACTTTCTGGCATTCGGCAATGGCTTTGAGACTTTGGGCACCGAGCAGCAAAAGCTGAGGGCAGAATCCTGCTATGAGTGGAATGAGATCTTGTGTACAAGCTGTAATACAAAGGGTGGGAGATGCTGAATTAGTGTGGATTAGTCTTCGGGGACGGGAGAGAATTATAAAGAGTGACTGACGGGGTTTTATTTGTCTTGGCATCGGAACGGTGGGAAAGGCGTATATAAAGGAGAGGGCGGTCATGATGAGGAGAGTTGGGAATTGCATTGTGATTTAGTTCGTTCGATAAGAAAGTGGTGATTTGAGTACGGGTTGGCGGCTTCAAGATCGAATTGAAAAGAGTTTTTGTCACTTCAATGCTTCTCCAGCTGGTATAAATACACCAGAGCAGTAGGTTACACGAATCGTATGGTCATAATAATTCGTCAAGTCCGCACATTGTACAACGTATCACGTTGTGCCACAAAAATATTTGTTTTCGAAGCTCAAACCTGACCAACCTTGTCTTGGAACACGAAATTCATCGGATTGTCCGTGAGATGCTTCAATCACGGAATAATTCCAGATTTATAGGTGCTACTACAACATATAAAGCTTACTTGTGTAGATAAAGAAGTCTCTAGCCCGAAAGACATAGTAAGTTAATTTACCAGAGAACCACTTAGCTAAACTTCCCCCTTTGAGTCAAGTTACCGCTCGTCATTAACAGAAATATGTCGCACAATTTCTGATTGGTGAAACGGTATACCGGCACGTGATCGGGTTGCTCAGTCAAAATCTTAACTGACGAGGCGATAATTTCAATGGGCGATCAGTGACACGAAGCGAGAATGGTTCTTTCGAGTATGCTGAAGTATGAACTCAGGTAGTGTTATATAGCTGCTAAACTTTACGATGTGAAAAAAACAATCTGATGTCTATGTACTCGTGATCTCGCTTGATGACCCTATCACGTGTAGTCTTAATTCGACCAAGCCCCCTAAAAAGGGTAACGGTTTATTTTGCCTCCACTATCTTTCTCAATATGCTTTTACAATCTCATCACCAACAAATGTTATCAAAATAAAGCTATCACTTATGCATTCACTAATAACAGAAACCTTTCATGGCTTTTCCGTGTGGCAGCTCCGACTATCCAAACTAGGATATATGTCTGTTCGTGACGTGCACCGGTTCAATGCATGGTCAAAATGCTCAAGCAGTTTAATACTTAAGATAACCCTACGCAACAGTTGGGGCCTTGTTGTTGTTGTTCCTGTTGCTGTTGTTGGTGTCAGGGTTCTTTGGCTATTCACAACCTACACCCATGTACCACATCCAACATGGTGGAAGAGGTGGTAAAAATTGCTCGAAATTTGTTGACTTCTCAGACTTGACACAACGCACACCGAGTTCTAATCCGTTATCATAGCTTTTACAACCTGTCTGTTCGAGTAAGACAAAAGTGTCAAAGCATCCAGACCCACAATCGTATCAATGACGACTCAAGCGTCTGGTTCCGCTAAATCAGCTCACACTACACGGTTAGATGGTGGATTGAAAGCCTGGCTGCAGGTGCTGAGCTCATTTTGTGTTTTCTTTAACACTTGGTAAGCCAATGTCGGAAAGGGCTAGATCAATCAGCTAACATTTGACTCAGGGATCTGGTGAACTCATTTGGTGTATTTCAAACCTTCTATCAATCCGATTTGCTTCGTTCACGAACTCCGTCCAATATCTCATGGATAGGCTCGGTCCAGACGTTTCTTATTCTAGTTGGTGCCGCGTTAGTTGGCCCACTATTCGATAGAGGTTATCTGCGCACTTTGATTCGTGTAGGAAGCCTTTTAGTCGTCTTTGGCACGGTAATGGTCAGCTTATGCACAGAATATTGGCAATTATTTCTTGCTCAGGGTGTCACTGTTGGCCTAGGACTTGGATGCCTCTTCCTACCAAGTGTAGCAGTAATAGCACATTATTTCGTAAAGAGAAAAAGTGCTGCCTTGGGTGTTGCATCGGCAGGGGGAAGCTTAGGTGAGATATACCCAGATATCTAGTTGAAATATGTACTGACATTGAATATTCTAGGTGGAATATTATATCCTATTGTGTTCCAACAGCTTGAGCCTCGTGTTGGCTTCCCATGGGCTATGCGCATCATGGGATTTATGATCCTTGCCATACTCATTGTACCTATATGCTTTCTATCCGTTCAACTTCCACATTCAGCAATCAAACGTCCCTTTTACGACAAACGGGCCTTCACAGACCGTCCATACATGACTTTCTGTGTAGGACAGTTCTTCGGTCTCATGGCGGTATATATCACACTTTTCTACATCCATCTGTACGCCCTCGAGCGGACGGATACCCACCCAACGGTGTCCTCTTATCTGTTATCAATTATCAACGCTGCTTCTATAGCAGGCCGTCTCCTTCCAAATTTTGTAGCAGACAAAATCGGTCCACTTAATGTCCTCATCCCACTCACTGGTGGTGCTGCAGTTCTTACCTTTGGCTGGATCGGCATTCATAGTGGCGCGGGGCTCATCATCTTCTGTGTGCTTTATGGCTTTTTTCAAGGCCCATTTGTGTCACTCCCTCCAACCATTGTTGCTACGCTATCTCCAGATTTGCGAAGTATTGGTGTGAGGCTCGGCATGATGCTCGCGATTTCCGGTTTTGGGTCACTGATAGGCGAACCAGTTGCAGGTGCTATTCTACTGAGGCCAAATGGGTGGATGTGGCTTCAGATTTGGTGTGCAGTGCTTTTTGTGGTCTCTGGTGTATTTTCCGTGATCAGCAAGCATCTGGTAGACGGTATGAAGAAAAAGGATCAGATTTTAGTATCTTCCGAGGGCTCGAGAGAGCCTACTGTTGTGGTTGAGCAAGATATGAAGCGATGAAAGTCAGATAGGAATTTCTGATTCTGTTCATGCATATCTATCTCGACAACGTCGCAATTTTTCAGCATTTTATTAATGGACAAATACCGCCGCGCTGTTAGACTGGCTTGTTAGGGCGCACCTTCACCCCCTAGATTTATTCGAATCACGGAACGCTTCCGCGTGACTCGTGCCCTCGGATACACAACCTTCATGCCATGACACAATTTGACCAAACGATATTATTGATGCAGTATTAATGCAAGATTTCCAGAGGATTCAGCTCAAGAGCAATTCGCTCTTGTGCATGTGTTTTGAATTATTTTTTCCGGGCTGAAGCATCGTGTTTGTCGTAGCAAGTCAAGAAGGCTGCGAGTACTTAAAAAGGTGTAGGTCCAGAGATTATTTCTACTCCAGCCCTTTTGTTCGAATGCTTGTTCGTGGTCAACATCGAAAATAATCACGAAGTCAGTCCAATTACCAAGCTCCTGCAGCACCAGACTTTAAAGATATGTCATTTTACCATCACTCGTTCTCAGTGCAACATCTACTTATTTTCTTTCCGTCCAAAAGCATAAGAACCTTAGCGGTTCCAAATCCGTACCGAAAATAAAAACATATCTCAAATGGCTGCTGCCTCAAAACTACGAACTCGCAAAAATGTCCGCACCTGTATCGCAAAAAGAGCACTGAGTATGTTGGTACTCGACATCTATCCCTTCACCTCACACCCCATAGGCGTCACCAAACCCAAACTCCCCCTCTTCAAAAACGGAGCCAATCCATCAATGACATCCGTCCTAAAATTTTCAATCCCCAAAGAATCATCCATCCTCATCATTTTTCTTGCGCGTATGCGTTTGGCAATTCTTTCCTCTTCAATAGTGAGGTTCGCATGGAATGACACTTCTTTCTCAGTGTAGCTTCCTTCGGCAGCGGTCGCTATTACAGTACCATTATTAGAAGACTTTTCCAGAAGTTTGATCCGCTCTTCTGGAGAGTTCGGTTCAAAGGCAAAGGCACAGAAATCCAACGTTTTGGAGAGCTCGGATTGTGCAAGCTTGTCGGAAATATCTGCCGTGCCTTGAATGACTAAAATCATTAGTAGCTGCTGATAAACACTATATTGGGCTTAAGAGTCTTACTAGGTCTGAAAAATTCAAATGCCCTATCAAAGTTGTCTTCGTCGAAGTCCGCAAGCACAGGCTCCTGCTGTTTGCGCATCTGACGATATCCGCTTAGAACCACGAGTGTAAATCTTTCATAGCCATCGGCAACTTTTCGCGAGTGCCACTTTGCAGCAGATGCTTCGTCACAGTGCCCTCGAATAGCTGCACAAATCGTTGTTGCTGCGCTTAATGCTCCGGCAAATGCCAAGTGGACACCGGATGAAAAGAATGGATCGATAAAACATCCTGCATCTCCTACTACTCGTGCGTAAGGAATAGCGTATGTTGAGGAATTGTATGAGTAATCTGAGGCAGATCTGATGTTCGTGACCACTTCTCCATTGCCCAAAAGTTCGGTGATATTAGGTGCGAGCTTTAAAGCTGCCATGTAAAGTTCTTGAGTAGAGCCGTACGAGCGCTTTTTGGCAACTGCTAACTCCTGGTTCATCACAACTCCCACAGAGGTTGTGTTGTTGTGAAGTGGAATAAACCATGCCCAGCCACTTTCATCTGCAATGGAAGTCAGCGAAGGGGTTCCTTCCATCAGCAACTTGACAAATGAAAACAATACCTGTCAACGCCTCAAAGTATGGTGAGTCTTCTCTTGCTGTATTCACAGCATATGCGCCAGTATTCTTCCAGTACCCCCAATTAGCAAGGTTCTTTAAACCTTGATTGAATTTGCGAGTCTTCAAGTACTTCGAAGTCAGAATTCCCGCACGACCGCTAGCATCTATAAGATAGTCAAACTTGATCGTCCCCGACGCACCCGTCGAATGATTAGTGTAGGAAGCGGATTTCGGCCTTCCAAGAGACTCGCGGTTTCCATTTGTAGCGGACTGGGACTCGACGTTATCAAAGTAGATTTGATCAACTCTGACCCCATCATGCATACTCGCTCCGCTTTTCCCAGCGTGTTTAAACAGGATCTCATCTGCTTCAGATCGAATAACGTTCCAAGCGTAGTTGTCCGGTCCTCCAGATGCGAGAAAGTCCGTGTACCCTTCTCGATTTCGCCCGTTCAATTTGAACGCTGCTCCAACCTTCTTCTTGAAACCGTAGGCATCGAACTCTTTGTCCAAGTCGATAAAGCGAAGAAAGTGTCTCATAGAAGCCAGCATGCTCTCTCCGACATGGTATCTACATTTTATATGAGTAAATTGCAAAGGTATAAATCCAACTTCTGTCCCCAAGTACGATAACTTGAACTTACACTCACCAAAGATGATGAAATTAGTGGTACAAATCACCGCTTTTAGAAAGGGGTTTCAAAATATACGGACAAGATGATGTGCACATTGACTCACCTGGGGAATTTTTCAGCCTCCAGAACTACTGTACTAACCCCCTCTCTCGCAAGCGCTGCAGCTGCGTATGAACCTCCAGGGCCACCACCTATAACCAGAACTGTGCACTGACTTGGAATTTCATTTGTAGCCAACATTTCGTGAGTGAACAATTTCGATCAGATCAAATTAAGTTTATGGGATCAAGTGAGTGTTGCATATTTGGTAAGGTAAGGTATACCTTGGCTCCTTCAGCTGTGTCAGCACTAGGCCTATTCAGCAACATGTACGCCATGTTGGCGCCGCCATCAGCTCCATCTTGGCTGTTCATTTTTGGTGATGTCTCCCGAGAAGTCCTTGATTTTGGCATCGAAACTTCTGGCATACTTTTGGCATTGAAATTAACCAGTTATGTTCCCTTTACACGCAGGGAAAATATTGATTTTCTCAGGATAATTTAAAATCTTAAGCTTCAAATTTACGTACGAAAGGTACAGTAAAGCGCCACCAGCGCCTTCGAGGAATCCTACCGGATTAGTCCAAGCTGTTTCGCCGCCCTGGGACCAGACCGGGGATACATGGTGGGATCTCGGTACATTTTCCGGCCCGATATTGCGTGTAAACAGGTTACCTTCAAGGTAATTATTGGATTCTAAATAAATGATATCTTCATCAGTACTCTTAAGAAATAAGAGCAAACTTTAGGCTAGACTAAGTTAACCAAACGAAAAACAGTGGCTCACGTACATATTTCGTGTAGAGAAGTGTCATTGAACTATGATAGCGATCGAGTAGCAACTCAGATACTATGTCAGTATCAAAATCTTGCTAAGGATGAATCTAGAAGGTTTGTTTCCGTAAATATCCAAAACAGCATTTATTGTTTATTACTACTCTGGAATTAACGAGGATCTTCTATCGTAGGAAAGCCGACGCCTACCTAGCCGAATAGCCTTCATAATAAGAATATCAATTCCCGGCATGTACCAAGCGTGTAGAATTGCTTTTTACCTATAACTTTGACAAAATAGACGATTAGGGGAATTCGTTATTTTCAATAAGCGTCTGAAAATCATGAAAGTGTGAAGCGCGGGCAATCCGAGAAGGTTCGTGGTAGAAGGTGTAACCGTTAATTGTTGAACATAGCACAATCTACGTGGTAGAGCTTTCGAGGTCTTTTGATTACTACATATGTGTGTGACTTTACCTTACTCCCGTATTTATACCCTCTGTCGTGTCAAAACATAAGAGAATGCTACTTTAAATCGACTTCAAAATCAAACCACGTACCCATACTCCTCTTCGCCCTAAAAGAAACAAGTTAAAATCTAGAAGAGACTATCAGGATGTATTTCCCAACTCTTGTCCTCATAGCAACCGCCATACCTTTCACTCACGCTTCTTCTGCCATTCCTACCCCCATGGACATACCACTCCGCAACCCCCCTTTCCAAAATCAACCTGGTTGAGAACTACCGGGATCCAACCCAGCGACTCGCGGCGACTGTGTCATAGCTTGTATAACAAGTCGTCTAGCCCTCGAAGAGTTCTGTCCTGAACTCTTGGCAGTTGGGGGCGGTGTAAGCGGCGTTCTCGAATGTACGAACCTGGCGGTCACAGGTACGATAAATAGCCGTAACTGTGCGAAGTTTTGCGAAGAATATTTTCCCTATTAGAAGGTGAATGAGGTTCATTCAGATAGGCGCTGTCGTTGAGTATACGACCCTAGCTATCGTTGGGTGTACGACCCTAGCAATTTAGGACGAGAAATGACAGCACGTGTACGAAATTCTGTGAGAGGAATCTGCCGTCGTAGGGGTGGATAGGAATCGTAAGATGGGGTTGGAGGAAAAGTTAATTTGTTTGACGACCCGTTGTCCTGAGAGACACATAAGATATCTCAAATTATGGAAGGTCGAAATCTTAAATCCATCAAAAAGTCTCGGAACAACTTTTCTCAAAATCTTACTTTTTCATTCAGTAAATATTACTACTCCACCCCACTCCCCAAGTACTTGGAACAAAACGCTTCACAACCTGCTTCATTGGTACCGTCCAGCGCAAGCGTCACGCAAGCATTAAGCGCCTCAAGACTCTTAGTACCGAGTAGCACGAGTTGCGGGCAGAATGTCAGGAATGGTAGGAGACCACTTTTGCAGAGGTTAAGACAAACGGCTAGGTCCGCTGGATTGTTTATCAGTTCTAAGAAAGTGGGAAGCTGGACGAAGACTGACAGGTTGGTAATTGTTTTGGGGTCAGTTTTGTGGGAGAGGCTTGGGCGGTGGAGAGCCAGGAGAGGACGGTTGTGAGGAGGATGAGGGTTGGGAAGTGCATTTTTGTGGTGGTTTGATTTAGGTCGTTAGAAATAGGGTGATTTGAGGAATGGTTGGCTGCTTTGAAGCTCTAAATCATGTATGTGAGGTATGTTTTGAAGTAACTGTAGGGTTTCTAAATAGCCTAGAGAGCAGGTTACACGGATAATCAAGTCGTCGGCGACCTTTCCCAGATCTGCACTCGTGTGCTACATTGTACAAAATAGAGTTACGCTATTAACTCAATAGTCACATATTCAACCGCGAACCAATTTGCGAAGATTCGTGGTCGACCATCTCTCTCGGAAGTTGCCGTAAAAACCAACTCACCCAAGCCCACTAGCTAATCTTCCCTTTAGCTGTTTCATAATAGAAGACCAGCAAAGATTCCACGACATTCACACAAGCCTCTATGGACAGGTAATCCCAAAGTTAAAAACGAGAGAGTTCCAACAATTCAACAGGGCATAAATCAACATACCAACACACACGGAAAGTTCCTTCTACACCTCCAACAAACCAATTAAGCATACAAAAATCAGAAAGATTTCCCCGCGCAATGCTACCGCTAATTTTCCAGCCGCGACAGAATTGATGTATCAGGAAGTAAGCGCTGGATATGTCACACAACCCACCAGCTCTAGTCTAACCAGTAAACATTTATTCTGTCCATAAAGACCACGCTAATCACCCCAAACCAGTTCCAGCTCAACCCTCCAACCTCATTACCTTCCCAACACTTTTTTCCACCTTCCATCCCCCCTGACATATCAACTCCCCCCTGAAAACCACTATACTACCAATCCCTCCTTCCGGTGTGTCGACACAGTAAAGTTCTCGTGCGACTCTGTGTTCGATCACGGTCCAATTCAGAACGCCGTCCGCGTCTATCAACTCCGTGGCTTGTGATCCGGGAGGCAAAGTATTACCACGCCGATGGAAAGCCAAAGAAGTCTTTTCTGTCGAGGACGAGTGGTAATTCTACTCAAATAGACGTTTCGCCGCGGGACGTTGTGATGAATTCAGTACATCGAGAGAGGAGATTCCTTATTCTTCGCTAGACAACAACGCCTCTAAACTGTTAATCGCCCCTGGGTCGTGCAAATCGCTGTCGATCCGATAAACGTATCGGGTTCAAAGCCGTAGTAGTTATCGCGGCTTTTCGATTCTTGACGTAGAGTTCGTGGTACGATGTGGAATTTAAAAGGTGGATTGAAAAATCCGTGTAAAAACAAAAAGTCTGTGTAGCAGATGGTGTGGTATATTTATACCCCTCGAAAGAATCAGAACATAACAGAGGCCCAACCCGATCAGACCTCAGAGCAGTTTAGTCCATACCACTCCTTCACTTCTCAAAGCCATATTTTCAAACACCTATCAAAAACTTAAAATGCACATCCCAACCGTCCTCCTTCTCACAACAGCCCTCTCATCCACACACGCCTCACCCGCAACCCTCTCCCCCAAGCAAACGCAACTCCGTCCGTATCCTCCCCCTCCTCTCACCCTAAACTAACAAGATTCACTCCACCAAGCCTCTGCGACTGCATCACCGGCTGCAAAAGAGATTCGTCGGCAGAGTTTTTGAAGCTGTGTCCCGGGTTCCGGGAATTGGGGGGTTCTTATGGCTTGGACGCCGTGAAGACGTGCGAGGTGATTGCCAAGGCACGCAGGAGGGATGTAACACGGTGTCAGTTTTTCTGCACCGCGTATCTGTCGTAGGGAGGGGGAGATGGATGGGGGTTTGGTGAGATTGTGATCGCTCGGGTGGGATAAGGGTCGGGGTGGGAGTGGATTAGACGGAGGGTTCGACGAATCGTTTAGAATAACAACGAAAACACCAGGATTTTATCTCATCAAGTACAAAGCACGATTCCTAACTTTAGATACCGTAACCGTTTAATTCTATTTCCAATTGTATTATCAATAAGACCACCAACCATTTCCCAACCAACCCCGCGCATAAGTAGACGAACAACCTATATACAAATTAACAACCAATCTCCTGTTTTGGAAATAAGGATGTTGGGGAAGAGAGGATGAATAATCTTCCAACTCCCTCATTTTAATGGTAATACCCCACAATGCCACGACCTCGAAGAAAAGCCTCTCTACTATCTCGTCAACAGCTTTCCGAAATACCCACCAACCCTCGACACAACGACAGATAACCCGCCCATTCGTCTTAAATACGAAGATTTCCGGGGTCTAGGGTTAGAGGACGGACAGTAGGCGGATTTCACTATCGACAGTTACTAGTTCTTATGTATATGTCAATATCTTATGAGACATCAGGAACGGTGACGTGGTGGGATGTGCTGTGTACTTTTATATTTAATTTCCTACACCCTACTTCCCTAGTCCGGATTTCACGCCGTAGCGTCTCTTATCTTTACTTCATCCACATCATCCATCATATCCTCACTCAGAACGCCAAAACAAACCCCCACCGCCACCACAAAAAATCTCCCATCTCCCATCTCCTCCTCTCCCCTCCTCTCCTGTCCTCACCCCTCACCCCCCCATCCGCCCCCCTAAATCTCAGTCTCCAAACTAGGTTCCTTCCCCCCATGTTCAAAAACCCCCTTCACATCCCCCTTAACCCTGCGGACTTTATCCACAGCCCACGCCCCCGTCCTCGCAGCCCGCCACTGCATCACGCCGCGATGCTTCCGATGCAACTGTCTATGATGGGACCCATAATCCCTAACCTGGCCCATGACGCCCCTCTCCCCATCACTCGCGTCGTTATCGCCCTTCACCAGGTCCGTCGTCATATTCTTGAGTTTCTTAACCGGGTTCTTGGTATGCGAGTCCGTTTCCGTGTCTGAGTGTTTGTGGGGTTGCAGGATTTGCTGGCGGGTTGAGGCTTCGTGGTCGGATTTGGAGTCGTCGGAGGCGGAATCAGAGGAGTCAGAATCAGAAGAGGAATCCGAGATGGAGCCGTGGATCTCGTCGTTCACCGTGTCGAGGGCTTCCATGACGTTTTTCATGTCTGCGTTTCGACCTTTTTGCGCGAAGGATTTGTGGTAGCCCGAGAGACCGCGCCAGAAGCGGATGGTCATTTCGATTTCGCCGAGGGGTTGTTCGTTTTCTTCGAGGCCGTAGTATCGAGAGCGTGTGGTGGCGGTTTTGATGTTGTCTTTGCCGCCGGTCCATACTTTGAGGGTGACGGTCTGTTCTTCTTCGTCTGGGAGGTCTTTGAGCCAAAATACGGCGAATGCGGGCGTTGAGTCTGGACCGATGCTTGATTTGCGGAACTCGATGACAAGGGGCATGGCGTAACGATTGCGAACAGCTAGGTACGCTGATTTCTTATTGCGTTTTGGATGCCATTCGCCGTTTTGAGCGCTCAACTTTGCGCGTCCTAGGTTGGACCGAATTTTGATTCGATGCTCTGCGAGACCATGAGGAAGTGTGCCCTTTGACTTGACAGGCGAACTGATTTCAAGAGTTCCGTAGTCCCAGCCTAGGAGCTCTCGGGGAAGTTTTAATTCAAGACTTCTAAAGACCAGAGATAGACGAGCCCTTCCGAAGCCAACACCACCTACCAGTGGGAAGGTGTCCATTATCTGGCTTCTCTTCTCGAATACCTTTCCAAGTGGTAGATAGATGATGCCGAGGAGAGGATCCAGCTCCCTTTCCCGACTGTCTCTGACGGTAAGCATAACTTCAGCAGTCCTCCAATCACGAACGAATCGCTCAGTTCCTGCATTGAAGAATGGTTTGGCGTTTTTAGGTTTCGTTCGAGTTTTGTACAGCTTTGCGTGGTTGAGAATGATGGTGCAGTAACTACTGGGTAATTCTTCCGATTCCTCTTCGTCATCCTCTTTCTGCTCCATTCCCTCCTCATCCCTTTTCTGTAACGATTCAACTTCCAAGCCCGTAATGTTATGAATTTGGATTGACAGAACACCACTGGGGTAATTTGGATCTGGTGGAGATGAACATATCATCGCGTTTTCCAGCTCCCTGTAATCCTGCGCTTTTTGTTGATTGATCTCTTTGGATTCATCATGTTCTTTTGCTTCTCGCAATTTCCTCTCGGAATTCTCGGAAACATGAGATTTCAAATCCTCCCTAGACTTGATATTATCATCTTCTTTCTGCTGACTGATCTGCTTCTCCGTGATTCTCGTTTTCTCATAGTAGCCAACAGACCAATGGAGAGTTCCAGGCATTTTCTCGCCTGGCTCCTCACCCATGAACCGATCTTCCCTATCGCACATAGTATTCTTAGTCTTCGAACTATGCATCAGCTCCTTCAGATCAACCTCTACCCTTCCTAGATCATCATCGGCAGTGTACTTGTCAGAGTCCCACAGTTGCAGTCGAAGCTTCTCCTCCGCATTGAGCTCCTCTGGCGTCACAAGCATGTAAGCCCATTCATCCCAGATCGAGCTCTGATCGTCTTCGATAACTCTTGTCGAAGATACTGTTTTCCCAAACTTGCCCCACGAACAAGTGACATAGCTATCACTCGAGCCTTTCATTGGGCCGATACCACCATCGCCCTCTTTGAAGTCTTTGGCCTGCTTGATAAGAATAACGATGACACCTCGGGCAACAGTATCCTTCTTGAAATCGTCTCCTACCAGCATATCCTTGAGATCAAGCGTAAGACTTTTGGGTGCAACATAATCGGCAAGTGCAGCATCGATTGAGGTCTGCACGAAAGACGATATCAGAGGAACATCCATGACATTCGGAAGATGTTTCGACAGCGGAACGCAGGACAAATCAGCTTTTGGCTGTCCAACAAACGTCAAAGTGCAAAGACTGAAGAATGGCGGGTCCGGTGTGAGTTGCAGCCGTAATCGCATAGTGCCTATCAGACCGCGAAGTTCCACCCAAACAGGCACAAAGATGCCGCCTGGTAAGTAAAACTTGAGGTACAAATGAGCATTCTTAGCCTTGGATTTTATCGACTTTCCAGACGAGCGAGCTCGATACGCAAAAGCAAGTTCCATATTGACGAAATCGCCCTGCTCAGCTTCCATACCCTCACGCATCGCTATCTCTTCCTGCTCCTCGGCCTTTTTCTTTTCTCGTGCTTTCTTCTTCTCTGGATCATCATTCAGCTCATCCTCGATTTTATCATCTTCATCATCTTCCAGCTGTCCTTCTCCCGGTGCAGCTCGATCGTTGGGTTTTCCATCACTAGCAGGCTTCAAATTCCCGTCTTCATCAACGGATTGATCTGCTGCACCGGTAGGAAGCCAGCGTATTCCCAGAATACGGATCGACTCGCTACCTTGACCTAAATCATCAACGCTGACCATCCGAATGATCTTTGGCAAACTAGCTTGCATGACATCTTCCAACATATCCACCACGGAAGCAAAGAGATCAGGGTTTACCAATGGCCATACCGAGGCGAGTAAGCTGTTCATCCACGCCACCGACTCAGGCAATCGGCTGGAATCTTTTTGACCTTCTCTCTCCTCTACTCTTGCTGAATCCCAGACTTCGTCTTCCCATAATGTTTCCACCTTATTGCTGAGCCAGCCCTGGAGCCCGAATATGACGACTGCCACAGAACCCACTGCAATCGCAATAAATGTTCCTATACCAGCCATTGTCGTCTTGGACAGTCCGGATTTATGATGGTCGCCTCCCAATCCTCTGGTCAGAAAGACAAGTAAAACCAACACAACCGCTGACAGTACCGATATCACAGCCAGTCCAATAGTTATCGTCAACTGATACTGTCTCATAAGCTCAGCCTTCAAGTCGTCGAAATTTGGAGGAGGAAACGTCTTTTGCATCCCATCATATCCATTTTGTATCTCGTCCTTCTCGCGATCCAAATGAGACGGTGTCTTCGAATTACTGCTCATCCCCGTCGTAGATTTCTTAATCTTCTGTTCTGGTTCATTCTCAGGTGCTCTTCTCAAATCCTTGTCCGTCGAGTCTCGAATGACAAGTGGTAGATGTGTGACCGGATCCGTAACCTCACGACCTCCATCATCTCGTTTGTTATGCTTCATATTCTTTCGCTTTTGTTTCGGGTCCATTGTCCCTGCAGTTTTCTCTGTCGCTGACTGCCCTGAACCATCTTTTTTGTCCTTGCCTTTGCCACTCTTTCCATTGCTGTTGGGTCCCGAATCATCATTGCCATCCACATTAGGCACACTCGGTATGCCAGAATCATGCTCGCCCGATATTCCATTATCCTGGTGTTTCTCATTCAGATTCTGCGTTGGATATGGATTTCCCTCTGCATCCCCCTGGTCTTCATTCTTGACTATAGATTTCACCGCATTGAAAGCTCTCTTGGTCTTCGAGTCATCCTCCTCGGTGTGTTGTGCATCTTCCGCCCGCTGACTATCTCCTTTGAGTTCCTCCCGATGCTCACGGTACTTTTGGATTGTTGGAATTGGGTGATTGCGGGAATGCGGAGGTCGATAGTCTTTGCGAGCTGCTTCGCGTTCGAAATCGTTGGACGACATGTTTGTTTACATAGATAGAATAGAACAAGACAAGATTAGGTCCTCAATCCGTGTTGAACAATTGAGGAGTGCAAAGATGAAAATCCAATTGAGAATAAAGATGGTCCTTACCGTCTGTCATGGCTGACATTCATTCCCCGCAGTTGCATTGGATTGTATCGTGTCGTGTGTTCTCGTCGTTGCATGATGCGACAAACAAGAATTCCATGTTGCTGCCCCACGACGTCACTAAGCCCCTCGCAAACCCCGTCAAAGCCTGGGATGTCCGCTTGGCGTAGGGTCCTTCGTGCCCCATCCGGCTATCAAGGCACAGATCGTTGGCCCTGTAAGGCTCGGCTCGGCACATCGAGTACTGAATCGATCAACCACGTGAACTATTCACATACGATTCATTAGAGAAATGGACATTGTACTTCGAGGTACAGTAGCAGAATATACCTCGTAGGAACGGACTGCGGTTGAAGTGTGTCTATTGCATTGTCCCTAAATCCATTACTCCCCAATCCTATATACACGCCGGTTGCATTATGTCGTAAATCCAGGCCCCCCAATCCAACTGAATGGTACCATTATCGTGAGCTGATGTACATCCTGGCATATCATTCCTATGTTTTTCATCTGTCGGGCCTTGCTTTGCTCTCCATCTCTCATATATGCAGAGGTCACCGTATTTACAATAGAAAGATCGCCAGAACCGCCATCATCAAGCCTTGCATCAATCCCATCCCGCCCATCTTGGACGCATCTCCCGTCTTACTCGCCGAAGCAGCAGCAGTCGTACTCTCAACAACCGAAGACGGAGCTACCGCCTGCGTAGTAACAACCGTCCTCGTCATCGCCGGAACAGTAGAAGCCTCCCTCGTAGTCCCAGCCACCGTACTTGGTTGCGCAGTCGATACCTCCGCCGTAGTAACAACACTCGTAGCCACACTCACCGTCGTCCCAATCTGCTGCGAAACCGTTGTCGAAACCGTAACCACGCTCGAAAACGTACTCCCAGGCACCGTAGCCGGCAACACCGTCGTAGCCTCCACCACGCTTGCCGGCAACGTCGTCGTAAACGTGAGAGTCACCAACGCGCCCAGCGAACTCACAGGCACCGCTCCCCCAACACCTGTCCCCGTAAACTGCGGCGGCAGAGCTAGAGTCGCGGTATTCGGTTTCGCAGCTTCATTGCCTGCATATATATTCCCGCTCGCTCCCCCAGATAACGTGTAATCCCCCGTCAATAAATTCGCCGTGTCGCCGCTACTCGAGGTATACGCGCCATTGGCGACCGTGCCGAAACTGCCATCGGGGAGGAGGAAGTTGGTTGTGAATTTGTCGTAGCAGAACGGGAGCGCGAGGTTCGAGAGGGTGAGACAGGAGAGGGAGGTGAGACAGCAGAGCGAGGCGGTGCCGTCGGCGGTATCGCGTTTGAATGAGGGGAGCGAGGAGCCGACGATGTCGCTGAGGAGGCTTTGGAATTCGGTGCTGCCGATTTTGGGGGTGGTGGTTGATGTTGCGCCTGCGGGTGCGCAGATCGTGTAGCCGGTTCCGCACGAGTTGGCGGCGTGGACGGAGACTGAGAATGCGAGGATTGCTGGGAGTGAGGATTTCATGATGAAGGAAAAGGTGTAAACGACTGACTAGGAACTTTCGCAGTGGTATCGCGTGAAAATTGAAATAAAAGAGTACGGGAAAACGAATGTGATTAAGTGCAAAAGGTAACGAGTGAATGTCCAAATTTCTCCAATATTTACCCACAAAAGGAAAGGAGGACAAGATGGGAGCTTGCATATGTGTAAAATCACCGACAGGTTCAAAGTTGAGACACGGACAACTTCCAAGTCTGCGGGCGTGAACTAACCTTGAATAATTCTTCAGTGACCGACAAGACGCAGCCTATGACTGGTTGTTGGCAGCAACCTTGATCGCTGAGGTCGCTTTTAGAGTTATTCGAATTGAGGAGGAGGAGTTATCCAAGCTCTGATATGATGGATGCGTTGGTAGGTTATTTTAGGCTGGATTGGCGTGCGATTCATGTGAGCTGTGGCAGTAGGACAAACAAGGTCCTGACTGTTTGGTGTTTCCTGAATTTACGAGTTAGCTATCAGTTTGGGATTTAAGTATAGAAATCATGGAATACAGACTTACCCCAACTTACAATACCTACGTCTCCCTCTTACCGACATCTTTCACCAAATAAACAGTTACACAATAAAGCCACGAAAAACAAGGTCTCAGGTTATCACTCCCGTCCCAACGACCGTTGAGTCAAGGGTCAAGTACCGTTGTGGACCCTGAGGTCGAGACCGTGAACAACTTCGTCTGAAAATTCAAAATTTCGATTTTTAAGACGACAGGATGCAGAACACGGAATGTTTTAACCAAAGAGAGTACGCACTAACTGTTGGTTCCTGTGGGAGTTGACTCGAAACAACGGCGCCTGCAGTCAGCACGAACTAGACCATGTAAGGGACTCTAACTTTGTGTACTCGTACCCACGTGGTGTGATGGCGTCTCTTATTTTTGGTGACATGTAGAGCTGCGATATTGTACTAATATGCTATCATTGTATAGAGTTAGGAGAGAGGTTTAGGGATTTTGGATAGTAGAGATAGCAACTAATAGGGCTGAGACTTCGATATTAACTAGGCACTTGATTAATCTCTAGCTTAAACCGAACATCGATTGTTTGGAAAGAGATGCTTATGAATATAGATGAAACAACGATGGCAGGACTGATGATTAGGTAGCTGTTAGCACATCTGAATCTTTGCGGAGTATAGAGAAGCGAGAGCTTCGTTGAATAAGCTTGAGGTGCTGCTACTAATCATGACTTGGACATGTTAATCTCGCTATCTACAGTATTCTGAGGATAACTCGTAGACAACCACTTAAGGATTGGCACTAGTAATGACAATGATGTTTAAGCGTGACTGTAGTTGAGTGCTTTGAGGAAGTTGGGAATTACGAGTAAAGGATACAGCCACGGTTTAATGAACCTCGTCAGTGCATGTAATCCTTCAATTCGTGGACCACATGGCAAGGAACACATTTAAAAGACACTAGAACTTTCATTAATCTTGCAAAATGACACATTTCCATGAGATTCGATATCATCATAATGACCATCGATCACACTACTTCGACTAAGTATCATGAGAGCCATATTTCACGTACACGGTACATCCGACTAAGAATTTGACATCCGAAGTGTCAAGACAAACTTGCCACCTCTAATGTTAGAAACCGAGTAGCAGTACCCAAAGACGGATTCACGGATGGCGATTCCAACACTATGAATTTATCTTGCTTAGTCGAAACAAATTGCTTGGAAACATCTAACAAAGAAGTATACATATGTGCGACTCGACATACGGCCGGAGCCCAGGTATATCCGTCGCCTCGTCGAGAGCCTCGAGTGACAGGAACCCAATAACATCGCGTGTAACCACCACCAACAATCATACACGGCCGAACTCACGCCCGACCAGTTTCAATTCCTCCTTTGTTACGAGTTTCTGGAATCGATTCGCTGTGAATGGAGGCGGTTGGTCGGCAAAGAAGCCTGACCTTTGAGGAGGGCGACCGACCGCTGACGCCCGTGACCCGAGGACCGTCGCTGCGCCACTGTTTCTCGTATGCGAATCGTGCCTCAGCTTCACGACGCCCTACGTAGCGTCTGCCTATTCCTACCAACCATCCCCTCTCGACCTGAGCTCTTTCATCTTCCTTCCTTTCAACAATTACTTCCCATCTAAGATATTGAATCGTGATATTGACTTATCACTGTTAAATCGATCTGTTGCAACTTCAACTTATTTCGTTTCTTTAATTCCCCACACGAGGCTGCACATCGCCACCATGATGAACTCAGCTGTTGGACATCTGGTCCGTCGTGGCATCACGGCCACCTTCTCGAGCTCTCAGGCTATGAACTTTGAGAACTTCGAGAATGGCTCTCCCAAGTCTCCTGAGCCCGAGTTGAAGTTTCCAGCATGGGGTATGGTCTTGTTGGGTACGACAGTCGTGGTGTACTTCTTTGCGGCTAGCATGGTAAGTTGTTCCCGAAATAGCATCAGAACTTCCAATTAACAGGTACATCAGATTGAATATACCTTCGGCCGCATTATTCCTACCCTCATCATGATCGAATCTCCAGCCGAAATCGCTTTCGAACCCCTCTCAACCGACGAGACCGATGCCAGCCTGAACAAGACTTCCCAGGTCGAGACCGTCAAGCCACGAGCCATTACCTCCAGCTTCAAATCCTCCATTCAGCTCTTACAATCGAAGGGTGGATTCCGTGCTCGTTTCAGAGGTATCTCAGTCTACATCGTCAATTCGATGGTTGTACAATGGGTTTCGCAATTCCTGTCCGCCATCCCATTCATGCCAGCACCTCTCTCGATCCTCGCTGCCATGGTCCTTTGCGCAAACCTCTCCCTCTGTTGGACTCTGATCGTCATCTCCGACCCTAGCCCAAAGACCTGGTTCCGTCGCATGCCGACCCTCAGTATGTGGAAGAAGGTCGCCATTCCAACCGCTCTCTTGAGCGTCTCTGAACAAGTCGCAATCTTTGCTCCTCTCTTCCTCGCCCTGGCTATGGGTCTCGACCGAGAAGATCCAAGACAAATGCCATATTATACCTCCAAGGACACCGGAATCATGGCCGCAAAGAGTTTCGCCGTTATTGCCCTCGCTGTGGTTCTTGGCGTCTTCCTCGTCATCCCAGCCAACATCGCTCTTACCCGTGTTCAAGCTTCCCTCATTCCCGAGGCTGAGGAGACTATCGTTCCATTCGACCGCAGCTTCAACGGCAAAGTCGTCCCAGAAATTGTCGGCGGAACTGGTGTCATCGGAATGATGGATGCGTGGAAGACTTTCGACTGGGCTGCTCGCATCAGGCTTGTCAAGGCCTATGTTAAGGTTTTTGCCATGCAACTCGCTTTGACCTTGGCATTTTTCTTTGTTCTCACTGCCCAATTCTTCATGATTGTTGGTAAGGATTTCAAGAAGTATGCTCCAAAGGATGGTGCCAACTAGGTTCACCCCGCGCTCTGTAGAGCAAGCATTCTTACTACTTCGAACCCACTCAGCTTGTATTACTGCTCTACGAATTATGCTTTAAAATTGGAAATCTGGTGTTCCTCTTGGATATTTCTTTTGTAATGGGAGGGATCTAGAATTTGGAAGATATCTGTCATCGGAATGACATAGGGTCGATAATTCAAGCGTTGATATTATCAAGTTTCTGTTACCACATGCTTCTCCTTAGGTTTTCGAGTATGATATAAATCTATTTTTAAGCTCGTTCAAGCGAAGTCGAGTAAGGCACGTTTTCTTTTCCACGTGTTCGTCTCCAAGAATTCCATCATGATGATATGTCGCCACCAGCTGTGAACGAATTCAATATATGTCGTCTGAAAGGGTACTATCGAATTCTACTTCTGGTCACATCTCCATGTATCTTCCATTTCCATCGCATCTCTGCAGTCCTGTCCTGTCATTTTGCGTCGTGGGGATCGTCCTTTGTGCCATAGCCGCAAAGACGGGAAGTTTCAACTTCCTCGTTTGTCGATCACCGCAAATACTCTCCATTACTTGCAGCTACAAAGGCGAAAGATTTAGCTCTTTCACGATCTCATTGGAAGATGCAAATGTCCTGGGCAGTTTTTCCATTACCATCGGCAAGGTATCGGGCCCGGCCAGTTCCGTACCTTCCCCTTTGCGCTGGTACGCAAATGGGCTATCTACCAATAGTTCAACCATGTGCAGCATGTCGCTGTACACAACTGCGTACCTGCATATCTCCACCCCGAGGCAACTTACTTTGGGCCCGAAAGATGAAAATTATATAAATCCGGGGTCGACCTGTAATAAGTTTGCGCAGCATCGTCTTCATCATGCGTTTCTCAACAGTTGCTGCTTCATTGGCGCTGCCGTTAGGCATCTCGGCTAGTTGCAATGCGGATAATTGTCTTCGTGCATTGAGAGCGCCGACGAAACTCGCAGAGGCTCAGGCGTTTTGTGCTACATTCACGACGGCGGCAGTAACGGCGACGAGTGCGATTCCGTCGTACGCGGTTGCGGCTTGTGGGGGAGATGTTGTTAGTCGGGTGAGTAGTGCGTGTAGTTGTATTGCTGTTTCGACGAGCTCTACAAGTGCCAGTTCGAGCACGTCTAGCTCAACGATTTCTACGAGTACTTCGGTTTCAAGCTCTACGAGTATAAGCTCGAGTACGATTATTGCTACGACTAGTTCCTCCTCGACGTCTTCAACTTCTGTCACCAGTTCGACAAGCACCGCTCCAACTAGCTCGCCTACCGGGTTTCCTCCTGGTCCAAAGACATGTTTAAATCCTCAATTGAGTTGTCAAAACACGACGGTCGTCGAGGATCTCTGCTGCTTTAATGCACCAGGTGGTCAGCTTTTGCAAACTCAATTTTGGGACACGGCACCAAGCACTGGTAAGTTAAATTCTATGTGAGCATAAATCATCACTAATAAGAAATAGGACCCGCTGATTCATGGACACTTCACGGACTCTGGCCCGATCACTGTGACGGCACGTATGATGCCAACTGTGATCCATCAAGAGAATACAGCAATATCACTGCTATTCTACAATCTTACAACAGAACTGACTTGCTCACCTATATGAGCAAGTACTGGAAAGACTACCAAGGAAATGATGAGTCTTTCTGGGAGCATGAGTGGGACAAACACGGAACCTGTATCAGCACTTTGGAGCCAAGTTGCTACAACGGCTATACTGGACAGGAAGAGGTTGTGGATTACTTTGAGAAAGCTGTTAGCTTGTTCCAGGGACTCGACAGTTACAAGGTAAGTTCCATTAAATAATCCAAAGAACGACCCTAACAATTCCTAGTTCCTAGCAGCCGCAGGAATCCTACCTTCAACCACAGTGACCTACACCTCAGCCCAAATCCAATCCGCCCTAACCGCCGCCCACGGCTTCCCCGTAACAATCGGCTGCAGCGGCGGCGCTCTCGACGAGATCTGGTACCACTTCGACGTCCGAGGTAGTGTCCAGACCGGCGAATTCGTAGCAACATCCCCAGATGGATCGAAATCCTCATGTGCGGATACAGGAGTGAAATACCTCCCAAAATACCTCCCACCAAGCACGACCACTACATCCTCGCCCCCTGGACCAACTGCAACTGGCGCTCCATACGCAGGAAAGGGATTCCTCCAAGCCACCACCGGCGGCGCGCAAAAAGGCTGTTTGATCAGTGCAGGGACGTGGTATACCACCGGCACATGCGCTACCTACACCGCCACCGCATCCGGTAACTCCCCCTATTCCACCATATCACTCCTCAACTAACAATTCCTAGGCACAGGCTTCACTCTAACATCCAGCAAAGGCCCCTGCGGTATCGTCGCAGACGCTTTCACCTGCGCGGCTGGCACTACCCCAGGGGTGTTCACGAGCGTGAATGGTTTGCTGGCGTATGGTAGCAGCTCGGACTTTTACGCAGCTGCGGTACCTTCGGGTAGTGTGCAGCAGAAAGTGTTTACTACGAGTAATGCTGTGCAGGTGACTTTTAAGTGGCAGAGTGTTTGAGTGGGATATACGAAATCGTATACGAATATTATGATGATATATAAACGGATTATGAATGAAAATCATGAGTTAATTTTATTTATTTTATTGCCTTTCTCTAACGTATTACTCTTGAAGCGGAGTCGATTGCTTCATAACATCCTAAGATCCCTCACCCCCTCTCATCAAACTATATCGATACCCACAAACACATTCCCCAATACCTTCCTCGTATCCTGCATAAACCCATCCTGACACGATCTCAATCGCGCGCTCGACCCAACCCCGTGCACCTCTCCCGTATACTTATATATCTTAAGTCTTGCACTCCCTTCACTGTAGAACTAAATTCATTAATGTTTATACGAACGTCGTATCTTCACACCCGCTAGACCTGAAGTCGGCATGATAAGCTGGGTGATGTGTCGTTGTAGCGTGCAATTCTTCACTCGGGGGTTTTGTTCTGGACTTGCTGGATGGGGTTGTTTGTATGTAATCTTGCGGTTTAGGTGGTCTGTTTCGTTAGGTTTGTGGGTATTACTCTTAGACGTAGGGATTGTTGACATCCATTTGCAGGACCTCGAGGACGTTTTCGTAATTAGCGTAAGTTTAGGGAACGGACAGCCGACCTAGTACATACTTATTTCACCGTAGAACTGTAGATTTAATAATGTCTATACGCACGTCGTATGTTTACAGCTGCTAAACTTGAAGTCGGGGTATAAAAAGCTGAGCGATACTTTGGTTTTGGCTTATACTTCCTCGCTTTGGGTATTTTGTTCTGGAAATACTACGATGGAGGTTTTATATATATTTCTGCGATTTAATTGCTCTATTCCGTTAGCTATGTAAATACTACTCCCTCGTACGTACCGCAAAACCCGTTCGCAGGACCTCGATAACGACTTCACAATCGGCGCAAGTCTACGGAACGGACAGCTGAGCGCTGCGATTTTGACTAACCTTACTAGGCTGTGAAGTTCTCGCTAAGTTTCTAGACATAGACGATGTATGTTATGGAGCAGCCGCGACGGCTTCATGGTGGGTCGAGGAGTGAGGCCTGAGGGTCATAGCCGGAGGGTGTGTGTGTACGGGTAAGAACGAGGTTTTTGAGTTTAGTGATCAGTTGAGGGATATTCTGTACTGGTTTTCCGTCTAGAGTGAGATTTGTTGTCGAAGGGCTTCGGAAGAAGCTTGTCTTTTCGCAAACCTTGGATGATTTTGCTGATTCGAGTTGTTTGCCTATTGAGACGCCACTTAGGAGATCTGATAGCTTGTTATCTCCGTCCTTAATCAGCCAATCCATCCCATTCTGCACATTCAACTCCTGCACACTCGTCTCAACCTCAACAATCGTTCTCCGACCCGCCAAACACGCAGGACAAGTGAAATTCGAGATGTCCTCTGGATGATAGTCAACGGGATATATGATCTTACTCAAACACCGCCGACACTCAACGCAAGGCGCTCCACCGCCTTTCCGACAATAATAACACTTCGCCGAAACACCAAGAGCTTGCGGGTTATACACCACATACTGCGCCCGACACATCCGCATTCGACATTCTACCCACGTTGCTTCCGTCGCAGGTGTATCATTCCGACTTACACACGAGCGAATACACCTCGCTCGATCCTCGGGGGCTTGATAGTCTGCTATGCAGTTTCCACATTTACCTTTTGCGCCCATAACAGTAACGGACCGTGGGAAACGGCAGGATATGCACGTCACCAGCGGTCCTAAAGCCACCGTCGCCTTCTCAGGCGTCCAGCTTATGGCGGTTGTTAATGGGGTGTGTAAGTTCTGCTCGAGCGTTTTGTAGGAGATGAAGAGCCAGAAAAGCGAGCGAGCTGAGGGTTTTAGTAAGGTCTCGAGGTGAGGGTTTGGAGGCGAGTTGAGGTCGTGGGTTGTATATGCTGCGTCGGCGGGGAGGAGGAGATTTAAATGGTTTATATTATATATGTCTCGTGGTTTGAGGGTGTGCCAGGGATTTTTCCATGCGAGAATTTCGGTTTCGGCGGCGAGGAACAGTGGGTTGATTCCTCTGGTGAGCGCGAGCGCGGCGAGTAAGACTGCGGGATGAGCTGGGAGTATGGTTCCGGGGACTATCAGATGGAGTGAGATTTTCCAGAATTTGCGGTCGTAGGTGGGTTGGACGAGTGCAAGAGGGATGCGTTGGATTGGGACGGATTTGGTGTTGGAGGGGAGGTCTTGTGGTGTTTTGGCGAATGAAAATCGTGTTAGGATGCTACCTAGTCGTTTGAGGACTTGGGCATCGCAGGATCGCTTGATTTCGAGGAGTTCGCTTCGTTGGAATTGGTGGATTGGACTGCTGTTGGCGTGTGATTCGGATGGTTGGGGGAAAGATGATATTAGGTCGAGGTAGACACACGGGAACTGTTGATCTTCTCCCACGCTTTCAATAGCCTCCTGGATATCGACAGTGAAGTCATAAGACTCTTCTAACCAAATCTTCATCCTTACCTTCTTTTCAATGTTCTTGATTTTCTCGATAGACTTGCGGAATGCGGTGGTAAGGTCTCCTCGTGCGTCGTTGTCGCGGTCGCTGCAGATTGCTCTCCATAGACTTCCAAAACCCGGGTTCAGAGATATTGTGGAGATATCGTCTTCGATTAGCTGTTTCATTTGTTTGGTTGCTAGTTGTTTATAAGTGTTGTCGACTTTATACCGCTGAACGACATCTTGTACTGGGGGGGTTCAACGAGGCATATACTTCTTGAGGATCGCCAAATCAACCTTGAAGTTCTCCACTCCACTTCCCTGTGAACTCCCCTCAAGACTCTCTTCCTTCTCAATTTTCTCCAGTACACTCAAATCCTTAAACCTCGCCAACTTCGCACCAATCCCCCCATCTTCCCAACCCCCTATCTCAACACCCATCCACTCCAACAACAACCTCACCGTCATCTCCGAAATATCACCAGCCCTCGAACTCGTAAGATAAAAACACGCACCCCCCGTCACCGCCGACAAAAACGTATAATAATCCCCCAATCTCCCCGCCATATGTCTACCCTCCAACAAACAAACCACCTTCGCCCGTCCCGCCAGAACCCTCGCACCACAAACCCAATCCGCAAACAAATGCCCCCTTCCCCCAAAAGACCCAGACTCCAACAACACCTTCTGCTCAACCTCATAATTACTCTTCGCCCCCCAAATCCTCCTGGCATTCTCCCGCGTATGCGGCGGCGCATCCATATACAACAACACGAGCGTCGTGGCCTCTGGCCGCATAACCTCATACGCCCTCGCCAGCGCCGTTTTCATCGCTTCCGGCTCGTCGCCGCCGCCGTCTGGATGCAGGGTCTGCGCGAAGTGCGTGAGTTCTGCTCGGGCGGTGGGGGAGGAGGGGTCTTTCCAGCCGGAAAAGGAGAGGATGAGTGTGGGGGGGAAGTAGGCGCGGTAGGCGAGGATGCTGAGACGGGAGAAGGAGGTTGTGACGGTGGTGAGGGTGAGGAGATGCGGGAGGGTGATGGAGAGGGAGTTGAGTGTGGGACCTGTGTTGTAGGTTGCGTCGATGAGGAGGAGGAGGTCGTATATTTCCGGGGCTTGAGTTGGGAGTGATGGTGTAGAATCCATGGTTTTCGTTGGGGTTGGGGAGTTATGTTGAAGTGACAGTGGTGGATGGACTTTTCAGACTGGGTATCTAGTCTAATGGAATGCTTTTGCTGATAATGAACGTCTTACCACAACTAAGAAACGAGCGTGTTTCTGACATATAATTAGTCGATAAGAAATGATAAAATCGTTTCTCTAGAAGGGTATACATACTTCTTCCACGTTCCCCCTATTGACACTGCCCAGGTGAGTCATGTGACAAACCACGACTCCCTTCCGAATACCAAACCATGGACACACACAACAAAAATATCAGCTCTTGACAATTTAAAATTACATTCATCTCATCCTCTGACCGAAGTACTCTCACTTACAAACAAGGTAGACCTCGGATTTAACTCCACTCGCGGTCGCGGCCACACACAGCCACACGAGTTATCGACGCCACAACCGGTCTCGCCAGACCGAATGGTTTTACGTAGAATTTTTGGGCGTTCAGCGGCTCTCCTCGGTTCCGCCCGTCAAATTCGCCTTGTTTGACATAGCTGAGGGCGGAAGGGAGTGTTTTCGTTGGGCTTTTGGTACGGTTGCAGCTGAGGTTTTGGTCACGGGCGGGTTGGTTTATGTGGGATGCGAGATGAGGACGCGTGTGTTTTTGAGAGATATAGTAAGACTGGATTGATTAATTAATAGGTCTGTGTATTAAGTACCTAGGTAGTCATTGACTTTTTCTCGACTTGTTACTATTTTTCGAGCTAGTTCTGAAGTTGCTAAAAAGAAACACTGTAAGTATTATACTGTTTAATGAAATAAGTGATACAGCTAATTGATTAGCTTCCCGTAGAATATGGACAGAGGTTTATAATTGATCAGGTTAAGAACACCCGACGATGTGTAATTGGATAGGTTGAGATAAATAAGATTTTAACAACATAGGAAAAATTCGCAAGCTACTTTGTGTTCAAGTTTCTTCTATATAGTCTAGTAAGAACAGGCCATTATTTAATGACGAATATAGACCGTTCTCTTAATTGTAATTGAGATACAGACTAGATAGGACGAATAGTGATTAGAGACCTTGTATTTGTTCTTTAATTTTTTTGACATATATAACTTGTATAAAGTTAAGGTCGCGAGATAAGTTCCCTGAGACTGTTGGTATCCGTATTCATTAGAAGTGTAGTAGCAGGTATAATGTGTTACAAATATGCGACTTAGATGTGTAAACTGTCGTCGGCCATATCGCCCAGGATCATCTGATCTGGATGAGGTAAGCGGTAGAAAGAAATTAGAGTATTTTTCCAGATGTAATGTAACACAAGTAGCTTCTGTAACTCGCAAGACCCTGTACGCTTTAGAATGACTGGTGAGCCCTACAAGCACCGTCTCAAGGAATTTCAGTTCTCTCAAGATATACACGTAGAAATCGATAAGATAGGTAATGTAAGTCAAATTATGATTAATTCATGTCGTGGGGCCTTGGCCGCTGAAAACAGCCCCAAAACTAAATCAGAAAATTTCAGGCGCTGTCCTGCAGAAAAAATACGAACATAATCCGTAATCCTATCCCTTCCCATAAGAACGCTAGCAACAAAACGTTCTATCAGGCCAGCTATATTTTGGTTATGCTCGATTATGAAATCCGATAAGATTTCCATACAAGTACGATTTGGTCAGCACTTGAAAATTGGTTTTCCCTCGAAACTCTTTGGGAGACGGTGATCGTGAGGGAAAGAGTGCAGCTGTGCTTGAGCGTCAGTGAGAGAAAACAAGGAACTTCGAGGGTCAACCGACTTATTGTGAACTCGATCCTTGCGCCGCAGGCTCAAAGCCACGTTGAGCGAGTACATTTAGCAACATTGTACTTTAGTGCTAGCTCGAGTGAGTGCTTCTTCACTTGGCAATGATTACGCGCGGAGCTTCCTTGGTAGCTTCTCCTCCGGTTTGGAATGTCTTGCTTTGAAAGCTCGCTGGACTTAACAGTACACTGCGACTGCATCTGCTCGTTGCACGTAATCTCTGGTCGACCTAGGGTGAGTTGCAATTGATCCAGCCTGCAGAATGGATTTGCCAGCGCTACCGGGATGAAAGTTGGAAACTACTAGAGCAGCGAGAATGAAGGCCAAAGTAGGCCGGTTCAAAAGTGATAACTGGCGAACAAGGCTATGCATTTGATCGCAACTTACAACTACAGACAACAGAGGTAGGACGCAGATAGACGGAAGATACAAGGAGGTGATAGTCTAGTCTTTCTTTGACTTCCGACGCGTATTTCTGGCTTGTTTGGCTTTGGAGACTCCTTGAGGTTTCGCAGAATTCCCCGTTCCTGCAGCAACTTTCGCAGCTTTCGCAACTTTGCGCTCAGGTCTCTGGCGGAGGACGCGAGTTGACGGGTTCGTAGGAGGTATCACGCTTGAGACTTCACCGACTTCAGGGACATACGGTTGTTTCTTCTGCCTTTTCTTCGCAGTCTTAGCAACAAGTGAAGGTTTAGCTGAATTGACCGCGATTTTGGATTGTCGCCGAGGGGTTGTCCGTCCTTTCCCAGCAGCTTCAGGAAATTTCGTGGAGTGAACTGAACCAGAACTTCTATCCGCTGCCGGTTCATTCCTTTGTGTCCCACCCACTGCGAGCTCGCGAGCATCGACCATGTTCTCGGCCACGCCCTCTGCTGACTGCTGCTTCTTGTCCGTGGGTTCCTGCAGCCGATTCTGGGACTCCTGCCACAGGGAGTCGTAGACTCGTAGTAAGGACGTCAGGTTCCTCAGTCGATAACGTAAGATCTCATCGTCGTCGTCGTCAAAGTCCTCGGTGCCAGTCAGAAAAATCGACGACACATTAGCGAATTTACGATAGTCTTCTTGTTGCCGCTGACATTCCAGGGCGAGTTGGTCGCTCTGGGTCCATGCTGGCGTAAATGCTCCTGCCGAAATGCTCCTCGAACTATCCTCTGCTTTACGGAGTGCGGTGAGTTTGGACGTCTCTTCCTCGAATCCGTTCGAGGCACCCCAACCGCGCATTCCAAGACGCTTGCGCGCATCGTATCGTTCTAGCTCTTGCTTTTCGCGCGCTGCCCGTGCAGCTGCGTCGCCGAAGGTGATAGTGGACGCGCGGTCGCTTGCTTCCTTTCTTCGTGCCCGCTCTTCTTCCGATATGGGCTCTCGATAGACTGCTTGATGATATTGAAGAGCTTCGGAAGACGTGCTGGCAAGGGACGGTGTCGGTGACGCGTGACGGGAGATGGGATGTTCGTTGGGGGTGTCTAGCACGGCATTGAGCTTGCGACCCAAGACGTCTAGATCTAAATCCATCAGTGCTAGGAAGGAAGTGCTCTCTGGCCGTGTTTGTTCCCTATGACGATGATGGCGACGGTAACGGTGGTGGGGATGGTGACGGTGGTAGTCAAAAGGATGGTGGTCGTGACGATAGAGGAGGAAATCGTTGCGGCGGACGTTTTATCGTTGAACGTTGCGAGGCTGCACAATCTAAAATTAGCCGTGCCCATTGCTACGGGCGCGCGCTTTTCGTTCGGGGTTGACAAGCGCCGCCCCTGCCAATAGAACACCACCGTACGCGCCCGATGTGTGGTAACCTCGCGGAGGACAAAATAAGTGGCAGTCGAAACCATTTACTCACAGCGATTGAGGAAATATCGTTTAGTGAATCAATTTGGCGAACTGTGACATATTTCGTCAATTACTTCAAGTAAATTAACACTTTTTTGAGCTCTATCTAAAATCAACTTATTCAAGTCCAAAGGTTGTTATATAATATTATTGGGCAGGTGACTGTCACTTGTCTTGTCCTCTCAGAGGTAGCCCAACATGTAGCCAGCCGCCCTCGAATTTGAAACACAAGACTAGGTAGGTACCTGTAGGTAGGTATAGGTAGACTGGAAATGCAACATATAACACACGCGACATGTCGCCCCAAACAATCGCTTTTCAACGCTCTGATCAATCTTTTTCCCCCATTTCTTCTGAGAGTGCTTTTGGTTTCAGCAAAAAACCTCTCCAAACTGCTCAATGGCCACTAATAAACGTACGCCCTGGTTCCAGCTCACCCCGGAGAATGATGTTGCTCTTGCCATTACTCAGGATACTCAAAATCGAGAGCGAGTGACGGTTCGCCCAGGCGACGAGCTCGATGTGATTCTCGTCCATTTTGAGGACTACTTCAAGCCCGAATGTATCCTTTCTTTCGGAAGAGATAGAAATTGTAGTATTGTCTGCGACCCCCCAGGCTTAGAATCAGTGTCCCGACGATTTTCCCGACGGCACTGCCAGTTTTTTCTATCCAACAGCTCGTTGATGCTCCGGGACGACTCCTCTGGCGCTTCAACGACACTCACCCCTCGAGACTTGGACCCTCACGCGTGGGAACTTTCCGCCGCATCGGGCGGCACTCCTCGTCAACGAGCCCTTCTTGAAGCTGGGGAATGGCACCTCACCGTGGGGCCTGCTGAGTTTCTTCTTGAGTTCACTGGTAGAGGTAGATTGGTCCACGCCTGAAATGAATGTCTGTATCCGTGCTAATGAAACATTCCAGGAAAGTGGTGGAAGCAGCACGTCAAGGCAAAAGAAGAGCTAGCCACCAGGAGGCTACCTGCCGCGTATATGCTCACCTTGCCCACTGTAACTCTCCCACCGACCCGTTACCAAACTCGGGTCCAAACACCTCGGATACCCGAAGAAAAGCTCCGTGACGCGGTCAAGTACTACGAGCTCGAGCATCTGGGGAAAGGAGCCTTTGGTGTTGTTAGCCGGGTCATTGATCTTCAATGGGGTGGCATCATGGCTCTCAAGGTTGTGAATGTCAATCAAAGCAAGGAGAAAGAGACGAAAGAAGGACTCAAACGTGAAGTCGAGTTGTTGGCCAAGCTGACACACGTGAGTTTGTCCAATTCATGCCTATATGCTATTTCGTGCACTAGCTGAGATTTAGACGTAGCCGCATATCATCGAATACAAGCACTCCCAAGGCTGGGAGCTCGGTCTGCCAATACAGATATTCATGTCTGCCGCTGATGGATCGTTGCGCGACCTTTTGGATGCCATATGCCAACCATTTTGTTGCCCGCGTCCTGCGAGTTCCGTATCATCAACCAGGCTCTTAGTCGTGCCCGCTGTTGGCTTCTGCTTGTGTTGCGTCGCTTTGTCACCCCACGCCCAGACTTGGAAGCGTTCGTCTTTCTCGTCTTCTAGTGCCTCTTCTTCCGCCGTTAAAGGCTCACGGTAGACCGATTGATGATATTTAAGGGCCCCGGATGAGGTACTGGCTAGAGAAGGAGACTTGTTATCCGTAGCGTCATTTTCATCTTCCCTCCCTCGTGGTTTCTTCCCAAAGGTAAGTTCATAAGCGCGGTCGCTTGCACGCTTTCTTCGTGCCTTCTCCTCTTCTGTAAGTGGCTCACGGTTGGCCCAGTCATTTAAAGCACCAGTGACATCCGTACTGGCCAGTGACGGAGACCTGGAAGGTTGAGTGCCATCGTAAGGTGGTGCTTCTTCCAACACTTTCTTGAGTTTACTCTCCAGCACGTTTGGGTCGAAATCCATCGTAAATGATGATAGAGGTTGTGGTTGTCAAACCAGAAAGAGGTGAAGAAGCGAAGAAGCTGGACATGATGACGGTATTCTAATGAGGCAGCCAGAGAACATTCACTATGATGATATGATCTCAAACATGAAGTTGTGAACTACGCGGCTAGCAAGCGCCCGTTACTTTGACTGTGCCAATAGCACAGTCATGGGAAGCGCCGAGGTGTCGCTTAAGGTTTGTGAGTCGTTGGAAGAGTTTCAACTGACTTCTCCATTTTGCGGCATCCTTTAATGTTTCCCATTATGACATGCGGTGGGTTCCATTAATATGGCCTCATGAGAAGCCAAATGTAGCCCTGCTATCGTAGGTCTATTCATTGACCCCCACGCACTCCTCTTCTACAACCGCCAAGCACCCCATCACCCTCCCCAAAAAACGCCTCATCTCCAACCCCTCTTTCCTCACCACCCACTGTCTCAAGCCCACCGTGTTCCAGTCTCGCGCCAACCGTCTCCCCATCCTAAACCTAGAAGCTTCCACCCTCACCGCCATCAAGAAACACATGTCAAGTCACCTACACCAACCCTCCCCCAAAACCCGCGCTAGAACCGCTCTGCGTTCTTCCATGCATGGAGGTGTGGTGCGGATGCGGTTAGGACGTAAATTCTAGATGCACGGAGGGGACGGATGGAGGAATAAGTTACGAATTGCAGGTTCCAAGATCTGTTGAGGGTCACCGGTGATGTGTTTTCATGCCAGTCTGGTTCACAATGGATGGGGTTTGAAGTTGATGGGGATGAATCAGTTGAGGACTTCAGATTAAGGATGTATCCAAATGACAACTGAAATACTTGAAGCATAGCCAGCTTTGAGCGGGCAAATCTCTGCCATGGTATATAACATTTTCGAACCTTTCAAAGAAAAAAAAAACATAGACTCAATTGCAACCATCCGCGTGCAGAATTTTGGTATCACCCCACGCAAGTCCCCCGAGAAAGAACGCCAGAACACCTCGCCTGATATATCCCAGATCATTCCTCATATCGCTGAACATAGATTATACATAATGTGAATTTCGTAGATCGTAAGCATCCGTATAGGGATGTTATTTGAGAAGGCCGCCGACATCTTGGAGGGAGAGGTTGGTTTGTTGGCGGTGGAGGTCGATTCGAGCGGATGCTTGAGAATGATCCCGGGAACGAGATTGCTCTTGTTGAATGGTTTGCAACTCGTAACTCCTGGGCTTCTGCGTGATACTTCGCTCTCTACTTCTCGGGCTGAGAAATCCTCCTAAATCGTGAAGAAGTGCTGCAGAGCCTTTGCGAGGAGGCGCGGGGGAAAGACCATTTTCATGCGACCACTGTGTATACATCTGCCCTTGCGTGGAACTCTCTCCGTCGGTATCTGTAGTTCTAGAAGAGCTGACTCTGCGCGGTTGATCTTCGTCCAATAATCCTCCAACGTCGAAAAATGACACTTTTCTGGGTGTATTAATTGCTGACATTGAGTCTGCGGGTCCTATATCGTGGGACATCTTCATCAAATCGATCTCATCACTCGCTTCACTTCTACCAGTTGGGAAATTCCAATTATGCATATCTCCAACTTTATGTGATTTGACCGGTGCATTTCCAGCAGTTGCCATCGGAGCTGGACGAGGTGTCGGTTCTGCTTCTCTGAGTTCCGGATTCACACTCATACCAAGATCTCGAACAAGGTCTTCGTCACTTCCCCAGTGCCGTATCGCGGTGCCTCGTCGACTCGTTGTTCGCTCAATGCTATCGCTCATTGATCCGAACTTCCATCTGTGTTTCTTTACGCCCTTATCTCGAATGAACGACCCCAAAATCAATGCATTGGCCACAGCCGTAGCGAACAAAATCTCCACAGATGCCAAGAGAGAACGATATTGTTGACTTCCATGTCGATCGATGATCATGGGAATGCGATAAAGCGTTGTCCCAGCTGGTAACAATGAACCCGCGAATAGACAAACAAGCTGGATTTTCCTTTGAAGACGCATCTTCGATCGAATGATGATTGGGATCGGAAAAAGAACCAAAAGGAAGTCAGTCAAGACGTTTGCCGTCCCCATCGTCAATAACTGAGCATAACCTTGTCGGCATTTCGGCCCAGGATCTGGTACTACTTGCCAGTAGTGATCAAATGGTTGACATTCCGCTAAATCAGCAATAACCACACCGACAAATGTCAACAGGAGAAACCATCGAATGAATATTAGAATCTTCTCGTAGGAGTCTCTCCATATGCTCGATATAAGTCGCTTGAAGAATTCTGAAATGGTCAATTTCAGCATCCACAATCTGCACATCATGTTAGCCTCCGGTGCAATTGAAAATAGAGCAGATTAAAACGTACGTAGCCGCATAGAATATCCTGGAGACCAAAACCAGCTTACTTCCAATCGCTCGTCGTCGAAGAGCACTTTCTGACTGGTCCGTGATAAGGGCATTGTTCGTTCCGTATAGCAGAATCATGTGGACCACCGCCATGCGACAGAACAATGGTATGAGACATCCAAATGCCAGCCAATCCTCCTTAAAAAGCCTTTCTGTCCGAATATATCTTCCGCATACCCGAAACATTATCACGACCGCCGCGAAAATCGTACACCACCAGCATACCAATAGCGTCGCTTTGTCTTCGCGGAATGTTCGGGCGGGTGGAGGAGAACTATACAAGTCCATTTTCAATTCGAACTGCCCACGCCCGTCTACCTCCGCAGAGGGGACGAGCGAGGAGTTGGAGGATTTGGCAATTCGCTCGTGATCGGGGTGTTATGAATTAACTATGCGCATTCCTATCTGGACTTCTGGATTCGCGTATTGATGTGTCCTGCTTTCGAGTGCACTGTCGCATGAGCCGGTGCATGACAGGACTCGAGAAACGTTAAACTGTTTAGATCTGGCAGTGGTTCGCGCGGGTCGCACAGAGCTTATGACGTTCCTGAGACAGCTGGCAACTCGCAGTAGCGAAAATCTTTCCCAGCGCTGCGGGACTGGCGTGGGACGAGTGTGTGTGCGAGTTACGGATGTCGGCGAGCGACGACAATGCGATTGTTTGGGGGTGCAAAGCGATTGTAGTTGCAGTCAAAAATGTCGGAGAATGGCAGATGTCTTGAGGTTTCGGAGAAGTGGTAGAGGCGACGGCGAGGATGGAATCGGGGAGGAGGATGGATGATAAGACGGAATGAGCTTTTGGAGCCTGGGGCTGGGATCCAGCAGTGAGACGGGAGGCCGAGACGGTGAAAGATTGTGTGACAGGTGGAAATAGCTTGGGTGCTACAGCAGGAGTGGACGCTGAACTGCGGGTGTGAGTGGTGCGAGAGGTGCTAGGCTGGGGTTAATGATAGAAGCCAAAATGGTGGGCAGACCACTGAACAGGTTGAAGAAGACGAAGGAGGATGAAGACGAACGAACTTCGAAACGGTCCGTAGTTGACAGACCAACCCCAAGATAAACCCTCCCGTTGCCGCGTCTTGCCAACCCACGCGGGGCGGTTCTTGATCTCATCACAGAGTCAGTCAGGTCAGGCTCACGACAGAACATCGCCGAGCCGATGATGATACGGAAGATACGGTGACGGGGAAATCTACTATTGTTGAACAATAAAGAGGGGCTGGTAGTTTAATCGTTCAAGGCTGGAAAATTAGAAACTCCACATGGGCCTGGGACCCTGATCTTCAGAGATAAGTACAGCGGAGTAGATGCTAGACTTTGAGGGTATCTCCGTACGAAGAACACCAAAAGTTCAAATGAACTGAACTCAAAATCATCCAAAGTCCCAAGCTGACCAAGATAGATCTGCGTACAACTTAGAATTGCCAAACCTCGCTTGAGCAGAATGTATTGTGCCCAGCGATATAGGTGTCCGGTTGATACGCTGTCGCGAGATTGTACGTCTAAAAGGATCACGACGTGACGACGCCAATCACGAATAGGACGAATAGTGGCAGAGGCAAAGCAAAACTGGCAGTCACATGGGCGGGATTATACCAACCAGTGACGGCTTCAATTTACGCGAGGTATTTTGTCACGAGTCTCGTTCAACAGTGTGTTTTTTCTTGAAGATTATTGGGTTTGCCGTTAAAGTTATCAGTCTTCTTCTCTAGATTAATATCCGTACTTTTGATGGTGTTAATTCAAATTACAAGGCCAACAAGAATCTCTCGCTCCCTTCGTGAATCAACGCGCACGAAGCTTCCACGTCGGCTCATCCCAGCCGATGGTATCGTGACGTGGAAAATTGCGGAGGGGAAAGGCTGGGTGTGTCCGGGTTGAGGCTTGTCGTGCGTGCTCGAATGTTTCTCAAACAGGAAACGCGGCACTCAACCACCACGAGGAGAAGTGGGACAGTTACGGAGAGCCGCTTCAGGGATACAGATAACGCTTGGAAATGCACACGAGCGCACAAGAGCAAGCCACTTTCAACAAAGGAACCGAGATGAAGCCTTGGGGTTGGTCAGCTCACAATCAATTGTGGGAATTAGGGGGGAAGTGGCGCGGACGAGGCACAGACTGATTTGTCGCGAAATTGATAAGTTAAAGCGGATGGCGCTCTGCAGCATGGCACTGACTGGCACAGAACGCACAAACTGGTAGGAAAGACCGTGCTGAAGAATCCAGCCTTCTTTGAGGAAAGCGTTGTGAGATAGTGATAGTATCCAGCACGTGAGGTTCTGGTCGAAATTCAATATTGTCGAACTGACGGTGTAGACATGCGGAGGAACGCTTTGTGCTATGAACTATTCACCTGCGCTCCCCCAATAGTCTTTCGGTCGAATTTATTGAGAAAGGGACCCCGCCTTTTATCGTTTAGATAAGGCCTAACGGACGCAAGCTAATACTGCAATGATGCAAGTGCGAATACAGTAGCGTACGATCCCGAGTTTGTGGTTGACTTCCGTAGTCGAGGAGTGTTGAACGTCAGGTTTAGGGTAACCGATTTAGCGTAAAATAAGGTAGTTTAGCCACAATTACTAAATTATCGATTATTTGACCCTTAATTTAGAATGAAATTAGTAGCTCACGTGATCTCGGATTTACGGAGGCCGATGTCCGAGACTTTATATACTTATAGTAGAACTCGATGTAAAAAAATATCTTTCGGCCCGAAAAGAGGAGCCTAAATTTTCGACTTTTCGGCGCCTTTTATCGGCGCCGATTATCTATAGTACTCTACACACAAATCTAATTTAGCTAAAATCACTCATTTTACGGCTAATTTAGCTCCTTGAGATTTATTTCTAAAATAGTAACGTTAGAATCGGTAACCCTAGTCAGGTCGATACCAGGTGATGAAGGGTCTCACTAAATGATCAAAGCGGCGCTCGAATACATGCGATGGCTCTAAAAGTAGTGAAAGGGCCGACATCTGCAGATTCGTTGAAATCTAAAGGTCACGACTTGATCGAATTTTCAAGTTTGAACTACAACTCAGGCGACAAAAGACAGCCTGTTTGAGCCTACTTTGGTGAGTCCTTCAGGGGGTGTTTACGATTCTCGTTACTTAAGCGAACCCCTATCCAAAGGCTCGCAGCGCTGTCGGCTATTGAGAACAACCTTTAGGTAGCTCTCAACGACAAACTATACCGCGGACATGTGCTTTGAACCTTCAGTATCCATCCATTTCTTTCACGACAAAGATATATCGTTCTTGGTACAATGGTCGCTAACAACCCTCTTAGTAGAAGCGAACGGTTTTGCGGCCAAAGGCTCCCTCGATGGCAGCAAATACTTGGTAGGAGACGATAACTGATTTCCAAATTCAATTCTAATCTATAACATTGAGAAAAAATACAATTCTAAAACTAGAACACCGGGAATGCGACGGAAGGGCGAACTGCAGAGAAAGGATTTGCCAACAGCCCAACCAACTGTTTGAGTCTTGGGCGCTGACACAAAGTTCCTTCGAGTACTTGTCAATCACACTTTCTCTTTCTCGTGTTCTTTCTTTTCTTTCTCGGAATGGATCTTCTTTGGTACTCGCACCAACCAATAAATCACCAACGCACCAACAACATTAAAAGCAATGTATACGAAAAGAAGACCAAAGTTCCTCCAAGCCTCTGAGTAAGGCGCAGAGACCACATCGAGAAACACATTCGTGCTCGCCACACGACAGAATCTACAATCGGTTGTAGCATTTCCATCAATCAAGTAGCCACCGGCGACGGAGACATAGTCGGCTAGGTATTCTGCACAAGTCGAGCCCGTTGGAGGTTGAACAGTAAGCAGTTCATTAGCTGCGCAGACAACTTCCGTGTTCGCAACGGCGACAGAAAGCATCATCGAGATGATATATGTAAATGGTGAAACCCGGTACATGAAGATCCAAAATCGTGGCAAGGCGTCTTTTGTAACAAGCACACCGCAGAAGATGAGACAAAGCATGAAGGCGAGGTTTGCCAGATTAGCCGCGGTTTCAGCCTCCGGTATGCCCGCGATGAACAGAATGCAGAATGTTGAAGTGAATATCAAGAATGTCCAGATGAAGAGAAACATCATGAACCCCCGGATATGAACTTCGTCCGTTGGTATAGCGTTACGATAGAGACCGACTGGATAGTACCATGTGACAAACATGAGTATCGCCATCACAAAGCCCCAAGGTATCTCGACCAGAATGTTTGAGAGCATGAAAGCTTGCCACGAGTATGCTTTAGATGGTCTTTCTCGCACTTCGTACAAAGATCGCTGGATCACGAAATGCGGCATCATTTGTTCGACTAGCTGACCGAAAATGGTGAGAAGTAGGAACAAAGCGAACATTTGATTCTGGAGACCTTGGATAGAATTCGTGGCCCGAAAGAACGAGAAACCGATGAGCAAGGACTAAGCGTGATTGATTAGCATATTTCTTTTCGCAGAATTTCAAATCAACCTACCGAACCAACGCATAGAAGAGCTTTAGAGTAGATGTAAGTAGGATTTCGCCAGTATTGCTGGAAGACTCTCTTAGTGACCTCCAAGAACTGGACCCGGAATGGTGCAGCAAATTCGAGGTAGCTACTGAAGTCCTCATCGATTGTCACATGGCTGGACGAAGGCGATTCTCGTTTCAATCTTCTTAATTCAGCTTTCGTCGCTGCGTATTCTGGACTTCTTCTCCAAACGCTCGGCCAATCGATCTCGGTTCTGGATCCAGGAGCTGCACCGATTATCTCAAGCATCCATTCGGCTGGATTAGCGTCCGGAGGACAAGCCGGAGCGCCATTTCGATGAAAGTACTCGGTCAGTATCCGTGAGTTTTCTCCAATTTCGCCGTAGTAGACTGTCTTTCCACCTTTGGCCAGGAAAAGGAGTCGATCGAATCGTTGGAACAACATTGATGATGGCTGATGGATTGTACATAGAATTGCCTGTCCACTTTTGGTGAGCTTCTCCATCAAGTCGCAAATAATCCACGAAGTTTGGCTGTCAAGTCCAGAGGTCGGCTCATCAAGAAATAGGAGTAATTGAGGTTTAGCTGCGAGCTCTACCCCAATAGTAAGGCGTTTTCGCTGTTCGACATTTAGGCCTTCCCCGGGAACGCCAACCACTGCGTCAGCATATGGTTCCATCTCTAGCATTGCTATTACTTCTTCGACATAACGAATTTTGTCCTCTTTGGAAACGTTTCTCGGTTGGCGAAGCAGGGCGCTAAATATCAAAGCTTCTCTAACTGTGGTGGTTTCCAGATGAAGGTCTTGTTGTTGGACGTATCCTGTCTTTCGCTGGAATGAGTTGTTGCGTTGTTGGCCATCTACAAACATCCCGCCGGATATAACCCCCATCGTGACTCTGGTTGCCAGTACATCGAGCAATGTAGTTTTGCCAGCTCCGGAAACACCCTGTTCATAAGTCAGTTGCTAGTTATCAGTCGATAGGAAATTCCGAAATAAGGACATACCATAAGAGCCGTAAGTGTCCCAGGCTTCACCCACCCATCTACATGATCCAAAATCCGGCGGGTTTCGTCCTTGATCTTGACATCGTAGCACACATTCTCCCAGTGAAAAATAGCTGTTTGTCTTGCCATGACTGGTAATCCTCTCGTACGTTCTTTTCTGACGACTGAGGAGCCATCGTGGGCAATCTCGGGATCCAAACCTTCTTTTGCAAGACCCTTTGAAAACGCTTCTCGTTGAAACACTAAAACTTCTCCCTTAGACTTTTTCTCAGTGATGAATTCTGTGGTCAAAATATGAGCGGCGCACAAAAAGATACCGAATGCAAGGATAATTCCAATATTCCTAATCGCAGGGTGAGCAAGGAGATATGCTAGGATTTTGGACTACCAACCTCCACTTGTGCGAAATATCGTACTTATATGCTGTTTTCAAATAGGTCGACCCGAGAACAAAATCCAAACCAGGATTTGAGCCAACGGCTGAACACACTCTGCCCAAGCCAGAAACGTTGTCGTAGCTGCCGCCCGTCGGAAAATACTGCGAGCAATCAAAGCTCCTACCCCAAAACTCGTTCAACATGATACTCTCAAACCCATATGCAAGCGGATTAATGTAAAATATCCATTTCGACCAACCGAGTATGTAATCCAAAGGTACAACAAACCCTGTATATATCATGATTGCGAGGAGGATGATTGCTGTGGGAGCCATCGCCTGTGCCATGCTTCTCGATGTTGAGCCAATGGTTCGGAACAGCATCGACATTGTCAAGGTGATAGAGAAAGACGTGAGGATGAAGAAGAAAAATGCACCTGGTTCTCGGCGTAAGTTTGTTAAGAAGTATAGCGGAATATTAGAAGTGATAGCATTCAGGGTCTTGTAAGGCATATCGGTGAGCATTGACGCGATGGCCTCTGCCGAGGGGTGATATAGTGCGTATCTAGAGTGCTTTTCCACGATACCTCGCTGTGCGTAGAGTGTAAGAATCTAGAAGTATTAGCGTGGCTTATACAATGAGAAGCTGGATCATTACCTCAAGGGCCGACGCGAATGCATTGATAAGTACGGCGAAAAAAAGGAGGGATCCTCTGTTGAAAAACGACGACGTCTTTTCCGGAAGATTGTAGAATACAGTACCGATAACAACACCCATGACAAAGTTGCCGCCCAACTGGACATATGTCAGACTTGGGTCACCCTTGAGTCGTTTCCAGCCTCGCCACAGACACAACATTATTTGTTGACGGTAGTCCAAAGTGTATGGCGATTCAATGCGCCTGGAACAGTCAGTATGTGGTCAGCCTCAGGGGTGGACTATTGACTTACTGTCTTTTGGACTGCTGCGCTTCCCTGGATTTCTTGAACTGTTCCAAGTGTTCTCCACCGATGGTAAAGTTTTCTTTATAAACATCAATTTGCGCCAGAAGAAGTTTCCTCTCATCACTCGCTTTCCACACTTCAGCAAACTCTAAAGCCGTCTTTGGCACACGACTTTCCCATCCGGGCCTGATAATTCGTTCGTCTGGGCTAGTCATAGACGTCAGGAAGTCGCCATCAGTCTGCCTGTCAGGACAAATAAATCCCTTATCCTCGAAGTAGCGCTTGGCATCGACCGTATGCCCAAAGTATATTTGATGTCCTTCGTAGAGAAGAATGACCTTGTCGAAAAAGTCGTACGCGGTTTGTGGTGCTTGGTATATGGCGACGCAAGATGTGGTCCCCGCCAAATCGGCAGACATGCGGAGTGTTTTGCAAAATTCAATCGCGTTTGCAGAATCTGGATCGTGAAGTTAGCCAACGGGGAGAAAAGTAATCATACAACAGCACTCAATTGACTTACCAAGACCACGCGTGCTATTATCCCAACATTGAAGTGGGGCGCCGCTCAGAGTAGCTTCAGCAATACTCACACGTTTCCGCTCACCACCCGAAACGCCGCGAATGAAATCATTACCAACTCGAGTGTTGACGGTGTGGCTTATACCAAACATGGCTATAACCACATCTCTCATATGCCTAGAATATGTCCATGCGTCCACGCCGCCAGGAATATGTTTTGGAGCTCTGGCTCTAGCTGCGAAAGCAAGTGTATCGCCTACGCTTAGCATCGGGAAATGTACATCAACTTCTGCGGTGTATATCGCTTCCCCTCGAAAGCTTTTTTTCATCTGGTCTGCGCTTATACCTATTTTAGAGTTAGATAAGAACACCTAGTATGATCTAAAGCAGAAGATCTGCCTGTAACTAGTCGCACTTGGGAATATCTGCTTACCTTGATAGTTCAGGTATGAACTCTCGTTCACATAAACACCATTAGTTTCACCTGCTATTGTCTTAAGCAGTGTGGAGCAACCAGAACCCGGAGGACCAAGCACCACTAACATCTCTCCAGCCTCAACTAATCCTTCGAACCCCCTCAGTATCTCAATCTTGCGCTGAGAGTTGTTCCGATATACACTACCAATAAGACGAGGAAGCTCCAACCAGACATTACCAACACTCTTTTGATAATCCGTTGGATTGCCATAGCCATGGACATTTAAGTCGCTGAACGCAAGCCCAGATGTTCTTTGAGGGTATTTCTCCTGGTCACGGTTTTGGAGAGACAGTAGGGCTTTAGTCCATGCTCGAGCATTGAAATTTGAGGATGACGGGTCCAGATGCGAATTTGGCTTGGGTGTAAAGACATTCTCTACATCGATTTGCGAATAGCTAGATCTGGTAGTGAGTTCTCTGGCGAGATCTCTGACTTCGCTTTCTCGTGCTTGTTCACTGCAAGATGAGTCGCCTTCATTCATTGAATTTTCGTCCAAAATGCTTTTGTCGTTGTGAAACTGAGGTTTTCTTGTCATTGCGGATAGCGATGAAGGGTGGAATGCTGAGTGACTGCTATCTTCGATAACACGATGTTTCTCGATGATCTGATTATCCAGGTTCATTGTTGGACTCCTCATCTCTAATAGAGTAATTTGGTAAATAAATAGTCATAATTCGAGCTGAGGCATGCGACTTTATATTTGTCCATGGCGATTGAAAAGCCATCACCACGGCCATCTTGAGAAAGCTTATATTTTTACAACTACTCAAGAATACTCACGAACGCGTAAGTCTACGGTCATTCAATTGCAAAGTCATTTTTGCTTGGCTGGTAAGACGGGGTAAAATACTGGCTTGAACTTCTTGGAGGAGCATTCCGCGGAATCCGCGGAGTCCGCGATCGGCTCCAATGAAAACGTTGTGGGGTCCTCAAAAGCTTTCAACCACGACAACACTTCTGATTCACACATTAAATGGGCAGATAACCTCATGGCTTCTCGGCAAGCTTGGTAATGACGATATCGTGTGCATTTTCGAACTCTTATAAGCAAGAGGAGAATCGCTGCTCAGACTCGCGGAATCCGCGCTCAATCGGGATGCCGCGACTCCACGAGGGTAAAAACGGGCCACATTTATTCTACCACCAAATCCAAAGGACCTTCTAAATAGCCGATTGTTCCAACTTTGGAATTTGCGATATATAATGAGAAACCAGTGTTGTTGCTGCATGATGGGTCTCTGGTCGTGGCCACCATGACGAGCTACTCATATCAGACGACGTAATTTATGATAAAGTTTGTAAACCGTTGATCTTTCCCAGGCTCTTCAATTATGTTCTTTGAGTCTGGTTACAGAGACACTATCTCTCTGTTTAATCTATCTGGTTCAGTGAATTTTTGAATATTGCTTATTATTCACACCAAGGATAAATGGCAAATAGTCAATTGTTGCAAGCATTACAATTATTTACAACATAATAAACTGGCCGCAACTCTACGATCGCAAGATGCTTTGAAGGTAAACTCCAGCCCCAGATGATACTGTTACAACAATTTAACGCGATATAAAAAACAATCCGTCCAATGCACTGGACATCATTAGCAAGTCGATGAAGCTGGAACTGAGCTGGCTCTTCAGCCTCTCACACATGTGATGGTTGTAATCTTGAATCCTGGTTCGTTGGTTGTAAAAGGCTCATCTTCCGAGACTGACCCGAGTGTAACAGCTTTTCGATCCAACAATACGCAAGTAGCAGACCCCTCGATCATTTTCACTTCGGTTGTATTCTCGATTTCAACTATATCGGTGGGGATCCCATCAACTGGAATAGGGAACTGGCGTGCTTCGGAATCATTACCAACTTGGACGGTGATAACTTCAGATGCTGACGGATTTTCCTGAGTGGAAACTGGCGTGACTGCTGCGATGACGGGTGGCGATACAGATGCAGGGGTTATCGGCGTGTTTTTAACGGCTGGTGCTGGTACTGGAGTTGTTGTTTTATCTGGCGAGCAGAAATAACTCGAAACTTGAACTGGGTGCTCGAATTTCAATGGAGCGGCGAGTTTTCCTGCTTTAAAATCTGCCTCCGAAAGACTTATAGTGCCGAGAACTTTGTTGTCATCTTTCCCAAAGATGGTACAAAAACCAAAGTTAGCAATGATAGTTATTGAAGTGATGTCCGGAATGAATGGTGCTGTAAATGGTGTTGGAGTGTTCGCAGGAACTTTCTTGGTTGTTCCCGATTCACCGTCGCCTGAGAACTGGAGACTAAGACTATTGCTTCTTTTGAATGGGAAAGCTTGAACGAAGGATGATGAAAATGCGATGAGAATTGCGATGTTGTTGGCGGTGAAAAGCATGTTTAGTGAAGGCCGTCAACTGACTTTTGAAGCAGAAAATATTGGAGACGGACTCGATGTGATAAATTTCGTCGTGTAACTTGCCCACAAAGAAAATAAGGTAAGAAAACTAAAGGCAGAAAATTGAGAAGTAAAACAGAGAATGTTAGTGAAAGGATAACTTTTCATTGAAGGCGGTATAGAGCTCCATTCATATAGTTAGCAAAACCAACATCGAACCATATTCCTCCATTATCTGACCCCGAACTCCCATGGGTGGAAACAAAAGTTTCCATGTCACTTCATGACAAGTCTATATCGAACATGTGGGAACCACCAACATTCTGTGAGGGCGGTTATATTTGTTTGCAAGTTGTGGTCACCGGCAGGTCAAATATGATCAAGAAGTGGCTGAGCGTCGGAAACACTATCAACCGAAAATAAAAAATCTGTGGGATCTTCTTTCCAGCGGTTAGAATCCTGCGAGAACATCGTATATCGGATACCGTGACTTCAGTGTCGTCGCTTAAGACGCCACTAACCGAATAGGATCTGACAGGCGCAGCTTTACTCGCGAATAAGTGGTACGTATGGTGGTACGAAAGATCGGGCGTGTATCTAACCCCCCAAGTTCCTTAAAGATTATTTTCACAGTTCGGATGCTGCATGGGTTCAAGTTGGATCCCACTTAATTTTTGGAGAACAAACGTCAGGTCTTTAAATCTTCACAGCCAGTGATGTTTTGGAGAACGCTTCTGTAGTAGTACTATACGCTCGAGGACGAGAGCTGGCAACTTGCTTCAAAGCTTAATAAGTAGACCCAGTTTCCGTACTCAAGCGTGTTTGAAACCCTTTTCGATGAGCCATTTTGAGTGACAGATAATCAAAATGGATGTTTATTGGTGGTAGGCTTTTCCCATACTCTCATCATAAAACCCATTTACAAATCGACCTGCGTATCATGACACTTTGAAACATGTCAAGTAGGGTTATTATGAGAAGAACCGAACAAAAGTTAATCAACCGGTACAGTCAAAAGACCATAGGGCGGGATTAACTTTGCTTTAATAGACTACACTGTATCTCTCAAGCGTTAGAGTAGCAGTAGATTCAGTCGAAGCGGTCCCATCACTGACAAATGTCGCTATCAAGTCATGGAATTCGACTGCCGATCATTGACGATGGACAAATTCTTTCTCACAGAGCTTTTTATTCTTGGGAAGTCCGAAATCATTATGTCCACTTTGGATACCGCGCTTGTTAAAGGGTTAGTGTTAGGAAAGGTTTGTCATTCCCGCAAGGCTAGAAGTCCATTAAATAAACAATGGGAGTTAAATTCTGTTACATTCTATACCAGTGCAGCCTACAGTTCACACTCTAAGCACTAAACATAGGTGGGGCTCGAGAATGCACCCATTCGATGGCAATGTTCGCCACTCTGAACGCTTCTTCCACCAGATGATAATTTCGATACGGTCTCATATCAATCCACGTGGCAACATCAGGTGCGTTTTTGTCCCTCCAGATAGTCACTTTGCGCAAGTTTGGATATTTAATTTTGCTCTGTGCAATTTGGCAAAGCCACTCCCCCAGTTCACCAACCTCATGCCATGTACTGCAATGTTTTGCCCACTGATGGTCCCTGTCGAAGTAATCTTGAAACCTGTCTTCTTCTGTGAGTTCTATCTGCAACTCCTCTAATCCTGATGGTAGCCTTATAGAGATTGGCAAAGTCGGGGATTCCTCGTCTTGATAAAGGGTTGGCCAGTCCAAGTGATCTACCATCAGTCCAACACGCCGTAATCTAGAAAAAGAGCTCAGATCTATGAGGTTTGGGAAGGTTTGTGCACCATCGTCGTTTGCTGACGATATGAAGATTTCTTCTAGACTTGCTTGCTGTGAGCTGAGGGTTTGGACGAAAGCTTCCACGTCAAACATGAATACCCACTCTCTCCTACAGCTGTACATTCGATCATCATCGAGGCAAGACTCATGATGATATGATAGAAGACTCTTTGGCCAACTCAATACTTCAGATAGATCTCTCCCAGCCGGCGCACTGTAGGGGAATTTTAGACAGGTTATATTCGAGGTGTGTGTTTTATTAGAAAAGTCTAATGCGTCTCCCTCAAACCAGTCCCAACCTCTGATACCTTCCACTGAAAGTGACCTCAAGTTAGGCAGACAGAAGAAGGAGTAGAATAGCTCCCTATCAACTCTCCAGGTCGGTGGGCTGTAACGCCAATTGCTGCCACTTCTAGAAGGGTATTTCAATCCAAGGACTTTCGTATTCAATTCCAAAGAAGTCAAACACAGAGGCATCATATCCATTGAAATTGGAGTCGATGGCTTTAGGTGTAGGTGCTTAATCGAAGGTCCCACAAGATCAATGAGCTCCCGGCTTATCGATTCATCGCAAGAATCACACCATGCAAGACTGATAGCAGAGAGGTAGGACGTCAATTGTTGTGAAGATTTCATTGTCCTTAGGAATTCCTTAATCCGTATAATATGAGAATCATGTCGCGGACGGGTCTTTAAGCTACGTTTCCCCTGAGGAAACGCTGAAGACCAGTCTGGAAATTCCATTTTTCCGGTACTGGGGATTTGACTGTTGTTTTGGTAATGGACACATCGGTACAGGAGTGGATTGAAGACTTGATGGAGTTTCCTACACACAAGTGTAAGGGATGGTAGAGAGTTGTAGGTCGTTCGGACAATGATCAGTAAGATCTCGTTCGGAAGCTTGTCCAGATTTTGCATCGTCAGGATAGAACTTGTAAATAGTGTTTAGTGAAATTATCCAGGGAGAGTGAGTGAGCTCCGAACTACTGGCTCTTGAGATATTTTCATTCGAGAAGAAAAGGATAGAAGGAGAAGATTAAAGTAACAATCTTTGGAGTGACGTGGCGACTTGTTGGCTTTCAGCCACCAACAGTCCAACTTCACCTCACTTTGTTAACCTGAGGGTCATATGATTTAGTCAAGAGACAGTCACGGGATAGTCACGAGACATATCACGGTCACAATAATTCTGAAGACCAGGCTTCATTGTGTAATGTTTCAAATCCTGACATCAATTATGAAGGCTATTTGTGGTATATCTCTATGCAAATAGCGTTCTTATAGAAGAAAAAACATGTGACCACATCTCGTAATAACTTCTAACGCACACTAAGTATTGTACGTTAGCAGAAAAAGCATCACATTTTGTGGGAAAAAGGGAGATGGGAAGCGTTTTAATCCTTTGTTGGAAGCAGGTTGCACCTTCAATCATGGGGTGTTACAAATGCCGCAGTGTACAACCTGATACAACTCTACAACAACCAGCAGCAGCCTGCAGATACTTGCTTGACCCAGCATACTTTGCCACGAAATCGAACGCATGAAAGCTCTACTCACTAGTGGCTAGCAAGACGCTGTATAGCAGCTGATCTTTAAGATATGCGTCGCCTCATCTACATGCTCCCCTTCCTTTCATGCGGCATGGACGCCTGATTAACTGCTGCAGATTATAGCTGGGATTTCCGTCAACTCTGAATCGGCTGAGTTTGTTTTATTCAACCAAAATTCCAAAATACCACAATACCACAATGGTGATTGAAAGCTAGAACTGCTTTATGTTAGTATTATCGTACAATAGCTTGGATAGTGCATGAACTCAATAGTACATGTAGGCAGGAAACAAATCCCAAAAGCTTAATTTCCTCGGTTCACCTAATTAAAAATTACGTGCACCAAGCATCCTACCAACAGTCGGAAGAAACATTTTCGTGGCCAAATCCATTATTACAGTCCAAAATCCTACTCCTGGACTTTTTCAAGCCAACACTGAAGGGTTGGTTTAGCTCGGTAACATGATTCCTTTTGTTTTCTTTAACCAGCCACCCAACACCAACAGTCTCAATTATACAAGCTGTTGGTAGATTAGGCGGTCTCAAGTCCTCTACCCATGATTTAAAAATGCCATAGCTCCTGCCAACAGTCACGAGGTTTGAAGTATTGACCACAGTGACAAACAATAGAGTCAGTGTTAATTTGGATTTTCTTCCTTTCGTTCTCATTCTCCCATTTACCACATCACAAGGCGACTTTCTAGCGGGATTCTTTGATATTTTCGAGACCTCAAATCACAGCCCCATCTTCAATTTTAGAAGTCTGGCTGGTAAGGTATTGTTTTTGAGAGGATCAAAATCCAGTATGTCAACAGTTTGCAACCAACGTCTAGCTATGAATTCGTTGGATACTTAAACCCGGAGAAGAACTCGATTGACTGTGGTGATATCAGTTTTCAATTTCTTATTTTGGTTCTGGTTTTTTGGCTTGTTTATCTTTATATTTCTTTCTAGGCTTGACTTAACGTCTCGCCCATTTACGGTTATGACCATCAACAAAGCGTTTAGCTGTTGGCTTTCTGCACTGATAATTCTCCCTGCTACTGCGTTTGGAATTAACTCCCAAACAAACATAAATCAAAATGCACATTCTCTTCTTCCTCGGCAGATCCAGGTCGACCCTGTCCACGTTCACACTATCACAGAGATAATTCAAATCAACACTGCTTATCTCGCGGGCGAGCAAAGCAAATTCGCAGGCAAAGTCGGAGTTAATACTCTGTATCTCACAAGCGAGAGTGGATCACTAAAATGAATTGGAGTTAACTCAGCTTATCTATACGATATGCCAATAACCACTACTGATAGTATTGGGCAGGCTGTGACAACCTCGAGACCTGTGGGAGTATCGGTATCCGGCGACAAAGATGAGACGGGAACTCCCAACGGTGGCTATAATGTTCTTCTTTCCCCGGCTTTTCTCGACGAGGTCAAAAAGATTGCGGGTGAAAGTTGTTCACTTCCCGTGAAACGGAGCGGACTGTCTTGTGGTATCAACTTTGCACCGAGAGTTATGACTTCCTTTGAAGTATTTGCAGCAGCTAAATTGGCTGTTGTAGCAGTTGGCGATGTTACTATAGCAGGATTCGTTGCGAATCTTCTGAAAGACTTGACCGAAAAGGGCCAATCTTACCCACTTGATATTACTGTTCCACAAAACGACCTCAGCGAGGCTAGCGTCACTGCCATTGCAGACCCTGCAGCTCCCATAACAATGACAATAGCTTTAGTGCCTGCGAAGCCTATCGCTACAACAGCGTCGTCAACGGCGACCACCAAAAGCTTGTGTTGGAAATATGTTCCTTCTAAGCCCACGATGAACCCAGAAGAGGAAGACTACGAAGAGTCAGAAGATACAGACGAAAATCTCGTCGGCAAAAGAAACGACGCAGCTCCAAATGTCTTCGGTCGAAAAGTTAGGCCCGCCCCCAGTGTTGTTAAAGCAGCACGCCTGTCTAAACGGGACAAAAAGGGACATTTAAACTTCCTAGGACTATGCTCCAAGCATCCGTTTCCCACAGACAACGACAGACCTAGGCCTCCGAATTACAAAAAAGCCCCTGATATAGCTAAAGACAAAGATATGGAAGATTATAGGTGGTACGTCCCACAAGCAAACGCTGAATGTGGAATCGCACTTCTCACCAGAGTTGGAAACAGAAGCCCGGATGATACATCCCCAGGAGGCAAACTCTACCCTCCAGGGTACAATGCTCAAGGAAAGAGTGGAACCACAAAGTTTGTGAATGTTGATCATGTTTGTAAGTGCCTAACCACAAATATTTGTCTCTCCTCTGGTTTATACATAACTCGTTACCAGATCACTAATATAGAGGTATAGATGAGCTGAAGCTCCTAAAGTTATTTTTTGAAAGCGTTTTAAATAGTGCAGATCATCCCAGATGTGGGCCAGTTACTGAATTATTCGGGAAGACCAATCCAAAAGACAAAAGAGTGGAAAGCAATACCAGGTTACAGTCACTCTGGTATCAGCTCCCAAATAACGAAAACAAAGCATTTATTGGAATCGTAAGACTTTTTTCAAAATCATTTTTAATAGCAGCATGCTAAGATATTTTCAGGATACTTACATAAACACGGAAAAGGGCAAAATATTTACCCCAGGTTATTACAAACCAGAAAGTATCAAGACTGGCCCTGGGACGGCTGCCGGTAATATTAATCAGATGAACGACATGTAAGAATTCTTGAAAGGAAGATAATGATTTTCTGATTTCTCTAAAGCTAACGAGTCCAATAGAGGGATGGCAGCTGGAATATTGAGGTTGACCGGCCCAGCGAGACAATTTAGGATAATAAACACAAACATTTACCGAGGACTGTCAGTATCACTTCACCCCTTGAGACATACCCAAACTAATACGTTTTTTAGCTTGCATTTTGATGAAATCCAAAAGTGCGAGGATCCTAGCGTCTCCGACAACTGGGCTGAAACTTATAAAAAGTGGATAGAGGACTTTCTCAAAGCAAGGCAGACAGAATTAATGTTCATGGTCACAAACCTGAATTTGGCAGTACTGAAGTCTGGCGACTTGATGAAAGACGGAGAAGAAACCGCCGAATCCATTGGCCACAAACAGCTTATGGACATATACGGCGCGAAGCTTTGGGAATGGGATGTCAACACTCTCCTGGACTATAGCCCTGAGGCTTTGGCCAACCTACCCCCAGGAGCTTTTCCTATCGAGCGTCGCAGTGATGTATGCGCAAATCAAGCCCCAACAACGACTTCTCCAGAACCAGCGCCGCCGGTCGAGACATCTCTGGTAGTGCAATGTGAGAAGTCATCTGATTGTCAACTTCCACGGTTGATAGATTGGTGTGGGAAAAAGTCGATAACAGGAGGACCTAATATGGAATCGGTTGCTATGGCTCCTGGATGCTATCAGATGACATCCCCAAAGACGTGTGGGTGTGAGGATCCAAGATTTCCTTCGCCTTGAGGAATCATGGAGTGGTTTACGAATTGCATTTTGGGCATTGCAGGAGTTTGTGTTGACGTATGATACCTTGGTGGGCAATAGAAACATGGCAGGAACCACCTCGTAGGCGCATGTGTTTGACCTGATAGTTATGATTGTATTTGTAGCCGCGTCTCGAAAGTATAGCTTGTTTTTATTATCCGTTGGAAGGTGGATGAGAAGTATGCTTCTAGAGTTGATTAGCTCCTAAAATTGACCGTGACTAGTATTGCTCTTCGTCAAAGAAACAGCTCCTCCTGCATTTAGCTAAATGCTGTGTTACCATTCTGGAAATCTACGTGAGCGAATTGAGGCGGTCGTAGCTTTAGGGCGTTGGATCTATTTGTCATATACACTAGGACTCTAGGAGGTCGGAGTTAACTCTGTAAGAGAGCCAAGTGCACAGGGGTTAATAAGTTACAATAAATACTCAGTCCGTCGAAAAGTGTGTTCGCTCCGCTTTGCTTAATCAACGTCAAGGTTGATATAATCCATAATTAGGGGTGATTAACTAATACTGTCCTATAGTTGAGATCCACTGTAGTTGCCAAGATGGTAAAAAAGCCGTCTTAAGTGGTGGCGGTCTCGTTGAAAAGGTCTAACCGTAGGGTATTCGAAAGAGTCTACCCAATAAGTACCCCTACTTCTAGAATTAAATAATTATTTCAAGGCTTTTTAAGATAACTTCGAAGAAAGTCACATTCCCTTGTATTTCAAAGCGGAGCGAAGACACTTTTGGACAGACTGAGTAGAAAAGTAGTAGCCTTCGGGCAGCGAATAGATAATGATGTTCCTCCATACCTTTTGCCTGACTAAGTCACGCTACCAGCTCACTTTCTAAGAAATCAATACTCAGGCAAACGCACCTGCAGTAGTGCGCAAAGTGTCGGGTGGAACAGGAGCTGCTGAAAATACTTAGTCGCAAGTGCTACAGGCAATGGCGCAGCCTGGAACCGGAGCCTAGTCAGAAACAACAGGATTCAATAACATATTGTGAATTACAGGGAATCCCGCACTCATTATGGTTTCCTAAACGCTTGCATCTCGAGCAAATAATAAAACCTTATTGTGCTGGGCTGTTTGATGCAAAAATGAACAACACATGATTTCTGATGATTTTCGCTGCCTCCGATGATTGAAGTGGGCGACGATTGTAGCCAAGACCGACGGTATGGGGAGAAAACTGGAGAGGAAGACCAGCCTTGATGAAAGTGGCACGATAACCAAGCACAACACCCACTCAATCAATGATGGATTCGTGAACCGAGCTCATTTGTGCTTTCCTGAGTCAAGAGATGGCAAGTCTCAGCCTTTACTATCTTCATACCTTAGAGTCCAAGACTTCAATCCTCGAAATTCCGACATGGCGTGCGCAAGTCTATATAGTTTGAGCGAAGACATATGCCGATCAACCTCCCGCGACTATATGCCTCGAGATGGTGAGTTTTTAACCTTCCGTAGTTGCCCGGTTTGCATTTCGGCGCGGTAAATACCGTTGTTTGCAGGATTGAAGATGCGCCAGGTCGGAAATGGTGGTGAGGTTCGTCAAATCAAGCTCGCCCAAGCCCCTGAAGCAAGTCGAAGCAACAGCCATGTTCGCCGACGGCCAAGCCAAGAGAGCTTCGAGTCTTGGGGAACTTTGGGTTGCCAAGCCGCCGAACGCCCTGAAATGATTGGAACAGACTGCTGCAAGACGCCGAGCGTCCTCTACAGGACTGGGGAAAGCTTCCGTGTGACAACCAGCTAACGTGATGGTGGGGAGTTTGTTGGGACACTCCTTGCGAATAATTCATTCTGGATGCTCTAGTAGTGACCTTAATCTCTGGCCGGATCTCGGTCTTTGGCGGTGTGTTTAGTGCGTTTACTTGTCAAACTGTCACAATGAATTTCTGGAATTCCAAGTGGAGATTTGATCTGGGGAAAAAGCGTCCGGCTCATCTGGTTTCTGGGGTTTTTACGGGCCCTCTCAAAGCTCGTAAATGGTGTTTTCTCGCTTGACCCCTCAACGACACAATTGTCGAAACAACATGCGAATGTCCTCCTCGCAATCAATCCCATGACGACTTGGAGGGTATCAAAGGCTCGGCAAGACCGACGATGCCTATCAACATGTCGTCGACGGCGTTATGTACGGTAATGGTTGTCAGAGTCATGAGCCACTCAGGGTGCTTCTGGATAAGCGAAGCCTTTGCCACGGCGGAGGGCTGTCAAGGAAGCAATGCCAACAGGTCTGGGCAAGCCCGTAGCCAAGAGCCATCTACATGAGAAGATTTTGACTTTTATCCCGTCTCCTCATACACGCCTGAGCTTGCGAAAAGGCCATTGCGACTATCCACCCCCTCCAAGCGCGTGTTACCCCACTACTCTCGGCCATTAAATCGTATTTTCAACCCTCTGGGTGCTGAAGCTCACTTGGCGCCCAGCGTCTAGGGAAGAAAAGTCGCCAGGCTTCTCCGCTTTATCTTCTTGCAGGGGGTGGTCTTTGCCCATTTGGGCCTCCGGGGTAGCTTCCATCACAGACTTAACGTAACATTCACCAGATTATCAGACAATCCGGGCTCCACACGCGGGGTTGTCAACGATGGTATTCATTCACCAGCGGGGAGAACCCCGCCCTATCAATTTGAAATTGATCACCAGCTGTCCAACTCTATAAGTAACACAGCTTCCCCGACTTTGTGTTCTCGTATCACCTCAGCAAGAGCTTCTCGACTTTCAAGTTTAAACATCTCTTTCCCTTCACAGGCTGCTCATTCTCTTGCAAAGTCTGCCAGTCTTCGAATCTATCAGTTCAATATGGCCGGCGGTGGTGGTAGACCACAAAATATCTTCAAGCTCAATCGGGGCAATGATCCAAAGGAGGTTCTAAACTGGCGGTTATGGTTCGCGGTCGTGTCTTTCGGCATTATGGGCGCTGCTCGAGGTATGTATTCTTTCTTCGATCGAGCGTCTTCCGATATTAATGTATAATTAGGAATCGATGAGGGTCTTATCTCTGGAACACTTTCAAAATCGCACTTCATGCACCAACTCGGACTTGATAAAATGGATGATGTCGAACTCGCAAATGTCAAGGGTAACATCTCTGCTATGGTTCAAATTGGTTCCGTTGGTGGTGCTGGATTGTAAGTGGTCGTTCTTTTTCCTTCCAGACCATTTGTCTAACTTCACCCAGGGCTTTCCTTCTTTGTGATCGTATCGGTCGTCTCTGGGCAACTCGACAACTCTGCTTGATCTGGATCCTCGGTGTCGTGATTTTCCTCACCAACGGTGGCAGACTTGGACAGGTCTACGCTGGCCGCTTCATCGCTGGTCTCGGTATCGGTCAGACCACTGTCGTTGCCCCAGTCTATCTCTCTGAAATCGCTCCAAAATCCGTTCGAGGTCTCTGCACATGTGCCTTCTCTGGATCAGTATACATCGGTATTATGCTTGCGTACTTTGCATCATGGGGATCCCAACTGCACATTCCAAAGGGCACTTCCAACCAATGGGTCGTACCAACTACTATCCACGTCATGTTCGCCGGTATCATCTTCATTCTTTCCTTTTTCAACTACGAATCACCACGATACCTCGTCAAGATCGGTCAAGATGACAAGGCAACTGCAAATCTCGCCCGTGTCCGTGGCCTCTCCGTGGATGACGAGCATGTTATCAAGGAGATCTCTGACATCCAGAACCAACTTCACGAAGAGCAAGAGGCTACGCTTGGAGCCGGATGGGTTGGAATCTTGAAGGAGATGTTCTTGATGCCCAACAACTTCTACCGTATCTACCTTGGACTGTTCTCGCAGCTTCTCTCGCAGTGGTCCGGAGCTCAAAGCATAACTGTAAGTTTTGTACGTCTCGCATAGTCGGTCTCCTTGCTAATTTTCAAAGATATACGCACCTGAGTTCTTCGCATTGCTGGGTACCAAGGGACAAAACGAAAAGCTATTCGCAACCGCCATTTTTGGAGTTGTCAAATTCGTGGCTGCAATCATCTGCGCACTCTTCCTAGTCGATGTTATCGGACGTAAACGATCTCTCGGCATCGGTATCGGTCTTCAGGCACTTTCAATGTGCTACATCGCAGCATTCTTGACTGCCGTTCCTCAATTGGAGGGTGGTGAAAAATTCACATCTAGCCAACAGCACGCCGCCACTGGTGCCATTGTCATGATCTATCTTTCTGGTTTCGGCTGGGCTATGGGATGGAACTCTATGCAGTACCTCCTCAACGCTGAGATCTATCCTCTCCGAATCCGCGCCATTTCCTCCTCTATGGTCATGTGCTTCCACTTTGTCAATCAATACGGAAACTCGAGGGCCGTACCAAACATGCTCCTTCCGAAACACGACGGCGGTATTGGTCCAGCTGGAACATTCTGGCTGTTCACTGTCATTACTCTTATCGGAGGTGCTTGGGCATGGTTCTTTATTCCAGAAACCGCTGGTCGGAGTTTGGAGGGTATGGATCGCTTGTTCACTCTCAGATGGTGGCAGATTGGTAGATTCGGAGAGAATGAGGCGAACGAGCAGGTTATTGCCAGTGAGAAGTTGGAGGGTGAGAAGGAGAATGTTCGGACTCAGGCCGTTGAAGTCGAGAGGGTTTGAAATTTAGCTGCGCATTAAATTCGCGAAATTAATGATGAAATGAAATACAATTACAAATACATAAAAGATGCATTGTTTCCAACTAGCCACGTAATTCTCAATCAGTGACCTTAACGTATCTAGGCACTCATCAACGCCACCATCCTATCACTATGCACATGCAACTTTAACGCAGGGTATTTGCCAACTAGCTCTCTCGACTGCCCGGCCAAGATTTCCATCTGCCATCCTTACGCTTGGAACAGGTGTTTGTGGGCGTTCGTAAAAAGAAGAGAGATTGTTACTTACAGGTAGACTTAACACTCAGTAGATACAATGAAAGACAATGCTTTAATACGATGTGAAGTCCGCAGAAATCGATACGAGCTAATATAAGGCACCTAAGACTACTCAGAACTCCTCTCGTCCAAAATCACCAGACCTTCGTCGCTCCTTCTTCCCTGCTCCCAAGATGGGTCCCACTCAGGCTCATTGATCAAGCCTCACGTTGCTTGCTGTGCTACAGTGTTAATTATCCTGTGCCGCCTTCACTTTGCTGCAATCTGGGTTGGGAACAAGTAGTCTGCATAAGCCTTGCCATATCGACGTATGAGACAACTCCTAGTCGTTCCAGACCAGCAATATCCATCCTATATTGTGTCGCCGGCGTAAACTCGCGCCTAAGAACCTGTTCACGGATTCTGGCACCGGAACGGACCTGTCTAACAAAAACGCGATGAATTTGTGTGGTAGACGGGCGGAAAGCGACGACGACAAGTGAAGTTTCCTTGCACCCTCGAATACTCATGATAGAATCCCATCCAGGACATCTGTCCAAGGACTGATTCAATTTGGCAATACGATGTATGTGTGAGTCATCCTTAATAAGAACTTGTAAACTTTTCAAATTTTTACACCTTGCAAGTCTTCGGAATGCGACGTCCGACTGTCGACCGTACCATGGAACGCATAACTGTCGAGGATAAGTTTCAATTTCTGAGGCTGAGAGTGATTGGAGGAATTCGAGGCCAGCTTCGCCTGTTATGTTAATCAAATCCACTTTTCTCGAGAAAAAAACCTTCAGAATCTCGCTGCGGAGTCGTGGGAAAGCCTTCAGTAGTGAACAGACAGGAGCGTAACGATATGCATCATCCTTTGGAATAAAGCCATACATCAGCTTTGGCTTTACGTTTTTAACGTTGAGGGTATCAGGATCATAGTATTCTTGGTCGTCGTCAAGAGCAGATTGGATTATAATGCTTAAGATTTCAATGGGAAGTCTGGCGATCCAGGGTTGATCCGCATGCAAACTCGGAATGCGTGTTTTCACTAAACATAAATCGAGCATTAGCAAGTTGCGCACGCTCAGATGATACGGAAATATTTTTAGCTGCATATAACGTGTAAGTAACTTACAAGCTGCTGAGTAAGACCGGAGCATTTTCCGTTGGGGTGGTAAAAGTCCGGTACCTTCCTCAGCCTGGTTTGCGTTGTCTTTAGAGACAGATTTTCTTTTTTGGGACACCATTTGGATGTTGATACGGTAGCAGGTAATTATTCGGACCGTACCTGTCAGGATGGAATTGGTGGAAATATATACACACTAGAGCAGCTTGTTTGACTCAAACGAACCGAGAGAGATTTGCTTTGCCAAGGTTGCTTGGAAACGACAAAGCACTATAATGTTATAAGTGTCAAGTTAGAGGGATGAGTAATTTCTTTCAAACTTTCATTCGATCTGAAGTGCAAACGCCTGATCTGTGCGGACTAGTATATAGAGCTGAAATACTTTTCGTAACTCCTTTGGAGTGGAAACTCCTGGAAATACAAAACACAAAAGAGTTTGTAAGAAAATATGCATGCAGCTTTCCTGTGGGTTTTCTTTATCCAACACTCGGCATGCAAGAGAGCCTGTGGATGTCGTTAAAAAGCCATTGAAGATGTTGAGCGCGTTTGTCCGTAAGATGCACAATATGAGGTATTCGATATTATTTCCTCGGTCTGTGAGTTGTTGTAAAGAAAACAGAATGAGTGATATCTGGTGTCACCTTTGCACAATACTATGATTGGATTGGATTTCTCACTTGGCGAACAATTCAGGATGGGAGAGGAATTCAACAAGTATAGCTGTTTAAAGCTGGCATTATTTGTCAATGCACGAGTCTGGAAAAACCTTGCCGATTTGGCGCGATTGGGCGGTGATCTATGTTTTCTGAGAGGGATTCCAAGTTTAACGACTTTCAATCTTGACTTTCATATTGTATAGATCGGCAAAGTTCACTTTTTATTCCTGTAGAATTGCAATGCCATGATGTGGGGAGCACAACTTTAACGATGTGCTACAAATGGTCCTTCATGTATTCAAGACTCCAAGTTCTCAAGCTCGTCAAATATATGTCTAGGCTGACTCAAAGCATCCTGAAATCCCTGTTCCACTTCCCAGTATCTTGCCACCACGTATCTCATGTCCAATGGTACCATGCTGAGGTCTCGATTGCGGTACTGACTATATTTGTGCCACATCAACACTTTCTTACACCCTCGAATCCTCATAATAGAGCTGAATGCGGGCCAAGTCTCCAATGATTTTCCATACAAGATGAAATCACGCACTGGTGACTTGCGAGATAGGACAAACTCCAAACTTTCGAGATTATTCGCCAAAGCGAGTTTGTCCAATGAACCGGTAGAACGTCTGAAGAGTGATATTCATGCCACAGGAAAAAGATGTTTTTGGGAAAGGTTTGTATTTCCCTAATTGACATCGATTCTAAAAGTTCTAGGCCTTCTCTAGTTTTACTCTGCGGACTAGTGTAAAAGTCCACTTGTGTTGAGAAGAATGTGGCAAGAATAAGCTCGCGGTGCCAAGAGAAGGCCTTTAGTAGCGTGTTAATAGGATCCCAAGGTCGAGGTGGGCTTTGCCAAGCACCGAGAGTGTACATTAGTCTTGGCTTTACGTCCTTCTTGTGTAAAGTGGTCGGATTGTAACCTTCTAGGTCGCGAAGTGCGTATTGGATGACCATGGCGAACAATTCTTTGGGTAGAATGGCGATCGGGCATTTGGGTTGACCTTCTGGGGGAAGCCGAGGGTCATATGCAAGTTCTAATGTGATCACGCATGAGCACTTTGGAGCTCACTTTGAAAGTTTGGAGGGGCTACTAACGTAGCGGGTGGCAACTTACTGACTCTCGGGTGCGAACGAAGCTTCAGTTGTTGGCTTGATAAATGGGCAATCGATTTACCAGTATATCCTTGGTGAGATTTTGAGATGGGTGTTCTCTTTCGTGGCGCCATTAGAAGAAATATGTGGAAATGGATGAAAGATGACTGGATGGAGGACGAGTTTGGATGTATGATGAATTGAATCGTATTTCCCGCAAGTCAGAGGGGCTTTATGTGTCAAGAAATTGATTCCATCACATGTAACAGGTTGGGAAAAATGCAATCAGAATGTTTGCAAACACAATTACAGCAGATCTTGTTACAAACTTACCGAATTGCTCAAAGGCTTTCCAACGAATGGATTTTCCAACATACTCAATACTTTTCTAGGACCTATCTCCTATGGAAATGTTCTAGAAACAAATGAAGTGTGGTTTTTGTCGCGTTGTGTAAAGGCTCATCTTACAATCCTGCGCTAAGCTCTGAATCAAACAAACTTTCGATCGACGTATCCAGCAAACGGTCATGAAATCTTTTTTGAATGAAACCATGGTGCAGTGTACCTAGAAGCATTGTTCCAAGACGTTTGCACTTGCTAATGTCTCGCTATGTAAAAGTTTGTTTAGTTGTGAATGTTCTTTTGGACTATCCAGTAAACTAGCAAAACAATCAATCAAGAAAAATAATATAAAAAAGACTTTTGTGAGTTACTTCATCTTTTCATGCATGACACATTGCGACTACGAGAATTTCCATTATCCTTATTGGGTTGGTGAAGAGGTACTAAAGTTTTCATCTTCAGAGTAGGAACATTGAAGAATGGATCTTACGAAATACTTCTTTCAGAGTAGTGTTAAAAGGAAACTATCAAATTTTCGGATCTCGGTTCCGAGTTATCGATCCGATCCTGACTCTCGTGAAATACCTTTTTCTCTCTTTCTCATAGGACAACGCTTTTGGCCTACAACACGTATTATTAAATATATTGTTCATTTTTTGGGGTTAAATTGAACTCAAACTCGCAAAGACCCTTCATTGCAACTTCCACTTCGTTCCTCGAATAACGAGACTGGTGGTTAAGCTCTAATGTCCTTTCCTTCCACCAGTGGCGAATACTCAAGAGTGTGTTTCATAGCATTTTCGAGAAGGGTTATCCTTATGTCTGTAGCAGCTTTTCTAGTATCCTCGCAACACTAGTTAGCCGTTCTCTAACAAATCTTTAAATTGGTCATGTAGCTCCATTTTAAAAGAACATTGAGAAGAACTTGTAGATAGAAATTGACTATAGTATCTAGGTGCGCTAAACATTTGTTTAAATTCTCTTAGGCTTCTATTAAAACACTTTACAAGAAGCTAAACGTTACGACCTAAGATGGCGATCGACTTTTCGAGTAATGAACTACTGTAAAACTATAGGGCGTTCCAACCAAGAAGAAAATTGTAAAAAGATGAGGATAGAAAGACAACTAGCTAGGGATATGTTTGCTAGATATCTAGTATTTCAAAGAATATTTATAGAATAAGTTAATGTTTATTATATTACGTAGTTTTTTTAGTACTAATCTTTATTTGTAAAGATATAGGTTTGATATTATGCTTAGTCTTTACTTACTAGATATTAAATAGTTTAAGAATACTATCGTACTTACTTTCTTGATTATATTATTTATTCCCTACTATCCTACTACACTAAATTCACGATAGCTTGTTTCATTAGACTAATGAAATTGTTACATAATTGTCATGACCTACGGCTTTCGACACTAGTCACACTTCAACCATCTTAGCAAGACATCTGCCAGCTTCTGACGATCCACAGGTTTAGAGACATAGCCGTTCATTCCTTTCGCCAAATAAATCTCCCTGTCACCCTCCAGCGCATTTGCAGTTAGTGCAATGATCGGTATATTCACCCCAGCCCTACGAATTTCCACTGTAGCCTCCATACCATCGAGAATCGGCATACTAATATCCATGAGGATAACATCGAGGAGCAATGAGTGCTGCTTCGCGAGCTGTACGGCTTGTGCTCCGTCCAAAGCAGTGTGAATGTGCTCGAATCCAAGACCCCGCAGCATCTTTACCATTACTTTCTGATTGATCAAGTTATCCTCAGCAAGAAGAAGACGCTTTGACGGTGCGATTTCGCTGAGGAGCTCTCGTGGATCAACAGGTGAGATAGTTGTTGACGCCAAGGCTTTTGTTAGTACCGCTGCAGGAATCGTAGTGGGCAGTTTTGCTACGTTCACCGAAAACCAAAAGACACTTCCGCGGGTCTGTGGATTGGCGTGAAAGCCGATAGTGCCGCCCATTAATTCTGCGAGGGTTTTGCTGATTGAAAGGCCAAGTCCGGTACCTTTGTAGCGCTTGGTGGCTGATGTATCGAATTGAGTGAACGGGGTAAATAGAGAGCCAGAAGTAGGGTTCGAGATGCCAATCCCTGTGTCGGTGACCTCTGTTTGAAGTATGTATGAGAGATCATCCTCTTTCGTGGCATATGTCCGAATACGGATAGATCCGGAGTCTGTGAACTTCGCAGCATTCGATACTAGATTATTCAAAACCTGGCGGTAGCGGACAGGATCACCATGTACTACCGTAGGCAAACTTGGATCGGAAGACACGTCGATTGACACTCCATGGTTGAGAAGTGGCCGAGAACCGCGAACTACAGAAGAAACAACGTCCGGAATGTTAATGACGTCCGAATTGATCGGGAAAGTCCCAGCTGACAGCTTACTCCAGTCTAGGATATCGTTGATTACATCTAGCAAGACGTTGCCCGATTCTTCGATAATGCCTGTCAATTCCCGTTGCTCCGGCAATAGCGAGGTGTCCGTGAGGAGAGTAAGAGCAGAGAGCATTCCATGCATCGGTGTTCGTATTTCGTGGGTCATGTTGGCGAGAAATTCCGACTTTAGCTTCGCAGCCTCCTCGTAGGCAGAGACCAGTCTAGACTCAGCAGCTTTTCGCTCAGTCAGATCACGCGTGACCTTGCTAAATCCAATATGCACGCCGTTCCTGTATACAGACGTGAGGATAACATTTGCCCAGAATCGAGATCCATCCCGGCGCAGACGCCACGATTCATCTTCCACTTTGCCATCTCGTAGACAGATCTCTATTTCCTTCCTTGGCTTCTCGGCCACGAGATCTTCGCGAGTATAAAAGGTGGAAAAGTGTTTTCCTATTATTTCCTCTGCGGTGTACCCCTTAAGCAAAGCAGCCCCCTGGTTCCAAGTCTTGACGTTGCCTTTTGTGTCTAACATGAAAATAGCATAGTCTTTGACCGTCTGAACGAGCATCCGGTATGTGTCGTTGGTGTCCAATTGGTTATTTGCCTGTTGCATCTGGTCATCGCTGATTGTCTCCTGAAACTCTATGGATATGTAACGAAGGGTTTCCTTCTCGAACATTGGGATAGCTCGTACAGCCCAGTATCTGGGCGCTGCAGTGCCGTGACCCTTGACCTGTATAGCGTCCGCGGCGTGGACCTTCTTCGTTGACCGTGCGGTTTCTATTGCACATTGTACAGAAGCTACGTCCAGACCAAGACCTCTTGCCCCCATCAGCTCGTATACGCCAACACCGATGCATGCTTCCGCCGCGAGGTTATGGAGTGAGAGGAAGCTAGCAGATACCAGCAGTATGTGAAGTGAAGCGTCGAGGAGGACAGTTGGAATAGGTGTGAGAGCAATAAGTGAGTGGCCGGTCAGCGTTTCGCTTTGCGATGGAGACTCAGAAGCTAGATCCATGACTCGTTCCCATGAGAGAACTAATCTAAGTATCGTACGTTTCTAACGCCCGTATCTGATGCGCATTTTGGAGAAAGTTCACAGTGATCGGTGTTCTATTATTAGAAGCGCAAAATGACGTATGTGGCGGAACGACATTATCCAACATTTGGTGAACTGCTCTGACAAATATATCACGACAAGAATAAAAGAAGGTCGGAAATCGAAATAGATATCCAAATAGTCAATTACAGTACATAAATTATAAAGTTATTATGCAACATGCAATCAAAAGTGGCATTCTACTGCTTAATGGAAGAATAATGGATAGTTCACAGTATATCGAAATTGCCGTGAAATGATTCTCTTATTTTCAAGGTACAAAACTTTTGGTAAACTCATATTTAAAAGATTCTCTCAATTTTGTTACTCTGTCCTTTCTGATTTGTATAGTTGCTATCTCATTTCACCTGTACCAAGGTACACCCTTGTGAATTAAGTCGTCTGCTTGTGGTCTAAGCCCTTCCCCACCTTAATTTAGTTTCTCCTGATCTAATTTATTGAAAACAAAACCCATTTATCCATACAATCGGTGTTCAAGAAAACTGTATCCATTTTCTAAATTATATATATAAGTGGTAATTTAGCAACTTCTTTGTCCCTCCAAACTTTCGCAGAACTCCCTTTCCAAGAGCCGAAGTGCACATATGTCGTTCTCTTGCCAGCTCTAGTAGCAACTATCCTCCTCATGCTACGACTATGATACTGATGTACGTTCAGTATCTCATCGTGTTTTCGTTTGTGATCGAATGTTTGATTCCTCATTTTCCTTTCGACGTCCCCTAGTAAGGATTTTTGGCCAGCCACACGTAGTAGTAAGCAGTACTCTGTGACGCCTAACAGTTCTGCTAGAAGAGTCAAAATGGACGTAAAGTTCAGAATCCCGCACAAAATTGGGAAGAGGTATCATGACCGACACTCTTTTACATTCTCGGATGCTCATAATGGCATTCCAACCAGTACATCTCTGAAGACTGTCAACCCTTTCGTACTGTTTGTACACTTCGTCACCCAAAGTCAATTCAACCTGTAGATAATCCAGTTTACTGTGCTTTGCAAGTATCCTGAACGCGTCCGATGGTCGTGGGTCACACCATGGGACACGAATATCTCGGATGTACCTTGCGATTTCATCTGGCGACAAAGATTGAAGAAATCGGACTCCAGTCGCTTGAGGCGAGAGTTCCACCTTCCGAGTGAGAAACAGTTCCAATATCTCTTCTCTCAAATGTCCGACTATAGCTAGTAGTTTGAGAACGGTGTGAAAGAGCAAGCGTGGTGAACGAGGTCTGTATTGAATACTTCCGTCTGGCAATTGTGTGCCTGAGCTCTCATGAGTGCAGCAGGCGTATTGGATAATGATACTGACAATCTCAGGTGGAAGTCTGGCGAATTTGCCTTTACCCCTCGGCAGGTCCACGACGGCCTCAGCTGTTATGGGAGCTGATGGAGATTGATGTTGACCATTGTCGTCTCCAGCGGTTTGCGAAACTTTGAGGCTTCCTAATCCCATATCAGCAAGAAAATATACCACAAGACACCCCAAAATAAAGTTGAGGTTGGAAGTTTACCAGAGTTAGCATTAACTCGAAGTTTCTTCATAGGTCTTGTCAAATCTGGAGAACCTTCGCGTTCTTCAGCGGCATCCGCTCCGGTTTTCCTCTTGCGTGGACTCATTTGCTTGTTATTTCGGAAGAGATGATAAGATAGGTCGAGTTTACTGGCAATATGTGGATATATATAGCAGGAAAGCTCGCGCAAATCAAAGGAATAAAGCAAGTTGTACTTTCCAAAGACGCTTTCATAATTCAAAGCAATTGTTGTGTAGTGCAGGTGCACAAGCCGATGATGAATTTACCTTTGAGATCTATTACTATTGAATTTACTAAAGCTTTAATCTGTACATAAAATGTAAGCTTAGATACCTAGATGAAAACTAACCTTTTGTCTCCCCTTGCAAGACTAACCTCTCGAAACGCAATAAATTTCAAGCAAAAAAGTTTATACTTCCCTTTATAGTCAAAGGTAAGATCTTTCTTTCATCCAGAAATGCAGCAACTCAACAATGAACAAAGCGACATTAATCCTTACCCAAAGTATCATTTTGATGGAGAAAATGACCATGCTTCCTCCCGTGTCTTGCGCGTTTTGTTAATCGTGAAGCAGCAAAGTTTGACAAAGGCCTAGGACATCGGACGTGCAAGGAATTCCACAAAAGAGCTCTCTATACTATTGTCATACCTTAAAAGTTCATTCATAAGTATAAACTTTCGTTTCACTAGTTTGAAAATGCTTTTTTATCACCCTGTACATTCATGACACATGCACTTTTGAACAATTTGCCCAGGGATTGAGTGCTATTACACAGTACAGAATACACAATATAAAAATACCTCTTTTTACATCTATTAGTAAGTGGTGCTGCAAACCAATCACCTCGTTCAGCATAGATATTTAGCTTCCCCACTAGCAACCCCAACTGCCCCCATACCAATCTTTTGTAACTATGTTGCTTGCTTGTGGTTTAGACCAACATCCGGATCACTTTGCACTCTTGAATTTTCCCTGACCACTTGGTCCTGTTGGCCCCTACGAAAACTCCATATCTTGTTCGATATCTGACTCATCAGTTTGATTTCGTTGCAATGGCCGATCCCATTGCGAGCGTTGACCTCTGGGTAAACGACATGTTTCGTTAAATCTCTGACTCATAAGATCAGCCCTATGAAAGCCATCGCGACCATCAAAACCATGAGCGTCGTATTTGGCCACCCACTGAATATCCCTTTGATGATCTCGCTTAGCGTGAAACTCGAGAACCGTTTTCTCACATTCGCGAATACTGATGATTTCGTCGTAGCCGGTACAGCATTCAAAACTTCCGCCCGGAAAGCCTTGCCCAGATTCATACTCTCTAAATACTTCCGTGTGTTTCTTGACGAAGATTTCCAGCCTTTTGAGGCTAGTATGAGCTGCAAATCTTCCGAAAAGGGCGGCAGAGTCTTCATCACACCACTGGATACGAATGTGCTTTAGGTAGTGCTTCATTTCTTTGCCTGGCATCCGATATAAGAAATTAAAAGTTTCTTCATCGTTTGTGATTTCGACTTTTCGTGAAAAGAACTGCTTGAGAACCACGTGGCGTAGCAAAGGCCAGACCTCCAGTAGGGTGAAGATGGATTGATAATCGGATATTTGAGATTGGAAGCTGTACATCAGAGTTGGGATTTTCTTTTGGCGGGACTTTTTGCGTTTCTTTCGAGGGGGTTGGGCGGGTTCGGCAGCCTCTTCTTCAATGGTAGAGGGGTCCCAATATTCGAGGTCTCTGAGAACGTATTTGACAATCTTAGCCCTAAGTTCTTTTGGCAAGATACCGGTCCAGGATGTACAAAGGCGGCTCAGATTCTCAGTCGGGGGATAGGGTTCAAAGCTGTCAGCTGCAAACCATAGTAAGTTAGACCATCAATTCGCAATGTGTTAGATATTGTCCTTTGGTGTCCGAGAATACGAAAAAGTGTCAGGAACAATCTTACCTGCATTGACAAAAATGGGAACCGTTCGTGGCTGATTGAGTCCACGCATAGTACTGCCATCGCTTGCTGCTCTCATTGCACTGTTTGCGCTTGAAATTCCCTGGATTGGCTCCATTTGATCTCAAATTGTAACTATCGATCATGAAAGTAATTTCTTGCCTGGAAATTTGCCGAAACTTATACCAATTGGAGCGAATTGATCAAACGGGAGTTTTGCAAAGATGACAGCCGAGTGTCACATAATGCGAAAGCTTTCTTTGATACTGTTTCCCAGATTTGAGTCTTGCAATGACTGGCCAATGCTCCTTTACCAATTCCTTGGGATTTGTATGTTTGTCAGCAATAATGACGTGAAAGTACTCAAAAAATGGATTTTTCCAAAGAAAGTTTTAGTCTTAACTCAATTAGACTCATCTACAGCAAACACTGTGACTCAAACGTCAATTTCTAGCCCTGGAATTATGCGATATGATTTAAGATAACAAGCTTGACTGCCGACAAAGAATTGAATGACTTTCTTTGCTGCAGCGTCGACGAGCATTTGCAAAATAGTCACAAAAAAGATTACATTGCTGAATTTATCCTAATAAACAAATCAACACATATCTTTTTCTAATGTATGATTGTCAAGAAAGAAAGAGAAATCTACGCCAAACCTACGACCCCTTAATGATCTCGCTTACCACCACCCCCTTTCACATGCTCCCCTCCCCTCCCTAAATCCGACTCCCTAGCGAGCGTGACATCATCAGTAACACCGCAAACAACGCAAACAATATCAACCACATCTTAAATCCAAACAGCCAAACAACTCAAGCATCTAGCCGCAATCAATTGAACCCCTCTCCCCTTCCATCAAAATGGACGACCCAAAAACCCAAATCCCCTCCATAATCAAATCCCTAACCGAAGGGTCCCCATCCGCGCAACACCACGCCCTGCAAACCTACTTCCACTCCAGCGCATCATTCACCCACCCCCTCTGTCGCGTCCCGTCATTCTCGCACATTTCGCTCCCGTTCGTGGGAGAGATAAACTCGCGATGGGTGGTTGGCATGATATACCGATGGTACAAAATCCTAAGTCCGAGGATTGTGTTGGATGTAGAAGTTGTTGGTACGTATATACCCCCCGAGTTGGGGAGGTAGGCTGACGAGGTGTAGAGTTCAACAAAGACACAGACATAATATTCCTAAACATCCACCAAATCTTCTCCCTCTTCTTCGTCCCCTTCTACAAATCAAACGTCCATCTCACCACCGTCCTCAACCTAGTCCAGCTCCCCGACCCAGCGCAGCGAGCCGAAGGTAAATACTACATCATCCACCAAGAAGACCTCTACCAAACCGACGAAGTCGTGAAGTTCTTCTGGCCGGGCGGAAGTACGGTGATATGGGGGTTCCAGATGTTCGCGACGTGCATGTGTATACTGGGTGCGTTGGCGCTGGCGCCGGTTACGTGGGCGGCGGAGAGGAGGGCGAGGGGGAAGGTCAATGGGGTTGGTGAGGGGAAAGGGAAGGTTAATGGGATTGGGAAAAGGGCGATTAATGGGGTCGGGGTTGGGAAGGGGATGTGAGGGATATGGATCGAATTTGATTTGGAGTTAAAGGGGGAAAGGGCATGATTTACGAAGGATGATGAAGGTTGGTGGGGACTGGAATAGAATACCAGGGATGTAATTTGGCACATGGGATATTTGGTCGAGTTTGAAGTGGAGAAAAGGAGGAAGTAGATGGATTTAGGGTGGAGGCGACGGCGTTGAAATGGGGGAAATATCACGGCAAGAGTTTTGGCGCAAGTCTCCAAAAATGACTTAATTGATGGGCATGTCACACTATTGATTAAATTTCTACGTTCTGTATCTAGTATTTCGCTTACATAGATTCTAACATTTATTCCAAATCCTACTGCAGCACATCCCTCAACTAAGGCCCCAGACTCCCAACGGTCCTTCTCTTCCACTCTTTCCTTTCGCGACTAGCTCCTTCTCCAATCTTCTCACCCGCTTAACCAGCGTTCCAGTCGCTAGCGGTCCGATGATAGTACAGAGCACAATCGCCCACGTGGTAATGAGATAGATCTCTGATGATTCCACGGGTGTAGTGGTCTGGGAAGAGAATACCCCCGTTGTCTCTGCCAGCGAAGCGATGAGGAAGCCGATCTCACCGCGGGCCGTCATGGCTGTGCCGAGCATAGCTGCTGGATAAAGGGATAGTGGTACTTTGGTAGGAGTGGTGTTGGCTTTCGGGGGCTGCCGGGGGAGGGAGGTGTTTGCTGGAGTGGGTGAAGATGAGGACGCAGTGGTGGGTTGGGATGGCTGCGAGGGGATGTGTTGGAGCTGGACTCCGGTATTGCTCGTAATCGGCTTCTGGGATTTCTTCAATTTGCTGTTTTTCAATGTCTTGCGTCTGAATTTCAATGCCAGTTTCGAGAAAATAGGAACAGAAAATTTAAGAAGCCAAAACCCTGTGGCGAGTTTACTGATGAGCATTAAGATGGTGTAGATTATGCCACGCCACATTATGGGGCCGGAAAAGAGTTTGGTAATTGGAATGGCGAAGCCGATAGAGGCGAAGAAGAGGGGTTTAAGGATGCGATGGAGGGCTGGCTCGTAGAAGCGGGTGAAGGTTGCGGTTCCTGATGTTTGAGAGGGAGTGGTTGTCGTTGGTGGAGGTAGTGAAGGGGTTGATGGGGTGGTGTTTGCAGGTATCGTGGTTGATGAAATGTTTTCTTGAGTGTGAGTGCTGGATGTGGTTTGGATATTAGGTGTATTGGATGCTGCTGGAGTAGGCTTTGTGAATTCGCCGTCCCACCAGCTGATGGCTGCTCCAGCGAGATACGCAGCGAAGAGGTTTGAAGTCCCTGCATAAGTAGCCCCAGTGACCAAACCAAGCAGAATTGCAGTGTGAATAATCAAAGCAGCATAAACACTGCTCACACAACTTCTTACCATTCCGTCCTTCTTATTCTCAAGAACAGATTGACACCATAAGGTAACTGGCTTAGCAACAAATCTGCAAATAAGTAGCACCAATACACCAAGCCCAATAGAAACAGCAATAGGCCTTACTACCGTAACAGCAGAAAAGTCATCTCCACCAAGGTTGGAAATGACTTGCACCATTACCAGACCTACCACATCATCCATCATAGCTGCACTAGTAAGAACGACTCCTAGACGGGTAGTGGCGAGACCACTTGTGCTCAGAATAGTAAATGTAGTTCCTAGACTGGTAGAGCAAAGTGCTGCACCTGCTGCAAAAGCTTGGAGTGGTGTAGCTGAGGCTAGGGATAGAAGACTGAATGAGAGGCCGATTGGAACGACGATGCCTGTTATGGCTACTGCACATGAGAGCAGTGCATTTGCTTTTAGAGCGGAGAATTCGGTTTGAAGGCCTCCTACGAAATATCAGGTCAGTACTAGTAAATGTAAGAGGAGGAAATGACATACCTTCATACACCAAAAGTATAAGTCCCAAATATCCCAGTTGTACAATCACATGTTCTGTTTCTGAGTTGAGCAGTTTTCCTCCTGGTGTACCCCATGCTACGCCTATAAAGATCTGGCCGATAAGACCACAGAAAATGAGGTTGTCAAAGATATGATTGATAATGTTCAGAGCGAGAAGAAATGACGATTGAATTAAGATTGTGACTATATCGGGTTCGTCGTAGGGAAGGTATGAGGATGGCTCTGAAGACATAGTTGGGCAGAGAAGAGCAGTTCCTGAGATCTGAATGGAGCTTTACAGAACTGAATATGGAGACGATTGAGCCGATGAGAGATATCTTTGGTTTCCATTGAGAAGAGCAACAGACTTTACAGTTGTACTCTTGGCTGTTCAATTTTCCGTCCTAGCTGTATCAGCTCCAAGCTAAAACTTGTCAACATAAAAACAGATAAATTAAATACAACGAGATGGATGTTATGAATTATACAAACCCAGAAAAAGATATTTCGAAATTGTTGTGTAACTTCTTCCTAGGATCGTACAGTTCTGTCGATGACAAACCCTTCACATGATCCCTCTGCGGCAAACACCAAGCCCCGTCGTCGCGTCCACCTCGGCGTCGAAGCCCCTGCGCCACCCCAAGCGTCCTTTCCATTGCGACATGAAATGTTTCCAAGACAAACCACCAAGATCCGATGACAGATAATTAATTCCATCCATCCATCTTCTCCTTTTCTCGCACTCTTTCATCTGCATACCTTTTTCTCAAACAAATTAATACCTCTGCTACGAATTACAAGTCATTCTGATACCATCCAATCTACCTACTCGTACTCATCAGAAAGCCACAACGTCACGGAGGCAAAAGAAAGCATTCGGATACACGGGTGTTAGTAAACACACCTGATCACGACGACGACGGATTAAAATCGCAATACGAAGACTAGACTAAACATTTGTTTATTCACGCATTTCATTCGACCTACTGCGAACGTCGCAAATCAAACAAAGAACCTCACCACCTCATAACCTCGCAACCACCCACAACCTCAACCTCAACCTCCTAACCACAACACCACAAAAATGTCATCGCAACCACCAAAAGACGGTCCCCCACCAGACTACAACGCCCCTCACGCGCCCCAAGCAGCGTACATCCAGCAACAACAACCCTACAACCAATACCCACCTCAGAACTTCTCCTCTCCGCCGCCAGGCCAGTACGGACAGCCGCCACAAGGAGGATACTATGGACAGCAGCAGATGGGCTACGGACAACAACAGCCAGGCTACGGCGTAGGAGGTGCGCCAGGACCATATGGACCACAAGGCTATAACGCGGGGCCGCAAGGCGGATACGGAGGGTATGGACAGCCGCAGGGACAGTATTATGAGGAGAGAAGGGGAGGGGGAAGTAGTGGGGGGTTCTTGGGGGCGTGTATGGGGGCGTTGGCTTGTTGTTGTTGTTTGGATTTGTTGTTTTAAAGGAAACAGGAAAGGAGAGGAGGGGAAGGGGTATGGGGATGGAGATGGAGAAACGGGGAGGAAGGGTGGTGGATAGCGGAAAGGATTACGGAGAAAAGGGATGGATGAGGGATAGAGGAAGGGAAGAATGAGGTGAGAAATATGGATTAGGATAAGCTGGACTGTTCTGTGTATATTGTGGTATGGGCGGGCGATGGAGGTGTTTGTGTTCATTGTATGAAATTGGTGGTGCGACCTAATAATAAATGTATATTTTTTGAGCAAGAACATAATTGAAATGCTTGAAATGGAATGCCGTACAGCAAACGTGTATACTACGCTGACAATATGGTGTGAAGGAGATATGCTTTATGTGCTATTTAATCAACGTATATTTTTCTTTACGAATAACGTTTAAATGCTTCAATATCATTTTACGACGCCCAGCCCGCTTAAACGCCCCCTTTCCTTCCAAAAAATGCATCAATAACTTGCAAATAATATCTATAGACTCTCGCTATCAATTCTCTGCACCACGATCGCAGTAGCCGCTCCTCCTCCATTGCAAATAGCAGCGCAACCGTATTCGCCTACTTTCAGTTGATGTAGAAGTGTTGTGAGGATTCGTGAACCCGAGCTACCAAGAGCGTGGCCGAGGGAGATGGCACCACCTAATGGGTTGACTTTTGCGCCTTCAAGCCCGAGGATCTGTCGATCATTAGCTATGTGGTATTCGAAGGGGATGCCTAAATTTACCTTCTCATTCGCCTTAATCACTGCAGCAAAAGCTTCGTTAAATTCCCAAATCGCAATATCCTCCTTCTTCACACCTGCTCGCTCTAATGCAAGTGGTACCGCCTTTGCTGGCGCAACAGGGAAATCTACTGGATCTATTGCTGCATCGGCGCTTCCACAAATTCTAGCAAGAACCCTTGAATCTTTCCCGTATTGTTTTGCGATTGCCTTATTTCCCAATACTAGCGCACTCGCTCCATCATTCAACGTCGACGAGTTCGCGGCTGTAACGGTTCCCGTTCCATCTCGGACGAATGCAGGCTTCAGAGTAGCTAGTTTGTCAAACTTGACATCCATGTATCCCTCATCAGTATCAATAATGGTATCTCCCTTTCGTCCCTTGACCGTTACTGGCGCAATTTCCTCGGCGAAAGCGCCAGTCTTCCAAGCCTCCTGAGCCCTTGAATATGAGAGCTTGGTATATTCATCCTGCATTTCCCTTGTGATGTCGTACTTTTTGGCCGTAGTCTCGGCACATACGCCCATATGGAATTTGTTATAAACGTCGGTCAAGCCGTCCTTGGTCAACCCATCTTCCATCGTAACATTTCCGAATGCTGGCAAACCACTTGCTCTTGGGACATATAAAGGTGTCCTGGTCATGCTCTCCATTCCTCCCGCGATTTGCGCTTCTGCCAATCCAAGCTGGATGTTTTGAGCAGCAAAAACCACCGCTTTCATTCCCGAGGCGCATACTTTGTTGATGGTGATTGCTTCGACTGTGTTTGGAAGACCGGCAAAGAGGGCAGCTTGTCGTGCTGGTGCTTGGCCGACGGAGGCTTGGAGGACGTTTCCCATGTACACATCTGTGATTTTGGAAACGGGGACTTTGGATTTCTCGAGGGCGGACTTGATTGCCACTGCGCCGAGTTGGGGCGCGGAAACTGTGGTGAAAGAGCCATTGAACTGCAATTGTTAGTCAGTAAGAAAGCCAAATCACTGCCATAGTACGTACCTTCGCCGTCGGCGTTCTTGAGGCACTCAAAATATATGCATCTTGAATTTCTTGCTTGACCGAGGTTGTAGCACTGAAATGTCGGCGAACTTGAGTGAGACGTTGTTTTGGTAACGAGGAATTCCTCGCAGATGCCATTGCGAATTTGAAAGACATGACGAATATGACGAACAGCTAAAGACAACAAATTCAAATTACATGCAAAGTTGAAAAGTTGAGAAGGAAGTAAGAAAGAATGAATGCGTCCCGTAAACCGGGAGCTATGGAACATCACCCTCGGCTTGTGAAAGGCGGCGGGTAGTGGCGGATGGCGGGGAACGGCCCAGCAGTCCCTGTCAAGCTACCCCCACGTGACTCTTCCGAGTGCCGGCGGCGGGTCGGTCGAGGCTCCGTCAGCATGTCTGTAGTGCACTGGAATGCCTCCATGTACATGACATTCAACCATTGCAGTTAACCGTTACACGCTCAAAGATCCAGTCGTCTCCATACTACAAGAACTTGGAATCCCAATATTCTCCTCTTTACATTCACGACCATCATCACCAGTAGAAACGCGATCTTGCAACCTTTCCCCACCCTCATAACACGGCTACCAGCATCAGCTTCTGTATTCCACCAGGCTTTATACTCTCCAGTTCGACAAGCAATCTCTGATCGCAGGCGGCTTCAAACCTTTTATCCACGCTTCCACCAGTTCAAACCACCCGCCACTATGTCTACAGCCGCTCGCCGTCGTCTCATGAGAGATTTCAAGGTTGGTGGCAACCCTGATTCAAGATGGAGTTGGAAATACTCACAAGCCAAATAGCGTATGCAAACAGATCCTCCCGCTGGAGTCTCTGCTTCCCCTGTGGCAGATAATGTCATGACTTGGTAATGGCCTCTCCAGATAACCACAATGATCATATGCTGATGCGGATATCTAGGAATGCTGTGATTATTGGACCAGCGGATACCCCATTTGAAGACGGCACCTTTCGACTCGTGATGCATTTTGAAGAGCAATATCCAAACAAACCGCCAGCGGTCAAATTCATCAGCCAGATGTTCCACCCAAACGTGTACGCTACAGGAGAGCTTTGTCTTGATATCCTCCAGAACCGATGGAGTCCCACGTATGATGTTGCGGCGGTTCTTACTAGCATTCAGAGGTACGCTTGAGGAAATATAATGATTCAGAGCACTACTTAATACTAACCCAAACCTCCAGTCTTCTCAATGATCCCAATACCAGCTCCCCCGCCAACGTCGAAGCCTCCAACCTCTACAAGGACAATAAAAAGGAATACACAAAAAGGGTGCGAGAATCTGTAGAGAAGAGCTGGGAGGATTGAGCCATCATATACATTTAAAAACGAATATATTTGCATATGGACGGACATAGCGATATTGGAGCTCTGTATCACAGTGCGTTCTGGAGTTACGCATCATGCCTGGTATCTGTTTCTTTCTGGGTCTGTACGGTCTGTTTGGTCTGTTTCTAGGAGTATCAAGACAGGGGTCTCAGTCTGGCATATCGATTAGCGCGTCATTGGCATTCTGATATCCGCAAAACAATCAATAAATCATCTATGAACTGCTCTTAAATACTAGAAACTAATATTCGCCGCATTCGCTCTCTGACTATGGTCATCGTGAATACTGACTCGCAAGCATCCCCCCGCGAGTAACGTGATTAATTCGCATCGTCGCGTTCGACCCTGGAAATTGGCTTGTCACACCAGACCTGTACGCCTGGACGCCTCGCCTACCCGCATAATAAACAACTTTACCTCCTTATCGACTGCACCTTTCCCTCACCGGACACAACACCACCGGCGACGACGCTCACTCTCCTTATGAACGGTCCTGGGTAGCAAAAAGACTCGCGATCATGTCGAACAGTATAAAGGTGGTCGCCCGGTTCAGGCCGCAGAACCGGACAGAGATTGAATCGGGGGGGTTGCCCATTGTGAGGTTTGAGAGTGAAGATACTTGCGCTCTAGATGTAGGTACCCGCGATCAGACCAACAAGAGATGCTGATGTTGGAATAGTCAAAAGAGGCAACTGGTTCCTTCACTTTCGACCGCGTGTTTGATATGAACTCGCGGCAGAAAGACGTATTCGATTTCTCCATCAAACCTACCGTCGACGACATTCTTAATGGATATAATGGCACAGTCTTTGCATATGGGCAAACGGGAGCGGGAAAGTCGTATACCATGATGGGGACGGATATAGACAACGATGAGGGAAGGGGGGTGATACCAAGAATCGTAGAGCAGATATTTGCCAGCATTCTGGCCAGTCCAGGCACGATCGAATACACCGTCCGAGTTAGTTATATGGAAATCTACATGGAGAAGATTAGAGATTTACTGGCGCCACAAAACGACAATCTACCAGTCCACGAAGAAAAGAATAGGGGTGTATATGTTAAAGGCTTGCTGGAAATCTATGTGTCGAGTGTGCAGGAAGTGTACGAGGTGATGCGAAGGGGAGGGTCATCAAGAGCAGTCGCTGCGACCAACATGAACGCCGAGTCCTCGCGGTCACATTCGATATTCGTAATTACCATAACGCAGAAGAACGTCGAGACGGGATCAGCAAAGAGCGGACAGTTATTCTTGGTCGATTTAGCTGGTAGTGAAAAGGTTGGCAAGACTGGTGCTACCGGGCAGACCTTGGAGGAAGCGAAGAAGATCAATAAGAGTTTGAGCGCCTTGGGAATGGTTATCAACAACCTGACGGACGGAAAATCACAACATATTCCATATCGAGACTCGAAACTCACACGAATTCTCCAGGAGTCTCTAGGGGGAAATAGTAGGACGACTCTCATCGTGAATTGTTCGCCCAGCAGTTACAACGATGCGGAAACTCTCAGCACTCTGCGGTTCGGTATGCGAGCAAAGGCAATCAAGAACAAGGCCAAGGTCAATGCGGAAATAAGTCCTGCGGAAATGAAGGCACAGATGAAGAAGATGCAATCCCAAATCACCACATTCGAGCATTATTTCCATACCTTAGACGCCGAGGTACAGCAGTGGAGATCTGGTGAATCTGTACCAAAAGAGAAATGGGCACCTCCTCTCACGGGCGTAGCCGCTACAAAGCTAGACACGAGAGCACCACGACCATCCACACCCTCGAGACTCACCACTGACAGTCGGGCAGAAACACCCGCCGCATCAGAAAGATCAGCCACGCCTTCACTGCCGCTGGAAAAAGACGAAAGGGAAGAGTTTTTAAGGAGAGAAAATGAGCTGCAGGATCAGATAGCGGAAAAGGAAACCCAAATAGCGGCTCTAGACAAGTCGCTCCGAGAAACAAGAGAAGAGCTCACTTATCTAAAGGAGCATGACAACAGAACGAATAGGGACAACGAGAGGCTTACGGGCGAAGTCAACGAGTTCAGGATGCATCTAGAAAGATTGTCGTTCGAAGGCAAGGAGGCGCAAATCACCATGGACGCATTAAAAGAAGCCAACAACGAACTCACAACCGAGTTGGATGAACTCAAGCAACAGCTGCTGAACGTCAAGATGAGTGCAAAAGAGACAAGTGCTGTACTCGATGAGAAGGAGAAGAAGAAGGCCGAGAAGATGGCCAAAATGATGGCCGGCTTCGACCTTGGTGGTGATATATTCAGTGAAAACGAGCGCTCAATCAAGAGCGCTATTGACCAGGTCGATGCGTTGCATGAGCAAAGTGCTGCCGGCGAAGCGATACCCCCACAGGAACTCCAAGATATCCGAGCAAGATTAGTCGAAACGCAGGGGATAATTCGGCAAGCTGAGCTGTCTCTTTATAGTAATACGTCCAGCGATGCCAATTCTAAACGGAGAGAAGAGCTTGAAGTTCGCCTACAGATAGTTGAACGAGACTACGTGGATCTTCTCGAAAGAAATCTCACCGAAGACGACATCGCTGAAGTCAAGGACCGACTTGCGGACGCATATGTCAATAAGCAGGATGTGCAGTCTGAGCTGGTGCAAGGCCTCAAGGCGGAATTGGCACAGAAAGCTTCCGAGATTCAAAAATTCAAAGCTGTCAATGATGATTTGCAAAGGCGCGTCAAGACTGGTGCCGTAGCAAATGGTGCTCCAGGAATGCCAAATGGCAAGACAGTCCAACAGCAGATTGCTGAATTTGATGTCATGAAGAAGAGTCTCATGCGTGATCTCCAAAACAGATGCGAGCGTGTGGTCGAGCTTGAAATTTCCCTTGATGAAACTCGGGAGCAGTACAACAATGTCCTTCGATCATCAAATAATCGTGCCCAGCAAAAGAAGATGGCTTTGCTTCAGCGGAATCTTGAGACGCTCACAACTGTTCAAAAACAACTTGTGGATCAAAATGGCACTTTGAAGAAAGATGTCGCGATTGCAGAACGTAAACTTGTTGCCAGAAACGAACGCATTAATTCTCTCGAGTCGCTGCTGCAGGATTCACAGGAAAAGCTAACGGCCGCAAATCACAGGTTCATTTACCCACATACCCCAATGCATTTACCAATATGCTAACATAAAACAGGTTCGAAGCTCAACTTGGCGCCGTGAAAGAACGTCTCGAGGCAGCCAAGAGCGGTAGTACTCGTGGTCTTGGATCACCCACCGGACCCGGTGGTTTCTCTTTTGGCGGAGCAGGAAGTCGAATCGCCAAACCACTTCGAGGAGGTGGTGCTGTTGAGAATGCTCCTATCCCAGTCATTTCTGGTCTACAGAACGAGGCCAGCGGCAACTCGGGCAACAAGCGAACGTCCTGGTTCTTCTCTGGACAGAAATAGATCATTCACATCTTTTAGCGATCATCCTTATTTGTGATGAAATAGATACAGCGCAGTGGGAATTCAAGTAGAATAGACGGCAAGAGCATGCGACGAGGTCATGTCATGTATACCCACGTTTTTCCTTTTGTTCTTTGGATTTAATCGTCCACAATACGAGTCCGACCGGTTTACTCTTTGCCGACACAAAGCATGGGAGGCGTGTTGGGTTGGGGTTTGGTTCGGTCGACACAGGCAGTTTTGTTCTGGGCTCTGCTGGGTGGATTCTGGTGGACATGTATTCTCTGCGGTCGATTTTGGGGATCCAATCCACCCGGTTGCATGGGCGATGGATGGGATACATCACCGAGATTTACATAGGCTGGCGTTCAGTTGATAAATGGCTGATATTTTCCCTGAATGAGACTGCTATTTGGTGTGATGTGTTGTGATGGTTCTTGAACCCCTTTGTGCTACTGACTGCCACTGTGACATTAAAACAGCAAATCAATGTGTTGGAATAATCTTCAAGAAATACAAGACCTTGCAATATGTCGAGGAGAAACATATCGGTTCCGTAATAGTCGTCTTGTTCTGCTTAGAGTCGCCAATGCGAAATTAATAATGAGATCTCCAGCTTAGGTTGTACTCATTTTATTACCGGAGAAAGCATACTAAAATCCTGGTTCCTGAGTGGAAAGCAATCAGACCACCAACCCAGGCACATGCAATCTGCAAAACTTCGTCATGCCATAAAAAAACGCAATACCAATATTGAATAGCCCACGGAGCTTTGCTCCGTACCTCTCATCTTATATTGCTCATGCTCTCAGATCTGAACCTTCATTTCCCAGCCTCCTGATATCGCCGCGATGCTCTTTTGGTGGAGCTATCAAAACACACATCTAGCTTATACGTTTGTGCTCCCAGCCTCCTACTTTAAGAGTTCTCCCGGATCAAATGGAGGGGCATCGTAGAGTGAAACGTGAAAAATATACGTCTACTTCCGAATTGAGCCGTTACAGAATCAAGATTTCGAGGCTTGATTTGTCTTTGAAAATGTTCAATGCCCTGTCGCATGTATTCCAGTGACATAACCATCCACTTCGGCTAAGGTATTCAAGAGCGAGCATCTTTCTACCTTTCAATTCAACCTTCATTGCTAAATATTTTCACTCGTTCGAAAGCATTATCGCCATAACTTCGCGATAATTCTCCAAATCATCTAATATTCCAACATACGATTGAAGTTGTTGCTGCTCGCTCTCTTAACGCCGGTTGCTCTGCCCCAACTTGCGCCCGCGCTTGGACCGGCCCCCTCGATAAACAAGGCCTCGTCTTCGTCTCGCGCAACAACATCTTCAAGCTCATCGCATTCTCAACATCACCTCCTACTGCGAACAACACAAGCGTCAGTTCGTTGCCGCGAGCAAACTCGCCCGTCGCAATGGCGCCCATACCCTCCATCAATCTCGATTCCCTCTCCTCAGCCCTCTCAGACGTCGCAAAGCGCATCACCTCACCCTCAAACCTCCCACGCCATGCAGAACCACTACCAAATCCCACACCTACGGCGACAGTACGTTCATTATGGACACGAGTCATCTACGCGCGACAGAGCACCAGTTCAATTATTCCTACCGCATATGGCGACATGGACACCGGCCCCTCCCCAGGAACAGTCGCTGGAATCGTGCTCGGCTCCGTCGCAGGTTTCCTGCTATTACTATGGCTCATCTACACCTGTCTCAATTTCAACAACACCAGCAACCAATCCGTCTACACCGAGGAAGTAGTCCGAGATCGCCGGAAGAGCCACCGCGGAAGCCAGCGCAGTCGGCGGGTCAGCGAGGTATGTAATCCCCTAAGCGTCCCTCGTTATTTTCAGTCGTTTTAAGCATTTATTTCACGCGAACTGGGAAGAACGATGCTGAAATCTATCTATTTACTAACAGAACCGCCGGTCTAGACGGTAGAAGTGCGACGGGAGCGGACGCCGGTGCGGATAGTGCGGGAGCCGTCGCCGCGGAGGCCGGATCCGATTATCGTGGAGGAGGAGAGGCGGGAGATACATCGCAGTCGCAGTCGGAGGGGCAGTGATGAGGTGGTGGTGATTGAGGAGCATAGTCCGCCGAGGAGGAAGAAGCATCGCGATAGGGATAGTAGGCGCGAGGAGGAGATTAGTGGGTTTAGAACCGTGGATCCTTCGGCGTTTGGGGGCGTGGTAGGGGGGAATAGTAGGAGAGGGTCGGGGAGACGGTAGACGGGATTGATTTTTGGGTGGTGTATATGGGGTTTGGGGGATGGTGGTGGGTTAATGGGTTGGTTTGGGAGGTTATAGGGAAATGGATGTTGGAAAGCGACATGAAATGACGCGCTACGGACGAAACAAATAACAGGACGTGAGCAACGTGTATTCCTCAGTTCTGCGGCATGGGATGGACGGGTTGGGCTTACACCTTGGTGTATCGATTTAGCTACGGGCGGCATTATTGGCATCTAGCTCGGTTCAAATAGATAGCAGTATTTAGCATATTATGTATAACGGATAATCAAGATATTTACACGACTCATGAAAGTTCCATCATATACTGAGCTGAATTGGCGAGAATGGATGTTTTGGTGTCGTTGGAGGATTGGTTGTTGGCGGTGTTGAAGAAATAATCATGAGTTTGGAAGGAAGAGAACGTCAAGCGGGATTATATCGTTGTTAACCACATTCTACTTCGGTCTGAAAACGCCGAAATGTACAAGGATTTCTTTTAAGTGCTGTAGACTTGAGCTTGGACTATTGATTAATGACAACTGTATACTTTATGTTGTATTACGTTGAAAAGTGTAGTAGTGTTTAGTAGAATTATACACAGAATTGTAAGGATAGAGACTGGCATATAAGGTGCGAGATGGATGCTGTCATAGCTGACAATATTATTTTTACTTTTCAGTGGAGATTTGAAGATGAGAATTTGGTTTGAGGTGGAAATGTGAGGTTGTTGGTTTTTATGTGGAAGAGTGTATGAGCGGGTTTGTATCTTGTTAAGTACAATGATTCTTACTGTCTCCCGCAAACAACAGCGTCCCTTACCACAAAAAAAAAATTCCTTCCACATACATAGATCTTACAGCTAGTAAGTTTACCGTGTTCCATGCACCAAAAAATTCATTACCAGCAGTGAAATGATGAAGAGCTTAAAATCCGCAAAAACAAAAACTTACCTCAACCATTACCCTCCCTCTCACGTCTACTCCTGTCCCGTAGGCTAGGTTCAATGCGATCTACGGTCGGTGGTTGGTCGAAGCAAAAGTGTGGTATTTTAATATATGTAGTGGTTTGTTGGTGAATTGTGGGGGGTGGATGGTGGGTGGAGGGGAGGTGAAGGGGGGGTGAATGTGGTGAGGCCGAAGGGGGATTGGTCACGCTGGGGTAGGGTAGATATGTTGGAGGGCTGATTGTTGTAAGGTGTAAAATTGGGGATAGGATTCCTGAGTTTATGATTTGAGGAGAGAGATTTTGCATTTGGGGTTTTGGTGGAATGATAGACTAACTCGCGGATCACGGTTGAGAAGATATATTGATTGAAGGCTGGCTTCTCAACCACCGCAGTTTAATGGAAACCCTTATAAAGTGATCGAAGTTGAAAGTCGAAATGATTTATTCTTTTCAAGATATCTAATTAGAATACGTAACTTCAACCTCCAGTCCTCCTTTGAACCGGGAAGCGGATATAAAATGGCACAGCTTTACTTACCAGTATTGCTATCAACATTGCCCATCATTACGGCCAAGAGACAAATAAACAATATCACTTACTTTGAAATTAAGATAAGCACTTTGTCACTGACTTGATATTGGATAATATTCCTGAAATTCGTGGAGATTTCGAAAGTCGTGGGCTTTGGTAGGGGAATTGGAGATGGGTTTAATTATTTTGTTGATGGGTGGTTAAGGTTGTAAATGATTTGGGTGTATAAAATGAGCTGGTGGTTGCTTGGGGAAAGGGTGATATATGATAGGCATAAGATAGATAGACTTATTGACTAATAGCTTATTAATTTCGAAATATACATTTAGGTCTTAAGAAATCTGCAATGATGTATAGAACTGTAATTATACGAACACTCAAAGATTACATGTTGTAAAACTTAGTCGACCCTTTTTCTTTAATAATCAACTTCTCGAGGACTAATAACTCGGTTTGAACAGCAACGTGGTAACTTCTATAGAACAAGCAATTGTAGCTTTTGCCTCGAACTTTTAGATTCCCATGTAAATAGCTGAAGAATTTGGTAAAAAGAATTCCTTCCAGTGCTAGGCAAAGGCTTTTGGTCAGTAACAGTCAATATCTCTCTAGTCTCAGCGTTCTACATTATCCGAACTGAAGAATGGTATGTCGTTGAAAGTTTGCAAGAAATCGACGAACAAAAAATGCGCTGTTGTTCTTATTTGTAGTAGATGACCCAAATACTGGAAAGTTTTAATTCTGTGTATTGAGAATGTAAATGACAAGCAAAACCCTTGACTTTATCTGGCAGTCAGATTTATCCAGGTCTCAATTTCGCTGTGATATATTCACGGCACAGCAATCTTGTACTCTTGTCAACATACACCCTTACTTATCTGGAGATTCAAAAGAATGACGACATAGTAGCTTTAGCATAAATCAATACTCATTGTTCTATAGTCTCAATATGTTTTAGTTGGCAAAGTAACATGGCTGTCCTGGTGTTCAAATTAAAAAAGAAATTCCACAACATGAGCTAATCTACATCTAGCATTATGCACTATACATATGGGATTTCATGGCTTCGGTGCCGGTGAAGCCATGAAATCCACCATATTATAATCTCATTAATATTGCAAGATGATAAAAATTCGTATTACTAGACTGTAACCACTTATATAAACTTTGAACTCGCAGGACCATTTACGAAATTTATGAGGAGGGAGCCGAACAAGTGCCTGCAATCTTCATAGCATAAAAGTCTTCTCAGCACTCGGATACTTAGTTAAACGTCACTGGATATCATTCCTCGGATATACAGTTATCCAGGTCTAGATGCATCTCTTTCCGATCGAACAATCTCGTCCACATTTTCTGCCTCATAGGGCTTAGCGAGCATAACAACAGAAGCTAGGAAATCTCACAGGAAGCTCGTGTTAACAGACCGCCCTTTGCTCATAAATGTCATTTGTGAAAAAGTACCGGCCAGCTGTGAAATCATCCTGAACTATAGTGGGAAAACCATTGTCTGTCGGCACACCCTCTGAGCCGCCTGGCCTGTAAGACTGTAAGGGCAGATGTTCATAATCAACAACCTACTGATCCTGACGTACCACTGAATCTTGCTTTACTATAGAAGTCGGTCTAGACCAACATGGGTATCAGTATCTGTGTTGCAGTCGGCTATCCTCAGAGACTGGTAATAAAGACTAAAAGGATTCTACAACTAGAGAACCAGCGAACCAGCGACGGTGAGCAGTGCAGCCACTTCGATAGCACACTAGACTGTTGGAGACCATAAACAGTAATCAACAGAAGCAACCTTGGCAGGTACCCGAAACTCGACAATACCTTGATTTCAACTCTGGAACAATACGATCTCACGGTTCCCGATACAAACACCATTAACCAATCATCAAATGCTCGCCTCCGAATCAAAGCCGACATCTTCAATCTGACAAAGCTGCGTTACAGTATCCCCATGCAATGCACCTACACTCGCAGCACTTCGACGCCTCATGACGCGCCATTTCAGGCTTCACGCGACCTCGTCTTGAGATGGAACGCGGCTTGCCAAAGGAACGGTACAACCATCAAGAGATGAATGAACGAGCTGACATGATATATTAGTACGCGCATATGGAAATGCGGAGACGGGTAAAACAATGGGAATTCAAAACTGGATCTTGACTTGAGTTGGAGAGGTAGTCTAGCACATGCGATGTCGGCCGGAATCCAGAGGACAGCAAGAGCAGGAAAGGGCGAGTAAAGGAGAGCTTTATATGATTTTTGAAATCTACCACGGCGAGCTCAATTATGTATTTTTCACTCGCTGTGGCTGCGCCTTTCTCAGACTGATATTGATTGAACGGATGAATCGTTTTCTTTACACTCCGAAGTCGAAGCGACTCAAAGCAGACTAGAAGCCTACGAACAGGCGGTGGAGTGTTCCATGCCAAGTGAGACATCCACCCAATCGGAGGAAATAAGCAGCCTCGCAGTTTCGACAATAAATGGGCCCACTATCCACGCTTCTGGAAGCTGAAGGGCGTGCAAGTCATCCAGAATGACAAGACCCCACTTATCCCTTTTCACCCCAACCGTCAATAATCTGCTCGCTCTTGCCCAGAGCTACGTGCATCTGGTCTATCCTCCCGCTAAACGGACCAGCCGACGCAGCTATATGCGAAGTGGATAATTAGCGGTGCTGATTGATTCGCGGATGTAGACTGCAGGATAGCTAGAGAAACTGGGGGAAGCCTGACTCAACTCGACGTCTTGCTCAAAACTGTCCTCGTCCTCTTCAATCTTGCTGACATCTCTTCTCTCTCTATATACCACGCCTTTCCTTTGATCAAGAAACCATTTTGATCCTCAAGAGTCCTGTCACGATCAGAACTACTTTCCACCAACCATTGAGCAAACGCCGGCTATTCATCTTTCCATTCTGGTGCACCTCCGCTCGTTTGGGAGTCTGTGAGACTTATACACCTTAAGCGGGTCACGCCCTCTGAATGACAACCATCCACGAAATGGATGAGTTCTTCGACTTCGAGGATGCTGCTCAGGCGTTCTCTTCCAACCAGTCCACTGACTTGAACTTCGATATTGAGGATTTCGGCCCTGGTCCATACGATATCGATCTTGCATTTAGCGAACCTTTGACCGATGAGAACGCCTTTACATGTCTTCAACACTACTCAGCCGCGGAACAGTCAAACAACGATCTCGTAGCCGCTGAGCATGACAGTTCCATGCCTGATACCGCCATGTCCGGTGGTACCGATTTACTCGAATTCCCCAAATTCATGGCAGACCCTTGTGGTAACTGTCGCCGCACAGGAATTCACTGCAAAATCATCCGTGAAGGTATCAGAAAGGGTTCGTGCACAAGCTGTGTGGCACTGGGAAGAACCTGCAGTCTCAACCAACAGCCGGAAGAAAAGAATGGTCGGGTTTGCATTAACGCGGGATTCTGTCCACCTGGGACAATTCAGGATGAAAACACTGACATGAACGACTGGCCTGTAGATGATACCCAACACTCTACTTGCCCAACGGTGAATTGGGTTCCATCAAAGTCACCAGTCCAGGAATCGACAATCCCACAAAGCTCGTCAGCCCCCGACCTGGCTGCGATGAATGATGAGAATGGGGATGGAGATGAGGGTGGACCAAAAACAGGAGCCAGGTTCTCACGAGAAGCAGTCAAAGTGCTTAGAGGTTGGCTTTCGACACATCATCGGCATCCATATCCTACCGATGATGAAAAAGAGAGTCTGAAGCGACTAACCGGGCTTAACAAAATCCAAATCACCAACTGGCTCGCAAACGCTCGACGCAGAGGTAAGGTTCGAGCACCAAGATCGACGTCACCTGCTGTAGGGAACCATCCAAACGCCATGGACATCCCAAGAAAGGGTCCAATGGCTACGAAGAACATGAATCCCCTGGAAAGATGGAAAGCTTCCCCACCCGAGCACGAACCAGCCTCTGTTACTGCTATTGCACAGGCCGTTAGCAGCTCTTCACTTCACTCCGAGCATAATAGCCCATATGCTAGTTATGCCCACTCAGATGACTTCTCCAATCGATCAGGTGTAATAAATTCATCAGCGAGTAGTCTGGGTACTTCTCAGTCGAGTGGAAACTCATTTGCTTCTGCATTCTCGCACAAGTCCAAGGGCTCTTTTGGATCATTCAATTCCTTTGGGAACAGAGGAAGAAGAAGACGCCGCCGAGCAGCTGCCAAGCCAGTGAAGAATCTAAATGCAGCAGGCCCTGTCCGCACTTTCCAGTGTACTTTCTGCACGGAAACTTTCAAAACGAAGCATGACTGGCAGAGGCATGAAAAGTCGTTGCATCTGTCATTGGAGCGGTGGGTATGTTGTCCTAATGGCCCAGCTCAATTTTGTGCAGAGCTTGATATGAATCAATGCGTCTTTTGCCTCCTTCCAAATCCACCCAAGGGACACGGAGAGACGCACAATTATTCAAGCTGCACGGATCGATCCTTGGAAGAAAGAACCTTCTACCGAAAGGATCACCTGCGCCAGCATTTGAATCTCGTACACGATGTTAAGTTCCAAGCCGGCACCATGGAATCTTGGAAAGTTGCCACACCTGAAATTCGATCACGATGCGGTTTCTGTGGGACCGTGATGGATTCTTGGAGTATTAGAGTTGATCATTTGGCCGAGCATTTCAAAGGCGGTAAATCTATGGCCGACTGGAAGGGTGACTGGGGTTTCGATACCCAAGTTTTGGATATCGTTGAGAATGGAATGCCGCCATGTGAGTATCATCGTAATTCGGCTAGGGTGATTTAATGCTGATTTTTTGATAAGATCTTATTCATGACGAGAGAAATTCCCCACAGCCTTTCAGTTCGCAGCTATTCTCAGCTGATCAACGGACTCTGGAGGATTTGGTGAAAATTGGTCTTCAAGAATATGTGCATGAAAGATTTATTGGGGGGTTATTACCAACCGACGATGACTTGGTAGAAGAGGCTCGTAGGATCATCCGCAAAGCAGATGAATTTACCATCACTTCCGGAAGTTTAGAGTCATCCTGGTTTCGAGATTTGATTTTGGGCCCAGAAGGTCGCGACTACAATGATCTTCATTTAGAGAACACGGGCGAAGAGAATCTTTTATGGATAGAGAAGCCGGACACGAACACAGTAGCGCAACCTATTGGAGACGGAGATCTCGCCACCATTACCTGCCCTCTAGAACGACTATTGATGAAATGGATTGTATCGCAGCAAATGCTGGGTCTAACACCATTGGACTCTGAGCTTCAAGTCCAGGCGTGTCGGGTATTGAATGAAGTGGAGACCACTTCAAACTTCAAGTGCAAGCCTGCATTGAAATGGTTCAAATGGCTGATCACAGCAGATACCAAGTGGCTATCTGGGCTTCGGCGACGTGCTTGCCTGCCTCGAAGCTCTGAGATTTCTCACGAGAGTATCCGAACCATCGACGAAAACGCTATCGATTTTACTATCAACAATCTGCAACGTCTAGAGAATGAAATGATAAACTGGGTCAAATTACAAAAGGCCCAAGATATCATTCCGACAGACGATGACGTTCAAAGACATGCACGCATGCTCGTATACAAGTCTGACGACCCTTGGAACCAGACAGCGTTCGATGAGCCCGGGATGCTCTACCTTTTCAAGCAGCAGCAGGGAATTGCTCCAACAGACCAACTCGGACCGACGATGCCTTCACTCCGTGAACCAGAAGTGCCTCCGACCTTTGCTACGTCGCCCCATCCATCCAAAAGTCTACATTGGGATTTGCAAGATTCGGGTCCTGGGATTACATCTCCTTTGCACAACAGAAGTGGCTCTAATAGTCCGGGATTTAATTCTTTGAAATCATTGAATCATTCGCCCAATAATACTCCGATTGTGTCACAGCCAACAGCGAATTCGAATCATGTTCAACCATTGAAGTATTTTTTGAATGATGCAAATTGTTACGGTCGGCTCGTCCGAGAATTATCTCGCTTCGTGACGTCGAGCACTTCCATAAACAACCCGAACCGCCATGTAAGTTGTTCCCAGTGCAGACCGTCATCTCCTCTGCTGACCTTTGTATTAGGCACCAACAGACGCCGAAATCCAACACCAAGCGCGGTGGATAGTGTACGATGATGACGATCCTTGGAACCAAACAGCTGCAGACAATGCCGAATGGCTCATGCGATTCAAACGCGATGTTGGTCTATGCGAACCTTCTACTGGTCCTGGTCTTCCGGTTAATGAAAAATCATGGCAGTTGTGTCAAGGAGGCTCAGGATTCGGCCCACCTTATGTCGCCCCTAAAGAGAACGCAGAACTGCAGTTTGATGGCGAGGTCCCAGTCAGCATGTATGGCAAGGTATATAATGTCAGTGCTAGCACAGCTACAAAATTTGCAAAGGGACTAGCAGGACGATGGAAGCCTCCTGGAGTGGTGTTTTGTTCACGGGAATTGGAAGAGGGACTCAACAAATTTATGGTCCAACAAATAAGTTCCGGAATAACACCCAGCGACGAGAGCATTCAACAAAAGGCGCGTGAGATACTTGGCCAAGAAGAAACCGCCGCGGATGACATGGCTTTACTTGAGAAGTTCAAAGGCCTTCATGGACTGTTCACCAGCCCAACAATGCCGGAATTCTCAAGCGAGCTTCTGAACTTTCCTTCGCTAAATGAAGATGACTTTCTTCAAATATTCGATGAGGAACTCGCCGCTAACGGTCTGGATAATTGGAATTCGCCTCCCACGAATGCCCCATCCAGGTCCAGGAATATGATGACTTCGCCAATGTATCATTCTCCACTCGCAACTATTCCGCTCGCAAATTTCTCCGCTCAGGGTATTTCTGGCGTCGGGCAGTCTGACAACAAGAAGGCGCCTGTTGGCATGGCAAGGGATTATGCTGAGATGTATCGAGTAAATGCTGCAACTGCGTCTCCGTTAAGAAGGAAAGTCAGTGTTATGGCGGCGAGGGAACGGTGTCCTGAGGGTTGGGATGACGAGGTTGGTGGGGATTGCCAGTGATGAAGTGTGTGATGATATAGTGTGATGATTTGGGATGTTTGGTACTGGCAACGTGGAGTATTACGATTTGGGCAAGGCGTTCAAAAAGAAAGATAAAACTTCAGTGTTCAACAACATCTAATTGCAGAAAACAATACACTCTTAATAAATCAATATAATCACCTGATAGCCCAAATATTTATTACGAGTACATTCTCGTTGGCCGCATTCTCTTACAAAGATCTCATACACCTGTACACTTCAATGGCGATGAAAGTCAAGGCATCCGCGGTTGAGACTTGATACGCAAAAACTGTCCGATGTTATTCCAGTGGGTTTAATTCTCAACCTCATCCCTTATCAACCCCCTCCCTTCCTCACTTGCGAGAATGACCTTGCCTCTTAATCCCACATCGATTGAACCAACGTAGTTATCTTGCATCTTCGTCTCTTAAACATACCCTGAATCAAAACCTTCGGCAATTGATCAGCTCATATTATCACTGCTCGACTTATTAGAAAGCTCGTGCGTGTTCTCTTCTCCACCCTTCTTGTCTCCATCTGCAGACTTGTGCGTCGCAAGTTCTTGACCATCGATAACTGCTTGGACTCTGGGATTATCCTCAGGATTGATGAACTCCTGAACACCTAGACCTGGAAGAGGCCAGATGTAGCAGGCGCCCATGTATAGTATTAGGGAGAGAGGTGCTACAATGAACCAGGATATCTACCAGGAATCAAATTAGCTGTATTCTGAGAAGATAATATAGAGAATAATTGAAGGGACGATTTGTGTGAAAATGACGAAGAGAAGTAGACGTCATTACCTGAAACATTTTGACCGCAGGATGATCGATAGGTCCTTTGATGACCGTAATGAAGAATCCTGGAAGTGCGGGGATCATGCCGACAATAAGTGCAAAGAGCATTCGCATGTTCCAGCCCTTCGAGTACCAGTAAACACCATTCTCAGTGTACAAATCTGGAAGCTTCAAGAGTGACTTGCGCAGGATCCAGTAATCAGACAAGATTATTGGTGTTTGGGCTGCGTGAAACACTAACATTGTCAGCGGCAATTGATAAGGAATTGTCCTGGACATACCTGTGAATGAGGATAAGATTGTGACGAAAATAGATGCTTGACTCAGAAATCTCCAGGGATTGATGGGCATTACGGCTAGTGTCAAAAACACAGCACCTCTTTTCATGGACACGTATCTTGGGAACAAACCTGCGACATCCATGCCGTAAGGAATCGTGTTCTGGCTCATCTGGATGAAGACTTGACTACACAACAACCCCACGCCAGCGAAGAACGTGCCTGCTCTCGATTTTGCAGTGTAGGTGTCGGTTTGAATCTGCGAGAGAAGCACCAGCGGATTCCAAATAACTTTACCATAGATCTGGTCGGTGCATGTTGCAAGCACCACACCAATCAAAGCCACGAGGGTGATAGAAAACGGCATCGCCAACAACATCGCAGGTGTCGAAGCACCTCTCTTCTTTTCAAATCTCGTCCAATCTGATATTCTGTCTGCCGCTCCACCATATGAACCTGAAATACTGCTTATGCATTGGATAATCCTGAAAGCCCGCTGGCTCGAACTAATCGCAAGTGTCCCGGAGACGAGATCACCAGGGCTGCCTCCATTGGTGTGAACAGCCCATGCGATGATGCCCACGAATGTTGCACTGACGATCAGCGCCGAGGGGTAAAGCCAGCGTTTCAACTTGTGTGGTGGGGTGAACCAGAGTATGACGAGGAAGATTGCGGTGTAGACGATCATGCCGATGAGGTTCTTGGTAGTGATGGCGGCTGATTCTGGGAGAGTGTTTTCCATGGAGTGGAAAGTGGGAAATATGGCGGAGAGCACGATGGCTGCGGCTTGTCCGCCATAGTAGGCTTGGATACCTGCCTGAACTCAGTTAGGATTGATCATTCAATTACAATATGCGACTTACGAAGACCATTCCACCAAGAGCAACAACACCCATTGGGATATATGTTCCTCTCATTCCAAAGCCAACTCTGTTCCAAACGGTCTACACCTTCGTTAGCAAAAGCATAACTAGATCGCAGCTCACTTACATAACCGATGTGATAATCCATTCCAGGTCTTGCACATAACCATGCAATAGCACTTGCAATGATCGTACCACCCAGAACTGCACCCAGAGTTTCTCCTGCACTAAGTCCATATGCGACATATGCAGATCCGAGGGTGACGGAGGAAATAGAGATTCCTTGGGAAAACCTATAATCACTCAATCAGATATCAAATCGGCTGAGTAGATAGATATAAGCAAATGTTTCTGATAATCATACATACCAGATAGTAAAGTAGCCCATCCATCCATAAGTTCTTTCTGACTTGTCGATGGGATAAAGATCGTGGTTACCCCATTTGGTTGTACCCTTCCATGTGTAGATATCTTCACGTTCTGGCAGCTCAGCCCATTGGAACATTCGTTCCAATCTGTTTCTCGGTTTTTCTACCTCGTTCTCCATGATGTTTATGGTGACTGAATACTGATTTTGCCAAAGATACACTTTGGAAAATAGGATATAGAGTCCGTTGGGAAAAGTAATGGAATTGGAAGGTTCAAAGATATTTTAAAAGCATATATAGATTTATGTCTGATAAGAAGTGCAGGTTGAAAAACAACCGTCACACGTCTAGACTTTAACATTACCAAGCTCGAGATAAGACCAGTGTCATGTTTATCAGTATCTAGCTAGCAAACGACATACGTACTGTTGCCATATTCCGGGTTGCTCCACTGTTGTACAGCAGATCATTGTCATGGATGTAGATTGCTGATAGAGAATACGTCGTAAGTGTATCAGCTTATCTCCAAGTCGGATCACTTTCATGAACAAAAACCGTGCTTTCGGGAGTTTTTGGGATGTTCCGTATCAAACAAGGGTCGCTCAATGCTCCCTGTTCTATAGACGGATGCATTATGTTTACTAGATATTCTGTAAAATTAATTCACATAGTATACATAACTTATTTACGAGTTTCAAGATTCAGTAACAGAAACTGTTTTATATATACCAATCCTAAAATCCATTTATATCCTTTCTTAAATTGCATTGCATGGTTTATGCTGGTAGCAGGAAAACAAAGAGTCTGTCTATACCAACATAATTAGTCGTAATCTACTAAATTGTGAAGATCAATCGAGCGGCTGTGGTTGCCGACAACAGCACACCCTATTTTTAAGCACGGGAGACTCTCCCGCATCGGCGTGCGCATTCCTCCCCCACTATTATTGAGTAGCAACTATGGCTCAAACCCCAAAGCTTATTAGATATATACGATTTCTTGATCGCAATTATTCTTTCCAAACTTGGTCCTCAATTCTCTCGTCGAATATATTATCTTACCTTTGAAAGAGAGTTTATCAGTCACCGCAAAAATGGGTTCAATTCAGGAACAAGCACCAGTGAAGAAGCTGATGCAATTGAACTTTTTTGATATGGCTTGCGCTGGCAGTCATATGCCATATGGACAATGGAAGTAAGCATATTATTGAACAGAATATCACAGCTCATGAATTAATCTCCTGTTAGAGAGCCTGGCGACATGGCACAATTTAAAGACCGCCTTGAATACTACCAATGGCTTGCACAACTTGCAGAAAAGGGCAAAATCATCTCAATCTTCTTTGCGGATGTTTATGGCGGTCATGACGTATATGGAGGCAATATGGACGTTATGCTGAAAGGTGGCTCAAACGTTGGAGTCATTGATCCTGTTACTATCGTGGCTGCTATGGCCGCCGTCACAAAATCCGTTTCTTTCGGAATTACGGGTAGCACAAGTTATATTGGTGAGATTCAACTCTAACGTGACGAGTCCATGACTGGTCAATGTTCAAATTTGCAAGTACATCACTAACCTTTGTAGCCCCATATATTTTGGCTCGTACTTGGTCCTCTCTGGATCATGTAACACGTGGTCGTATCGGTTGGAATGTGGTCACAAGCTATAGCGAGTCAGCGGCCAAAGCAATGGGAAAAGACAGAGTTCCTCCATCTCACGAACGATATGAAGCTGCTGAAGAATATTTAGATCTCACTTACCAGTAAGTTTATACCACCGAGAAAGAACCTCTGCTGATGATTCCAGACTTTGGGAGAAGTCTTGGGAAGATGGTGCTGCAGTTTGGGGAAGTAAAGAGCAACCTGATACAGTATACGATCCGAAAAAGGTTCACAAAATCGAATTCAACGGCAAATATCACAAATGCAGTGCATATCACCAGACACATCCTTCGCCACAGCGTACCCCGGTAATCTTTCAAGCGGGCGCCTCCAAGTTCGGAATAGAGTTTGCAGGGAGACATGCTGAGGGAATTTATACTGATATGCAGGACAGACCCAGCTTGTTAGCACATACCAAAGCAGTTCGCGAGGCAGCAGCGCGAAATGGAAGGAATCCAGCCGATATCAAGTTCTTCGCCGCTGTCACGCCTTTCATTGGAAGAACCCTAGAAGAAGCTCAGGAAAAGTACCATAGAGCAAAGAAGAACATGAATGGTGAGGTCAGTCTTGCCAAGTTTAGCGCATACTCTGGCGTAGATATGTCTCAATATCCATTAGATGAGCCCTTTGTTTTCGATGGTAACACTACTTCATCAAATATAATCACTGGTGTTGTCAATAGTATGAAAGCTATGTTCGACAAGTTTGATGGTCCTGTAACACCAAGAATGTTTGGTGAGAAAATGAGTCTTTCCGGTTTTGCCCCGGTCGGAACCCCTGAAATGGTAGCAGACGCTTTTGAGGAACAGTTCAACGAGACTGATATCGACGGCTTTAATATTGTCTGTAAGTTGGCACCCACATATTGTTCGAGCTTGGATAAAAACTAATATTTATATAGATGTATCGAATCCTGGAAGCTACGAAGATGTCGTGGAATTACTTGTACCAGAACTACAACGCCGCGGTTTAATGTGGCAAGACTATGCAGTCCCAGGTGGTACTTTCAGAGAAAACATTCACTCCAAGCCCGGTGAACGCTTTTTGGCACTTGATCACCCTGGTGCAAAATATCGCAAGACCCAGAACTCAGCAGCAAATAGTCATGAAGTGACTGCATCTTCTGCCTGAATCATCGGTTGTGAGTGCGGATGTTACTTAGAAAGCATGTAGCCATAATACTCAACCGACTTCATCACTTCAGTGCCAGTGCTCTCTAATGCAACACCGTTTGATGAGATGTTTCAATATTGAGAGTAAACTGGACAAGCCTAGAGACCCAAGGAAAGCGGTGCATTCATCAAGTCCGTTGATCTGCAGTCCGATATCATTTGTGCCCTTGCGTCCAGAGTTCCAACAAGAAGAAGAGAAATCAAAAATATTTTCCGCACGTTTTGATCACTTCTTTTAGAGAATCATTTTTTCCCCTCAATTGTGATAGAATTCCAAGTAAATCTTCCCCTTCAAGCTGTAAAAGATATGTACATATATGTAGAAATGACAGTATTTACGAAAACTTTTTCAAAATATAATGCTTACTCATCACCCATCATAGTTCCATCTCTAGAAGCTCCCCATGTTTCTTAGCCGATATTTAGGCTCTTGCGGATTCTCAATACCTATGCTGGAATGCACTGAGAATAGTACTCTCCATAGACGTGGCAGACACCAGTAGCGCAGACAGTTGCTCCTCCCCAGCCTTTGCCTCCGCATTGTCCATACAAAGCAACAGTTCCTCCGGTGCTTGATGTGGTGGTAGGCTTAGCGCTGGTCGTGGAGGTAGTGGAAGTTTTGAGGGTTGTTGTCCCGGCAGAAGTCGTAATTTTGGTTGAGGTTGTGGTTCCGCCAACTGGAGGAGTTCCACCACCGGGTACCAAAGTGCCGGAAAATGTAGAGTTGATAGCTCCAACCTTAATGTTTGAGTACACGACGTATGCGTTTGGGCTGTTGGCTTCAACCTCGGCTGGAACACCACTTGAGGTTGAACAAGATCCACGAGCGACACCAGGCTTTGCGGGGTCAGCGGTCACAGGATATGAAGAATCCAGCCACAGAGCATTTGCTGCGTAATCATCCCACAAGCTCATGACAAGAACCATACCCTTGACGAATGCGTTACCCATGTTTGCAAGTCCACCGTGGTCTTTGAAGCCATTGGAATCGCCAAATACCTTCTTTTGTGAATCACAGAAAGAATCGGTGATGGAGTTTCCGGGAACGCCAGCAATTGTTGAAACGGAGTTGGGGATCACTTTCCCGTTTTGCACGTAGAAGCGCTTGATTTCGGAAAGTGTGCCTGACTCGGTGCCAGTGTTTGTAAGGAATTGAGTTACGACAGTCATAACCGAGTTGGTATCAACTGTCTTCCCTGGCCCGTAGAAAGTCTTGTTGCCTTGTCGGTAAGAGTTGAAATCGCATCCATCTGGATCAGAAGTTCCTGCGTATCTATCGGCGGAGTAAGTACCTCCACATGCATCGCCAGTGCAACGCGACTGGGTCACTTTGTCATCGGGGTGGGGTGTGTAAGCAGTGCTGATGGAATTTGCTTCCCAGATATCCATCTCCGCACAACAAGAGCCTAAAAACGTCAGTTATGTATATTCTCCTGTGTAGAGACTTCCACAAAAATCAGGTGGGTGAGAATTACCATAATTGCCAACACCGGTGTTCGCACTGTTTGATGCTGGAATCCAGCCATCTGAATTGGCCTACGTCGGGTCAGCGAGATCAAAGGCAGAAAACAAACACATGAGCTTACTTCTCCGTTGATGAACTTCAAGTCTCTTGGACACTGTGCATCGCAATAGCCAACTCCGTATCTGGCACCTGCCTTATTTCCAGCATACTGAGCTTTACCACCATCCTTGGACATTGCAGACATGTAAAGAGCACCGTTAAGCCCACAAGGAAGATTAGAAGTATCCACATCAAAAGTGAATTCCTTATTCAACATGTTGAACATTTGGTAGCTATCATCATCTGCCATGAGGTAGACGCGGGATCCAACGTTCTTCTGCGCGCTTGCAGTGACAAAGTTTAGACGAAGAGAGTTGCCAGAGGTCGTGATTCCGTAGGTTTTGGCATAGTCAGCGCCCTCAAGTGCGCAATTAGCGGCACAAGTGGCATCGTTAGGACAAAGAGTTTTGTCCCAGGTGTTTCCGGTGTAACAATTGGTGCTACCTGCAGATGAATGGAGCCAACGCCAGTTAGAATCCAGCACAATCTTTCCGTTGACAGTTGTACAACTCCCAGGAGCAGTGCAAGTTTGCCATGTTAGAGGGGGATGAACCTCGGGAGTGAGGGTTCCAATTTGCTGAGCATAGGTTACAGCGAAAGGGATCAAAGCGAGAGCTAAGCGGTAAGACATTGTTGTAATAAAGTAGAACTGTAAAGGCAAGATGAGATGATGAGCTGGTTCAATATTGTAGGACTTTCGGAAGAGTATATATACAGCACCAAACGCTTCATTTCTTCTTTCTCCGTTTACACAATGATAGTCAGACCCTTCAGATCATCATTTTGGGCTGCTGTAAACTTTCTTCACGGTCTCACGGGCCTTCTTCACCGAGAAGTTTCTCGCGCAAAACCAATACTTCGGAACATAGATCTTGTCGCCGCGCTTCAGCGGACCGAGGTAACAAAACATCTGTGACAATCGAGTTAGTAGCAGAGTAGACAGAGGACTGGGTCACCTCGAGTATTGCATCGTTATGCTTGTGGCACGTCCGGTTGACATCTGGGTAAAATCGAGCGCTTAAGCGAGGGTTTCGACCTGGTCAAGAGTCAGGGCGAGGTCACGTCGACAACCATAAATACGTTCGCTCGGAAGGGTCGACCGAGTTTATATTAATGATATGCATCTGGCAATGCATGTCTCCCGGTATGTGGTCTCTGTGTTGTGGAACATCTTGAATCTGGGGAAGGGTGTGGGGTACGCGAGGTGTGGCCACTGCGGGAGGGCGGAGCCGAAAGCGGGGTTGGATTTTTCCGGCAAACAACTCCCATGGCAAATTGTCTTGAAAACGAGTCTATTGTCTTGGAAAATTCTCTTAACTTGACTACATTCCGAAGTAAGGATAATTTTCTGGTTGTCACGCCACAATAGCAAAATACAGCGAGTATCCTTGATTACATTAGACTATTCGAGTACCATTAAAGATCCACAAGCGGCGACAGTAACACAGGGCATCTCCAGGAATACCTTGTTCCGCTGTACGAATAGGGAAAGTGTCTGAAAACAGTTACCGAGCCTGTCGCACCTGACGAAAAAGACCTTTCCTGCTAGGTTGTCGGTCATGAGTCCTCCGAGCAAGGCCTCGGGCTCCGAACGATGGACAAGTGTTTGTGATAGTCATTAAAAGTGATATCCTGCTCTAGACCCTCACTCACAGAATATGATTTCCCTTAAGCAGATCAAATCTCGATATGAATAAGAACGTGGGATTCTATACAAAGTTAGTAGGCACCCCCATATGTCGCATGAGTAGGCAGATGCATTGAGTATATTCTGCATTCCTCCAAGCTTATTCCAAGATGTCTATGTCGTCTCAGAATATATTTAACCTGGCTCCTGTATAACCTAGCCCTTCTCGATAATCTAGTAAAGATCGGTGATATATAAGACGACAGAAGAGCTTTTTATGCGTCGATGAAAAGGTTTGTAAAACACGAGAGGGAAAATTACTTAATATCCAAGATATTCTGCTTCCAAAACCCACTGCGGCGGAAGTTCCCGAATAGGAGTTCAGTAGACTTGTCCCCCACACCCAGATGCCACTATCTTCGAAGCGATGAGTTTTACATCCAATCGCAAAATTGATACGTGCGGCCCCTTTCTCCCAAATGTTTATAAATCTTGAAGCAATTGCTCAAATAGCTTCATAGCCCTTCGGAAGTGATATGATAGCTTCGCGGTTGTGGTTTAGTTTGGAGTCACCTCGGCCCAACTTAGTCTGGTCACTAAGCGTAATGTAGTCCTCAGGCGGCGGCTGGAGATTACTGGCTTAGTTTTTAGTGATAATCCTTCCAATCCTCAATACTGTTATTTGAGAAGGAATGAGGGTGAACGGCGCTGGATTTTCTAGAAGCAGTGCGCTTTATGCATTCAAGGTAGATTGCTCAATGGAATTGGTAAGAAATGCCGCAGGCTCTAGAATCATGAAGTTACCGTTGAAATGGAGTTAGTGAGCCATCAAAATCCAGGATAGCTTTATTACTTACAATATTGTTCTCCAACCATAGTTGAAAACTTGTGCTTCGTAACTGCATTAAATAAGTGGTTGAAAGACAGAGGATAAGGGAATTATACACTTTATTTAGACACTAGTATACATCCGAAACATGACCCGTCCCGTTAGTGTTATTGATACTATGCTGGTTCTCCTCTAGAATTTCAATCTAAATCAAATTTGTTATCAAGTTTATTTGCTCAGGTTAGGTTGGGAGAATTGGTTGTAGACTGACAATTTTGGTAGTACTTTGCTTTTGTAGGACTCTCTCAGTGATCTTTTTAACTGTTCCTTCAATTAAGTCCTGGCTGTACTTAGTTGCTGTCTTGTTGACATCCTCTTTTTTGCGGGTAACGCTACCTTCAACACCGGCGTCTGTACTGACTGCAGGTCTATACTTAGCAGACACTTTGGGTTCAGCTTTCAAGCTCTAATCTTCCTTCAATGCGTTGGAAGTCGCCTTGCTCATGTCGAAGCGCGTTGTAGAGGACAATTCATGCTCTTCACTTCTATTGGCCTCTGTCTCCCTACTGATCAGAGTTTCAGTCTTAGTAGTCTTTTTGTGCGTTCGGTTTTTACCCTCTCCTTTCAAAAGACTTTCCACGTGAGCGAGAACAGCCGCTTGGTAACTATTAAATGTTTGTTTGACAACTAGAAGATCAGCAACGGCGGATGGAACGACCTTGCCCTTGGTGTGCGGTACTCTACCGTCAAGTGGCACTGCCGGAAGAGCTGTAACCCATTTAGGTGTTGGAAAGCCACATAACAGGGATGTCAGATACGAACCAGTTATGGGCCTCTGGACTATATCAATACTATGAAGCTTTGAGGATGTCTTTAGTTGGATTGCTTGTCACCATTTTTTGCAGTATCTTTTAATCTTGGAGTTCCATCAATCGCTAAAACAGGTTTGTGGAGACCTTTAGTTCCAAGTAAGCCCACCGAGCTTAGCAACTCCTTCGCGAGATTAAAAGCACCGGTGGGCTCTATATTAACAGTTAGTGTTAGGACATTATCACCAACAGATGTGTTAATAGCTTTTAGAAAAGTTGCCACAGGAAGGTCAATTGGACTGGAAGACAGAGTTTGATTTACCGTTCCTGTCCTACCGAGGGCAAATTCCCTAAGTGAGCTTCTACATTCTAACTAGTCTCCTACAACACGCTGCCGTGTAAACCCCGTGTCCACATTGAAACCCCCGATGCTATTTAGGGGGCGAAGCCTCAAAATTGTCGGGGTGCAACTTTGTTAATTTTGCAAGCACGTCTTCGGTAGAGTGGAACGTCGATTTCAGGGGAACTTGGAATTATGGCTCCGACGACTCCACAACGCCGGCGTAAGCTGAGGCTCCCAGTCTGACGGTGAATTATGGGCTTGGATACACTGGTATGTAAGCCCAAGGTGGTGGATTCTATCATCAATGCAGTAATTCATGTCGACCCTCCATTCTGGCTTTGAAGACTCTTCAGTAGATGCCGTTTCAAACCTGTCATTCACTCATGATCGGCTAAAGACAGCAGTTACTGACGCAACTGACTTCTCAATAATTTCAAGATTACGGAGTTGATCCGTTGGGGAGGCAATGGGACAAGGATGTTTTTCCTGTCATAGTGTTAAAGGGTAGCGAGGTGAAGTAATGTGCAGGGAAGACTAACTGGAACATATTTAATTACAACAATTGCGTCTTTCCAACCCCCAACCAAGAGTTTGAAGTCGTCTGTCGCCACTACTTCCGTAGGAGGTTTCCCGAAGACCTGTTGTGTAGCTTTAATGACAAGTTTGAGATTAACAACTCCGGCCGTCTCAAGTTTATTAATAATAGCTCCAAACTTAACAACTTGCTTGTGCAAGGGTTTGACGTCAATAAATGGAAGAAATTTGTTAGATTTCAAAACGGCTGACGACAAATCCCCAAATGACTATCTTGGGGCTGGCGAAGTTGTAGCGTTCCTGAGACCGCGCCTCTTGAAAGTCCGTATTCTGCAGAAACGCGACAGACTTTCGGGTAAGGTCACTTTAAATCGGTGCTAAGCTTTTTTCAATCAAATGTTCACCTTGTCGATTTCGAAAAACTTACACAAAAGACGAGAAATCGGAAAAGCAGTTCCGTCACAATATCCGGTATCGTTTATATCGTTTATGTCGTTCGTTGGTAGTATTGCTTCTATAATTAAAGCGGTCAGCAGCTCCACCTGTGGGATTAAAATGAGTAATTATTAAAGTAGGAAAGTCCTGATGGCTACTTACTACATAGATACGCGGAACTTAGAACCTTCCGCCCTAGTCTACTTCTCAAATTTCCATAGAACAGCTATATCGCGCTTACTGTAGGATCTAAGTCACGTATTTAGCTTTATATCGCTACATTTATTATTATCCTAAAAACTCGGGGGATTAAATACATAGAGTTCTCCCTGAAACATAGTGCCCTCACGAGGACTGCATTTTTTAACAGAAACCCTCTTTAGCTAGCGGTACTCTCGTACTATTTTTCTGCGCCAAGATTGTATCCCTTAGTTATACTTCGTTATATATTTCTTATTCCCAATTTTAGAACTTCCCCGCTTCTAGTTTTTAATTATTTCCAAAGCATCTTGTTGTAAGTGAAAGTTTTCTAGCTATAACTTCTCAGCCAGTCCAGGCTTTCTCTCCGTCTTCCATCATGGCCGTAAACATGTCCTCGGCTTCCTCATTGGCAAACACGTTAAACCAGAAATTCTCTATCGCATTTAGACCGACCTTCAGCCAGGCCTGCCACTCGCATTCCCCCGGCGCCAAATACTCCACCACCTTGACCCAAACCGAGTCGAGTTCGTAGTCTTCATTCGGGTCTTCCGGAGCCGCCGTCACCGAGTTCATAACGGACTCATCTACCATAATACAGACCCGGTGTCGAGCATAGAGCTGATGCATGTCGAGATCCACCCCTTCACCCTTCAACCACTTCGTGAACGCATCCCGGACTGCATCCGTATTCGCCCCGTCGAGGTCGCGATCTTCAACAACATCGTTCACGAAACGCCTCTTCATCTCCTCGTTTGGTCCATGGTCGAACGGCGGCTCGGTACTGAGAGCCGTGTATGGTGTTGGCCGAAGGTCCCAGTCAATGGCGTTATCGACGTATGTCCTAAGCTTCGCTAGAAACAGCGGAAACTGGGCGTCTGATTCCGGCGTGTAGACGGTTCGAAAGATGGTAAACCCCCAGGTTGGTTGGTGTAAGTCGCGAAGCTTCCGACAGACCTGGCGCTCCCATTCTCGTCTTAGCCGCTTGGAATTTGGTGAGTTAGAACGTGGAGTCACCCGAAGCGTGGACATAATAAGGCGGCTAAAGTAGTAATGCGGCGTTAGGTATATTTAATTAACTGCGTAGGTACTGTTTATATATTCGCGAAAGAGTTTATCGTGAGAGATTTTGTTATAAGCTAGATATAGAAATATATTTACTTCTATTAGATAAATATTATATAGACTAGTCTAATTAGAATTAGCTAGTTATATAGTACTATACTATAAGTAGTAGTAGTAGTAGTAGTAGTAGTAGTAGTAGTAGTAGTAGTAGTAATAGTAGTAGTAATACTAGTAGTAGTAGTAATAGTAATAGTAGTAGTAGTAGTAATAGTAGTAGTAATAGTAGTAGTTATTTTTAACTTATTAAGTAACTAAAAACTAGACTTTTAAAAATTTCTTAAAGAGTACTAGAGTTATACTAAGCTTTAAAATTATTTATAATATTCTAAAAAGAAAACTAAAAAATAGTTTATTTAAAAGAAGTCTTATTATCTTCTTAGAGTTATTAAAATATAGTTTATTTCTTATTAGCTATACTATAATTTATTATATATTATAGGCTAAGTCTATATCTAGTAAACTTAGTACTCTCTTAAAGTACTAAGTTTTTTTATTAAAAAAAGTATTAAGTAATTATTTAGGGTTAGGGTTAGGGTTAGGGTTAGGGTTAGGGTTAGGGTTAGGGTTAGGGTTAGGGTTAGGGTTAGGGTTAGGGTTAGGGTTAGGGT